CTAAGCCCTAAGCCCTAAACCCTAAGCCCTAAGCCCTAAAACCCTAATCATAAATGATGTCACGATGATAGTGATACACCTGGTAGGGAGGTCCAAAATCATCAAAATTTCCATATAAATTTTTGATTGTTACTACTTATACGATATATAGTGTATAGAACCACGTGGTGTGTGATATATATTCGTCGTCTAACCATGAACCAAAAATTTTTTAATAAACTCCGTTTTCGCTGAAACTTTGGGTACGGCTTTTGTACGGGCGTATTACGTATATATTTGAATGAGAGCTGATTCCGACCGTCGCCGATGGAGCTATTCGCAAAACAAAACTTCAAACGTGAATAACTTTACAACGGATGGTCTGATCGTAATACTTTTACCATCATTCGAACCGGCTTAGTTAGAAGCACTATGTAAAATTTTACGGAATCTAAATATTCCAAATTTTAGCTACGCACCTATGCAGAAGTCTATATCAAGCGTTTTGTGAAGATGATTTAGTAGATAGAGCACGAATACGTCGTCCGCCCTACATTGTGGTAATAAGATACGCTCGTAATTTATTTCTCATAGTTAGGAAACGTAAGGCGTTGACCATACGCACCCGCTGTATGGGCTTGGCGCACCCCATCAGTCAGAATTAGGGTCAAATTTCAATTAATTCCTACCCCCCCAAATCTAGTCGGATAGCGCTGAAATTTAAACATCAATATTTCAATCGTCTGAATTAGAATTCCTAAAATTTTGAAGGCGATTACTCCAAAATTAGGATCATTATAGCTGGGGCCGAATAATGACCTCGGCCCCAGCCTTATCAGGGCCAAATCCTTATCTCTTTATTACTCGGCCCCAAGCTGAAGCCGGTATGGACTATAATTTAGAATCCTCTAATGTAGTTGATTGATCAGATTCCACTGATTCGGGAGACTGCCCAACAGCATCAAGCAGCGTCACATAATTTGATCTGTCTTATCTAGCATTGAGATATTATATACTGGCACCCTATTCAATATCACCTGTATTAACTGTACCAAAACTACACTTAACGATGTACAGATCTAGATATGCTTATCCAAGTACGGTAATATCATGTAAATCGTTATTCTCCTACTTACTGACTAATTTGTCATTGGCAACATTTGAGCATACACGCCGTCAAACTGAACAGTATCGTATTGATGCTGTTCTTTGTATACAGTGGCGACCGTTATTGCCTTCCATATCGGGAGACATGGACATACTGTTTCAAACCCTAATCCCATGACACGCTAAGCCATATATGGCTACTTTAGTATCACCTTTTGTTACAGGTTTGTATGGTAACAAAGATGAAAGTATATAACCGTATAGTAATGTACTGCTCCGTAAGGGGACTTCTCATGTTATGGGAGGAAACGAAAGAGCTTCTTCAGGTAGATAGGATAGCTTTCTGATGGCACCCTTGATCGAGGTCAATCTTACTAGACTAATCTGAATATTCAAAATACTCTTCCCCGGCATAATCACCATCGAAGCATTCTTCCTCAGGGCACTCTGGATCGATGTCTTCTTCATCAGGATAATCAGGATAATCAAATTCAAAGAGTTCGTCATCGAGGCTGTACCATAAGTACGCATACCCAAGTGACTCGTCCGGTGCGAGATATCCATGCTCCTTCATTTGGGCAGTGAGAGCTTCTTCGAACTGAAGCTTTGCTTCTCCTGGTCTGCGGAACTGATCACGCAATCCATTATTGAGAGCATTTCTAATAGACACCATCTTGTCTACACGACGTTGTTTCGTGTTAATGATAGCCTTTACCTCAGCTGGTGTGTTCCGATGGCACAGCACCACCTCCCGGTCACCAGTAAACCAGGGGCTCCTTCGGCACTCTTCCCAAACATGCTTCTTGAATTCTTTCAATGTGCGGAATTTCAACGATTTGCACTCGGGATCTGGACTTTCGATCCCAGTGCTGTCCGAATAACGCGCATATGTTTCCAATTTCAGCCAGTTGATGGCTTTTGTTTCGCGCCACAAGATACTGTCAAGTCGCTCACTTGTTAGAATATCATTCAGTAAGCCACGTGGGACTTTGTTTGGTGGAAGCAAGACTCGCATAGGTGTCCAGGTGTCTTCGATTAGGTTCCAGATACGTGCTTTCACCCGCCAAAGTCTGTACCATAAACCCTCCACATCCTCGTCGTCCTCACGTGGGGATCTATAGGCCACAAAGGGGGTGATATTTGATGGTGCAAGCTCCACTAGTTCGGAAACGAGAAAGAACTCGTCATGATTTTCAGAAGCTAGCAGCTGCTCTGTTGGCTCACTCCCACTCAGGACCACATTACGCGCCGAGGGAAAGAGCTCTTGTAGCCTATCCCAGAATTCATGTCCTTTAATCACCATCTGGTGATAGTCGGCGAGGTAAAGAGGGATTTCCACGTGCGTGATCCGCGAGGCGAAATCATGGCAGTGGTAGATCGGGGAGACTTTGTGTGTAAAAATTTGATAGGCATGATGGGGCAGATACCAGATGTTATTCCCAGACTGCCAGAACAATTTAGAGCATTCGGATCTGGTGTTAGATGATGTATGCATGAGATGAAAAAGCGTTGGCGTGTCACAGGATTGAAAGATAATCCGGTGAATTTCCGGTGGCAAGTCCATGAACCGATGGAACCGCTTCGGAGATGTAAAGAGTTCAGGGGCCACAAAGTGACTAAATGGAGTAAGTGGCGATGAGCCCCATTCCATGCACAGTTGAAGATCCGTCATGGCCGGCGGTAACAGGCGGCGGCGTGTGGATTCTCTTTGCAACTGGAGAATCGGCGGAGGGGGTGAGGGTGACATTGATGATGGATCTAGCGGTGGTGATGAGGGTGGTACAGGTATAAGATCATCACGAGAAGGCACGGGTCGTGTTGGGACCTCATGTTTAAACATAGGTCGGGATCCCAAGGCACGCGAATCCGGTGTGGGGAGCGCTGGAAGCACATGTCCAGCCGCCGAGAGAAAATCCAGGGGAAGCGACATGATGCAGAATGAGATTGGACCAGCTAGGTAAGAAAGCAGATTTGAGATCGCACGAGGTATTCGTAATTCTGTACTATCCCGCGCCAATGCCTAGGCCTGGGAGTGTTGGTGATGGGGCGGAATTTGGAGGGGTTGACAGCTTTGGGGGCCGAGAAAAACTAGACTTCCGCGTGACCCAGTCTAACCCAGACCCAACCCAGCCCGGGCTGGGTTGGGTTTTGGGTCAGAGTCTGCGACCCAGCACTAGGTCCGGGTTATAATGTCTGACCCAGTACTGGGTCTGGGGCCCCAACTTGGGTTATAAACACTGCAAACACGCTTAGGCCCGTGACTACATGAATTATGCAATTTTTGCCTGTAATATTGGGTATTTCTATTACTTCCTAATTAGAACCAACCTCTTAATTTTGAAATTCAGTAGTAAATATTAGGTGAAATGTAGAGCTTAGATCAATTGCCTATACTACTAACTAGTGGTACTCAAAGATATCATCTTCTCGACTCTTTCGCTTCCGTCCTGACGCGCGCACTTGGGGGTTGTTCCCTGGTAATGGCACCTGAGATTCACGTCCAGTCGGTTCTTCAAATGTAGCCGATAAAGCCTCATCTAGCTCTATCTCTTCATCAATTGTATTGTCCTGTTCCTCGGCATCTCTGATTGGCTCAACCTCAATCTCGTCAAGCTTCTCATCCTTCTCTTCGTTTGCCGCTTCTACAGTATCTCATCATGAGAGAAGAACTTCTCAAGAAGCTTCGCTTCTTGCTCTTCTATATCAAATCTTGGAGTGCAAAGAAACATCATTAAGTCTTCAATCGTATCAGACTTCATTCTCCCTCGACGATAATGACAGACATCCCGAGCAGTGTTAAAGAGCCGTTCAACGCCTACACCTGTTGCAGGGAAGGAAAGGGCATCACGCGCAAGGGCGGCAATTGGTGGGAAGCGAGCTTGGTTCTCTCTCCAAAATGCAAGAGGCGCAATATGAATGGTATCTAATTGTAAATTAGTAAGATTCGTCGATGGATTACAGAGTTATTTCTTAATTTTTCAAAAGGTTTGTACTAGGAAAGCATAGTGATTCAAGGTATGAACCAGAACTGATATAAAAAAACAGTATGTTATTTTGATGACTGAGCAGCTTTATGATTGGAATTATGCAAAAGTTGGGTCGAGTTGGGCCCAAATTGGTTTTACTGGGGCCCCAGTATTGGGTCCGGGTTGGGTCCGGGTTAATGAAGTTGGACCCGGACCCAGTCTGGGTTGGGTTCTGGGTCAGAGCCTTCGACCCAACGCTGGGTTCTGGGTTACGACCCTCAACCCAAACCCAACGCTGGGGCCCCAAAGAATACCCAAAAAACCCAAAAGTAGATGCAAATAATGCAAAGTGTAGTAAATTCGTGACTGCATATCTATGCAATCCTCGTGTGTATTTTAGAAGTATTTTCTGGTATATGCATTACATCTACATCTTCTGCGTAAAGTCCGTTTAGTGGGATTTAGGATTAAGGATGGAACAAGTTTTAATTTACATTCACTGTACTACTAATAATATGCAAATTCATCATCATCGCGTCTTGTACGCTTCCGGGCCCTCACTGACGTACGTATCCGAGTGTTGTCCTCAGATATAGGGAGTGGAGGCTCAGTAGCCTTAGCTTCGTGATTAGATCTAATCACCTCCTCTCCCTTTTCAACCTCACCCATCTGATCATCGTCCGCTCTTTCCTGGCCATCTTGTTCCTTAGTATCACTAATCTGTTCAATGACAAGCTAATCGGGATCTTCCTTTGCTTCCTTTCTAGCCTCAACCTTATTCTTAGAGATGAACTCCTTTAGATACATAGCCTCGTTTTCTTCAATGTCGAACTTAGAAGCGCAACGGAACATCATAAGCTCCTAGATTGTCGTCGCATTCAACCGTCCTCGGCGATAATGACAGATATCACGGGTAGTGTTAAACAGCCGTTCAACACTAGATCCAGTTGCTAGCACCGAAAGAGTATCTCGCGCCATGGCCGCAAGCGCTGGAAAGCGATGCTGATTCTCCTTCCAAAACGATAAAGGGCCCATATCAACAGTATCTAATATGGCGTTAGCAATATATCAACCAAACTCAACTTACACATACCACTATTAAGATATTGCGTAAGTTCATCCTTCGGCGTAGTGGGTTGGTCCCCGCTCCGACTGAGCATCTTGTCAATCTTAGAGCCCCGCGACGCTGTCTTGACGGACGGCGTAGAGCCAAGCGAAGCCTCTTCTGTAGTAATACGTTCTTAGTAAGGAACTAGCCGCTCGTTGATGGCTTTCCGATATGTCTTGCGCCATTTGTTATCCTAGTCCTTTGTTATAAAGAACTAGAACTTATTCCTAGGCGAAAGCATCGTATTAATTGCATAGATGTGCCTCTGAACATGGTCTATGTCGGAGTAATAATTATTAAGCTTGGTGCGGGCGGCCTCGAGCGCCTTAAGCATCTATTTCTTCTAGAAGGTCCTTTTCCGTCGAAGTTGGGCAATTAACTGCTCGAGATGCCCAAATAGCTTGTTGTATATTTTGAAGACGTATTGTGTAGTAACATCCTTTGTTTTTAAGAGCTCTAGCGTAAAGTCAAAAAATGGCTCTGTAACCAAAAGAAGGTAATCAATCTGGCGCCATTCTTCATCATTAAGCACTAAGTCAAAACGATCTAATTCAGCAATGAATAGAGGGAAAACAGAGCGTAGTCATTTTACGTGTCGAAGCATTAGGAAGGTGGAATTCTAGCGTGTCTTCACGTCCTAGATCGGCACAAGCTTTGGGGTTTTAGTTTGTAGGGTGTAGAATGCCTCCCGACGTTGAGGGCTTCCACTAGTGAACACCGCAAGATTGCGAATCTAGGAATTGATTAGTCTTTGAATATAAAAGGCATAGAGATGAATACCTTGGCTAATGTCCTCGCAATATCTCGTCTAGGCTTCTTTCAATATCACGGGCTGACTGAGAGCGCTCTGTGACCAGCCTGATGAGCGGTGCCTGAGGCGACCGTGCCTGGCACGTGATATGGGTTCTGTAGATAGCATGGACTCTCTTTGTTTCTTTTCCTTCTTCTTCTTTCCCTTCTCTAACTTGGAAGTCCCGTCGACTATGTACATCAAATTGACTACCTTCATGGTTTCTTCCTGATCTGACGCCCGGTCACACACTCAACCAGTTTCTAGCTCGTGGAAAAAACCAAATCTACATAGTCGCTTATTGGTGATATAATATTTGGCGAGGATATCACTGCCGCTTCGATTTACGGCTGAATAACGAAAATAAACAAAGCCTGGTTATTTCATTTCATGTTGGATAGCGGCTGCCTCCGTGCTCTACCGCCCAGCCCCAACTATTGACCTCTACATCAACAATATCTCAGAAATTCCCAAAATTACCTGCGTAAGTCTTGTCTATAGCCATTGAGGAGATTGTCAGGTCAATCATTCGACCGTTATCTCAAGTGACATGTTCGTATGATAGTATGAGAAAGGAGCTTGTTATTGGTACAAGAGAGGAGTGTGCTAAAAGGCTATCTGCGGCATCCAGGAGGAAGTCCGATAATGAATGACAGAAAGTGCGTGGTTTGATCACGTTGGAATTGGGGACAGCTCTTCAAATGATCGCATTCCAAAAAGCCATTTCCCCCCAATGGCACTCCATTGAATCACTGCGCCTGCATATACTCTCATGGCCTCTTCATACTTGCAGATGCTGGTACTATTCAACCCACCCTCACTCAAGGTTCGCGCCAAAAACGCGGCATCCCTGAGGGCTGTCGTAGCTCCAGCAGCAGAGGTGGGTGACATGGCATGAATTGCATCCCCAATGAGAGTGACACGGCTTGATGCCTCCCACAGAGGTATTTCTGGCCTTACTGTCGTAACACGTAAAATAGAAGTTCTGTTTGAGTCTTGACAGGTGAATAAAGCGTGAAAAGACGGATCCCATTTTGCTGTCATCTTCTTGGCCAGGTTGGCTACCTCGTCCGCTGGAAGCTTTAATAATTTGTCGTCTGCCATGTCGAACATATCTTTTCGTGAGACTAGCACCCAATACACGTAGTCCTCTGGTACATGGCTATTTGGCTCGTCGCGCTTAAATCGCATTGGCTCTAGCAGTAGACTCAAGGGAATCGGCCCCGAGCGATCCTGTACAAGAGTCATGCCATTGAGAGCTCTCTCTTGGAATTGATCGAGGAGAGCTTTTGTCATAATGGTTTTTCCGAATATCCATCGTGCTTCCGTATCAAAGAGCTGAAAGTCTGGAAGGAATTGTTGTCTGATCCGCGAAAAAGCGCCATCTGCTCCCACAATGAGAGAGCCTTCTTGCTCAGAACCGTCCATAAAGCGTACTTTGACACCTCTATCGGATGTAGTATATGATGAGAACTCTTTCCCGAATTGGACAAAATCCTCAATACCGTGAATCAGGACTTGTCTGAGCACGTTCCGGTCGGCGTTAAGAGGTTGAGTCTCGAGAGTCGGTGGAGGTCCAATTTTCATTTCGACATCTTGGCCGTTTAAAGCGTTCAAATGTGCATTCGGTCTAATGCCAGCAGAGCAATAGGCGCAACTGGAAACCAAAAGGGAAAACAATTTGGGAGGAAGGGCATCGGTAAGCGCCGCAATGCCGTCGCCATTGATTCGGACCCGGTAGCCTTGGGAGCGAAAACCGAGAGCTGGATCTCGTTCAAAGACACGAAAGGGGATCTCTCGCTTTAATAAAGCTTGTGCAAGGGCAAGGCCAGAGATTCCAGCGCCGCATATTAGAACCGGCGAGCTTTGATGGAGCATTTCAAACAAGAAAAGAGAGATGTTTTCTGAAAGGCTAGAGAGCTAGTAAGGAGATCTTTATAAGTGTGCGCAAGATGTATTCGGCACTCGCTACTTATAAGATACGAGCGAAGGTCACATGTTCGGCGTTAAGGACCGACACAATTTCCCGATGTCGGGATTTTCTGAAAAAGGAAAACTGTCGGAGATGTCTAAGAAGAATTCCAATCAGGTTGTAAAGGTTATATCACTCACGATAGCCCGTGTAAATGTGTGCGAGAATGCAAGGTAGACCTCGTGTGCCATATTGTCGAATTAAAGGGCTATAGGTCGAAAGATGATAGGTATGGATTTGACATTGAAAGACTGATTGTCCTATATGGGAATTCCTATATGGTCCCACGGGCAGTCCCATGGGATTAGTCCCGTGGGAAATGTGAAGGCCTAGCCGAGAGGCGCACGTATCGGCTTCTTAGTCATAGTTGTGCTCGAAATATTCACAAAATTTCAAAGCCAACGGATGTAAGCTTAAATACACAGAGATGACGAGTTTGTTAAAAATGAAGTGGATACCACAGAGACTCTAAGACGGGTTTTATTATTATTTTCAAGTGGATGAGGGAATAGCAGCCTATGCGGCAGGAATCGGGCCTGTAGGAGCAGCTTCATGACTGCATGACTATATAATTGCCTCTTCCGTCGGTAGCTTTTGAAAATTTACTTAGCATTCCTATTTCACTATCGTTTTCACCATTTTTCTTGCACTATTCCTCTTTTCACCACCTACGTGGCCCGCGATGAACGATCTTTCGCTCCAAAACAAGTACAGTAAACTTGTTGGGAAACATGTCCTCGTGATCGGAGGCACCTCGGGGGTTGGATTCGCTGTCGCCAGGGCCTCACTGGCTGCGTCAGCTATAGTTTCCATCTCCTCTTCCTCCGCCGAGCATGTTGAGCTGAGAAAGCAAGACCTATTAGGCGAGTTCCCAAATGCCCAGGTCCAGGGCCACGGGTGTGATCTGTCGAAAGATTCCGTGGAACAGGAGATTGAGGTGTTGTTTAGAAAGGTCGGCCAGGTCGATCATGTCGTCTTCACGGCTGCGAATCGCTTAGCTAGTACACCGGTCCAAATAATCACAAGTGAGAAGATCGTCGCTGCTGGACAACTACGTTTCATTGCGCCAATCCTCGTGGCAAAGATCGGCAGCCGACATATCTCACCTGGCCCCGAATCATCGATGACTATGACCACCGGAAGTATATGGGAGCGCCCCAACCCTGACTGGACACTGTTGCAGGTTACGCAGGTGCCATTTGCAGTGTGACCCGCAACTTGGCTCTTGATCTGAAACCAGTACGGGTCAATGCTGTCAGTCCTGGGCTTGTGGATACAGAGATGTGGGATACAGCTATGACCGCGGAACAGAAAGAGAGCTTATACGGATCGCAAGCTGCTAGATACCCCACCGGGAGGGTGGCGAAGCCTGAAGATGTTGCTGAGGCCTATATTTATTTAATGAAGGATACCAACACGACTGGGCAAATTGTCTGTTCCGATTCAGGTGGTTCGCTCATCTAGGGGGAATTGCCTCAACAGCCACTATCACGCTCAAAGGAAGGTCATCTGGTCACCTTCCCAGCAGAATACGACCACGCCAACGATGCGTTTCCCTGTGATGATTGGAGACTGTGTTAGAAAACCCAAGATTCTATTAGACTAGCAGTATTGTTCCAGACACATTATGTATTGTGGTAATACGGGTAGGCCTCGTCCCATTGCTTTGTTGTCTTTAAAAGCTAAATCTGGTCCACATTTAAATATAAGTCGATAATCTCGACTAGATTCACTTGGATATTGCCTTTGCTTCGCTTTTCTCCAAGCCAATCTTTGCTGCCATCTCACAGGCCTCGGCTACCTTGCCTGGCATGCTCAAAAATGGAGAATGCGAGCTGTTGCATCTAAATTGACTGTGTTCTCCTAACAATCCAGCCATAGACTCCTGGATGGATATAGGAATTGCCTGATCATCCTCGCAGAAGATGTACATACAGGGTAGGTCATGCCAAGGCTCATGAGAGACGCGATCCTCGAAAACAGCGCGAGAGGTGTGTGTAAGCTTAGAACTCCATTTCTCCTGATCCTGCACAGGAAGGTCGTGATAGCAAATCCGAGTTGGCTCCGAAGCCCTGCAATAATCGCCCTAGATGCTGTCAATGCTGCGATATGCATATAATAGGAGAAAGACAATACCCACATCAAGTTGCATCCATGGTAACCACTTTCCTCCGAGCATGTCTAGTAGGCTAGTGCCTGATTTGGCGACAAAGGCAGCCAGATATACCAGCATAAGAACGCCACCTTTCCTATTGGTCTTCTGCCTTTCTGCATATCCCATATCTTCGACTGCACCGGCTCCAACCATACCACCGTAGGAATGGGCAACAACTACAATTTGCTTGCCTTCGTTAGATAATCTTTCAATCTCATTTTGCACGAAAATGGTATCGTCAGCGAGCCCTTTGGATGGAGGCTCTGCACCGATAGCTGGGAGCGCCACAGCTACGCTGGGAAAGCCACGGATTGCTAGGGAGGCACGCACGTCATCGAAGACGTCCGGGCTATGCCATGCTCCAGGGATGAATAGGATGGTAGGTTTTGCCGAGGACATCTGGTTTGCGAAATATGGTAATGTGTAGTGTCTGAAAATCGAGTATTTCAAAAGAATTTCGCTAAGAGACATACAAGTACTTATAAACGTCGCAGAATTGACACATCGGAATCCGGGGCTGACGTCGGCTAAGGTAAAGAACACTTTCCAAAGGCTCGGAAGCGAGGAGAGCTGTAGCTTCCGATGCTCAGGCTACATTTGATGGGCCGATAATGATGATTTTATTGTCCAGACGAGTTAGGTCTCAGGCCACTCAGTTCTGCTTCCGAAGTGGGCCTTTTGCTCCAGATCCGATAAACAAAGTTTGCCACGCCGACGGCTCATTCAGTTGGGTAAAGTGAGAGGTTGTCTCCGTCCCTCATTTGCTGACGCTGCGGGGTAAGCATGGGGCTGAAGCTATTAGTAGCGCTTGATGACGCGGTAAGCTTGATGCCCCTCAACCGTTCCTCTGATGCACATACATGCATACAGGCAGGTTTGGCCGTCCCTAAGGATATCCAGCGCATGAATACGCTCGGAGTAGTAGGATAAGAGAGAGAGGAACCGACAAGAAACGACTATATAAAGAACCGCTTTTCGGACCATCGTGGATTTTTGTCTATCATTGGCATCCCTATATTTGCCTTCATCATATCGGCTCATCATACTGTCCATTATCTCTTTTTTGTAGCATAGCATGTTAATCGCCTAGATGACTGCGAATTCGGGTTCCTCTACTCGTAGTCAAGGCCAGACACCAATGAATAGCCCAGCAAAAGGGTGCGCTGCGTGTTATCTTACTATGGACGATCTTAAAAATCTCTTCACCGCTGTGGTTGAAAGAGTGTTTATCTGACCTAGCCGCAGCCGAGCTCGACAGTGAGAAGCTACAGGGTCTATGTTTGGAATACCCCGCCAAATACTCCTGTCTTCCACCACGATTTCCAACCATGTCCAGATGTGGCTCCACTGAAGCAGTTGCCACTAAAGCCAGCTGCAATGGATTCCCTTCGGTCGAAACCTTTGAGGCAACTCAAGCTTCCTAGTGTTGTTTTAACTAGCAATGAACAAGAAGAGAACCTTCAGGCGGCAGATGAGGTTGATCTCGAAAGTCCGATCTGTACTACACGGGGCGATTTCAAAATCGTTTTGAGAACTGGGCATTGACACCCCAATGTGGGACAGTCGTGTAAACATATGAACCACTCACCTGAACCAAAAACTTTTAGGAGAACGCTGGCACGGTTTCAATTGGGACAAAGAAGCCTATAAATACAATATTGTAGTAGTAGTAGTAGTAGTAGTAGTAGTAGTAGTAGTAGTAGTAGTAGTAGTAGTAGTAGTAGTAGTAGTAGTAGTAGTAGTAGTAGTAGTAGTAGTAGTAGTAGTAGTAGTAGTAGTAGTAGTAGTAGTAGTAGTAGTAGTAGTAGTAGTAGTAGCAGTAGTAGTAGTAGGAGGAGGAGGAGGAAGGAAGGGTTAACAGACCGTACGGGGCACGACGCTGACTTGGAGGCTGAGTGACAGCACAGCCATATTTCGCGCCAAGCCTCGTTCTCCTTGGTCTGGTGTCATGTGGTGCGAACCGTCTCTCCTTCCTCGTCTGGGGCCTATTACCAGATGCACGTGATATGACTCACCCGAGAGACCGCATTTCTACATAATAATTGCTTGATGTAGAGATGTTAGAATTGGCATTTACCCTGGCGTCGATGACACTGACCCTTCATAGAATCAGAAGTGCTATCACTAAGCCTTTACACGATGCCGTCAAACACATGTGTTGCGGTAAGTCAAACAGAAGACAGTCTTACGGGAAGAGATAGTGGCAGTGAAGAAAGCACATAATGATGAGGAAGAGTTCACTCCACCAGTGTGTATGTCTCTCTACGGGCCGCTCCCTGACAGACATAAGATAGGCTAAACCCGTGTTTTGCGTCATGCAACGGGGCGCCTGAATCATGCTCTGGATTGCATATAATAAGATGAAAGTCTGCCGAAGAGTGTTTATTTAGAATCACTACGGTCGGATCTTGGAGGCAGTTGAGATCGGCATATTCTTTCAACTTGGCGTATAAAGGATATACCCTGTCAGGACTAGTACAATGGCACCAACCACGTTTCACCTTATCTGCCTCTCTCGACCTACAGAGCCGGAAGTGTTGGCGTCAAAGATTAGGGATCTTAACCCTCAAATTCAACCAACTTTGGTAGGAAAAGTGCACCACTGGCTTCTAGAGCCGCGGTTGTCTGCGGACGCTCTCACTGGAACCGGGAACATCATGACAAAATGGGACTATCTTCTTGTGGGACCCAACGATATAGCGGAGCAGCTACGCCTCGAGATTGCATCGAGCTGGTCCATTACGGCAAACGTTGCGGATGATGCCCCGAAGCCGGAGATGGTGGCTGAACAACTTCTTGCTAGACAACCTTATCTCCTCTCCGGGTGGTCTGCTAAGGATTCTAGCGGCTTGGAAGCATCTATTCCCCCAGATGATCTAAAGCTATCATTGACCACCCGTTCTCGGCTCCTTGGGTCACAGAAGGACATGGATGGTGTGACAATTAAAAGTTATACCAGAGAATTTGGCTCGTCCCATCAAGGTCCCATTGTGGTTTTAAATCTGCTTTCGTATGCCCTAGGCAAGAGACTAGCGTACCTAGAAGGATACGTCGCTGGTTTCGGACGCACAGTTGGACCGAAATATGGTAGCGATGCAATATGCTTCGCTTCTGGTACCACATCCTGGTCCTCAAAGCCGAAAGAGGGAAGCGAAGGTTCTCACTGGGAGGATGTTGCCCTTGTGTGGTATCCGTCGATATGGCATTTTGCAAAGATGCTGGATGATGCGGACTATGCTCGTCTTGACCGGGATTTCAAGACTGGATTGTTGGAAGACAATCCGCTCCTATGCTGTACCGAAGTCAAGATGGTGCAGGGGAAATAAAAGATTGATGTACTCAAGTATCTTCCTTGCCAGACTTCATCGTATGTTTTCATTCAATATTCATCGTGATGGGGCGTTTGAATCAAAAGCTGCTGCAAACCATACTCTTGTTTATTTACACACTGATAATCGGAGCTGGCTTCCATCCGTTCATCAATCTGAAAATATAATTTCAAAAACCCAGACGCGGACACAAAACAAAGGGATATTGTAAATAACCGTAATGTGCGGGTGGAAGTTCTCTGATTCTTTGGTGTTATAGGAGAATATCCCTTGGCTACTATCGGTATTTAAAGAACCGTGGTTGCCAAACCATGGCTAGTATCTACAACACTTGAACTAGGCGATTATGCAACCCCTGCACTGTTTGCGTTCCTGGGTTACATTAGGCTCCCTCGGTCACGCTCTCGTGCAAAACCGCTCGAGTAGTCGGGTTGCGAGGATACTGGATGAACTGGTCAACCCAAATGGCCTGTACATACGTACCTAAGGCAGGGGTATCTGTCTGTAAGCGCCGTATTGCATGTAAATTGGAATGGGGGCCATTAACCTCTCATTCTATTCGATAATCTACAGTGGGCTGATGGGGCCGGTGTTGGTGGGGGTCTCGAGGCCCATTGGCTCCCATTGTCAGGCAGCCCGCCCACGAGTGAGATTTAAAAGGACACTGTCATTGTCAGCTCGGACGGTCGACCTTCTGTTACTCCATCATTGATACCTGTGAAATTTCATCGTCATCGTCGGCGCCGGTTTCTCCGGAATTTACCTCCTGCAACGACTGCGCGATAAACTACATTTAAACGTCAAGATATTCGAGGCGGCGCCAGATGTCCGCGGGGTCTGGCATTGGAATACCTACCCAGGCGCCAGGGTCGATTGTCCTGTCCCAGTCTATGCCTTTGACTTCGAGAAGGTGTGGTCAACCTGGAAATGGACCCAATTGTATCCGGGTCAGAAGGAGCTGCAAGCATATTTCCGCCACGTAGATCAAGAGATGGAGATCTCCAAGGACACTTTGTTCAACTCGCGCGTGAATGGCGCACAGTTCAACCGTGATACTGCACGATGGACCGTCACAACTGAAGATGGCAAGAAGGTGGTCGCGAAGTACTTCATCCCCGCCGTTGGCGAACAACAGCATGTGCCCCAGTGGAAGGGATATGAGACATCCAAATGGGACATTCATCATACCTCCTGCTGGCGCAGTGGGGGTGTCGATGTGAAGGAGAAGCGGGTAGCCATCATTGGCACTGGCGCAACTGGCGTGCAGATCACACAGGAATGGGCCAAGGAGTCCGACGAGACCTTTGTGTTCCAGCGGACACCGAACTATGCATTGCCGATCTATCAGGTGACATTGATGAGGCGACCCAGAATAAATGGCAGAAAGAGACAAGTGATATCTTTGCATTCTCTGCGACCACGGTTGGCGGCCTCGCGTGGCAAAGCACGACCAAGAACTACGATGACTACAGCTCTCAGGAAGAGCTTGAAAAGAACCTCAATGAGATGTACGACAAGGGTGGCTTCCACTGCTGGACAGGCGGCATTGCAGACCTTTTCATGAATCCAGTGGGCAATCGAGTTGTCTACGACACCTGGGTCAACAGAGGTCGACAACGCGCCCAGGATCCGGTCAAGGCAGAGCTTCTAGCGCCCAAAGAGCCGCCGCATCCGTTTGCCACTAAACGCCCCTTCACTGGAAAGAGACTACTATGAACAATTTAATCGGCCCAATGTCCATATTGTGGACACCAATGCCCATCCGATCGTCGAAACTAGACCGCAGGGCATTGTCACTGACGATGGAACAATCTATCAGGTCGACGCTATTGCAGTAGCCACGGGCTTTGATGCAAGTACGGGCAGTGTGACGAAACTGGATGTTCGGGACGTCGATGGGGTGGACCTGAGCTCGCGATGGAAGGATGGTATCCAGAGCTTCCTGGGGATGACTGTCCCAGGCTTCCCTAACATGCTTATTCCTTACTCCATCCAATCTCCGGCACCATGGACCAATGGCCCAGTATTCCTTCGGTTACAGGTCGACTGGATTCGCGACATGATTGCGAAACTCGAAAAGGAGGGCATCAGCTATATTGACCTTTACAAGGAGAAGGCCCAAGCATGGCGTGACGAGCTATTGGCGGTTACAAACATGACTTTATTCCCGGAGGCGAAATCATGGTACATGGGAGCCAATATTCCCGACAAGCGATTGGAGCTGATGTACTTCCCTGCTCCAATGCCAATGTATTTTGAGAGATGCGCTGCTGCTCGAGATGGTCAGTTTGCCGAGTCGTTCTTCGCCAGTCGAAATGCGGAATAAGCATGTGGTCGCTAGGGTTTTCGCATCCCAACCCACAACCTTGACCGGATTCGAGTATCCCTGTGACGACGTACTCGGACATCCTCTAATAATCGCACACGAGATGGAGGAGGCGGTACGATTAGCTAAAGCTAGGAAGGCCTAGGGGAAGATAGTATCCCAAACTCTCTCTAGCACAAGCTAATCGGTCTACTAGTAATTATTAACACGCTAGTATATATATTCAACGCATGTATCCAAGTCAGATACAACCCTATGCACTTCCACAAGTCAATCATAATGATTCTCCGAAAAGGGGGGAGAGAGACTTCTAACTAGCTAAGTCAATCCCCTCCTATAGCTCTCCTTCATAGTTTAGGGAGATTCCTTAAGTCGGTTATTACGCGGCGTATTAGCTACGTAGTCGAGAGGAGGGACTACTACCCCCAACGCACGTTATCGGCCGAAGGGGGATTTCTATAGACTATGCGATTCATAATATGATCGATCAAATCAAAATAGAATAGGGTAAGGGCAACCTAGTAGTATCACTACTAATACGTAAGGTATCTAGGCCGTACGACAATATATCTTACGGACGGTTGATCCACGATCTTCACAAACGACGTTTAGGTCAATTAGCCCCTTCGGTCAAAGCCTTCCTATCCTTTCGCAACACTAAAATCAGGATACTAGAGGGGATGCTAGGCATGAGTCTAACTATACCGGGGATCCTATAGAGGTCCCCAATCTCGCTAATACTATATCTACTATACAATGCCGATCTAATTGAGGATTGCGATCGCGATATGACTAGCAACTGCTTTATGGCGTTAGGCAGGACAGAGCGGGAAAACATCGAAAATCTACGAGCGCATGCGGTGAGACCAACCAATGGGCTAAACAATATGCATCCGTTTTCGATCTAAAGAAGTGATGCACTTCGTCAACCCAAAGGAAATTGAGCCCGAATACACCCTTCTGGTTCTACCAGAAACGACGGTCGAAGCTACTACGTCAGCAAGATACCAATCTATCATTCTGTTACTGACTTACCGGAGCCAGAATGATCTTGGTACGACAAGTGCGAAAACCAAGAAATACAGTATCACCTATTATTGTCATGAACTACCATACCAGGTGCGGGAAAATATTCCCAAAATTTTTGGATTGCATATTTGGTTAAGTAAATGCTAATCGGCTGATTTCCCCACTATCTAATAACGCGCACCGCCGCCACAAGTCCCCTGGCCGAGCAAAATCTCGAAAGCAGATTCATTTTCTCGATAATCGACAACTGCTTTGGTACATAAGGCTCTTCCAAGCACCCAATTTTCTCGTTGGCCATCTGTACCCGGATAGCAGCCACTGCTTCATCGATACGCTGTTTACTATTGAGTCCCAGAATTGGACACATGTGTTTGTGGGAGAGCGACCGGGCGGTGGCAAGTTGGGCCATGCTGATACCCTTTTTTCTAGCCAGCGCCTCAACTCGATTAACGATCTCCTTGTCTGCCCCCGTTTCACGCACACGGACCAGGAGATGTACGGCAACGTCCTGGGATTCACGAGAACTGGCAACGCTCCACGGTCGAGTAAGAATGCCACGAGATAAAGGAGACCAGGGGATGAGACCAATGCCCTGATCCTGGCAGTACGCAATCATCTCCCGCTCCTCCTCACGTGAGAGAAGGCTGTGGTGGCTCTGCATCGAGACAAACCGGTGCCAGCCATTACATGTTGCCACGTTTTGTAGAGCCTGAAACTCCCAAGCCCTCATCTAAATCGGACTATATTAGCAATCCTTTTCCCATATTCAATGGATTGATAGAACAGACAGAGCTGGCACCAACATATCTGACTTTACCACTGTTGACCACGTCGTTCAGCGCTCTCATGATTTCCTCTCGGGGGGTCTCGCGATCGAGGCGGTGAATTTGTAACACGTCGATGTATGTTCTCAGACGCTTTACGCTGTCTTCCACTGCGTCGAAAAATTTTTTAGCGTGAAAGCCCGACGCGGTCCACTGAAGGCCCGTCGTTGGAATGGCATTGATGCAAAAGCAACAAAAACAAAACAAAAAAAAAAAAAAAAAAACACAGTGGCATTGACAAACAACAAGCAAACAATAAACACACACACAGAAACAGGCAGTCAGCAGACTGCAGCAGCAGACTGTAGGGCGAGCGCGTCCGGAATCTCCGCTCTTGATTTATCTGGCACAAAGAAAAGTCGATCCACCCGACTAACTGCGTACAGAGCAATTATCAATATGTCCATAGTGAAATAGAAGATGTAGAAACAGCCAAGGCTGTCATACCCCGGCTCCGGTCGAGCAAGCGGCACGGGCGCCATCCACGTCGTGGCACAGCGATATGTTGCGCCCAGGCAGACAGCAAACGACCCTGCGATGAGAACAGCACCCTTTGGCAGTTGCTTTCCCCTATCAAAATACTCGGCGGGTCGGCTTGACATATATGGGAAGAAAACAAACATTCCCACCGGGAGCGGGAGGAAGGACACCACTGTGAAGCAAGTCAGGGAATAGAGTTGGATACGTCGATCGATGCGATGGGTGTTGGGGTTTAACGTGAAGAAGCTCTGGACAATAGCTATGAGGACCATGATGACAGTCATGATGATCAAGATACACAATCCCCAGAATGTCCCAGTCAACAGCGGGTGCCAGCCGATGCGTGGATACACCGCGCGAACGATGCGACGAGCCAGCACAAGATTTAGCAAGTATATGAGAACAACACCAGCATTCAAAAAGACCGCGGACGAAATAGTCAGATTGAGATTCTGTGGTTTGCAAATAGCCGCGATGCGTAAAATGCATGCAAGGGCTCGAGACACAGAGAATCCTAGACAGCAACTGTCAACTAAATGATCTTTTTAATTGACCTAGTAAAATCGAGAGAGAAAATAGAACGAACCGATTAGTAAATTGGAAAGGAAGAAATGGTGCTGTCGCCTTAAATTGATTTGAAATATGGTGATATGTGTTGCTGCCCCCATGAGGAATAGAACCAGGAACACTGCAGTGACGGGCACATCAACAGATACCGCGGAACGGGCCCCAAGTGTCCAATACGGCAATGGATACGGCCCCCCCATTTTTGTTTTAGAGGGTCTGATGCCAGGGCATAAACGCAAAAGCCAGAAGACAGGAACTCAAAGCAACCTGGCAATCACATTTGTAGTACAGCTAGGCATGGCTTTTATAATTCTAGAAGTGCACTGAGTTAGATAAGCCGCGCTGTGGTGATCAGATGCAGAACGACCGTCCACTGCTGACAGGCTTCGACCTTGACCATCGCCCGGCGTCCAGGCGTGCAGGCATGACTCCGGGCCCCGAAAAATGGGACGCCGAAAGGACCAACAGTTAAAGGTTAATCACCTGTCATTCGCCGTATCTTCCTTTTGGCTCCAACAGTCTTCCAACGCAACTTGTCATCGGCGGTATTCATGGATAATGCTACAGCACGCCAGTATTTCAGGCCCCTATTCAATTAACGCACTCCCTATTCAATTAACGCACTCCACCATTAACTCGTCATATTGCTATAAAAGTCCCGCGACAATTAACTTCCAAGAGATTAAAGCAGTCTACAGGCATAGACCAGTCGATATTGACATCTACTATGCTCAGATGTGACATCCAAGAAAGATGCGACGAGGAATCCCAGTGAATTGACAACACTCCACAAATCTTGTTCCGTATGACGATTACCGAGCCAAACTTTAAAATATATGTTAACTATGCTGAATCAATGTTCCCTGAGATGAGTCTGGGTATAATGCATCCGGGCATCCTCCGAGGCTTTGAGTGACGTGGTTAATGCTTCGTCATCCTTGACAAGCTCTACCATACAGCATTCCACTATAAAACGAATAGCCAAAAAAATGATAGGGAGATGCCTCACCCTGCGATACTACTGACGCAGGAAAATTGCTTCCCACGCTTGCGCATTTCTCGCCTGGGCTTCCCGGACGTTGGATGCGTATATTGGCGGTTCACTCAACAAGATGAATGGTTCAATAGGAAGGACCAGTAACGGTAACTCAACCTGGCACATGGTGCATGGTCATCCGCACTTGCCATCCAGATGAAACTAGGGGTCGCCGTAAGACTATGGCGCAAAATGCGGAACAGACGAATACCGGCAAGCAGGACCTGGGTCACCGGCAGGGAATCCAGACACACGCTTCGGCGCTTTTCTTGCTTCGGTGCATTTTTTTCACTGTGGCGCTCAAGTACTAACCTACGTGCCCTGATAGTGGGTTTGGTACTGATAAGTGCATGCCAGCCAATCGGTTGCGCAACAGGATTCGAGTGACGCATAACGCTTGCAGACCTGAGGCCCATGCGTGGTGGGGGAAAAGCCAGGCGAGAGCGCTTGACGATCAGGAAGATATGGTGAAAACATTCGTTTCAGGGTCTGGAACGCGATCCGTATCATAGCGCTATAACATCTGAAGCACATTGGCTGCCTGATGTTTCGCAAAGGGGCATGTTGGGCACTCGGGAATCTAAGGTTCGCACATGGATCCACATAGCGACTTCGGACTAACTGTAAACCTTGTGGTGGCGTCTAGCCGTCCAAGGTCCACACCAGCGATCAGTCTATCGATACTTCCGGAGAAGCGGATGAGATTAGCAGCATGCCCTGTGGCCTCGGGACGATCAGTATACTGTGGTTAACCCAAAAAAAAAGGGCGAAACTTTGCTGAGCTCAAGGCTGCGGACTTTGCCAAATAAGCTTCGAGTATAAGATCACATTCTACCAACTCCTGCCGATCCCGAAAAAGCACATGGCCGGGATGATCGAACGATACTCTTCAGATTCAACCTCGATGGCGGCGATCCATTGAAGAATCATAGATAACGTCAATATGATGCAGGTGGTGCCGCCAGTGTTTTGTTCTAGATGATGCCATCTTCAGTAGTGAAACGGACACATTTCACTGTGTTGGCAATTGAGTTTGTGATCATGACCAATCGTTGAGTATCCCCGGACACGCGTGCCACATGGTCTCTGAGCATTGCAGGTTCCTATTCCTCATACTGTGCATGTTGATGGCTACGTCGGGTTTAAAGTCAACGGGATATCCGCGTGGCCTGTGCCATCTAACAAGGCAATGCCTGCGTGCCAGATGAAGAGAACGTTGACAATCTACCACGTTCTCACATGCACGTTCACGATGAGCAACCTAACATGTATGATCACTGCCGGGCAGAAAAGCCTTCGGTCAGCTTGCGATCTCTGCCATCAAGGAAAGGTTAAGTGCAGTGGAGGCACGCCGTGTGAAGGATGTCGGAAGCTTGGCGTGCTATGCAAATATAGCGCCTCCAACCGCACTGGTCGACCCAAGGGGGTGAAGAACAAAAAGACTCTTGAACGAATAAAGCAGCTCCGCGCTGCCGACGACAGAGACGAGGAGGGGACGAGGGTCGCTGATAACGTACGTTGAACGACACCAAGCACCCACTTCCGGGAAAGGGAGGTAAATTAATTCGCTTATTTTGTCCTTGGCTGAGAATTTTTCACAGCAAGCCTCCTCTGAGCGGTTTAATCAGCGACCTTCCGTTTGCCAATGTCAGTCTGATCAAGCATCGCTCCCCGCGTCATCAAGTCTATCGGAAAACTCGTGCAGCCAAGCGGATTTAAATCTCAGTCCAGTCGCCGACAATAGCCCAGAGTCGTCCTGGAGCTGCTTTCCCATGTCTGGGCCTGGAAACGTCTCAGATACAGACCATCTACCGTCGTTAACAGCAGAAAAAGGCTCCTTGTCATGCAATATTTTGGGTGACCAAGTACGTCTTAAGTTCGGGTCCTGGATGAGAGTCGCTGACCGTGTCTTGTGTTCGCACAGGAACAGTGTACGAGCAATTTCCAAAGTTCCGACACCTTTGAGCTGCTCCGTGATGGCGAAATGCCAGACTATTTACTCCCTGAACCCCTCTGGGTTGACACTCTGTTGACTACAACAGACCTGGCGCTTCCAGGGTTTGGGGATATGGACCGCATCCTCAAAAGACCCCAGGACACAGACCTAGACAGCTCCCCGATGCAGTTCTCCAAAGTAGCTGGAGTTCACCCCTCGCAACCTCAGAACCATCCTTCTTCCACATGTCATTGCGTCCGACAGATTACTGAGCAGCTGGCCAATTTCAAGGCTCTAAGTGTTTCTCCACAGCGGCTCCAGCCTGACTTTGTCCTCACGGTAGCTAGAGATTCTCTGCTAGAGTGGCGACCTTATCTGGAGTGTTCGAGATGCGAGTACAGCGACGACAAGGACGTCTTGGTTTTGTCGGTTATGGCCCTCCGTGCGTTGTTCAATCTGATCCAGGCAATCGGCCTTCAACATAAGTACCAGTCTCGTCACGACGACAGCCAGGAGGATATATCTACGGCAAGTGCCTCATCTGCACCGTTTTTGAACTCTCAGAATTCTTTCCTGGGCACGTATCGACTCGTCTGCGAAGAGAAGCGACTGGTTGTGGATCTTCTTCTATACAGGACACTGAAGAGCCTTTACCGCACGGCCAAAAATCTGACGGAGAAGAGCCTCAGGATGACCGGAACAGCGTCCAAGAGAGACAGCACATCCGATCAATCGTCCCGATCGCAGAGCTCTCCTTATCCACTAGTTGCGAGCCCTATACTTTGTTATGGCCTTCCCCAGAAGGTGACTATGAGTGATCGGTCGAAAGGATTAGATTCCACCGGGTTCAGTATTTCGTCAGATGAACATGACAACTATTTACAGAAGTCTCTACAGAGCTTGACGGCCAACATCGAATCTCATCTGATGAAAATCCAAACTCCTCAGTCAATCCAAGGCCAAAGGGATGCCGATACCTTTGGGTTTTAGAGTCGCATATACCCCACTGTTGTTTGTCCTTTTCTGTTCCACGCCTACGTTACCATCCATGTATTTTAGTATTAATCTGAATCGCTTGAAACATATCCGACCTGCCCTGTCACACACGTAATATGATTGATTTAGGGTTGTCGAATTATAATAGCGTTTCCGGATAAGCAGAACAGGCAAACAATAGAAGATTTGAAAATATATAACCCGTAAAAAGTGTACCATCTACAGCCAATGAACTGCTATGGATAAGAATAAGACATCTTTTATCCTGTACTAGACATATCGTAGTGCTTCTCAGTGAGCAAAGAAAGTAGTAAAGAGAAAATGCATGACATCCGATAGAATCAGGCGCACTGAATTTTTAACGCAAGGCCCCGGGTAGGATAATTGCATATCGACGGAAGACAGATTCAATGCGAGTCCCTTCTCGTCCAGATCGAATTCAGTCTCTTCAAGGTCAACAATTCCGTAAATAATCGTCTGAGAAGTGATCCGTGTTTGGCACGAACGAAGGAATGGCCCACATTCTTTTACAGTCGGGAGTGTCCCAATGATACTCTTGGTTATGTGTCCCAGGCTCTAGAGACCAGACGGATACAATCGACACCAGAGATATTGATCCTTCACTTTTATCTCTACGCGAGAATTCCCAGCACATAGACAGGGCTGCTAGCCCAGCTTCATACTTCAAAATCAGGCTATGACTGGGAAATCTGAGGTACCCTGCGTCAAGGCATACCACGGCGCTTGCATATTAGTGATATATTATTGGAGCTCCTATTTTGATGGTATTGTATGAATAGGATTCTTCAGACTAACGAGCATCGTACTCCCTCTATCTACTTCCACATCCAGGCTTCCTTGAACAGAGCCTTAGTGTTCTTTGCCCGTAGAACCTGCGTCTAAAATATCCCTGTGGTAATGTAATCATTTAGATGTTTGTCAGATGGGTCTGCGTGTTGATGAACCGGAGAACGGTCAACAGCCTAAGGGCTTATTCTAGAATTACTAAGAAAGGGCCACTGTATAAACTACATGAGAATAATATGGGCCTTAATGAGGCGTACTATAATCTGGAATCTCTCCGGTAAGAGCTACTTGGTCATTTAACCATCGAGTCTAGATTGCGTGAAATTACGTCCCTAGTGCTTTATAGGATGTGACCCTAGCACTAGGAAGGTAGCCGCTTATACTACATAGAAAAATTAGGAAATGGAGTACACAGCTTTATAGTGTGTATCTACAAACATGAAACCGTCCAGAATATCTATGGGATAATTGAAACTCTCTCTCCCGGACCAGCATGCTCTGCTGCAGCGTCAAATGCTTCCTGCCACTTTTCCATGGGAAATTTACCAATATTCTGACAACCAGCTTCTCTCCCCAATTTCAGAACCCCCGACTCGACCATCTGAATCAGCTTGAGAATATCGTCTCGCTCATACATCCACTTCCCTTTAATAGTGAGGTTTTTGCGCACCACGGGAGAGCTGGGGATTGCCATATCTCCTAAGGAACCGCCCATCAAACATACTCGGCCAGAATGTCTGAGAGACACAATAGCACTTTTGATATGTGTTGAACCGGCCGCCATCGGGGGGAGGTATCAAAGAAGGCGTCGGCAGGGCCCACTTCCGCAAGAGCCTCGACCTCCTGCTGATGGTCGTTCGTGATTTGGACAACCTGAATGAGATGATTCTCGCTAGTATCGGGCGAAAACATCGACTTAAGCTTCTTGAGGGCCTCTTTATTCCTGCCCATTGCGATCACGCTGGCCCCCATAGCTAGCGCCACCTGAACAGCAGCACTACCAAATGCTCCCGTCGCGGGACTTATGATGACTTTGTCGCAGATATCCAGACCGATGGCGCGGAGACCACCAAAAGGTACGAGCTGAACAGCAACATATAGTAGCTCATCAATTGTGTATCCGAGTCCGCCCTCTGCCGGTGATCCAAGTAGCCGCTTCTCGTTTAGCGGGAAACAATTCTCCAGCGGCAGCCTCGCATACTCGGAATAGGTCGAGTCTCGCCATTCTCCGCGCATCATGCACTTACTAACCTCGGAGTGGCCGTCATTGATACCCAATAGAGCACCCACACTACAATCGTCGCGCCCGCGAATGTAGATGTCAATGAAAACAAGATCGCCAGGTTTGACCTTAGTAGCATCGGCGCCTACGGCTGTGACACGCCCAACGGCACCACTACCTGGTACCGAAGGAGTTGGAAGTTCGTATTTGCGGGTGCCATTGTAGATATCTCGGGAGTAAGAGAGCACTGCGGCTGCGAGAATTTTGATGACTGCGCTTCCTGGGGTTACTTGCGGTGTAGGTCGTGTTTCGAGGAGGAGCGGTTCTCCAATTGTGTTGAGGACTAATGCACGATGGGTTTCTGGAAGAGATTCCATTGCCATATTATCACTAGAATCGGAATTGTAGAAATTGATGATATGTTGCAGCTATTGACTGCAGGTAGATTTAAAGTGAACGAAATTTAGAAGACCTTTTTTTAATTATTCTGTAGATCAGTATGGCAGTGGACGTGTGCAAACGAAGTTCTAGCTTGTAGTCAACGCATTAGTCAAGTGGATCAGCTGTCTTCTCATTCCCGGCGGCTTTTTTAACTTTATCGAGGCCGTAGACTGCTATATCCAAACATAGTGCTTCTCTTAACCCCGGTATACCCCTTCGACTTTAAAAAGTCTCCGATAGTTTCGTAACTGGGCCCTTTCAAAAACTAACATCTATTACGTGGCTCAATAAATGACGATTTAGGGCCCGGGTATGGATTTGATACGCCGTCAAGTCCAGAATTCGTTGCGCGGAGATAAGGCGGACATATATAGATCTAGAATGCTACGCTATGTGCGACACCCCGTATATTTGCGATTAAAGTCAATGCTACCACAATAAAAGTCTGAATTAGCTCAATTCTGAGCAGAATGGCTTTTAATGCGACGACGACGAATTGACATCTTATTGCTCCTCACTAGGCAAATAATTTTGAATTACAGCCGTTGAGCCTCGGATGAACAACGTAATCTGGGCCTAAATAATCTACATATTTAAACATTTGATTTGATAAAACTTTGCCACGGCTAAACATCTTTGAAAATGTATAACTCAAAGTGGGTCATGTGACCGGGCGTCAGATCAGGAAGAAATTATGGTAGTCAATTTGATGTACATAGTCGACGGGTCTTCCAAGTTAGAGAAGGCAAAGAAGAAGAAGAAGAGAAACAAAGAGAGTCCCAGCTATCTACAGAACCCATATCACGTGCCAGGCACCGTCGCATCAGGCTGGTCACAGGTCAAGGTTTTTGCCTCACTGGTAATTGATTTTTGATCCTGCAACTCTGCTCTAGCGTTTTGCGTCATTTTCTGCAGAAAGACTTAGTAGCCGAGCGAGACACCCAATAAGCGGGGAGAGATTTTAGTATCAAATTGGACAGACAATGCACTTCAGACCTTGCCCGCTTCTAACTCGATAAGTTTCTAAATAAGCGTGCTTGGATGGTCCTTGCATATTTCGCTGCGAACATATCGTACCCATCCACGTAATCCTCTCCCGTTCGGTGATGAGGATAGACAAAGAAGTTGATTGTCGGCTTTCGAAATGGCACAGCAGCAGGTTGGACTCATGACCTGGGGAATGGACAAATGATCAGAGGCTTGTACGGCAGATTTTCCGAACTTTCAAGGTTCAAACCGGCCCCACGTAGCCTGCCGCGGCCCAGCAGGGCGAGCACGAGGTCGGTCTGCTTCGGCTAGGTCGTGAGCCGAGGTGTAAACAGATTTCATCGGGCAGGCTGATTGGTTAGGACCACCCCTGCTAACTTAATTTAACAACCTTGGAGGTGGGTGAGAGAGTGTTAACTTCAAAAAAACAATAATAAATTTCGGTGGAAGATAGGATGGCAGCAAGAGTGTTCATACTCGCAGTTGGGGGTCCGACAAAGTCAAATTATCCCGCAGTCAATTATCATTTTACACCCTACCCCTAGTATTGATGCTATTCACAGAGCCATCGGTCGTCAGTCTATACAATTAAGTGGCTCTCCATCATCTCCAGTCACCCGGCTAAGCTCCCTCTCTGTTTGTTTGGTCTTGGCGCTTCATTTAATCGAGCTGCTTCTTGGCATCCCGTGCTTTCTTCCGGCTTTATTCTAGGATATTCCGCGATCGTATGAGTGCATTCGAATCCCTAACATGAAGAGCGCCCCCTTCTCGATGCTCAGCACTTAGATTTAAGGGCATCAGCTTGCTTCTGGTTAGCCAGGATGGGCGAGAGATCTGTATAAGCCTGGGCAGCCAATTCCCCCTGCCTCTGACAACCATCGAAAATAAGCTCAAGACGATGGTGTAGTTAGCCAACTCGGGTGTGGTATTGTCTGCAAAGTTTTTCTTTACCTTAAAAATATTTTTTCGCAATTTTGTCAACGTCGCTGGTGGTGAGTTGATAGTAGAACTTGAGGCCGTGGAGTTTCTGGTCGAGATGCACCTCTCCCTTTCCTACCCCTTCTACTGGCCCGGAGCTGCCACTTTTGACGGAGCAATTCATCATGCCCCACCGCCATTGACTCGACTACTTAGGCCAGTTCTCGGTGAAGCACCGACCGCGGTTCAATCAAAAGGGAGCGCTGTAGCAACACATGCCCGATCGTCTGGTTTCCCAGATCACAAGCACAATGCACTGACTCACTCCTATTGGTCTTCCAGTGGTAAGATGCGAACGAGATCTTCCCTGTCCGGAGCTGAGCATTGGTCAGGTGTTAATATACCTATGGTGACTTATAATTTGTCTCATGCGTCCTAGAACTAACTATTAAAATAGGTAAGTTGGGTCAACTTTGTTCCGTATCCAAAAGTGAAATGGTATATCCATCCGTTATACTCAAGAGACAAGGGATATTCCATGTGAAGCAAATCAGATACGAAAATTATGCAATCAGTATTTCGAAGCAATTTAGACAAATGATTCATAGCTAAAAAAAGCTTTTCGGCGAGTTTTTTATTCTTATATTTGAAACTCCGCAAGTTGGTTTCCGATCATGAGTAAGAAACAGAAACTTCGGGCGGTTTATACAATTTCGGTTAGCTGGTTCGAAGGGCTCCGAGGAGATTGGATCCGGGTAATTATGATTAAATCTTCACTGACCCTCAAGTACATATAATTCACAGCTGAAATGAATCGTTGTCTTCATTTTGGAGCATACATACCTTTGATTTTGTGCAAAAACATCTCTGAACACGGTCGACCATGGACACGGCTTTTGATTATGTCATCGTTGGAGGAGGAACAGCAGGTGCAGAAATACTCCAGTATTGTGTCTCCGGAAAACGCAAGCTGATCAGAATTGTAGGCTGTGTATTGGCTAGCCGTCTCTCCAACTACAAACCCCAGAGCTCGATCCTCGTGATCGAAGCCGGATTGGAGCAGGATCCTCGGGTGAAACCAAGTTTGGGTCTCGTTGGCCAGCCGGCAAGAGAAATCAAATGGGTTTTTCCAAGTGCACCACAGAAGGCAGTTGGCGATAAGACCACGGATTTCACACAAGGCAAGATCCTCGGAGGAACCTCTTCGGTCAACCATCAAGTCTGGTCCCGTGGTGCGTACGGGGATTTGTATGTTTCCTTTGGCAAGCCGCCTTTCGCTCCCTTACTCGCTTGCTAGAGTCAATACACTGACGGATCTGGCTGGATAAGTGAGCGATGGGCAAACGAAGTAGGTGACCAACGGTGGTCGTGGAAAGGATTACTCCCGTTCTTCAAAAAATCAGAGACTTTCATTCCTGGGTTCGACCTGCAGGATAAGGACCTGTCTGCCTTGCACGGGGATACTGGGCCGATCAAGGTCAGCAGCTCATCGTCTCCGATGACTTGTTGCAACAGATGTTAGAGGCAAAACTGACGAAATCGATACCTCAAGGTCTCCCAAGTTTCTTCATCCGGTCGTCCTCGCCAGTATCCATTGAAGGAGGCCATCGCGAAGATGTACGAATCTGCGGGATGTAAGCGTGCCTACGATATGAACTCTGGCGATATTCTGGGATATAATGAGGCGACTACTAGCTCCTACGATGGGATGCGCCAGTGGTCAGCAGGAAATTACCCGTTCGGTCCAAACGTGACGATTTGGACAGATACTCATGCCACCAAGGTTGTCGTCCAAGGAACTCGTGCAACAGGCGTCGAGATTTTGCGATCTGGAAACGTCAAAGGTGAAGTGTCAGCCAGGCAGGAAGTCATTGTGTCAAGTGGAGCTCAGGGGTCGCCAAAAATTCTCCTATTAAGGCAAGTGCCTTAGTCCTGCAACAGTGATCACTCATGGCATATCGCTAACTTGCCATATAGCGGAATCGGGCCGGCTCAGGAGCTTAAGAGACATGGAATCCCGCAGGTGGCAGAAGTGCCGGTTGGTGAGAATTACAGTGACCACCCCATGCTAGCCACATACTGGAACCTTGAAGAGCGCGGCTTGTCCCTGGGAGACGTTACAATGAAGACTCCAGAATGTGACTGGACCGTAGGACTACCCGTGGACTGGATGGCTTTTCATCGCCATGACGACGATTCCATTGTGACTTTAGCTCGAAGTCTGCTTGATTCTCTGGAATTGGAACGCTTTAAGAGTCAAAGCAGAGCACATACCGAATCCGTCATCCTGTAGGCAGCACCTCGTTGAATCCTCATCGTGGAGGAAGGCTAATTTACTGAACAGATATGGCCACATTGACTTCACCGGCAAGGCGGGGCCATCACCACCAGGCTCCAACATCTGCGTCATGAATATCCTAGTCACACCGTCATCCCGTGGCACAGTGACGCTACGATCCACCGATCCTTTCGACCCACCTCTGTGTGACCCCAACATCCTGTCGAACGAGGTTGACAAGCAGCTTTTATTTTCCGTTGTGCGCTTGACAAGCAAAGCCCTCGAAAGATCTATTGCTCCGGAATTTGGTCTCTCAGAATATGTAATCGACGACAGCGTCAAAGGCGACTATAGTGACGATGCCATCATGCAGCGCTGTATCCGGATTGCGCGCCCTGTCAATCACGGCAGTGGAACTTGCGCTATGGGCAGCGTTGTCGATACCGAATGCCGGGTTAAGGGCATTGAGGGCCTACGGGTTATCGACTCAAGTGTGATTCCTCTTCCGCTGTGTGGACACTACCAGGCCGCTGTCTATGCAATGGCGGAACAGGTGAGCTTCTCTGAGGGCATTTGAACCAGCCATTAGAGAAACGCTAACTCGAACTTTAGATGGCCGAAATATTGTCAGCCTAGGCCAAGGTCCAATCTTCTGGGCACGTATGTACTTGTGGAATGCATGTAGAATGCATGTACTTGGTTTGGATTGTTGCTCACTGGACCATCGCTCATTTGACCCGCCTCTTTGGTGTGCTCGAAAGTCTTCTTTAAGAACTCTCCACTCAGTTATAGTGAACAGTAGTTAGTAAATTGATTCCTGCAACTCCCGATCTTCTAAGTCTTCTACATGCTATCAACTTATGTATAACCTGACTCATGTAGTAATAAGAAATATGAGGCAGAGGATAATCAGAAGAGGTAAATGAACTTGCATGTTACCCGTGTACTTACCCTTTTGAAACATTTGCTTGTGAATTTTTAATTCGCTATTGTAGGGAACTAGCATCGATGAGGTCAAGGTCTTGCACTCTGATACACTCTATACCTCTTCGGAAGATGTAGAGGACAATCTCCTCTCCTGTCATTCATGCCTAGACTGTCGGATATCATTATTACGAATTTTCCGGCTGTCTCCGTCAGTCTGCAGCCGAGAATGTTCGCCGATAGGAACGGCTCCAACCTCTCCGCATTATCTACATCGCTTTCTCGGCGAATACCTCCGGTGAGTTTTGAGATTGCCCAATAAGACGAGGTGTGCACATGGCAAGAAACCATGTATTTCTTGGCTAGAGCATGGATTTGGCGTCGTCTTGATGCTGAGATATGCTATCGTTACAAACCATCTATGTCGCCGAAGCGCAGAACGTGCAGGCCGCGACAATGAAACACCGAGTCTGGAGGAAGGGCGAGGGTTTAACGCACAGACGTCATGCCCTATATTCTCACAGAGAGGTTTGAAAAGTCCGTAGCTGGGTCAGGTTTCCTCTCACACACTTTCTGATATCATCCACCGAGGACCGTCATTGTCACTAATGACACCGCAGCATCATGACTCTGAAGGTAACAGATCACGTGGACCACCTTTTACTTTATGGGGACCAAACAGTGGAAAAGTTGCCTGCTATCCGGCTGCTCGTGGAATACTCGCGGACGTCTGTGGTCATCCGGCGCTTTCTCCGTGATGCCTGCGACGCGGTTCAGATCGAGACGACCAGGTTGCGCCCCGAAGAACGCACCAATATCAAAGAGTTTGACTGTCTTCTCCGCTTGGCCGATGACAATGCTAGGTCCGACAGCCCGAGTGAGATCGTGGCGACGGTCTTGATGAACGTGGCTCGCTTAGGAGAACTGATTCTGTGCGTGCCCGATGTTCCGTGTCTTTGTGTCGTCGAGGACACAGGGATAAACTAACATCGTCTACCAGATATGCGGAAGAAGACCCTAGCATCCTGGGTTCCATGGCAAATCCGATTCATGTCCTGGGATTTTGTACAGGGGAGATTCCTGCAGCCGTCGCAGTAGCAGCACACAACACCACCGAGCTGTACCAGCTCTCCGTTGAAGCCGTCCACATCATCTTTCGCTTCGCGCGTGATTGCTGGCGCCGGACTGTGCTTGCTGACCAGACAATTGGTAACTGGGCGACAACACTCGTTGGTGTGACCCCCGGCGAGATTCAGCCTCTTCTGAACGAGTTCCATCGCAGCCAAGTAAGCAATCGCGAACTTTCTGCACTCGGTGTCATCCAACCCTGCTCGATGTTAGCTAACATAGGCTTCAGAGCATTCCCGATGCGCGACAGGTCAATATTGGATTTGCGTCGCAGGGGTGGCTGACCCTCTTCGGGCCACCGACGACCATGCCGCAATTGTTTACTTGGTCGAAAGAACTGGACCAAGTATGCAGAGTCAAGACGGATGCCGGAGGGGCAGTCCATATGCCAAACCTGCCGGAGCTCGACCTTGATGTGATTCTGGGATCATCGCCTTTGTTGGACACCCCGATCACCAGCAAAGCGAGTTTCTTGTCGCCATATACCTGTCAACCCCGTGCCGCCTCAACTTTGGGCGAGTTAATTCGCAGTCTCATCCCGGAGGTTACTCAGAAGATGCTGCGATTGAGCGATACAATCGAGGAAACCCTTAGGCCTTTGGGCCGTCGGCCGGTGCGAGTGACCTCTGTCGGATATACGCCCCATCTCGTATCTGTCCAGAAAACCCTGCAGGCCAAACGCATTCCTTTTACGGTCGCAGAGCACACCAATCAATCGTCGCAGCCAATAACCTCACAACGCGGTGGCTCGAATCTGATTGCTATCGTCGGCATGGCCGGTCGGCTCCCGGGCAGCGAAAGCGTTGAAGAGTATTGGCAATCACTCCTGGATCAAAAGAGATTCATCAGAGAGGTACTTCCCTTTCAAAACCCTACTATATGTCCCTCATCGCGGAAAGTAACGATGCACAGATCCCCAGAGAGAGATTTGATTTGGACAAATGGTACGGTGCGAGTGGAAAGGAGAAAAACGCAATTCTGAACCGCACCGGAGCCTTCTTGGACCGGCCTGGATACTTTGATAACCGTCTTTTCAACATGTCCCCCCGCGAGGCACTCCAGACCGATCCTCTCCACCGACTACTCCTCACAGTCAGCTACGAAGCGCTAGAGAATGCTGGATACTCGCCCGATGGCACGTTGGCCACAAGCAGCGAGCGCATCGGCACATTCTATGGACAAGCTTCGGACGATTGGCGTGATATTCTCTTCACCCAAGGCATCGACATCTACTACACATCTGGTGCCTGCCGTGCCTTTGCTCCCGGCCGTGTTAATTACCATTTCAAGTGGGGAGGACCCTCGTACAGTGTCGACAACGCGTGCGCCTCCAGCATCAGCACAGTATCCCTGGCTTGCTCTGCTCTCATCAGCCGCGAGTGTGACACGGCGCTCGCTGGAGGTGGCTCAATCTTGGATTCGCCCGCTCCTTTTTCAGGTTTGAGCCGTGGTGGTTTCCTGTCTCTCAATGCGGGATGCGAGACCTTCCACGACGATGCTGACGGCTACGTACGCGGCGAAGGTGTAGGAGTCGTCGTTCTCAAACGGCTCGAGGATGCTCTCACCGAGAATGACAATATTTTGGGGATCATCAAGGGCTCGGCAAGAAATTACAACAAGGGGGCGTCATCCATCACCCACCCATCGCAAGAAGGCCAGCAGCGTCTGTATCACCAGATCCTTCACCAGACGGCCACCGATCCAGCTAGTATAGCCTACGTGGAGATGCATGGCACCGGCACACAAGCGGGCGACTATGTGGAGATGTCGTCTGTCTTGTCCACCTTTGCCAACGACCGTTCCAAGGACAATCCACTGGTCGTTGGGGCGGTCAAAGCGAATATTGGTCATGGAGAAGCTGTAAGTTCTCCATTTTCATATGGTTTCCGATGAGGGTTGTTTCTCACAATCAATGTCACAGGCAGCAGGTGTCTCTGCTCTTATCAAGGTCTTAATGATGCTCCAGGAGAAAAAAATTCCCCCGCAACCGGACATGCCATTTAAAATTAATCATCGATTCCCCGATCTCGCCAAGATGAATGTCCATATCGCCGGTAGTGACATGAAACTCCGTCCGAGCCCGACTGCTGATGGAAAGCTGAGAGTATTCCTGAATAGCTTTGACGCCTCGGTGCGCTCTCTCTTATTTTCAACGATGAATGTCTCATCGGTGACAATTTGTGCTGACAGAATTGTTCACAGGGCGGTAACTCTTGCTTACTTCTCGAAGAGGCTCCTGACAAACTGGTCAAACCGGAAGACCCTCGAACACGTCATGTCATAGCGTTCTCTGCACGAACCGCTAGTTCTCTGCACGCAAACAAGAAGCGCTGCCTGGAATATCTAAAGCGATACCCAGACGCCCGCCTAGCAGACTTCGGGTACACGACCACCGCGCGTCGAATGCATGGCCCGTTGCGGTCCGCATTCACCGCTGAGACTGTCGAAGAGCTTGTCGATCTCCTCAAACGCGACATAGCCAGTTCAGTTGCCCCGAGCAAGAAAGGGAAGGACGGTGGTGCCGGTGGTTCCAATGTCGTCTACACTTTCACGGGACAAGGGTCTCAGTACGCAGGCATGGCCCAACAGCTCTACAAGTATAGTCACGCATTCCGGAGCCGAATCGAGTCCTTCCAGCGCATCGTGGAAGCCCAGCACCTGCCAAACTTTGTCGATTTGATTGTCACTGACAAGCTTGACCTGGCCGGTGAGAGCCCAGTTCGTGTCCAACTGGCAGTGTGCGCTGTCGAGATTGCCCTGGCTCAGCTGTGGACGGGCTGGGGCCTCCATCCTACTATGGTCATGGGCCACAGCCTGGGCGAGTATGCAGCACTCTGCTCCTCCGGTGTCCTGACTGTCAGTGACACCCTCTACCTTGTTGGAAGGCGGGCGACCATGATGGAGAAGTCGCTGATTGCCAATGAATATGCCATGCTCGCCGTTGCCAATGAAGCCAACGAAGTAGACAAGGTTCTGTCCGCTGGCTCCTATGGCTCGTGTGTGATCGCTTGCCTCAATAGTTCCAAAATCACCGTTGTTAGTGGCACAACTAGTGAGTTGGAAACCCTACAACAGACGATGCGGGACCAAGGCACTCGATCGACACTCCTGCAGGTGCCTTTCGGCTTCCATTCCAAGCAGTTAGATCCGATTCTCGACCAGTACGAGGAATGCGCCCAGGGTGTCATTTTCTCTGCTCCAAAGATCCCCATTGCTTCCACCCTCCTCGGGGAGGTTGTCCAGGACGAGTTTATAATATCTCCTGCATACCTGCGGAGGCAGTCTCGGGAGCCCGTGAACTTTATGGGGGCACTGCTCGCAGCCCAAGGTGTCGGCATCGTGCGTGATGACACCCTGTTCATCGAGATGGGACCCGACCCAATCTGTTCAGGGCTTGTCCGCGCGACTTTGGGGGCGGCTGCCTCTTCACGGATTTTGCCCACTCTTCGCAAAGGCGAAGACAACTGGACAACAACGACGACCACCCTGGCAGCCATCTACCAGGCCGGATTCCGTGTCAACTGGCCCGAATACCACAAAGAATACACAGACTGCCTGTCTTTGTTGCAGTTGCCCACGTACGCCTTCGACGAGAAAGACTACTGGACTCCTTACCCCGATCCAGGACAGTTGGTGCAGACCAAAATTGAACAGAAGGATTCGCCTTCTGCTGTACCAGCGGTCGTGGGATTCCCGACGACCACGCTGCAGCGTGTGACCCGAGAAATCGCCGATCAATCCAAGGTATCGGTCACATTCGAGTCGCTCACCTCCGAAGCACATCTATTCGCCGCAATCCAGGGCCACTCTGTCGTGGGGGTCAAGATTTGTTCGAGCGCCGTCTTCGCCGACATGGCTCTATCCGCTGCCCGATATGCTTACGAACGTCTTCGGCCTGGCGAATTGAAACAATCACTGCTGACCATCCGCTGTCTGGATCTCCATCGGGCTATTGTCGTTATGGACAAAGATCCTGGACAGACAATTGAGATCAGAGTTGAGCTGATCTCCGTCAGCAACGTCGCTCAGATCTTCTTCCGCGTTCGTGACGCTGCATCTGCATATGACGTCGGGACATGCGAGATCGCGTACGACGAGAACACGACTTTCAGAGAAAGTATCTCGAGCACGCTCTTCCTTGTATCCTCCCGGATTGAGGCGCTCAAAGCAAACAACGCAGTAGGTGGAGGACACCGGCTGCTTCGACCCGTCATCTACCAGCTGTTTTCCAACCTGGTCGAGTACGGAGAACACTACCAAGGATTAGACGAGGTATCCCTGGATGCGAACTTGCGGGATGGTTTTGGAGAGATTAAGATGCCCACCTTGCCGTCAGTCGGTCGTTATTTGTACGACCCTTTTCTGCTCGATGCGACGGTTCATCTCGCTGGTTTCCTCGTCAACTGCGGCCTGAAGTATTCCAACGATATTGCCTTTCTGTCCACGGGATTTGACGCCTGGCGCCTGCTGAAGCCTCTATCGCCTGAAGGCCGGTACATCAGCTACGCCCATATGGAAGAAACCGCTGACAAATCTGCGGTCGTGGGTGATGTGTACGTATTTGACGACGCCAATGACCTCGTCTGCGCCCTCACCGGCGTGCGCTTCCAGAGGATGAAAAAGACGGCCTTGTCGCGCATTTTGATGTCAGCGGCGCCAATGGCCTCAAGAAAGACCGCAGGGACCCGTTTCGCACCTGAGCCCGTGGAATTTACTGTGGAATCTGTCCAGAAAAAGCGTTGGGTTGTAGATGAAGACGTCAGTACAGGGCCTCCATCCGATTCAAGACCATCTTCGGCTGGTCCATCGACACTTGCAACACCTAGGGATGCTTCTGTTTCTTCTTCCGTCACCGGCGTTGATGAGCCCTCCATTGTGGATACTCTCCTCGCTGCCGTTGCCAATGAGGCCGGCTGTGAGATCTCCGATTTCGAGCCCGACACGGCATTTGCGGACCTTGGGGTGGATTCTCTAATGGCCATCACCGTCATAGCCTCGATCCGCAACACTACCGGTGTCGAGCTTCCTGGTTCGTTCTTCCTGGACAACCCGACAGTTGCGGACGCTGCCAAGGCCATTGGGGAAGATACTGGAGAGACCAGTGCCGTCTCTAGTGCGCAGCCTACTAGCCTGGACTCCCCACCGACGGCCCTGAGCAAAAATGAGGAGTCCGCTGCGGCCGAACCTCTTGATTATAAGAAGGTTCTGAATAGACCTGAATGCACGGACATGGAGACGCCTTCATCCAAACTGGTTACTAATCCTCCTGCTTCGGTCATCATGCTGCAAGGCTCGAAGTCTTCCACCGATATACCGCTCTTTCTCCTTGCTGATGGGACCGGATCGGTCAGCACGTATGTGCAACTGCTACCGCTGGCGGGTGGCCGTCGCGTGTACGGGCTGGAGTCGCCTTTTGCGCGTGATTCATCCTCCTTCGGTAGCTGCCGCGTGGAAGAGCTCGCGGACTCATTTGCCACCGCCATTCGTGCTGCCCAGCCCACCGGTCCCTATATACTGGGAGGCTTCTTAATCGGCGCGATTTATGCATTTGAGGTCAGCAAACGCCTGCTCGCCGCAGGCGAAACAGTCCTCGGTCTCTTGTTGGTCGCGAGCCCTGCACCCACACCAGCTCCGCCAGCACTGCAAGCGACCACCGTCAGCGTGGAACTGGTAGAGCACGCTGGGCTCGTGAGTGGTCCTGGTTGCAAGCAGAGTACCATGTCCCGGAGGCAGAAAGAACATTTGGCTGCTGCGATCCAGTCACTGCTGAAGTATACACCCCGGGGCATGATCTCAGGGCGCCAGCCTAGGAAGACGATACTTCTCATGGCGTCGAAGGGGCTGGGAGAGGGATCTAACACGCTGGACTCGCCCCTAACTCCATGGATTCATGCCAACTGGGGAATTTCGGAAGCGTTGGGTTGGGAATCGCTTATCGAAAGCGTTGATGTGGCGCTGCTAGAGACTGACTGTTTCTCGTTGATGAAGCACCCCCAGGTATGTCGTCTTCTCACACCCCCGCTGTCGATTGAAAGTTAATCGGTGAATCGAACGCACAGATTGAATCTCTTCGCCAGACGATGAGCGAAATCATTGAACGCTTGACGAAGTTTCTTTAAGCGCAAGGGTCAAGTTGTTCATTTTCTACATTCCCTAATCGACTCCCATTCGAGGACTTTGAGAGAACTGTATGGTCCTCGTACTTGGGAGGTGTTTTCAAGATTACCGCGTATGTCTATGTATGGCCTTGGTTTTGCTCTAGATTGTCAACTGGATTGATGATACTGCGAGACTGCCCTCATGCGTGATATGCTTGCTTGATCTCTGTTTTTTGTAATCATGCCCCGGTAACGTAAATTGATACACTCATTGTTATTTGTCTCCAGCACCTACTATCAAGAGTTCCGCTTCTGGGAGTCTATTTCGCTACAATCTCCATGGCAGGAATTTAGTTACTACTCTGTTGTATGCTCCTTAAGTGTTCGTCCATGATGCGCTGCGAAGCTGTAGAGATAGTCATGTAAGAATGATTCTTAGGCCTGATTTCAGCATGTAGATCCCTCTGGCAAGATACGGACTATTGCATTAATCACAATGTGGTCATTATTACGGTAGGGAATACATCCTGTCTGTTCGTTACCCTATTTATGGGGTTGGTTGTCTCCAGTGTGATCCAATAGATTCAACGCCTTCGACAACAATATATATTCATGTATCAGAAAATGGTAACAACCTGTCTGGAAGCATGAATCTAGAGACACTCCTCGGGGAGACCAGACTAACTAGTGACACCGAATATGCTCCCCACGTTATCTAGTTTCATTTGACTCGGTCAATCAGTCGTACTTTGATGCATTTGCAGTTATCGGATTCTGATTCATCCTCGTATTGAAAAGATTGTTTTCGGGTCCAACAAAACTTCGCCCTCATCAGAGCTGAACAGCAGTTTGCAGCATTTCCTGGCACCGGGCGTGTACGTCAAACCTGCGAGGATAGCGCCAGGTGTTATTAGCGCAGGCGCTCTACATGGCTACTTCGGAAATTGAAGCACAAACTTACCCAGCGTCATGGGCAACTCGGGCGGCGAAGGAGTTCGGAACTAAGAGAATTAGCCAGGGATGAAAGTTCACCGACACGGTCAACCCACATATCACGCCATCTTCCATGAACTGTTTCACTTTGTCTTCCACTACAGCTTCCCGGTTAGCGCGTACGGAGGATAGAATCTGCACCCGAGATGCCCGCCGTCGCCGGACTTGGTCAAATAGTTGAAGACGCTGTGGCACCTGAGCCTCATCGTCAACATTGGCGAGAAGAAACCCGATCGCCGCTCCATCCTCGATGGCCTGGTTGGATCCCTGGCCGCCAAAGGGAAGCATCTGCGTGGGCGGTTGTATCTTTAGCCTCTATGGTCTATTTGTCGCCGCTGGGTTACGTACCGGATGAGCAGCATCTCCTATGAGCACCAGTTTCCCGCGCGCCCACGTGGGCAATGGATCAATCTGGAATAAGGGCCAGCATTTGACGACTTCCCCAAGTCTGTTCATGGATTGTGAGCACCCACCGACACAACGAACATCCTGTAAAGATCGTACATACTTGAGGATTTCTACCACTCGAGGGTGAAAATGGCCGAATTCACGCAACATTTGAATCTTGAAGTCTTTGGGATCTTGTGAGTTTCCCCACTGCCGAAGAATCAGATACAAGCATGAGAACTCGTACCTTCAGGTGTGCCTGGTTGCCGTCCGACCATTGTGGGATGGATTCCAACGAAGTTTTGGACTGCACCACTGCACCAGATGAAGTCCATGTCAGTTTCCAACGTGCAAGAGAAAATTAATGGACGGTTCTTGCCTGCGACACGGATACCACATGAGGTGCCTCTCTTGGTCGACGGCGACAGAGCCTGGATCGACAAACATGGTGGCTCCTGGCGTTTTCCAGTCCAGCAACTCTCGACCAGCACGGTCATTTTCGAGGACCTCCGTCGGGACCAGGAAGCGGAATGCACTCAGCCCAGTAAACTTAGCCGTCGATGAGATGACCGCGGCGCGGGCGACAGAATGCAACCCGTCTGCCCCCACAATCAGATCCGCCTGTTCCACCGAGCCATCCTCCAATTTAACACGTCCCTCTTCCGGGTAGACTTGCACTACGGTAGAGGATAAATGAAGTACGACCCCGTCTGGCTGATTGACGGCCGCCAGTCTCATCAGCTCTTCGTGCAAATCCACCCGATGCACCGCAACATATGGCGCGCCGAAGCGTTCACTGGCTCGGCTGACATCCTGGCAAGCGACGCGGTCCAAGGTGACGCCATTGACCGTATCCCAGTTCATCATCTGCACGCAGTGCGCCCGTTCTTCATCAAATCCCAATTCGCGGAGCATTCTGGTTCCATTGGGTGCTAGATTGAGTGCCGCTCCTACCTCGGCCGCGAAGGTCGATCGTTCCAAGATCTGCTTTGGCCAGCTCCCCCAGTCAGCCAATCTGTATGGTGCGCTAGCCTCTAGCTCTTCCGAGTCCCCCGAACGGACGAACCTTCACCTCATGGCCGGCGCGACGCAAGGAGACTGCAGTCGTTAGGCCAGCAACGCCGGCACCGATAATAATAACTCGCAGAGGCATGGCGAGGGGGCAAACTGGCTTTTTCTGCGGGGCTCGTAAGGAGAGAAGTTAGCACAGAGAGACTCGTGGGATGACAAGTAATTGGACCAGAAACGGACAAAACGGTCTTCGTCAAGCAATATATCATTATATCATCCGGAAACGGGGTTTATTATTCTTTGCCCTTTCCACCCTGTGGACCAGTTGCACCTCTGGTCAGTAAAAGAGTGCAGAGTGGAGAGGAAAGAAAGGGTAACGGTCTGGTATCCTTGCGTCGTCGAAGATTAGCTCTTGGTTTCGGTGGCCGAAATGCGGCGTTCATTAACGAGACCCAGGCCTTTATGGATTGTTATTTATTTTCTTGTCTTAGCTTGCATAATGCATGTTCAGATCTGAAAATCTGGAAATTGCAATGATAGCTGGAGGTACGCACTATCATATTTACAGAGCTCTTCAGTCGATGCCAGAGTGGCGGATATCAAGTAAGTCGACCTTGTGTCGAGAGAATACATTGTGAGACATACATCATCTCTGTATAGGATATTTACCCTAGAATGTATGGTTTTCGAATTCTAGGCTCAAGACTTGTTTAATTGATTCTGTAAATGGGTTATTACCAAGAGGCGCTGGAGGCAGGTGGAACATAGCATATCCTACTCATATCCATGATTGCTTTGGAATATTAATTAGTCTAATATATATAAAAGAGCCGTGAGAGCAAACACCTCCGTAGCAGAAGACGAGTACGATATTTATACATCAAGCAGATCTATGGCCAAATTCCTTTTGCTCTGTCAGATGTCATGGTAGTCATCATGATGTTATTATCTTTTTGCGTCCATCAAAATTATATTAGCCGTGTTGGCCCGATCAACTGCAAGGTTTTGCTGTGAAATATCACATATGCTACTCTGCTTGTCGGCTTGGCGTTACATCAATGAGTGTGCCATTTGGACTCATGACGTGATTCAAGCGATGATATCTATTTAGTGAAGATGGAGACAGCCTGGTCAAGCCGGGCGGATCGAGACCACAAAGCCGAGAGGAGTGAAAAGAACAAGAGAGAACGATTAAAAGTGGTGAGCGTAGAAGAATTCGTGGGAAGAAAAGATGAAGAAGGGAGCGTCATATTCTGCTAAGGTAGCTAGGCTAACATATCGTATTTATCATCAGCAGCGTGATGGAGGCGGACGCCAAGAACCAATACTGTACAGAATTACACTATGACTAAATGAAGCAGGGAAGAAGTCGAACAGGGAGACCTCTCTGCTACACTACTTATCTGTGTGGTGTGTGACCCTACTGAGTCACTGTGATGGGCATGTGCCCTGCGCTATAGAAAGTGCTAGACATACCGTGAATGTCCCGTGCTTCATTTTTTATGCACATGAATATAGCCCAGTATGACAAACACTGACAGTTCCAACTCATCACTCATCAAAGGCTGGAATACTGGATTTCCTTTCATGCGACAATCTCCTGGTCATCGCGCTTCGGGAAATTCAACTTCTCCCACGCCTCAGACCACGCTGCTCCACGAACAAAGTCAAAATGAAAAACACCTTCCATGGGATGGTCGGTCCCCGAGTCGACGGCGGCTTGCGCGGCGGGAAGGAACATGTGTTGCTTCATGCGGAATTCCGGGAGGTCCTCGTACGGGCGCGAGACCTCCTCAGCATGCCGAATGACGCGAACCAGCTTCGCCATATGTCCGTCATCCTTGTGCTGACAGACACGCTCTATAACACGAGCCCAGTCGGAGCCCGGCTCTTTGGGGTTCTGCGAGAGGAGCCAGTCGAGGCGCGGCTCAGGGCAACCCATGCCGACATAGAGCATCAGCATCACGCGGCCGGAGAATTCAATTAGCCGGGCTTTTTGTAGGTTGGTCAAAGAAGGCTCGTTGGTGAAGGCAGTTTGCCAGATGGTAGAGTTGGTGCTATGTATGAGAAAGAAGTCATAGCGGCATTGGAAGGGCGGCATCTGGGCGGACGCGGACATATAGACTGTCATGTTTAGTCAAACTAATCCACTCAAGGGCGCAGCTCAACCTCACCAGACGTGTTTATCAGCTCCGCGGTTGCCCGATCCAAGTCATCGGGGTCGACGCGATAGCGGGCGCAGACCCGAGCCATCGCGTCGAAAGCAGGGCCGCACACATAGTCTCGGATCATCTCCTTCTCTACCTTCCACTCGCCGCTCACGACCTGGAAGTGCACATCTACATTGGAGCAGGTCGAGATGACCGGGTCCTTACCGCATTCTTCCATACACTCGGCCAGCGAGAGAACCGAGTCCTGTCCGAGGCGAGCCTTCTTTTCGGTGTGGAAGAGAAAGTCATTGTAGTACATGTCGTTGTGCGAGAGGGCCTGCGCCAGCCCTTCAGCCAGCAGGGGCTCCTGCTTAAACTCGAGCCCTTGACCCATGTACATGAAGGAGTGTACATAACCTGTTGATGTTCAGATCAAAGAAAAGAAGAAAGAAGCTCTCCCAATTCCATGCGGAGCGGGGCATACCATGATACATCCGGCCCAAGATATCGTCAGCAACCTCGCTGCCGCCAACCATATACTTCTGCAACACGGCCGCATAACCCAGACGGTCGATCTCTCGCTCAAAGAAGGTGGTGAAATCGAGGAAGTGGTCAAGCGAGCCCCGGTATTTGCGGATACCCGCGTCCGTGGCCATCTCCGCGACGATGGGCTCGTCGACGAACTTCCGAGGCAGAATCTGGTAGTTTTCGTTGTTCTTCTTGTGGAAAATCATCGTGTGCGGAGATGCACCTAGCGCCCACAAGGTCACGATGTGGTGGGTAATGTGGTTGTGCAGGTAGGCCTACCCTCCAGAGTCAGTGGGCAGAACATGACAGTGCTCGCACAGCATGGGAGCTCACCCCCATCTTGTCAAAATCAGTCGTGAATACATGATAGGCGGTACGATTTGCCGTCAAGATGCGGCTGGCGACGTCGGCGCTCTCTGCCGTCAAGCCATCCACATGGCAGTACCCGGGAGTTTCGACCGGGTCGAGTTTGTAGTTCTTGGACATGGCGGAATTAAAGGGTAAGCTGGAAGGTAAACGGCCAGACAAACAGTTCAGAGACAGAGGGAACAAACAGAGCGTGGTCGCGTATCATGCCCCAGCTCCGCTGTTATATATCTCGCGCTGAGATTCCTGATGGCGATCGACTGACGGAACGGATGCCATCGTGCGACATGGGCGAACTCGACTGGCCTGGCTTGCTGAAATTCGCCGAAAACAAGATAAACTACTAACGCATGGCTCGTTGCCATCACTTTCCGACCATCATTGTTAAGATGTCGCCGGGGTGATTTTCGGTGTCGGCGACCCAAAATCGGGTCCCGACACGGAGCATTTACCACGGACAAAACAAGGCACTGGCGTGACCATCTTTATCAACAGACTATGTATTATGGCATGGCTGTCTATCTGCAACGGAGCTAACAACCAACACCCATTTGATTTCACCGGGGTCCGAAGACGATTTTCCAGTTATCTTTGCGCCGCTCCGAATCCGCCGCCACAATGTCCCGGAGCAACACGCCGATCTCATTGATCTACATTCGTCCTTCGATCAGGCGGATCCCAGTAGAGCATTGCAGGTAAACTTACGTATGGTTTGTGAATCAGAGTGAAATGATTGCCCGAGATCGTAGCAAGGTGCAATCGCGCCCCGGGAAACAGACGCTCCCACCCATGGGTCCCATAATTGGGCTTTCCCTCCAGCAGGAAGCGCGAAACCTTCACGCTGAGATCCAGCCCTGTCTCTTCCAGTTCGCTGCTTGGCAAGACACCTTCACGGGCCCAGATGATGTAAACGTCGGGCATGTCCTCTGCATCCATCGGCGCGGGCACGTACTGGCGCACACCTCGTATGGTGGACTGGAAATGTTCGACCACCCATGCCGGAGGCCCCCTGATACCGAAACTGCCCATTAGACCATTGGTGGAGAGGTACTCGACCACCTCCATCGGGAGGGCCTCGAAGTACGGCCTGCAGGGGGAGTCCAGGAGAACTATCGCGCTCACTCGCTCCCCCGCGCGGATGAGCGCATTGGCCACCTCGTACGAATAGTAGCCGCCCGCAGACCAACCACCCACGATGTACGGGCCCTTGGGCTGGCGCTGGCGTATCTCGTCGATCCATAGACCTGCGATCTGCTCAATCGAGCATATGTAGGCCGATGCCTGGTCAAGGTAAGGGCTGTTCATGGCCACAAGGCAGGTGGAGTGGGAAATTTGGGGAATGCTGGCGTAGGCCATTCCAGAGCCACTTCCATCCGGCAGCAGGAAAATCGTCTTTGCGCATGTCGAGGGGTTGCCCTGGAGGACGACTGAGAGCGGGACGCGTGACTGTCGAGGTGCTGCTTTTGGCACTCTTCCGGGCAGCGATTGCAGATAGCGGTGGAAAGCCCCGACGGTGGGATACTGATCGAAGATCGTCGCGGGTATCGTCGTCTTGAGGATCGCCTCCCAGTCTGCTCGGATGGACTTTGCGACAATCGGATTGATCCCAAGGTCGGCCGTGAATTCATCTCGGTCATCGATGTCGTCGACTTCGATGCCAGTCTCTTTCGCGAGGGCGCCCAGGCATTCTGCCCACAGCGTCTCGGCAGTTGTGGCCATGATGTGTAATGTCCGAGGTCAAGAACCAAGAAGCAAACAAGAGGAAACTAAAGACCCAAACAACGGGGTATAGATGTCGGAGAGGAAAACAGAGTCCAACTCTTGTTTCCTGCACCACGTCGTCGTACCAAGCATTCAGCCGTCCTTTTTTCTCTTTTCTTTGCATTTCATTTCATTTCTGTTTTAAAATGCACAAACACTGTATCAAAATATAGTAATTACCGATACAGGATGATATTCACTACGAGGAGAGGCCCGCTTCACCCTGCAGAAAGCAGCCTTGACAAGTCAGCGAGAGAGACAGATCCCCGTGTCTATTCCCAATAAAACGTTTGTTCCCTTTTCCCGGTCCAAGCCGGCGATCAGAGTCGGGGATTCAGATCTTAGTAGGCGACTAACAAAATTTCGAGGACATGGGAACGAATGAAGGGCGTGGAGTTCGGCGATCCATTTGCGCCATCTACTTACACCAGCCGCTGACGATCAAACACGAATACATCCCCATCGAGCTTGGAACCAATCTGGCCTTGACGGTCCAGCGCTCGGCCAAAACCATAGCAATATCTCACCCCATTCTTTCATCCCACACATCGCGTGTTTGCATCAAGATCGAGTTCATCTTCTCTCTACTCCCCAATCAGCGCACGCCAAAACGGTTAACTGGGGGCATTCGCAACATCGGGCTGACCACGTAACGGGCATCTGTTCATGATGGCGCCAACGGAGATGTCGTGGGTTCAGGATATTGCCGTGGTAGGCCTGTCCTGTCGGTTTCCCGACGAGGCCGACTCCGTCCAGCACTTTTGGGACTTCATCTGTAAAGGGCGGTCCGCATACTCCGAGAACCCAGAGCGTTGGAATCCCGATGCCTTCAGCTTCTCCGGCAAGAAGGCGAACACTAGCCTGCCCCGGGGTGGGCATTTCTTGAAGCAGGACATTGGTGCTTTCGACGCCAACTTCTTCAATATCTCCAAGGTCGAGGCCGAATCCATTGATCCGCAGCAGCGGATGGTGATGGAGACTACCTACGAGGCCATAGAGAACGCTGGACTGCCCGTCTCCCAGCTGGTCGGTACGCAGACAGGCGTCTGGATGGGCAACTTCACCAGTGACTATCGTGAGCAGGTCTTCCGCGACCCTGAGTCGGCTCCGATGTATACCGCCACTGGCACCAGCAGTACCTCCGTCTCCAACCGTGTGTCGTGGTTCTTTGACTTCAAGGGCCCCAGCTTTACGCTAGACACCGCCTGTTCCTCGACCATGGTCGCCTTGCATCTGGCTGTTCAGAGTCTCTCCATCGGCGAATCCAGCGCCGCCGTCGTCGGGGGTACCAATCTGCTACTTAACCCAGATATGTTCATGTACCTCTCGAACCAACACTTCCTTGCCAAGGATGGTAAGAGCAAGGCCTTTGATAAGAGTGGTGACGGATATGGACGTGGAGAGGGAGCCGCCATAGTCGTCCTCAAGCGCGTAGCAGATGCTCTGGTAAACGGCGATCCGATCCGTGCGGTCATCCGCAGCACCGCCATCAACCAGGACGGTCACACTAAGGGGCTGACCTTGCCCAGCCCCGACGCCCAGGCGTCGCTGATCAACAAGGTGTACCGCAAGGCCGGCCTGTCCATGGAGGAGACGCGCTACATCGAAACACACGGCACGGGCACTCAAGCTGGAGACAAATGTAGGTACCAACCGCAGCAACCGACTTCAGGCAAAGCGCAGTACTGACACCGGCCAGGTGAAACTGAAGCGCTCTCTAGGACCATCAGCAAACACCGTACACCGTCAGAGCCCCTGCTCATCGGCTCTGTCAAGGCCAACATTGGCCACCTGGAGGCTTGTGCTGGAATGGCCGCGCTCATCAAATGCATCGGCATACTGGAGACCGGCATGATCCCTCCCACCCCGAGCTGCAACACGGCCAATCCGGAAGTGAAATGGAACGAATGGAAGCTGAAGGTCCCGACCACGCTCATGCGGTGGCCTACTCAGGGTCTCCGCAGAGTGAGCACCCAGGGTTTCGGGTACGGTGGAACCAACGCCCATATCGTGATGGACGACGCCTACCACTATCTAGAGGCACGGAGCTTGAAGGGGGTCCACAACACAAAGCTCCTCGGGCCACCGCGGTCCACGATCACGAACAGTGCCCATGACAAGACCAGCAGCCATAACACTCCCGAGGGCCAAAATTTGATCTTTTGCCTCAGCGCACAGGACAAGGAGGGGTTGAAGCGATTACGCACAGTGTTGGCTGATCATCTTGCCGCCAAGATTGACGAAATCCAGTGCGTCCAAGAGAACGCGGACAAGTATCTTCGGGATCTGGCGTACACGCTGAGCAAGAGACGCTCACGTCTGCAGTGGCAGACGTTTGCCATCGCTTCCTCCATCGACGGACTGTGTCAGTTGCTACTAGAGAAGCCATGGTCCTTGCCGGAGGTGCGCAGTGCCACGCAAACCCCGCGGCTCGGTTTCATCTTCACCGGCCAAGGGGCACAGTGGGCGCGCATGGGAGTGGAACTCATGGAGTACGCGGCCTTCCGTCAGAGCGTGGAGGAATCGGATGGGTATCTGCGCCAGGAACTGGGCTGCGCCTGGTCCGCCGTCGAGGAGCTGGCCAGGACGGATGACTCATCCAACATAGGCCAGGCCGCCTACAGCCAAGCTCTCTGTTCTGTCCTACAGATTGGCCTAGTCGACCTCTTGGCTACCTGGAATGTTGCTCCATCCGCTGTAGCGGGCCACTCAAGTGGGGAGATCGCCGCCGCCTACTGTCTTGGCGCTTTGTCTCGCCAGGATGCACTGAAGGCAGCCTATTTCCGGGGCGTTTTGTCTGCGGAGATGAAAGAAATCGATCCGTCACTGCGCGGTGCCATGATGGCCGTCGGTGTTACGCCCATTGAGGCTGAGAAGTGGTTGGCGAATTTGACCAAGGGCACTGTGGTGGTCGCCTGTGTGAACTCTCCGACCACGATCACAGTGTCGGGAGATGCAGCTGGTGTTGACGAACTCGAGGTCCAGCTGAAGGAAGCCGGCATCTTCGCCCGGAAGTTGAAAGTCGACACTGCTTATCATTCTCCGCACATGCAGACGATTGCGGCGCAGTATTTCGAGGCCATTGCCGACATATCCACCATGTCGGACAGGGACGGCTGTCGCATGTCGTCAAGTGTTCACGGTTGCGCCATCAGCTCTGATGAGCTTGGTCCCGTAAACTGGGTACAAAACCTTACCTCAACAGTACAATTCGCCGATGCAGTACACGATATGATCCGGCCTTTGATCAACGGCAAGCGGGCGAGGGAAAATGCAGTTGATATCCTGGTTGAAGTTGGCCCACATTCAGCTCTGCAGGGTCCCGTCAGCCAAACGATGAAGATATACAGCATCTCGGGTGTGCAATACTACAGCGTCCTGGCGCGCGGTAAGCATGGGGTGGCCACTGCTCTGACCTGTGCCGGTAATCTCTTCGTACAAGGCGTCCCTGTGGACGTCAGCAACGTCAACCAAGATTGCGGCCTAATAAGAAAGCCTCTGGTTGATCTGCCTGCATACCCCTGGAACCACTCCATCAAGTACTGGGCTGAGTCCCGCGTAAGCCGGGAATACCGCCTGCGCAAGCACCCCCGCCTGCCGCTGCTGGGGGCACCGTGCCCGACCATGGGCGTGCGCGAGAGACTCTGGAGAGGCTATGTCCGCGTGGCTGAGGAGCCGTGGGTACGCGATCACGTCATCCAAGGATCCATTATCTATCCTGCGGCTGGGTTTCTGGCCATGGCGATCGAAGGCTCCCGACAGGAAGCGGATGCGGACCGGAACATCAGCGGGTTCCGCCTGCGAGATATCAAGATTGACGCCGCACTGGTCATTGAAGAGGATTCGGAGCCAGAGGTGATCCTGGCTATCCGACCACACTTGACGAGCACGCTGGACTCGGGTTCGTCCTGGATGGAGTTCACTGTCTCGTCTTGCATTGACAGCAAGGACCTGCGACAGAACTGCTCCGGGCTTCTGATGGTGGAGTATGAAGCCACCCCAGGCTCAGCCATGTCCCTAGAAAGAGACCAAGAGGTCACAGCCATCCAAGATGATTTCTTCGCCTTGAAAAAGCAGTGCAGCAATTTTCTCAATGTTGGCCAGTTCTACGCCCATCTCACGGCCCTGGGTCTGCAATATGGGCCCACGTTCGCCAATCTGACTGAGATTCACACGGCCACGAATGAAACAAAGTGTGTCAGCACTCTGACCATCCCCAAGATCGAATCCAAGGTCCCACCTACTCATCAGGATCGCCCACACATCATCCACCCGAGCACGCTGGACGCCATATTCCACTTGTCCTTCGCTGCTATCTGCAAGGAGACCGACACTTTCAAGGGTGCCATGGTCCCCACGCAGATCGATGAGATCTTGGTCTCGGCTGATATTGCGCATACTGCGGGGGCGGTACTGCAAGGCTTCGCTCATTCCGTCCGGCACGGATTCCGTGACATGTTGACCGATATCGAGATACTCGACGGGGGCGCCACTAAGGCAGTGGTCCATGTAAAAGGATTCCAGTGCTCGGATATCTCCGGAGCCAGCACCCAACCTGACGATGGCGGTACTGCTGTTGTCAAGCCCATCGCCTGTCAAGTGGTATGGAAACCCGCCATTGAGCTCCTGAGCTTAGAAGAGCTTCAGACTGTGGTGGTCGGACAACCGGAAGATATTGCTGCGAAGACGCTATCTTTGGAGCAGTCAGTGCTCACGTTCGTAAAGGAAGCGCTGGCCAATGTGCCCCGAGGGCAGGTAAGCACGCCGTTTCAAAGCTATTACGACTGGATGCAGAACCACGCCTCGTCGAGCATTCTACAATCTGAATCCACGAAGAGCAGCGACAGCGTGTTTCGTCTGATCGGAGAGAAGCTTGCGGCCATCTTGCAAGGCCAAGTCATTGCATCTGAGATGCTTTGGAACGATAGTACACTTTTTGGCCGTCTCCTGTCGGAGGTCGTTGGCTTTGAAGAAATCCTACGCACATTGAACAAGGTGAGTTAGTCCTCAGGGTCTATGAAAGCTTTCTTTGTGCATTCTCCTTAGATTGACTCGCACAACAGTACCTCGACCTGGTTCACCATTCCAATCCCGGCCTGTCGATCCTTGAAATCGGACTCGGCGGCGACAAATTTCCCCCCGTATCGCTGGTGTCCAAACTTAAGGACGCAGCAAAGCTTCTGGAAACCGCACAGTACACCTTTTCAGTTGGACACGAGAGCTTCTTACAGGCAGCTGCCCGCCAGTTTGGCTCCTTGAGAAATCCGGTCTCTGTCGACGTGCGGGACATTGAAAAGCATGAGATAACGGCCGAGCAAGAGAAATTCGATCTCGTCGTGCTGTTTAATACCAGACTAGCTATTTCTAACCCAGAGTTTATCATCAACAACGCCGTGAAACTGTTGAAGGAGACGGGTCGCATTTGCATTGTCGACATAGACCAGCCACAGTTGCAACTGGGGACTATTCTAGGCAGTATTCAGGGGGCCAGGTAAGTAGAACTGATTCATCCGATGAATTGGACTGCCGCTGACAGGTATAGATGGCTGGATCAGGCATGCCAGCCCTGGTTGGAGCGAGCTGGCCTCACGAACCATCTTGCCCTTGAAGATAGTCAGAAGCAGTTCCGCTTGACAGTCGCGGCGACTCAAGCACCAGGCCCAGCCTGCGGTAAGCTCTCGAAAGAGATTGTCATCGTGGAGGCATGCGAGCCGTCACCCGCTGCCCAGGAGGTGGCATCTCAGATCTCCCAAGAGCTTGAGAAGCTCTCTATCAGCACTAGCCGATTCCGATGGAGTTCGGATGTATCTCAGTTGAACTCTAAATCGTGTATCATTCTCACAGATCTCGAAAAGGCCCTCCTCCTCCAGGCCTCTAGCGCCGACTTCTGCGCCGTGCAGCAGATGGTCCTCCAAGCTGAAAGTCTGATTTGGGTCAGCGGTTCCCTGGGCCCTGACTCACACTTGGTGAGTGGTCTGGCGCGTAGCGTCCGCAATGAGGTCGCCGGTATCAAGCTCCGCACGCTTCAGGTCCATGGCACGCCGCTCGAATTCGCCCATGAATTCGCAAGCATAGTCCTCCGAGTCCTCCAGTCGTCTGTCGCGGACGACGAATTCATCGCCGACGGGGGCATCATCACAGTCAGTCGCTTCCTAGAGGACCGACGCCGCAATGAGATCCTGGCGACAATGCTCGGTAAGCGAGAGAGCAAAGCAGAGTTGATGCCACTCGACGCTGCCCCTGGCCCGGTAAAGCTGAGCATCAGAAATCCCGGTATGCTGGATTCGCTCTGTTTTGAGCCGGACACCACGATAGAGAAATGGCTTGCGCCTGGCGAGGTTGAAGTCCAGGTGAAAGCATCAGGAGTCAAGTATGTGATTCTTTTCCTTTCGTCTTTTCCCCAACTCTACTGTACTAACCTACCATAGCTTCCGTGATGTGATGGTGGCAATGGGCCAAATACCCGATAAACTGCTCGGGTTCGAGGCCGCGGGATTCGTCTGTCGGGTCGGTGAGAATGTCACAAATGTAAAGATTGGGGACCGAGTCGCCTTCCTCGCTCACGGAGCCCATCGCACGATCCATCGGGTGCGAGCACAGTATACGATGCCCATCCCCGAGACCATGTCCTTTGAAGAAGCAGCTGGGGTGCTGCTGGTCCATGGCACTGCGTGGTACGCCCTTATGGAGATAGCCAGGGTCCAGAAAGGCCAGTCGGTCCTCATCCACGCGGCAGCGGGTGGTGTTGGCCAAGCAGCGATCATGCTCTCCCAGCATGTGGGCCTGGAGGTATTCGCGACGGTGGGCTCCGATGACAAAAAGAAGCTAATACAAGATCATTATGGCATCCCGAATGACCACATCTTCAACTCCCGGGACTTGAGTTTCGTTAAGGGGGTGAAGCGCATGACTAGCGGATGCGGTGTCGACGTTGTACTAAACTCACTGTCCGGAGAGGCCCTCCGCCAGAGCTGGTACTGCGTTGCCCCCTTCGGCACCTTTGTGGAGATTGGCATGAAAGACATCCTGGGCAATATGCGCCTGGACATGCGACCCTTCCTCCAAGACGCTAAGTTTGCCTTTTTCAACCTCAATCGCGTCATGAAAGAGCGCCCCGAGCTGATGAATGAGGCTCTGAGCGGGGCGATGGATCTGCTCAGCTCCGGGGCCACACGTCCTGTCCAGCCGCTGACCGTCTACCCGGTCTCCCAGACCGAAGAAGCTTTCCGGCTCATGCAGGCCGGCAAGCATCGTGGAAAGCTGGTGTTAACCTACTCCGCCTCCGATGTCGTGCCTGTCAGCTCCGCCGCTCGCCCCGTCCAGCTGGATGGGCATGGCTCCTATATCCTCGTGGGTGGATTTGGCGGCCTCGGTCGCAGCTTGTGCCAGCACTTTGTGCGGATGGGAGCGAGAAAGCTCTGCATCCTCTCTCGCTCAGGCGCTGGCAGCATGTATGCGCAGAAGGTGGTTGAAAATGTCCAGCGGGAAGGAGCCCGGGTTCTGGTTATTCGATGTGACGTGGCAGACCCCAAGTCTACAGCCGAAGCCATCAAAAAGTGTTCGACGCAACTCGGCCCTGTTCGCGGGGTAGTGCAAGGCGCCATGGTGCTTCGCGACGCGCTCTTCGAGAAAATGAGCTATGGCGAATGGACAGAGTCGACCCGTCCCAAGGTTCAGGGCTCGTGGAACCTGCATACCAACCTTCCCGACGTCGATTTCTTCCTCACCCTCAGCTCGTTTGCGGGGGTCTTTGGCAACCGCGGCCAGAGCAACTATGCGGCGGCGGGAGCATACGAAGATGCACTCGCGCAATATCGGCGCTCTCACGGTCTCAAGGCCGTCACCGTAGATCTCGGCATCATGCTCGACGTCGGGGTTCTCGCTGAGGTCGGGCTTACCGACAGTCTGCGCGAATGGGCGGAGCCCTGTGGTATCCGGGAAGCTGAATTTCACGCACTGATCGAGAACATACTAGCCGGGGAGCTGGACAACCATGGCCGAACACCTGTCCAGATCCCGACTGGCTTCGCCACCGGGCGAACGGTCCAAGATACCGGAATCAACCGGCCCTGGTACTTCGACGACTCACGATTCTCAATACTGTCTCACACCGGCGTCGCCCGGGGCGAGGGGGCGAACGCCTCGGAAAAGAAGACTGTGTCTGTCCAGAACCAAGTCGCCCGGGCTGCCTCCATCGCCGAGGCAACAGCGGCCGTGATGGACGCTCTTGTCGCGCGGGTGGCCAAATCTCTGCAGAGCGCCGTATCGGACATTGACACTTCACGACCGCTGCATGCGTTTGGCGTGGACTCACTGGTTGCGGTCGAGGTGGCCAACTGGGTGTTTCGAGAAATCAAGACCAGGGTGACCGTGTTCGAAATCCTCTCGAGCATTCCTATCACGGCGCTGGCGGAGAAGATCGCGTTGAAGTCAAGTCTGCTGCCCCAGATGGCTCCAAGTTGAATTGTGAGGTAGAATAGAGAATGATATCATATTTTTCTTGTAGAATTTCTTATCCCTTCCAGCAATGCAACAACTTAAACATCCTAGACACAGCCAGCCCGTAACAAAGTGAATAGGCCATTATTCATACATTTGCAGGCGCTGGCGCTCTACCATAGACTCCTTTATTGATACTTCGCCATAGTCTGGTCTTTTGGAATAAATCCTGACGTGAGAGGCCATGGTAGGTCTTCCGAGCCATCGTTTTTATTAAGGCTAGTCAGAGGACACATCGTCCTGACAAGGTTCTGCAAACCACACTGTGGAAGTTAGATTAGGGTTAGTATATGAAGAAATGTGCATTGAGTCCTAACTGGCTGGAGTGTAGGTCTGGAACTTACTTCATCTGCACAGCCTCCCGCTAGATTGTCCAGTGTGTTCTGGTATGGCCACAGTGGAACGCCGCCGCCAGAATACTTTTCTGTATTGTAGGTCTTATTCAAATAGTCCAAATCACATTCGGGAAGGGTGAACCAATCATTGTCGGGAGCAACCTGACCCTGCAGAGCCAAGGTATTTGTGATGGTAGACCTAAGGTCGCTGGTGAAGTTGGCGGCAAACCCGTACTTGTTCTGAGACCACTCGGAGGTTGTGGCTATGTACGTTAAGTTCAGGCCATACGTGCCAAGCTGATCAGCCCCGCGCACCGCCGGCCACTGATGGTCCCCACCTGGTGTCTCATCTCCAGCGATCATAAAGAAGTAAGCTGTGCCATCAATGCAGGCGACTGCCGAGGTATATAGTTTAATATCACAAATAGGCGTGCCACCATACCATACTCCGGACAGCTTGGCGATGAAGACGCTCTGTAGCATCCACAGCGTATTAATTTCCGAGACTCGTAGACTGTTCACCATAGTCGAACCGATTTGGAAAGTCGTGAAATCGGATGCCGGGGAGGCGAATACGCCTGATTTCAAGACTGACGAAAGGCTGGCGTTGCTGTTGACTACATACGTCTCACTATCCATAGCGTTGTGCACGAGACCATTGACAATTGTGTTGAACATGCCTGCAATCGCATATTTTGTCTGATTGAGTCCGATGTAGGATACATTTACTTCGTTGTTGAAGATCTGGAGGCCCTGGGCAACGCTACCAAATATGTTAACCGAATCGAACGTGCGAACTGAGCCTGGATTGTTGTGTATACGTACGCATCGCTTTCCGTTGTGATCAAAGCGTTTTCCATGCCATTGATGATAGTTGTAAGTCCACTCGACATTCCCGCCGCTGCATCAGCATTTATGGCGGCTTGAAACCCATTTCCCTCGGTGAAACGACCTAGAGCTCCGGTAAGCATTCCGCCCGCCATGCCAAAGACGCCTGCCAGGATAGTAATAATCCAGGTGTCGTTATCCTCCTTGAGAAGCGTGATTATTGTCAGAATAGTATAATAGGTTGTGGGTATAAAGCCATTGATGACCCTCACCTGGTGTTGTGGTTTATAGTCCAACGGGCTAAATACGCCTGAGAGACCCAATCCAACGCTATCGAGATCGTCCATAGCGTCTTCAATGCCGTTCATAATGGCATTGAAGAGTTTCCACATATTATAGATACTGTATAGCATAAAGTTGTACTCGGCGTTTGTTAAGGGCCCTTCTGTCGGATCGTGCTGGCAGGCTGCTTCGTTATTGGGGTTTGCGCATGATCGGCCATCGGGCGAGCTTTAAATCGCGAGATACACCGTTAGCTTGGAAACTCTCCATCTGTTATAGGGGGAAAAAAACCCGAATATTGCAGTTAAAAACATACAAGTTGCAATCAAAGTTAGTGTATCCAAAGCTTTTTTCCTCGATAAACTCCCTGAAGCTCTTCGTATAGTCATCGGGGATCAATTCAGCACTATATTCATTAGCCAAGTCCCTAGCAAGGATAACGCTTAGCTAGTAAATCAGTTGCCTTACAGAAATTCTACCTGATCTCCCATGTCGTACTTGATCCAGGAATTTGTGTTCATATGATCGGGTTGGCAAAGAAGGTTTTTATCTGTAGGAATTGGGTCCAAACTCGCAGAACTCTGGCTCAGGGTCGGTGTTTGGGATGGAGGGTTCGTGTTGGAAGGACTTGTGACAGCATCCTTTTTCCTGATATGAGGAACAGCTGTTGCCGTAGTGGCTACTCTTAGGCATCAGACATTTTCTTCTTCAAAGCGAAGCAAATCAGAGTCATGGAGTACGGACCGTAGAAAACCCAGGTAAGCCAAAGGAGACGCATGCCCAACAAAAGTATATAGGTCCTTAAGTAAAGGACTAACTCGATCTCCTTGATTATGCCATCCCTAGGGAGGCAAGGAAGCCCTTTTATATAAATATACTCTTCGATTGGGTCCATTTATGCCGAGCAGGATGACGGTGCTACATTGGGAAAGGCCCGGGGGATTTCAAAGGGGCTGGAACATACGACACTTTGGAAACAAGAAGTTGACCGAATTTGCTCTAGAGTCCATACGGTTCCTTAACCATTTCCTTGAACATGGTAGTACTGATTTAGGCCAAACCAAGCGACAGTCAACAATACGCTGTGGGTCCATATAGTACCTATTCCTCCACATCCTGCAGGTTCGGATCAAAGGAAAGATTCGTGGGCCGAATCGGAGAGCACTTTAGCTGTTGGTATTAGTAGAGACCCCCACGATCTATAGTGGCAGTGCTAAAGCCTGAGTCCCGCCAATGTACCTTTCTTTACCGCCTCCTTATAACGGGCACCGCCCATAAATAGTAGTTTTTGAGTGGTGAGGACGCTAAATTCCGGCAGAATATTGGCGCGGTACTTTGGAAGGTCTCAGACGTTAGCAATGCCACTGTATTGCGGAGTGGTTTAGGAGAGCGACTAAGCACCGGTTGGATAATACCATATGCACGTTGGGGAACTCGCGGTGGAGGTTGCGTTGGAGGTTAGGGCCAGTTTTCGGCCCCAATTGGGTCTATGTCCCAGGCTAATTTCCGTACACTCTCCAACCACCGCCACTGCTTTAGCAATATGGTGGCGGCAGAGCGTGCGGATACATCCATCTTATTGAAGACGCTGTGATATTAGAAGTGGAAATACTTTTATTTCTATTCTTTCTAAGCCTTCGAAAACGCATTTCAATAAGATACAAATAGAACTAGTCAAGTAAGTAATGGCGTGCTAACGCTGGTACCTATTTTTATGTTTAGCGTGACTAATAATCGGGTGGAATTTCTTAGTAAATAAAGCCAGTGTCTAGGACTATCATTAGTGCGTAGCTTCCTTCTATTCCTTCTATACTAAGCCGTAATTCGACCCGGCCGGCCCCTTTTAGCCTCCCGGCCCCTTTTACCCTCCTTATGAGAGCCTGATTCTGGGGCGGACCCCCAGAGGGGGCCCGGCCTACCCCATGGGGGTGGTACACGGTCTCGTTAGGTGTGGGTTCGAAAAGAGGAATGAACTCTGAACTGAGCTTAGAGGTCTTTCCTATCCAGCAGAGTCGATTTTGGACTCATCGAAATTGAGAAACTCAAGAGCTATTTCAGACCATTTCTGGTCCTCTGAATGCTTAGGTGTATTAGCCCAAGATTCGAAGGCTGTCTCTAGGGAAGATCCTTCGAGCAGAGATTCCGAGTAATTCTGTGACCGGTGAAGGTCCGCCAAAGTGCTGACACTGCTAGGAGACCTTGCAGCTGAGTTGTTTCTCTGGAATGCAGGCGAAATTTGTGGTGGTTCTCGCTCTAGGGCTCCAGTGGACAAAGCTTCCGTAAATGAAGTCGTAAGGGGTGGTGCGAAATGCATTTGGTTGGGTTTTGCCTGATGCATATGTTCCAAAGGACTCTTGATAGAAGGCGGAAGGGTCTCCTTCGGGGAACTTGGATCGTGCGTCGGACTATGGTCTCGTCGATATCCTGTGGAAGGAAATGACCCACCTGGCGTCATAAAGCCGGTGGTAGTTAGACACATTTGCACCGTTGCGATACCCATGCGCTCAAGAGCTTCACCACAATGTCTTGCAGGTGGATATATGTCCACGAAGTCGTTTAGCACAGATGTGGCCGCTCGAAGCGTGTAATCAATACCATTCAGGCTCTGTCGTCTGTTATTACTGGTGTACTGTCCATAAAGCCTTATAATACGTACCAATTTTTGGCGAACTTGTGATGAGTTCCAAACGGCGAATAGGAAAAGACTACCTAAACGGGACCGTTAGTGGGCGGTCCTAGACGAGTACATAGCTGCAGCTCACCAGCAAGGAAGATGCCATGAGTTGCCAGGTATGTGAGGTTGATCAAGTGGACATGGTGTATGGCTCGATGAATCCGAAGGACCCTTTGGCCAGCTTCAGCCACTTTAAGGCAAATCAGACCGTCTTCGGCGTTTTGCCAATAGTGTTGCTCAGAGACATGGTTAGTGAAAGCCGAGCGTCCTACTAGCTCAGGAGGGACTATAATAGTAGGTCGGTAAAGCATAAGAAGAGATTGCCAGTATTCGAGTTCCATGAAAATAGTAGGAAAGCGTGCATTTGCGTGCCTTTGACGGGGTATCATGGCTCTCCACTCATCAAGCTGCCGGGTTATATGCCTTCTCCACATATTCAATGATTTAAATCCCCGCAATCCGTCTGAACGATGGTCTTTTGTTCGTCCACCTGGTTGGTGTTGTAGGGCATCGTAGATCTCGGATTGGAGAATTCGTAGCTTGAAGTAATGGAGAGACACATGCTCGTACTTGTCCTCGAGATGAGGAAACTTAGCAGTAATGACATGGTCTGCGACACCAAAGAATGGCGGACCGACAAAGGGAGCAACGAGACGATCGAGGCTGTATATACACCACCACAAACGCCGACGAATATCACTGCCCTCCTCTTGCTGGATGGGAATTTCACGACGCCATGGCTGCCAGTCCCAAGCATCATGGTCGTCATCTGTTTCAGCTTCATCATGAAGACCCAGATCAACCGCCCACCGGAGCGTCAAACCGATGACGTGTGACAAGCCGGGCACGACTGGTCTCAATAAGCTAAAGCTGCCCAGCAACACTATGGCCTGCAGATATTTGATGGTTCCTAATTGATCTAGCGCGAAACTCGAGTTGACAGATAACTCCATATATGCCATAGCAGAGGCGTGGTACTCCTCTGGCTGGTATTGTTTAGATGAAACTTTCTGCCTCTTTCTCGGACCTAGGGAGGATGAGAGACTAGAATCATATTCTGTGTTCCCGGCCGGCAGCCGTGCCGTGTCGAAAACAATAGCAGCGCCGATAGCGAAAACAAGGTAAAGGAAGCAGAGGTCACAAGAAGGTCGCTCTTCCTCGAGCGTAGAGTATGTGAGGTCAAGAAGTCCCATGAATTCAGCCCGATTTAGTATCGGGATCTGCGGATTTGCATAGTCGAAATAGAGATCGACCAGCGTGTTGGCCAAGTCTCGATCAGGGAATGCCGCATAGTTCTTGTGCGATTTCCCTCCCTGCAGACCGAAAAATGATTCCTGAATCGGATTTCTCTTGACGTTGGTCACGTCGCGCGTTGCCTTTGGCGCTCCAAACTCATACAGGGCCGTCTTTCCTGGAAGCATATCCGAGATAAGGTCATGAAATCGCTGCTGGTCGTTGAGCCTAGTCGACTGTTGCTCTGACTTGGCTCCCGGGCCCACGCTTCTTTCTCTCTTCATTGAGCGAGTATAGCGTCCGGGCCATGACTCCAGCTCTGGACTTCGTGAAATTATATGAGAGAGCGCGATGTCCGAAGTAGCATCTGCCGAAGATGACTTGTCTTCATCGGATGCGGCTTCTGGACGGAATGCGATATTGTGGTCCAAGAGAACGTTTTTGAGATAATCTACTCGATTCTCTAGCCAGAAGACATAGCTGCGCGGAACTTCCTGTTTTGTTATTGGGTCGTAACCTACACAGCGCACTCGTGCTTTTTCACAAGGTTGACACTGCGGCAGACGCTGGTCACAGCGATGTTTGCGCAACCGACAGCGATTACATGCCGAGACATTGCGGAAAGCGGATGCCTGGACCAACGCAGGACCATCATTTTGGACGGAAGGACCAGAGCTAGATCTCTGTGTGACAGTGCCTGGGCCGTCGCAGGCTGATATTGGTAAAGATGACGATGGTGTTTCTCGAGAAAAAGAGCTTGGGGGATATGACATTCTCGCAGCAGGGACGGAGAGGTCAGAACAGGTGAAGAAATGCGCTGTATTTGTGTGTACTCATGAACAACGCCATCCTATCAGCGCGGATTCGGGTTTAAAGATTCTAGGGATAGTAAAGTTCGGGAACCCTCGGCAAAAGACAAGCAAGTGAGGACGGCCCCATGGCAAAGCCAACGCGGAATTGGTTTGGCAACACAGAGAAGCGGACGAAATCCGGACAAATGATCCACAGCGTCCCTAAAGGATTGACGCGACATTCTTGTGGTGTCTAGAAGACAATTACTCGATGGAAACTGGTGCGGGGTTATGGCGAGCGTAGCCATCTCGACGGATTCTATATCGATTACTCGATTTAAATATGTGGAATTCGTTGCCGATAAGATCCATTACTCGATAGAAATATAAAGCTATCCCAAGATGGCCTGTGCTTTCCGCGGGCAAAATCACCCGCTACAGCGGAAAGTTAACGTGCCGTGAGACCGAAACGACGACGACGAAGTCTAGAGGGCGTACGAAGAGCGACGAGGCCGATTGGGACGAAGACGCCGAGAGGACGCCGGGCTGCTTTAGTTTGCCACAGGATAGACTCGGTGGTTTCCGGCGGATCGGAAGTGAGGCCAATCAGCGCCTGTTGGAAAATAGGAGCAAGTGGAGAGTAGAGCTCGGCACAGTCCGCCCACGAGAGCCTATGCGGTGGGCCCTACTTCCAGAGCCGATGACTGCATCATCCTCTTAAATAGGATGGCTAATTTGCTGATTCATGTGGTTAATTCTCCGTTGTTTATCCGCGTCATATTCACTAGCTACCGATGCTACTGATTAGCATCACCACTCCTAAAATTTAATGGAATAGTACTGTATACAGTTTGCAGTAAATTCAATGAATTGGATTTAGTCAGTGCCTCCGTCTTCTAGACGTTAGCGGTTAGAAATCCAGGAGCTAGGCGAGAGCGTCTGTATTTCATGAGAGATGTATATTTAAAAACTAGTGTTCATTCTTACACATTTTGCATGAAAGAAAAGTCAATTCTGGCCAACCAGGTCCAATGCGGGGTAAATCAATGCGGGGTTAGAGTTCACGTGATACAAAGCAGTTTGTCGGCAAAGAGCGTTTTCATAATGACGATCTAAACCATATGGCGTGGGCCATTCCCGCGGATAGAAAGACCTTCACCTGGTAAATCAGATTTTCTATAAGAGCGGAACTACTGGTCAGACACTATTTTGAGACTAGTCATTTGTGCAGTGATCTCAGAACTTACTCGACTCCAAACAAATTCCTCACGATCCAATCGATCTTCGGTTCCTCCTGTTGTTTCAAGAACTGAGCCTTTTCCCCTGGAAGTTCAGCATGGGCCAATTCAAGTACTGGCTTGGGAAGCTGCAGGTCCCTACTGAACCTGGACTCTCGACAGCTCAGCTCATGTTGACAAATGAGGACCTTAAGCCAGGTGAGTATATTCACATCAGCATCTTGCCGTTTCCCTGTTTTTCGTTGGGAAAAGGAACGATAGTCAAGAACATATTTGCCACGAGAAATTCTTGTTCGCAAAGATGGCATAAACGCTAAGACATGCCCTATGTGAATAACAGTCGAGCAAGAACGGCGTCAATGGGGGTGGCCCAATTTTGTTGCTTTTTGGATTGCGGATTCATTGAACGTTGTGAGTTTTTTTGCTCCTAGACGTGTATGAAAGAAAATCTGGTCGACTTGGAGAAAATTGTTCAAAGATGGTGCAAGATGACAGAAAATACTTTTCCTAACTTGACCTCAGAATACTTGGATGATTTCCTCTTCGATGATAGTCGATGGTCTATCCTGGTGGCAGTCATGGTTGTGCGTCTGGATTGGGTATACCATTGCTGGCCTTTTTGTGTGCCTCATGGGCCGAATTGGTGCCACCTACCGGATTCCATTTGCGGTGACTAACCGGGCCTCGTTTGGAATTTGGGGGTCATTCTGGCCAATTCTTAATCGAGCGGCAATGGCAGTGTTATGGTACGGGGTCCAGGTTAGTTTCTTCATATTTATCATTATTGAAGCCCCCATTCTAAAACACCGTATTCAATAGACATACCTCGGAGGTAAACTATCGTGCAGAGACCACATGCCGTTCACAGCACATGAAAGCTAACATTAGGTGTTCCAGGCGAATGTGTGACCTTGATGATCCGGGCCATCTGGCCCAGCTATGCTCATTTACCGAACACAATTCCTGAGGGAGCGGGGGTTACTACCCAACAGTTCGTGAGCTTTCTTTTATTCTGGCTATTATCTCTGCCAGCTCTATGGTTCCCTATCTACAAGATCAGGCATCTTTTCACTATAAAGGCATACTTTTCTCCGACCTGTGCCATCGCCTTCTTTGGCTGGGCGATTGCTCGTGCGCATGGGCTTGGCCCCATCGTCACCCAGTCTAATTCTGCACACGGAAGTGCTTTGGCGTGGGTATTTGTCAAGAGCATCATGAGCTGCATTGCCAACTTTGCTGCGCTTGTGATCAATAACCCTGATTTTGCACGTTATGCGCGAAAGCCGCAGGAGGCCCTATTGCCCCAGCTCATAACGATCCCAGTTGGATTTGCTATTACATCGTTCATCGGCATTATTGTCTCCTCATCATCGAGCGTGATCTTCGACCAGCCAGTCTGGAATCCCTTGAGTCTGCTGGGAATGTTCCTAGAAAATGCGAACTCGGCTGAGCGTTTCGGCATCTTCGTCATCGCGAGTGGTTTTGCTTTGGCCCAGCTAGGGACAAACGTCGCCGCCAACTCCGTGTCCGCGGGTACAAATCTCACAGCTCTGCTTCCTCGGTTCTGCACCATTAGACGTGGTGGTTATCTTTGTGCAGCTATCGGCCTTGCCATGTGCCCCGTAAGTATTTCTCGACCACGGACCCAGTCAATGTTGTCTAACAGACTCTGGGACTACAGTGGACACTCGTTTCATCGTCCAGCAACTTCACGCTCTATCTATCTGCCTATTCGGTCTTCCTCTCATCTATATCAGGGGTGATGGCCAGCGACTATTACTTGGTGCGCAAAGGCTATCTCGATATCGAACAGCTTTATAGCGCGCGGGAGGATGGTCCTTACTATGGCATCTGTGGGCTTTCATGGCATGGCTACGCTGCTTACTTCTGCGGCATCCTGATCAACATTGTTGGGTTTGCTGGCGCCGTCGGTGTCCACGTTCCCGTTGGGGCGGTGTACATCTACAACATCAATTACTTCTCAGGATTCATTGTATCCGGGGGTACATACTGGTTACTGGCTAAAATGGTGCCCGTTCCTGCAACGAGCGACACGTGGAACGAAATCCCTTACGAAACATGTGCCGTATCCGATCTGGAGTGGAAGAAAACGGAGGAAGTGAAGGAAGTGGAGGAAGTGGAGGAAGTGGGGCGAGTGGAGGAAGTGTGAGCCATCCTGGGATGGAAAGTGGATCGGAATCAGTGTAGATCTCGGGAAACTGGGCAATTCTGAGCCTTAGCCGATATCGGTACGGATTTACAATGAAGTACAAATTCCAATCGAGTAATCAAGTGTGATATGGGAACGTCCTCGCCGTAGGCACACCTTTGGGACGTTGCGATCACGGGAAGATTCTTTGGATGAGATAATCCGATGCCGCTGAGCCAAAGGCTAACCAAGTTTCGGAAACTATCAGCCTGATAGACTGACTGAATTTCAGCCGAGGGTGTAGCCTCGCCACAATTCTCCCCCACGAGAGCGTAGTTCTTTGCCTTATTTCTATAATAGCTCGTTACTCCTTCTACGCGATATTGATCAGCAGGGTTATCGGCTACTCTGCATCCGTACCGAGGTAGGAGTCATTTTCATGTACCCCAATCTCTTCCATCATGTGCCCTCTTCTCCTACATCTAGGCCCGTGGCCATCGTCAAAGTGGTCATTTTTAAATTGCACCTATGTCTTGAATCCTAGGTCATTTGCGAATGCTTTCTCTACATACCCTTTCCGTCGCTGATTAATACGTAATCATTTGGACGGAGTTTGTCGTTGATGGTAAAGTATTTCCATGTTAGATGACCTTGACCCCATAGGGCATGGACTCTTCTAATAGGGTATATCAGGATTCCCAGTTATTTAACCATCGGAATGACCTTGCCAAGTGCTAAGTGCGGCCTTAGTGACTGTACTTGACTTCTTGGCATTCCCATGTCGTCGTTTGAATACAAGAACGAGGTTCTAGATAGTATGATTTAGTCTAGTTTCTATCATTACCTCCTATCTCATGTGCCATATGGGATCAAAATCTTTAATAGCACGAAGATTCTGAGTTATTGTACTATCTAGAGTGGATGATATTCGTACCCAGCTAATCTAGCCTAATTATTGATCGATCTCTAGCGCTTGATCTAGTTAGGGATATCCTCTGGTTTAGGAGGTTGGTTCGCTACCAACCATACATTGACGGTATCCTCATAGAATCATCCGCCTACACCTAGTCCAGGTTCCGCTTTCAATTGCCTCTTCTTTTGGCGGACTATCCACGTATTAGTTAGTTTCCTGGATGCCTCAGGCACAATGCGCTACATTAGGAAAGCATTGAACTTTGCTAGTCCAGTCTTGATCACTTTGACTTGGGCTATTTCTTCCCACCGAGACTTTAGGTGGTTCGCATACTCGTTATTTGGCTGGGCATTCTCACCGTCAGTCATAGGACCAACTAGGGGTAGGATGACAGGAATGAGAGGTTCTTCATGGAGATCGGGGTTAATGTTCTCCCAAACGCCTAAGATTTCGGCCTATAGGCTGATATTGGCAATCTATCTCGACCATTGTGACTTATTGGTTACGAGACGCCTTATTCAGTCCATTGCCGATGTACTGGACAGGAGGTGGCGTCCTTACATCCAAGGGGCAATAGATCAGATATTTTAATTTGGTCACTTTAAAAATGCTGGAAATTTGAGTGCAGCGCATTTCATCAGGGATCTGTGAATTCCTACATGTCGTCAGTTTTGGCTCTTACTATTTCGCGACCTAGTGCATGTTCACACAAGCAAGGCCGAGGAGAAAGGTACATGAATTATGACGGCCGACCGCGTCCTAAAAACATTCTGTACGCCCGAAGATATTGACTGGGCTAAAATGGGATCTACAAACCGGTGTGGCTTCCCAAAGATGGAGAGACAACGGAGAAGTTGGGAAGTGTCGACAGGGGAGTAAGCTTCAATAAGATATACCATCCTGACAGTGTCACAGCCACAACTTGTGCCACTTGAGCTCACCAACACGAATGCTAGTTAAATCATAACTTTTATTCAGTTTCGACAATTAAAAGGCTTACTAGTAAAAACTAGGCATTGGACGAGGAACAACACCAATTTGAGGTCTGAATAGTTGACATTGTGGTCTTGATTTGAGGGCAAATTTAGAAGCTTCCGACCGCATATTTCAAGTCCTTGCAAAGCTTTACTTGATTAATTATTCAGAACCATGCAAATTCGAATATGATAATCTCTAGAATTGCCGAAAACGACATATTAAGGAGAGGAGCCAAAGGGTCAAGTCCGAGTTGTAGGCGTATTGCTATAATCCTACGGCAACTACTTATACGTAGTGGAGCGAGAAGTGTTGCACAGTGGCGCGTCAGGTCAGGACTGACAGAGCGACGGGAGAACCAGGTGTTTCTGGCAGGCAATGAGCCGAATGCTGACCGAATAGAATAATGAAGCAATCGAACGTCTTATTATAATTGAATAACGAGTGTGTTGTATGTGGTAAAGTCTAGACTACAGGAGTTCTGCGCTCCAAACATCTCGATGCCCTGTCTGTAACGCCAAAACCTGTCACGTCGCTGGGCGCCAGCCCGGCTGCAGTAGATAGGTCGTCAAGGACGATCGTTCTAAAGGCTGAAACATGCTAGCAGGAGATCACGCTTCCTAAAACGAAGGAATCCTACAAACCGTATGCTTCGGCCGCACGGACACTGATTTAGGACACCATCCGCTGAAGCCCTCTTGAGGCCTTTTTGGGTCGTGCTCCTACACGCCGTCATGTTTAAGACAGACTATAGGGCGGCCAACGGAAGGGCGACCTCCTATGGGCAGCCGAGACAATCACACAGCACTGCAGCAGAGTGAACCGAGTTTTCTTGTTCCAGAAGAATCTGGCTACTTCTCGATAACTAGCGATTCATATTAGCGTTATGTAAGGTCGCTCAGCGTGGGCTGGACTACCTCCCCTAGCTACTTCGATAGTGGCTGTACTTTTGGTAGTATCCATCTTTCTTTGCTTTACGACTCGAACTTTTCTCTTCTTTGGTTCACGCAACATGAGTTTGATCGATTACTAGATGATTGGTGGTTATATTTCGGTCTTTTTTGGATCGCATTCATTACACTCCTCGTCTGCCACGACGACTACACCGCAGGTATCGAGCTAGCTTAGTATATAAACGCATTATGTCTTCATTTACTTAAAGATTCTATTTTTAGTGTGTGTGAGGTGGGTTAAAGTTTATCAAGGAGTGGCCATTTCGTAGGATTGTCAAAACGAACCTATTAATGATTCGTCACTCAGTGAAAGTGAAGGTCGTAGTGAGAATATTTAATGCCCACGAGGTGGAGTCAAGAAAGTAGCGAAATTGCACAGCTGTTGAGTCTTCCTGTCATTGATTCTTGGGGATTTTACAGTTGATCTGGTTTGTTTGCCACCTTTTACCTGCCATCTCGACGCCCCACAACTTTATCACCAAACGCCTGGGCAGATTGATTCGCGGACGCTGTGCCGGCGGAAGAATCCTAATCCACATTTTCAGCGCCCGCGCTGTCCCAACACATTCTTGCAATTGTTCCATGGTCCAATTCGCCTCCATCTGGAATCCCTGGGTATTTTCTGCAGGTTGAGCCAATTGTCCTCATTATACCTAAGGAAAGCATGGAATCCAGACTATACGCGGTGATGAGATTCAGACTTGCAGGTGGCCCGGGGGCGAGGTGTTGTACCAGAAGATGACAGAGACAGACTATGGAATAGATATACCGTCCCCATTCTTCAATATCCGCACCGCCCCTTTAGTTCCCCTTACAATTCATTTCAGTATGGAGAAAACAGATGGTCGTGACCAGCACGTCGAAGGGTCGTGGGCCGGCAGCCCACGAGGGATGGAGGCTGGCACGAACGAGAATCTCCGCGTCGGCTATGGGGAGATGCATCTTTCTGAGGTGCATAGTCAGTATCTTCTCGCTCGGCATGGTACGCTAGATCTCGATCCCATCCCAGACATGAGCGATGCCGATCCGTACAATTGGCCGCGATGGAGAGTAAGCTAGTTTCTTGTCTGTTCCTGCATATTCAACGTCTTCTAATGAAAATTCGCTTCAGAAAGTGATTAACCTGGCCCTGATCGCTTTCCACGCCATGATGAGTACCTTTACAGCCGCCGCAATCCTGTCGGCCTTTGTCAACATCTCCACGGATCTGCACATCAGCTTGCAGCGCACCAGTTATTTGGTCTCGCTGTTCATTGCCATCCTCGGTGGGGCGCCCTTATTCTGGCGTCCGCTGTGCAACCGATTTGGACGCCGTCCAATCTTCCTGATTTCGCTCGTCTGTAGTCTGGTCGGTAACGTGGGCTGCGCGAAGAGCCCCTCATACGCCACGATGGGTCTTTGTCGTGCTATTACTGCCTTTTTCATTAGCCCTGCTGCGGCCATGGGGAGCGCTGTGGTCGCCGAGACTTTCTTCAAGAAAAATCGAGCGCATTGCATGGGCATCTGGACGCTGATGGTGACCTTAGGTGTGCCGGCCGCGCCCTTCATCTTTGGGTTTGTGGCGTTGCGTGTTGGATACCGCTGGATCTACTGGACCCTAGCCATTGTAAACTTTCTTTCCTTTGTCAAACCTCAGCTAAGGACTAACAGATGTTGTCTATGATAGGTCAACGCCGTGCAGTTCATCCTCTACTTCGTCCTCGGGTCGGAGTCGCTCTACATGCGCAAGGACAATAGTGGCCAGCAGGTCACCAACGTGAAACAGAGTCTCTTCAAGTTCTCACGGATTGACCCGACTCCTTTAAAATTCTGGGACTTCTTCCAGCCCCTTACCTACGTGATAAAGCCCTGCGTGTTAATTCCAGCTGCGGCATACGCCATGATCTTCCTGTGGGGCAGTGTGATGCTCACTATTGAGATCCCTCAGGTCTATCCTAAAAAATTCGGATTGAACACGCAGGAAGTCGGTCTGAACTTCCTGGGGCTGATCATCGGATCTGTCATTGGCGAGCAGGTCGGCGGCTTCATTTCCGACCGCTGGATGTTGCTGCGCGCCAAACACACCAACCATCCTCCGGCACCGGAATACCGTCTATGGCTAAGCTATATTGGGCATGCATTAACCATTTGTGGCATTGTTGTTTTCACGATCCAGTTGCGCGATTCTGGTGATAAATGGGATATCACCCCTATAGTGGGGTCGGCTATCGCTGCCGCCGGCAATCAAATTGTCACCACCGTCAACATCACCTATGCAGTGGATTGTTACCGTGAGGATGCTGCGAGTGTTGGCGTGTTCATTACCTTCGTCCGTCAACTGTGGGGATTCATTGGTCCTTTCTGGTAGGACGGCTTCTATACTTCTGTTTCATTGACAAAAGATAGTCACTAACTATAGTAGGTTCCCACAGATGTTTGAGAACTGCGGCTGGGCTGGTGGTGCAGGTATTGCTGTTGGACTAATGGTTGGTGTTAGCGTCGTCCCAACTGTGCTGGTGCAGTGGCGTGGCGCGGCGTGGCGTTGACACTTCGGCGAAGATACTTGGATATCACATGAATTTTCATGACTTAATTGGCTTGGCTGACTTGGTAAGTGCATATTATTTTCGCGGTGCATGTCGTATCTATACGGTCTTTGTCTTTACTAGTAACCTAGTACTCCGGCACCTGATAACAAGTATTCATGATTAACCTCACGTTAATTAAGGTTCCCTCGATATACTCACTTTTCTCTATTTGCAACCTACTTTGTGTACCGCGTTACACACAGTAATACATAGTGGATTATATCTGTCTCATATCCGAGAAGCATAGTAGATAGCCAGCAACCCTCCCTTCATTCCAACCATTGAAACAACACCCTTGGTTATTCCCCTCTTCGCTGCTAGATATTACCTATCATACTATTTGCCGTCATATCCAGGAGAGCATATCTGATCGATTAACACCCTAGTCAACTAAGAGGATTCGTACCCGCTAAAATCCGCCGCAGACTAGGGTTGGAGAGGGTGACACTGTGGCAATTTGGGGATCTGGCCTAGTTAGACAAATGGCTGCGGAATTCAGCTTCTCCAATGGTGCTAACAGGGTTATCCTCATAGATGGCAGCCGTAGAAAGTGGCGACTAGACTTTGTTAAGAAGATTATACCTAAGCTTGAGACAGTTGATTATACGAACCTCCCAAAGGGCGAATGTGTTACCTTAACTTCGAAGAAAGTGTGCGATAGCGGCGGACGTGATGTGGCGATTAAGTGTGCCGCTAGTGAGTATACGAAAGGATGGGCTCATTACTTTGAGAGAATGCTAGCATGGAACCGAGACGTCTAAGCTCATAAGACGAGATGATAACCTCTGTCCGAGCGTTCGGGCGCTGTTGGGTCACGGGCGTATATGGCGGTTACGTATGTGGCACCTTTCCCATGGTATAACAATGCTCCAGACATAACAAAGTAGTGTAATCACTTCAATATCGGTTCCATGATGAGACTGGGATCCGTCTTGTTGGTAGTGGCTAAGCCCCTGTGCAAAAATACTGGAAAGACCTCTTGAAGTATATTCAGCAAGAGAAGCTCCACCCCCTGCATATGGTCACCCCCCGGTTCAAGCTCGAGGACATAGAGACGGTCTACGATTTATTCAATAAGCGTGTCCCCGAGTTGCAAAAGGTTTTTGTCGAGACAAAGTTTTCCGCTCCTCTAGCACTAGGGACACCTACGTTAACAGAACTTTGATGTTCAGTGCGCTAGATAAAATTTTTACTGATGAGTTTCACCTGTATTTCTCGTATCTGACATTTGACAATAAACCAGGCGCTCAAACTATACAATTGGAATTGTATTGCACTGAAAATTGAGATGTCAACTACTCATGTGGAATTGTCACCTTACATCACTATTCCATTGTCAATAATGAAATCTCACACAAGACCTAATAAGCTCAAAATAAAAGAGCCCAGTCTATAATATGGAGTCACGTTACTTGTGATATTTTGAAGTAGAGTGATGATATGAATGCAATCAAATAAATGCGACTCCAAGACTTTTAAAATCGGCGACTAGGTAGTTGGCACGATGATGGCTAAGTTCAGCTTCTGCGTTTCGAGCAATACACCCCTGCCGTATAAATTAAGCCTCACGAAGAGACAGACTCAAGTCCTGACCGACTACCTTTCCACCTTCCAGTCGCACCTGTTCAATAGGTTGAAACACGAAAAAGACACGTAAAACACTAGAATTATCTTTCTTTCCAGTCATATTCTGCCAAGAGTGAGCTGTGCCTCGTTGAACAAATATATCGCCCTTTTTCAGCGTTCTTCTTTCACCAGAATCAAGGACTAATTCTGTAGTGCCATCTATTACGACCCCATAATCGAGAGTCTCTGTTCGGTGCATCGGGACACTTGAACCCGGAGGTACCTCAATAATTGTGCAGGATGTACCGTTTGGCGGGTTTAAAGGCGATGGATCCGAGAGTCGAGAGCGGTAATGTTTAATGTCCAGGTTGGCCTTGGTCTCCGGGGTTGTAGAAGTTGGAGGGGAGAGGCCTTGCACAGGAAATGTACATGTATTATAGGCCAGAGCATAGTTTGACGTCGGAGGCTTGCCGGGGGGAACTGGGAACCCTGTAAATGATACCTGCTCACCAACCGCGTCGCTAAAGACAGCTCGACCGCTTGTAGAATCGTGGGTTGTTATAATCCGATGAAGCGGCTCTGGTGTACTTTGTCCAACTGACATGTTGAGGCTAAGAGCAAGTGATATCTGGGCGGATAATTAACGTATGGTTAGGCATATCTCACATTAAAAGTAAGAAACATCAAATGGAATACTATAAAGGCCCCATACTTATAATATCAGCTTTATTATTAGGATATGACTTAAATGGTAGGTCATCATTAAGTCTGAAGTCAACAATGCATCAACGTTCCCGTCATATTGTGATGTCATCGTGACTTACAATTAACCATCAATCACTTTACCAAGGACTGGAAACTCGAGGAATACTTCTCACCACAAGATAGACATGTTCTTATTGGAAGAACTGAGAGCTAATTACTCATTTTGGACTCTGCTCAAGACGATGGGGAATTGATAGGGACACTCCCGTTTTTGTTAGGGACACTCCTTATTATGTAAGTTGGGTAATTACATAATTAAAAACGTCATGTGATCTGTATTAGAATTTCATTCTCATAGTCAATTATTTACATGATCTTCGTGTATGCCCAACTTCACCACATGTACTACACTTTCGCGCTGCCTTCTTCCGCTTCTGTATAGGCTCCCCCTCATTATTGTGCCCTACGTCGTCCCGCTTCCGTTTTTTAGGCTTTGGTAAGGGAATCAGGGGCTCTAAAAGTGGAAGATAATCTGATTCGCCGTCGCCTAGGCCAATTCGCCAAAAAGGGTGGATATCTGTCAAAGGAATAGCTTGATTATTCCCTAATAGACTAGAAATTCGGTGTGCGTAAGGTAGGCCCATAGTCCTTGTGAATGTATTTGTACAAGGAGGCAAAGGAGCTATTTCTGTAGCCGTTTTAGCCTTTGAAACTTGCTCACTGATTCGTCGAATTGAATATCGAGAGGTCCTAGTCATAATATTAGTATAAAGGCCTTGTATAGGTACTATTACCTTTTCAATTTGATCTCTTGTAAAGTAGTATTCAAGCGTAGAATGTTAAGCTTGTAAAGCTTGTGAAATCCTTTCAAATACAAGTAACATATCCCCTGTTGAAGCTCCTAGATGCTTTTTTAAAAAGGTATGTGAGCCTTCAACTCGGGAAGTCGCTAAATTACCTAGGTGTAGGTATTGCTATGTCTATGCAACTATAAATTTCTCTTTATGAATTAGCCACGTTTCCTTTAAATAGCGAAGGGGAGAGGGGGAAGATTGAAATTGCTTCTTAAATTTTAGAAGCCTAGATTTATAGTCACTCTCTGTCGTCGAATAAATAAGCTGATTCCACAATTGTAGGAATTCTTAATGTTCGTCATTTGTAGAAAAGTACTACTTTGTTTTTTAGGTCACATTTTTATTAATATGCTATATACAAAGTAAATATAGGTATGTAGGGTAGGTAGCCTTAATTGCACCTAATAAAGCGAGATCTCGATCAGTACAAAGAACTAGTTCAAAGGGTAAGGGGTTTAGAAAGGAGAAAAAGGCTTTTAAAGCCTAAATATAGCTCTCTTCTTCTTTATTTCGCATAAAGCAGAATGCGATACTAAATGTTGAATTTGAGGGTGATATACCAATAATATGTAATAGAGGCATTTGATATCGATTCGTTTTATAAGTGCAATCTAGTACAAAAACCCTATTATATTTATTAGCGTACTCAATCGATCTAGGATGCGCGAACATAAAGAAGAGGATATAGCCTTCGTGATCTTGTTTAATAGCGTATTTCCACTAATTCTCTTGTAGAGTCTTTTGTAGAAGCTCAATAGGGGTATTATTACTAAGCTTCTGCCTTCGTAAAGCACTTCGAGCATTGTAGATATCCCTAGGGGTAACTAGGGCATTTGGATGCTCTCGTTTGATTAGAGCAAGGATATCGCGAGGCTTTGATCCAACTTCAGACATATAAAGAATATTTTGAAGCTACTCCTCAGTTAATTTGCGAGCAGAGGGATGACCTATCATATTATTAGTAGTATGATTATGATTAGGGTTTCGTACCTGTAATTCCCACTTCTCGCTATTAGGAATCTTCTTCCCATATAGCTTAAATGGACAATTAATCCGTCGTGTAGTGGTCAAACGTCGATTTGCTCCTTCTGGTGCATTAATTCGGTCACGGTATTTACCACTGCGATCACAACCAAGATAGATATACTTCTCTGTTTTTGATCGTATAGTAGTAATGTCGTAGCCTTGGGAGAGAGCATGCTGACGCACAGAGGCAACTAGTAGCTCCCTACTATCAAAGGTCTGCTCTATAGGGGGCTCCATTTGGTTGTAGATAACTACAGAGCTTTAGAAGAAGAGGAGGGGAAGTAGGGATTTATAGTAGAACAGACTACAGAATGATGTTGCTGTGGTAATTCTAATACAGATCACATGACATTTTTAATTATGTAATTACCCAACTTACATAATAAGGAGTGTCCCTAACAAAAACGGGAGTGCCTATCAATTCCCAAGACGATGGATAATATTACGTAAGCAAACACGGTGTCATGCAATTCTCCACCAGGTAATAATTTACAATGTGGCTCATCTGCTGCATTCTAGCGCCTACTCAGCTAAACGCCACTGTCTATTATGGAAACTGGAACCCGATGCGGCATTTACACGTCCATTTCTAGTCTGACGATTATCCGTCTACCCCTACTACCTACTAGTAGTCGGGCCCTCACCGCTCTCCGTTGCTGAGGACCCTCCCCAGCGAAATACAAACCCAGCGAAATGCAAAGTTTTCCCTACCTACTAACTTTTGAAGCTATATACAAATACCGCCCACGTCTATTGACGGTATAAAGTGGCTGGCCGTCGTCTCCATTGACCCATTCAAGCTTATAGTTTTCCCGAGGGTGTAAAAGGTTGACGTTTCCACTTGAGGTGGTAGGCAGAGGGGAATACGGGCGGTGTTAAGACGGTTGACAGTTCCATTGGGCTCTCTAACAAGGCCAATTAGTATCTGTTGCTTGCATAGCATGTACAGGCTTCGAAATTGAAGAGTGCAGGACAACACTCACTTTATCACGGCCCGGATCTTGGAGGGTATGGCGACTTCAGTCATATTGTACTGGTGGGATTGCTCAAGCGGTATCTGCTCGCGAATAACAATGGAAATGAATTGGACTGGGGGCTTAGGTCCTTCCAACATGTTCTAGGCGAGGTATCTATCTCATCACAGCCATGTGGGTGGATCAAAAGACGTTATCCACTGCTTACGCGACAGTGCCACTACTTCGACTCTTTTAGTCTTGTGTCCATCTTTGGCCTCTATCGAAGGAATTGGATAGTGTGTATACAAACCCACCGCTAATCCTTATCACATGAATATGCCACCAGGCCTTGGCAGGACTAGGTATCGTCCTTGCGGTAAGCACTAATATAAAAGCCTATTTCGACAACGTTACGAGTATTAAGACATCCGCAGTACAATGCACCTGCGTGTGAAGGTGCATTTCCGTACACAGAGGTACATGAACACAGTTAATGCGGACTGAGTGGTTTGTCCCGCAATCCTTCGTCTATTTTGGACCCCACACCTCAATTTCCGGACCCTCAGTGCTTCCGCCAACATAGTCATTCAAATAGTGGGATGAACTGAGTTCCCCACTGCAAAAATGTTATTGTTGGGACGGCTGGTGGTTCTGGATTCTTCATCGCCTGGGAGGGGCTTCTATCGTGGTACGACATCAAATAGTTAACTAACTAGTGCTCATCCTGGGAATTCCTCAGGGCTCCCCCACTTTTGCTAGGAACCCCAATCGTAGAGGCATGTTATTGCATTTTGTCAACATGTCAGAGATACTGGCACTGACATCCACATTGAAACATTGGTCTTATCAGCTGGCACACCTGGGATCGCAGGCTCACAATTAAGATCCGTTGACAAATGCTCATGAGACCATCAATCATCACAATCTGGCTGTTCGTCTCCACACATGCCTGTGGCATTTGGTACCGCAGAGTCTTCGCGCGCTGGATTATGGACCATACAGAATGCATATGAATACGTGACTGTGTTGGCAAGGCAGGGTATGCAACACAAAACGGCTCACGACGTGGAAGTCAGTGTATGGATATGAACCTTCAAGAGTGCCTTTCCGGAAAGTTTATACTACCAGACACATGGTCCGTATTATCAAAAGATTACAGTGTCTCGAAAATGGCATCTCTTGTTGAATTAAGCTAGCAGAAGATATCAGGGGGCGGTTCGGTATCTATCGTACCGAAATTGTTGTAAAATTGGAACCAGAAGTCCGAATCCAATCCTAAGCCTCCCAGAGTGGTTTCCTGAAAGTGGAAGCCATCGGCTAGGACAGCATCCGTATAGAAAGAGGGTATTCCTAACCCATCAGCCATGTCACATCCTTGCTCGAATGAACCATCTGCCTTTTCCGGCGGGGAGTTGGATAAATCGAGCGGTTTGTCTTTTGATTCCTGAAGGAGCTCCCCGTCTCCAATAATGACAGAACAAGGATTAGGGTGGTCATCTTTCAGAGTGAATCCTAACCCCTGAGAAGGAGACACGGCGGAATGAAGCGCATTCATGGCTCTCTTTGCAGTGTCAAGCTTTTTGGAGAACTGCACCAATAGTTGGTACGACAATCGGAAAGACTCAATCGTTGATAGTCGTTCCTCATGATTGCTGGCACCCTGTATCACAAGTATCAGATGATAGATGCACTCTATTAGTGCAGTACTAAACAGGAAACCACATGGAGTAAATCTTGGGAAGGTGGCAGTAAATGCACCAATTGCCTGGGCTGTTTCTGAGGCTAGCAGCCAACAGAACTGGTTCGAAGCCTTATCATGTCCTTTGTTTCGAAGTGGGTTTTGTTTGATTGTCAGCCGGAGGAGATTAATTCTCTGTTGTGCACACGTTAGATAGTCGCCAGAAACTTTGAAAGATGAAGAATGAAACCGCATACTATATAAACAGAAAGGCGACGCCGTATGTGTGGTTCGCTTTCTCCCTGAAACAGGTAGACAGGGTCAAGCGATTCCGTCTCCCACGTCAAGTGCCCAGGTAATTCTTGTTGCACAATTCGAATGCGAGTGTCCATTATCTCAATATCTTTCCAGTCAACTGGTTTAGGAGCTGCAGCTGCGAAAAAGGAATCCCAGATTTGAGTCCACAACTTGGCCAGGTCAATAAGCACCTGCATATACCTGTATGTCGAGATCTTGGTGGATGGTAGCCGAGATTCGTTAGATTTAGTGGTTATGATTTGAAAATCTGAGACGGCAACTTCGGTGTCACGAATAAAATATGGAGCCCCAACGCGCTGCGCGATCTTTCGGTCCAGGAAGTAAATGATCCACCATAAAAGCCGTCGATCATCACGCTCCCTATTGGTCAAACCTTTCCATGTAGCCTCATCGTTCAACTTAACTAGCATAGCAAGTCGAGTTGCTTGTGAAATTGCTTGTGCAGCTAGATGGAGAAGTTCAGACTGCATCAGGTACTCGGCGCTCAACGCGTGATATCGAATAATATCCAAGTCCACGGCTTTTCCAGAACAGCAATATTGAAGAAGCTTGCGTCCACGTATGTAGAGTGACCAACCAGGTCTCACATCTTCTCCTTGCGTCAACTCGGGGTTGAAGCATTCGGCAATGGCGACCATGCTGCAGAGCAAGGCAATAGTTGAGTGAGTATCGGAATCCACGTCAATGATGTTTTGGCATTCAGAATACCCAAGTCTTTCCACTGCAAACAAAAGTCGATTTTCTGTGGCATCGCGATCCAGGAAAGGGAAAAAGGAATCAAGATCTCGAAAATAGACCTCCAACAGAGCCGTAAGGCGTTCTGGGCGGGGAAGTTCCAAGGCGAAAATACGGCTGTGAGCCGAATATTTTCTTATCTTTGGTATGGAGTCTAATGGTGCGGACCATACCAGCTCTCGGAGAGACACGAGATGTGATGCAAGCGAGATACTTCGTGGTCGGGACTCATAAACATCGTAGGCGTCTGTTTCCTCAAGCAAGCTTAATGAGAGGTCGGACCCGGTCGCCTCAGAAACCGGTTGAGTTGGCATTCTATCTCACAGTAGTGTCAGTAAGAACTCCATCTTCTGCTACTAGAAGAGCATCAATGAGCGTTATGTTATACCGGTTTGGCACTTGATCTGGTGCAGTGATGTGGGCTTGGGAAAATCTGGACTCCGTGGCGGATAAGGGTGAATAGGATGGCTCCCGACTCATTGGAGTCTTCAGTGTTTTGTAATTCTGGTCCTCCATAGTGCCATTGATTCGTTGTCTTTTTGCTGTCAGCCATGACTACAGTCACTTTCTTGCCCCTTGACAGGCAACGTACGAAGCACCCTTATTCCCCCGATCTCGTCTCGGTCTTCCGCGTCGTCCTTTGGGCAGATAAACGCAAACTGAGCCTCTGTCCTGGCAATGAGAGCATATATCCTCTCCGGAGCACTAAAGAATCAACACATCATGTATCCTGAACGCCATGGAACTTTCTCCATTACTTACCTTCACTTTCCTTCGCTGGCAGTCCTGGCTAACGAGTCATCTTAGATAGAACTCCAATATAATAATGGGTCTCACGTACCATGCCCGCCCGATGTATTTTGTTCTTTTAGTCCTGGTTGGATGGGGTGTCGGGCGAGGACTCTGCTGGATACGATCAAGCATCCCCCTGTTATCTGCGTGCCGGGGCGGGGGAAACAAGATATTCTCATGCTCTTCAGATGCCATGCTGTCGGAGAAGAAATATGAGAGGAAGTCTGTCATTTTAAAAGATACTGATTCAAGCTCGGCACAGAAGAAGAGAGGCGTTTGGGATAAGTTTCTTGGTATGCTATAACGACAGAAAAAGGGGGAACATGCAAGCAGTCAGGTGAATGACAAGAAGAGGAGTTGACCAGACGGGGATAGCCTAGGAGGCCACAATGTCGGTGCAAAAGCCGATCGTGTTTAAAAAAAAAAATGTAATCATGGGTAGTTAATGACGGACGATGATAACGAATACTGGTGCTCCACATCCGGTGCTTAAATTTGACGCCGGGGGTGACCCACAGCAGCCAATCCCACGAGCCAACTTTATTATTACTATGCGCTCAAGGCTTGCCTGTTTCATACTACCAGGCGATACAATAGACAGAATTAAAAAGTTGCGTCTTTGAATGAAGCATATATATCTACATGAACAGACCTCCAGTACATTCAATGCAAGTGTCCACGGGAGTGCCCGTGATGCAGGAAGACATCGGGCTGGCTAAGAACAAGATCACACGTGCAGCTTCATAAGCAGTGCCCGTGAGCCTATAGACATTTTTCTTGACAGAGTTTCAGTACGTACCGACCCCATTCTGATGCAACGGGTTTCGTGACTTCGACAATGCCAGCTTTGGCCGTGGCATAGTTGATCTGCCCCATAGCACCGTGAAGGCCAGACGTTTACGATATATTAACGATGTTTTTAGGCATATCCTCGACCGCTGGATCCATTCAGTGAGAGGGAAGAGCCCGAATCAAACGGAAGGGTGCGTAGTTGTGAATCTTCATAACAACATCGAATTTTGCATCAGGCATCTTGTGGATGCCACTATCGTGACAAAGTCCTGCAGGACAACGATTTCAGTATTCAAATTTCCAATATTCAGATTTACGCGCCTGCGTTACTGACAATGCAATTGACTTTTCCCCATCTTTTAGTACTTATTCCACCAGTCGTGCTGGGAATGACTGATCTAGGGCATCACCTGCAAAGCATTCGGCAACAAGGCCGGCTCTCTTAATCTCGTCCACAACCTCCTCTGCTTTTGTCTTATCCAAGTCATTGACAGCAACTCGGGCACCCTTCTGAGCCAGTAGAATGGCAGCGGATCGCTCAATACCTATAGATCTTTCAGCAATGACCGAATAGTGTGAATAGTCAGATCTATGACCTTGTGCTGCACCGGTAATAGTGATCACATATCTGTCGACTCGACTAGGTCAGCCATAGGATCACACTGGTCCAGATGGTTTTGGATTTGCTGAAGGCGATTGTTGGCCACGATTTCTATTACGACTCAAAAGAGTGTTCGGCACGTTAAGCGGCAGATCTTATCAGATATGTTTGGAATAAATCCGGGGTTTTTTGTCGAAAGACAAATAATAGCTTTCAAAGCCATACGTTGGTTTTGATCCGCATCCGAATATGGAAAGTACCGGAACTCCCGATAATAATCCGTCAAGCTTAGCCTATCACAATGAGAAGATAGTTTGTCATAATAATATCCAAATTGCCATGTTCCTTTAATCGGTAGTCATTTTGCGATATATTCTAGTAAGTAGTGGGTACTGTGCAGCTCATCGTCGGAATTTTTTCGGCTTCTCAACCGAATTTTCCGAGCATCAAAACCGGAAGTTTCAAGAAATCAGCAAATGCCATAGCATTTATATTCCGGTACCTCGGGATCTTATTTGTGCTAAAGCATTTTCATGTTATATATCCCGCACTGTCTTATCACTGGGTGTGTACTATATCTAAATTAAATTATCATCCTCTTTCGTCGAAATACAGCAATGGCGTTCGCTTTAACATCGCAAATCCCAGGCGCGGATCCGGCCTGGCATCGTCGTCATGATCACCCGTATTATAACGAGAGTCACCATCGTTTGCAAAAGTTTGTTCGCGAGTACGTGAGCCGCGAGATATCCCCAAATGTGGAGGAGTGGGAGAAGCAAGGCGAGGTGCCTGAGACTGTAAGTCGTTCGGAGGTCCATTGTCCAAAAACGTCCTAAAATATATCAGGCATTCCGGCGACATTCTTCACTCGGGTTCCTGGCTGCATCTGCCTTTCCTATTCCCAAGGAGTATGTGAGTGGGGTGACCTTGCCGGCCGGCTTGAGTGTGGACGGTAAGCTGCAGCCTCCCACAGATAAATTCACTCACTAAGTCTGAATGAAACCAGAGTGGGATGAGTTTCATGATGCAATCGTCAGTTCTTTTAAATGCACGGCATGCTGAGCCTTGGAATTGAAAGCTAAAGCCTAGCACAGATCATAGACGAAATGGCGCGGTGTGCGTGTTTGGGTACCATCTGGGGCATCAATGGGGGTGCTACAGTTGGAGGCCCCCCAATTGATCGCTATGGGACAGCTTCACAGAAGGAAAAGTACCTTGCGCCATTGCTGCGAGGCCAACAAAGACATTGCCTTTGTGTTACGGAGCCTTCCAGTGAGTACTCCAACTCTTACCTCTACAGGACTCAACGGCAAATTGACCGAAACTCAATCAAGTTGGCTCAGATGTTGCCGGTCTGACTACCACGGCGAAGAAGACTGCAGACGGCAAATTTTATGTGATCAATGGGGAGAAGAAGTGGGTAACCCAGGGACGTTGGGCAGACCACGCATTGGTTGCTGCCAGGACCGGACGCCCTGGAGCCAAGGGGATTTCCATGTTTATTGTCCCATTAGCTGTCAAGGGGATTTCGAGGCGAAAGATTGAGAATTCGGGGGTCAGTTCGAGCGGTATGTGTAAATGGTGTCCTGCTATCAAAAGCTGAACTAAAATGCGTTTTTCATGCTTGCCAGGCTCGACTTTCATGGAGTTCGACGATGTCCTAGTACCTGCAGACAATCTGCTAGGAAATGAAAATCAGGGGTTTGAGATAATCATGTCCAGTGAGTGGGCTCGCTCCCATTGACAAGCGTGCAACGCTAACCGTTGGGCTCGTTCTGCAGCCTTTGCACACGAGCGACTGTGGGTTGGGATTACGGCCCTTCGTCTAGGACGGGTGGCCTATGAGGACTCGTATAGATATGCACTAAAGCGTGAAACGTTTGGCAAGCCGTTGTTCGAAAACCAGGTCATTCGTCACAAATTTTCGCGAATGATAAACATGCTCGAGCCGACCCAGGCGTATATGGAAGAGATGGTTTATCGTTCTATGAGAATGCCGTCTCTAAACTTCTCGCCGCTAGCCGCCATGCTTAAGGTGCAGGCGGCGCACAACCTCGAGAAGATCTCCCGCGAGGCACAGCAGGTCTTTGGTGGCCTCGGATACTCAAGGCAAGGACAGGGACAGCGGGTGGAGCAGATCAGTCGAGATGTGCGCGTGTTGGTCGTTAGCGGAGGGAGTGAGGAGATTTTGCTGGACATGATCGCCAAGCAGCAGCGGAAACTGGCGCATTTGTGAGATCGGCACGACACGCCCAACAACACCGGGTTCCCCGCAATCCCCGCCCCGTTAGTAAACCACATACTCGGCAAAGCATTCTTAGCACATCGTCAACCGCTCATTGCCGTGAAACCAATGCCCTTGCAGCAGCTTTTTACCCACCAGATCTATCTATACAGCTAGACGAAATTGAATTTGCTCGTTGCCACTTTGATCCAAAGGAAGGCCTAGTAGCGCCCAAAGCAGGTGGTCAAGGCTTGACACGATCTCCGGGCTGTTTTTCCGGACCTGACATGTATGCCCGAGGTCCGACATGTTAGAACAAGTGGGTGGGACGTTATCTTTCTAATCTCCCCGCACCAATACATTGAAATATAAAGCTATGGCCACAGTCATGGATGAACCACCGGGGCAGGTCTGGAAACCTCTGGTCTGAATCAACAAGTCAACATGATTTTCGTCTCCCAGCAGCCGAGAATCTCAGGTAGGCAAATCCAATGACTCATTCCTGTCTATCGAATGGAACTCATTTGGCTTGCTTTTTCTAGTCCCTGAGAACCTCCCTATTTGGGATTTCCTCTTTGAGTCTGAGTATTCCCCTCTTCGTCGTTCCAAGGCGAACAACCTCGCCGGATTTACCAACGCCGTCACCAAGGAGCGAGTCAGATACGACGAGTTGAAAACTTATGCGACAAGTCTATCAACCGCGCTAGTGCGACGGTATGGCCTACGCGCAGGGGAGACAGTAGCACTGTTCAGTCCGAACACGGTTTGGTATCCAGTCGCAATGCTTGGAACAATCCGCGTCGGTAAGTAACAATCATTGGTAGCACCTCCAGAAAGGCGGGCATTTTGATTGAGTGCTCATCATCGTTCTGTAGGTGGTGTTATTTCCGGTGCTTCGCCCGCGTACAACGTCGAGGAGATGACCTATGCTCTGAAGACTGCTCAAGCGAAAATCTTGATGACAACTGCTGCCTCACTTGCAGTGGCAGTGCCAGCTGCGCAAAACGCTGGAATCCCTCGAAAACACATTTTTCTGCTAGAAGGAGACGTGCCAGGATATACAACTATCAAAGAGCTTCTCGAAATTGGAGATGAATCTGGGATTACGGGCCAGGTGTTGCCATTTCAAATCCCTCGCGGTAAGACCAACAAAGACGTCTGCGGTTTTTTGAGCTTCAGCAGCGGTACGACTGGTCTACCTAAAGCGGTAAGAAGCATTGAAGTTCTGCCGGAGATCAGTGAAAGTGCTGATAAGCCCTGATGATAGGTCATGATATCGCATCAGAATGTAATGGCGCAGTGCCTTCAGGTTGAACAGGTGACTTCACCAGAGCATAAGAAAGTTTTAGCCGTCCTTCCCTTATTCCACAGTAAGTGTCGCTGAATTTTACTAGCATCTGAAGGATGCTAATCCCTCAAAAATATAGTCACGGGTCTAGTTCACCAGATGCATCTCCCTGTCTTGCGCAATGCGGAGGTGTACATGCTGCCCGCATTCAGCATGGAATCCATGCTAAGCACGGTCGTTGAATATCAAATATCCGAACTGCTACTTGTTCCACCCATTCTCATCCGTTTGTTACGAGACCCGGTTGTGGCTCATTATAACCTCTCCCACGTTCGAAAATTTTCTTCTGGCGCTGCTCCACTTTCTTCTGAAGTTCTACAAGAACTAGAACGAAGATTCCCGAACACGGGTTTCAAGCAAGGATATGGAATGACCGAGTCCTGCAGTTGTATAACTGCCCATCCAGTCGACAAGTGCACATATAACTATGGACACCGGGGGGCACCATTGTGGCAAACACAGAGGTTAAGATTATCGATCCTGATACTGGTCGAGAGCTTGGGTATGATGAACCCGGGGAGATTCTCGCTCGCGGGCCACAGGTAGTAATGGGGTATCTGGACAACGAAAAGGCAACACGAGAAACGTTTGATGAGGAGGGGTGGTTACATACAGGTGATGTTGGATACATGGACCGTGAAGGCTTTATAACCATCACAGATCGCATCAAGGAAATGATCAAAGTAAAGGGAATTGCGGTTGCACCGGCTGAGTTAGAAGACTTGTTGCTTGGGCATCCTATGGTCGAGGATGTCGCTGTCAGCGGAATTTCTGACAATTATACCGGTGAACGTCCCAAAGCCTATGTGGTGCTGAAACCAAACTTCCGTCTGAAAAAAGATGCTTGCACACTTGTCACATTGGCGCGAGAGCTCATCGATTATGTCCAAGAAAACAAAGTGCGTCACAAGTGGATTGTGGAAGTCGAAATCCTTGATGAAATCCCCAAGAGTGCCAGCGGCAAAATCCTCCGGCGAACTCTTCGCAAGTTGGAGAACGAAAAGGACGGACAAGACCGATTGATCGCACGGCGCCAGGAAGTCCGTTCACGGCTTTAAATTTTCGGAAGAGTATTGCAGACTTTCGTGAGGGGCACCATCTCTATACTTTTCATTTACTTGTACAGGGGTCTAGGCCTCATGATTATGTTACAATATATTGTACAAGGATTTGAATCCACAAGGCTCGAAGTCTACGGTCGACATAAACCGAACTCCCTGGCACAATTTATTTGACCATAGAAATGGGACAGTTTGCGATTGGCGATTCTGAAGAAGCCCCGTTGAACCTTAGCGGGCAAGTGTCTAAAATCGGACAAGAAAGACTACAACGTATGCAATTTTGCCTCGGTAATATTTCAAAGTCCACTACTCGCACCCTATCAACGTCTACGGCTATGACCCGACCCACCTTGATCATTGACGCTGGGCTTGGAGGACTTGACTTAGCCTAATCTGGTTACTCAAAAGAAACGGAGTCCCTTGTAAGGTCTTTGACCGAGACGAATGACACAACTTACGAGCTCTGAGGATCAGCGCCGATGCGCTTCATGCTCTACAGGATGCCCTGAAGCCTGAACTCTTTAATTTTTTGAGTTGGTCTGTGCCACAACTACGCTTATGGTTGTGAGACTTAAGCCAGATGGAACACCTCTCACTGGCGATTTACCACCCTTCTGGCTCAGTCCCGAGAGCATATACGGTCGACCGGAGCCCATATCATGAAGTGCCTTTTGCTGGTCTTGAGGAAGATACCTTTTTTTTAAAAAAAAAATCTTTTGTTTTTCGGTAAACACTTTGACCATTACACAATGGGCAATAACACGGTCACCGCCTATTTCACAAAAAGAACTGCGGAAGTCGCTCCCTTTTGGTCGGTGCGGATGGGTTACAATCAAGTATTGAAGTCGCCTTGTGGGAGTATGCAAGCGATGCAATCCGCTTGAGCTGGCAAGGAGGCTTGAAAAGTTTGGATACATGCCGGCCGAGGATCTTGACTCTATCGTCATATGACATACTGAACTCACGACTCAGCAGAAGACCAAGCGAAGAAATACGCCTCGCGACTCGCAGTCCCCGATGAGGTCAGTTCAAGGCGCATCCCCTAACCCAATTTGTGTAGCCCCAGCAGAATACGAGGTGGGGCAAGGTCCGGTCTTGCAGAGGGGGTGATCACGCTTTGTTGGTCATCACCAGTAACACTAATAATTTTTTGCCACATTAGTCGGGGAGCAGATCTCTTTTTCACCTCTTGCCGTTCAGAGTTGTGGCTTGTGGGGGCGGGAGGAAAATCCTATCCATATGTACCAGCCAAACTTAGAGTCCCGAAGACTAATTCCTGCCTGTCACTGTCTTCAAAGAAGACTTGTCCTTGAATTCAATTGCCACCACAATGTCTTTCATTCAAAATTCCTTGCCAATCACTGCTGAAAATTGTACGAGATGAGATTGTAGCACAATTTAACAGACCTATTTATTATCGCCTTCTTTCCGACGGGATACCGTTCACAGTTCAAACAGGCAATGAAGTGAAAATTGATTACTATGCCGCTAGTTACCGGATTTGGGGCGCAGTCAATTTGTTCCTTCTCCGTGCACCAATGGTCGATCCCTACTGGTGCCTTCTTTCCCAAGTCCTGAAACACACGTCAAACTCGAGGTTCCGCAGATCCTTGCCTGATGTGGCATCATGTACCAACCGGGACGATCAACCGATCTCCATGCAGATAACTTTGTCCATGATACGATGCCATGAGGATCACATCCTCGGTTGATTTAGCCCCCTTGAGTAAGAATCCACCATCTAGGCTGTGCAATTATTCCACTCATATCATCTGAATCGATAGGCCGGCCCGGATACCTTGAAAATCGCCTTCGGGATTTTGAATAATCAAATTTACCGGTTTCACCGAGCACAGCCTTGCTCCTCACATGCAATGTCAATCACCATTCCGGAAGACCTAAGGCAGGTACCCCAAGATGGAGCTTTGTCACTTCCGGTGAAACCGTCGATTTGGGTGGGTAGCAATGGAAATAGACATCTGTCAGCGGATCGAATAGCATATAAAAGACACCCGCATGCCTCCGTTTTACATTTCAACTTCTCAACACACCTGAAGCTTCCAAACAAATCACATATTGTTGGATCAAGTTACATTCCAATCACACAGAATAATGCATGTCCTTTCTACACTAGTCCTCGCTTCTGCCGGCCTCGCCTCGTCATATGAGCTGCCTGCCAAGTTAGAGCAGATCTACAAGGAGCACAAGGTCGGGTTCTCCACTATAAAAACACCATCATGCTAATATTATCAGACTGGAGAATGCAAGAATATTCTCGGAAGTGGTTTTAACAACGGTGACTCCAGTGCCAACAATGTAGTCTATTGCGGAGACATTGAAGGAGCAATATTCCTGCACAGCACCGCAAATGGAGGGAGTTATGCTGACATGGATGTGGACTGTGACGGTGCCGACAATTCTTCCGGGGCCTGTTCAAATGATCCTAGTGGCCAAGGCGTTACTGCCTTCCAGTCTGAGGTGAGCAAGTATGGCATCTCCGACTTAAATGCCAACATCCATCCGTACGTCGTGTTCGGGAATGAAGACTCAAACCCTCAATTTGCTCCCAACAAGTTTGGGATGGAACCTTTGAGCGTAATGGCGGTGGTCTGCAACGGCCAGCTGGTACGTTTTTTCATATGAAATTTCCCTTACGTTGATTGTAAAGAACCCTATTAACTTTGCCGTTCATAAATAGCACTATGGAATTTGGGGAGACACTAACGGCGGGACCGCCACTGGTGAGGCTGCCATCTCCACGGCAGAGCTTTGCTTCCCCAATGCTGGCATTACCGGCGACAATGGCCATACCCCGAGAGATGTCCTTTATATCGGCTTTAAAGGGAAAGAAGCGTTTCCAGGAGCCAAGGCGGACTGGAAAGCTAAGAATACCAAAGCCTTCGAGGAAAGCATCAGGCCCATTGGAGATCGGCTCGTGGCTAAGCTCGGCACTGGGACATCCCCAGTGCTTACAAGCTCAGCATCTTCAGGCACACCTATTGCCAGTCCCACATGGACTCCGAGTTCCTCGTGGTCTGCGCCGCCGGGGCCGCCAACTCGTTACTGGCGACGAAACATGCGTGCATAGGAAACAATACATCTCAGAGACAACCGCCAAGAGATCCGAGGGTACTTTCATCCTGCCATCAATAGTATTGATAGGACTTTTTATTTTCTGGCTACGTCTTGTTTTTTGAGTACAGAATCAAGCTATGTTTATCTTTCTTAGTCTACCCCGCGTTCTGTCACGATATGCAAGATTTCTTGAGCCTTGGAGAACGGCTAGATATACGTAGCCTCTTAGCTAAGTGTGGACTTATTTGTCTGGCGGACATTGATAATTATTACGGACCATACGCGCAGTATAGAACCTCCGGTCATCTTCGGCGATCAACGCAAATGTTCAATCAAGATGCGGTTATCCCCCTCGCGCGCTGTGTGCATAGTAGATGGGGACGAAGACATCTAGTAGGCTGTATCCAAGAGCCGATGCCTGCTAGTAATGGTGAAATGAGAGTTCCGTGAAAAAATGACTATATCAAATGCGATTTTATAGACCAAGGTAGATGATGTATGATGTACAGCTTGTCCATATGCAACCCCGGACTCCGACCCGAGAGGGTATTGCATCATGCAAAACTCACGCATGCAAAACTAAAACCCGAGGGGAAAAGATCTTTCGCGACAGGGCATGGGAAATACAAGGCCACCGGAACCTAGGCATTCTCCGCGTGGAACATCTCTTGTTCCTTTCGTGCGTAGGGGCTGGATTCTTCGGCGAGCCACTCGTGGCGACGAGGAATCTCAAACTCACTGCTCTTCCACGGAGCCACCTTGTTGACATACATCCAGTCCAGTTCTTCCAGGGTGCGCCCCTTGCCCTCGATGACAAAGAAGTACACGACCAGAGTAGCAACGAACAGACATCCGGCAAAAACATAGCCGTAGGCAAAATCAATGGCGCTGGTAATGAAAGTGGTGAAGAAACTGATGAGAAAGTTCCATGCCCAGTTGGACGCAGTTGCCAAAGCCATACCCTTCGCGCGGTACTTGGACGGGAATAGCTCTGCAGCAATGGCCCAGATCATAGGGCCCCAGGTCATCGCGTAAGCGGCGATAAAGAAGCACGCGAGGACAATCATGCCCTTGCCCACCCCAGGGGTGTTCTCCGGGTGCTCAAGGTCCAGCATGAAGTGACCAAGTGATGCGAAAATCATAAAGCACACGAACATCCAGATGCCGCCAAATATCAGTGACTTGCGACGTCCAAAGTTCTCAACCACATAAAGGCCACCAAAAGTGGTAGCGAAGTTCACTGCACCAAGGATGACCTGTGTGACGAAGCTGTTGGAAAGTCCGGCTCCTTGGAAGATTGTCGTTCCCTAAATCCGGGGGTTAGCGTCCATTCAAGGTCGTTGTAGTGTGCCAGACATGCGCAGCCACGGGGTAGTCTTACATAATAGAAGAAGTAGTTGGCACCGGTGAGCTGCTGCAGAGACTGCAAGGCCATTCCCAGCACGATACGGTAAAACATACGCGGAGCCGTGATGAACTCGTGCCACTTCTGTTCCTGGGACTCTGCCGCCAGCTGCTCGCGAATCTCATCCATCTCCTGCAGAATCTGCACGTGGTTCTCCGGCACGCCGTACAGGCGCGCCAGGGTGCGCTGAGCGCTCTCGGCCTTACCGTGGCGGAACTCATAGCGCGGACTCTCAGGGAAGAAAGCCATGCCGCCACCCAGGACGAGGGCGAAGAGGAAAGTAATACCAAGAGTGATACGCCACTGGGCGCTACCGTCAAGATCATAGGTACCCAGGTTGATGCAGTAGGCCAGGAAGATCCCCAAGGTGACGAACAGCTGGTAGCAACTGATCATCGCGCCGCGGATATGGCGGGGGGCGCTCTCCCCTTGGTACATAGGGACGAGGAGCGAGCAACCGCCGACACCGAGACCCGTCACCCAACGACCAACGACCATCTGCCACCAGTGACCCGACGGGGACGAGATCTGGACAATCAGACCGACGATGAGAATGGCACACCACACCGTGATGGACCACTTGCGGCCCAGGAAATCGGCGACGGGGGCTCCAACCAGAGCCCCGATCAAGGTTCCGATGGAGAGCAAGCCGACGATGAGACCGGCTCGAACGTCCGTCAGCATCCACCCATCTTTGCCTAGTTGACCGTACCGTCTCAGGTAGTCGTGCATCTCCTGGAATCCGGAAATCTGCCCGGTATCATAGCCAAAGAGCAAACCACCCATGGAGACGAAGAGGGCCATGACCAACGACCGCATGGTCAAACGCGGGACGGGCGTCTCCACGCTTGCGGGCTGCATCGGCTTCTGAATCGGACTGTTTTGGAACGATGTTTCGGCGCTCGACTGCTGTGTCTGCGGCACGGGGGCGACAGACTCCCCATGTTGGGCAGAAGATTCAATCCCCATAGTGTGAGGTGGTGAGGATCGTGGTTAAAAGAAAGGAAAGGACACCACAGAAGCAGAGAATGTCAGAAAGGGTGTCAGGAGAAGTTGCCCGTGGGGAAGAAAAAGAGAAGCAGTGTCGACACGGGGGAAAACGAGCCTTCTTGTACCCACGCAGGGACTGGCCATGATTTGTCCGAAACGAGTGGAGGAACGATGTGGGGAGGCGACTCGTGCGAGATGACGATGCTCATGGTGTCTGGCGCGAGGCGACGGGGCCTCAACCAGAGAAGAATCAATCCACCGGCCGAAAAGCAAGTCATACCGCCCGGACGAACCCACGGGAAGGGCAGGGGAAAACGCCAGCCAGCGCCGGTTCCAGCAGATGATCGGCTGTGGTTCGGCCATTCACACGCGCGGTCGGGTAGATTTCAAGGACCGAAAGGTTTTTGCCACGTCCCGCTCGGCGTGGTTCAGGACAGCCAAGGCCGTGCCGAGTGGCTTCGGGATTGAGGACAGTCCGGCGATCCAGCCTGACCGTCCCGACTGATCTCATGAGGCTTCTTTCCCTGGCATGTTTTGGGCAGCCAGGTTGTATGTATGTCTCGATTCACTCATGCACCGCCGGGTAAACTTTTCATTCTTTCTTGGAGTCTGGTGGGCCGGCCTGCAAGACCAGTCCGTACGGACTGTACGGAGTGCGTGCCGGGCATGCCGACCCCAGGCCCTCCGGATCCATACATAGCCAGGGCCCGACTCAATCCCGATCCGTACTTCGGTGAGTTGCCCTGCCCCGGGCCATGCCTCGCCAGAACCCCAGCACGTCAACGGCCAGGACTATTTGAGGGGAAAGCGCGGTTAAGCTGTATTAGGAGAGATTCGCAATCCCGCCATGGTGCCTACATCTTTCACACGCGATGTCTCCGAGCCTTCCGGAACAATCATGTACGCGACGCCGATGAAATTCTGTCAGTGGCGTCCGTGCCGCCGCCACACCCGCGCGGAGGTACGTCATTGCAGATTCTTCAGGGACGCCGATCCAATCCACCCAGATGAGAATCACAATGTGCCCACACGTCCAACCTCCGGCTTTGTGTCTATGTAGTCTTGAATCAATCCAGAGACAAGTCGCTATGATTGTCCTTACTTGTACTTCCGAGGACAGATCGGACCTGATCACAGGACCCGTGCTGAGTCATGCGGAGTAGATCTCCTCCGTGGCCGCCACGGTTTATCCGGGTCAACGATCAAGGGAAGCAAAGGAAAAGGGGGTTCTGGAGGAAACATGGACGCGTTCTAGACACGAACCCCGCCAACGGAGGTGACATGGCTCGCTGCCTCAGTCCGACGTAGGTTCTCCCCCACGAGCCCACGGGCAGCGTTGCTGTTGTTCGCGCCGCACTGTACAGACTGACTCCCTCTGCAAATTTGACGGTCCGATCAGTCGGTCGTCGATGGAAAAATTCCCGCGGTGGTGGCATCCCTGCCCGTTCAGCCACGCCGGTTTCCCCCCCTTGACGAATCCAGTAAGCGTAGTCGGTTTTAACCCCTCAAATGATTCCGGGGTGCAGCAGAAGACCGCCGTCTCGTTTATACACCAGCCGCTTGATCGCACCCCCGCCATTGCCCCCAAAGGAACACGGAAGGCGGCTGCGGGGCATGGAGCCAGCATTGATAGACGAATAGACGAAATGCCTCCAATTCCAAAACGGAGACTCGTCCGGCTTGTTTTGTCCGGTTCTCCATCTAGTGTCTACCGTGGCCATGCCATTGTTGCCATATAAGCTCGTTAAATCACTCCTTTTCTACTGGTAGACAATTTCACTGTATCCGCAATGAAGCCCCTGGTGATCCTATCTCTGGCCGGGCTGGTTTCCGCCCAAGTAGCGCCCTACGGTCAATGCGGCGGTAACGGCTATTCAGGATCCACAACTTGTGACAGCGGCTGGGTTTGCAAATATCAAAACGATTGGTATAGCCAGTGTCTGGCAGGTGGGTGCTTCAGATGATGAGGTATGAGCCCTTCCACTGATCCGCTTCAGCTACCGGCACCACCACAACGACCACAACGACCACCACCACAACCAAGAGAACCTCTACCAAGACATCATCGACCACCACCACCACTACCACCACCGCTGTCGCGACTGCAACGAGCTTTCCCAGTATCAACGGTCTCAACTTCACCATCGATGGAGAGACCAGCTATTTTGCCGGCACCAATTCGTACTGGATCGGTTTCCTCACCGATAATGATGATGTGGATCTCGTCATGAATCACCTGAATGAGTCGGACCTGCGCATTCTCCGGGTCTGGGGCTTCAACGATGTCAATACTGTCCCGTCCGCGGGGACCGTATACTACCAATTGCTCGCCAATGGCACCGCGACCATCAACACGGGAGCCGACGGCCTGCAGCGTCTGGACTATGTTGTCTCATCAGCGGAGCAGCACAATATCAAACTTATCATCAACTTTGTCAATAACTGGTCCGACTACGGGGGCATGGCGGCGTACGTCACCGCGTTTGGTGGTACGCAGACCGGCTGGTACACCAACGACGCCATCCAGGCCGCCTATCGCACCTATATCCAGACCGTCATTTCCCGTTACCGTGACTCCCCAGCCATCTTTGCCTGGGAGCTGGCCAACGAACCACGTTGCCAGGGATGCGATACATCAGTCATATACGACTGGGTGTCTTCCACTAGCGCGTACATCAAATCGTTGGACTCGAAGCACATGGTATGCATTGGCGACGGTAAGCTCATCCCATCGAGTTTGCACTGACGATCCCACATCTCACACGTCACCTCTAGAGGGGTTCGGCCTGGACACCGACTCTGATGGGAGCTATCCATACACCACGAGCGAGGGTCTGAATTTCACGCTAAACCTCGGCATCGACACCATCGACTTTGGAACCCTCCATCTGTACCCGTCCAGCTGTATGTGGTATTTCTTCGTCTCTTGTTCCTGAGCTACTGCTAAACTGATTGCAGGGGGTGAGGTGAACTCGTGGGGAAACGGCTGGATTACTGCCCACGGGGCCGCCTGTACGGCCGTGGGCAAGCCCTGTCTCTTAGAAGAATACGGCATGACGGCCAACCATTGTGCCATCGAGGCGCCGTGGCAGCAAACCGCGCTCGACACGAAGGGCATTGCCGCGGATATGTTCTGGCAGTATGGCGACACGTTGAGCACAGGCGAGACCTCCGATGATGGCAACACCATTTACTATGGCACCTCGGACTTTACGTGCTTGGTCACGGACCATGTGACGGCTATTGGGTCGTGAAGGATGAGATGGTTGAGAATGCTAGTTACCGTCGTAGAATCATTTTGGATCCTCTTAAAGGGTGATACTGTAGCTGAACACTATTTGCGATGAACTTCCTATCTGGTATATCCGTTATAGAGGTAGGAGACGTTCAGCGGTATCTGCATCACGCCTATTCACGTCCGCGCCACATTTCTCTTCATCTTTTAGAATGTATCCTCTAATCCACAGAAGTAAACTGTCGTGAACCTTGTATTTAGGCCTGTAATTCCATGTGCCCAAGCTATTTTCCGAAAGGTTCAACAGAAAATCGCCGTATTACGAGCACGTCGCAACGTTTACCGAGGTAACAGAGTGGATTTGTCAGGAACTAAAACTCAGGGCAGAAAGGAGTGGCATTGCATACAGGCAGCCGACAAAGCAAGGTGTATTAGCAAGACTTACGGCATATCCGTGGTTAGGCGCTGGTCTGACCGGTTATAGTTTCTTCAGCTTTAACCTTAACAAACGAATATTCACGCCCGTTGCCTTGCCGTCTTCGGATATATCAAAGACCCAATCGTCAAACCCCTGCCGTCCGTAAGTGATGCCGTCCAGGTTAGCCCAATCAAGAATGCACGGATCCAATACTGTATTGTTCACGATTTCAGGATGGAAGGAGGCACGGAAGCCTAGCCGTGAATCGTACGTCCCACGACCGTTTGATCGTTTGCTGACTGTTTTGAGAGTTGTGGGGTACAGTCGAGTAGTATTCCCAATCGAAAGCCCAGATGCTAGCAAGCCGTCTGGAGAGGTTCCAGGGCCCATCATTGGAACGCCGTTACTAGTAAGGGATCGAACAGTCAGGCCCGTGTGTCCTTTATATCCGGCCGCGATGACCACAGAGCTATTCGTAGCGTCGTCAATGTACGTGCCATTGAACGTAACACTAGCCTCCTCCTTAGCTTGCTCTTCCACAGCTGGCATTAAAATCTCGCCAATATTGACTTTCAACAAGGACCTAATTACCGCTGCGTTCGAGTCTGCTGTTCCAGCGGCAAGCACGGTGAAGCCAATCTGGTGCTCTGGTGATAGGACAACAGAAGAATGGTATGCATTCAAGTCTCCGTCCTTGGTATAGTACTGAACTAGGCGATTGTTGGACGACTCCAGGAATGTAATTTCCCACGGTGCACCCACTGCGGCACCCAAGTAGCCTGTCTGGATGCGTGGCTGCAACCAACGGCGAGTCTGCGCTGGAGGTAGCAGTGTTGACTGTAGGATTGCTTGGCCAGCTTTGACAAAGTCGCGGGTGGACATGTATACCCCACCGCCCGCATTGTCAGAGCCGATATCCCTTGCCCAGCCAGAAGTCAATAAGTCTCCTGGTATGACTCCACCGCTGGTAGGTGGCTTTATAAAGCTGCTTTGGCTCATATTAAGAGCACCAAAAATGGATTTCGTCATTGTTTCCTCGAGAGATTTGCCCGTAATGGACTCAAGCGCGTAACCGAGCAAATTGAATGCGATGTTGCTATAAGCCGGGGAATGTGATGATGGCCAGATAGGTGTTTTTTGGAACAGAAGATCAAAAAATTCTATCATGAGCCACATTAGCACCGTACTGAAATACACAAGTGCAAGCGAAAGGATATTGACGTACGCTTGCGAGTGCATGGTGGTTGCGTTAAGTTGCCATCACATAGAGGGAAGGCACTTTCCTTTAACTCGGGGAAGCCCAGAGCCACTAGATCTGCCGTAGGGTAATTGACGGACAAATCGTCCAGGTTGACTATTTGATGGCGACATCAGCTCGTACGTCTCTACAATGAGAGCGCTATCATGATACATACCATCCCGAGCAATACCAGCGGATTGGCTAGCAAGTTCACCCAACGTAACCTCTTCCCACCGCACATCTTCGATATCGTCGTAGACAGTATCAGTGTGGTAGCTCTTGTTTGCCAATTCTGGTACGTATTTGGTGATTGGATCGTTGAAACGCGAATCACCTAACTCCTTGAGGAAGGCCCAGACCGTGAAGACTTTTGAGGCACTTGCAAGGCGAAACACAGAATCCTCATTGACTTCTTTGACACTGACGTTTATCGGGGGAGTATAGTAGCGCTCGTATACTGTCCTGTTCTCCTTTGCCGAAAACACAGCTATCGCCCAAGCAGTATCATTCCCCTCCAGTCCCAAACTGCGGTTGGTGAGTTGGGCTTCAAACTCCAGTATGGCGTCGTGGAATAGAGTGCTATTTGACAGATGGGCAGGAGCAGGAAATGCTGGTCCAGCGAGGGGACAATCAGATCCCGGGCTATTTTCCGGCAACAGGGGATCAACACCTTGGCCCTGTGCATTGACGACCGCCGCCAGTGCCAAAGAAAGAGCACCTATAAGCAGCATTGAGTAGATGGAGATTTGAAGAATGAACTGGGGTGTGCGGAGTTCTCTCTACAGCTGTCAAGGAAGCAAGTCTCGTTGATGAATAGAGAAAGTATCGCTCGTGGGAACCAAATGGTAGTTATAGTTACAGTGAGACATTTCGATATTTGGTCGAGGCCCAGAAACCGGTAGGATTCACTGTTCGAGGTTAGAGACCCTTCAACAAGGAGGATCGGCTGAACGAAAAGTTAACCAGGTGGGATTGAGCGACGATCTAGCAGAATTGCGATATAGACCCTAAACGACGAACGATGAACGATAAACGAGGCATGGCTTTAGACGAGCAAGCCAATCATATAAGAGAGCTTATTGCCCACTTCTCCTTCATTGGCCCCCACCCGCCCCCAACGGCCCCCACGCACAGAGTAAGTGGCAGATCAATCAGCTTATTATTATTGCCACACTCGGTCAAATGTAGGACACCCCTTCTTGTGATCAACACAGTCGTTGTCAGGACTCGCACTGAGGCTTTTTTTTTCTCTGATATATTTAAAGGGAGCTTTGCTCATCTAAAAGTGCGAAATAAAACGCCAGTCGAGCACTATTAAAACAACATTGTGTTACCTTACGGAGTGTTCACAAAACCATACCAATATGCGCGCGTTTCTACACTCAACGCTCACCTTTCTTGCCTTTATTGGAGCCTCCCATGCCGAAGTCCGCCTCAAACAGCTTTATCAGTTTACCAAGCCGACAGACTGGGTCGAAAACATCGCCGTGCGCTCCAATGGTCACCTTCTTCTCACTACTTACAATGATGCAAGCTTATATTCGCTCGACCCCGAGGCACAAAATGCCGTTCCACAGCTGATAGCTCAGCTACCACATGCTACTGTCCTGACTGGCATCGCCGAGATTGGACCAGATGTCTTCGCCTTCGCTGGAGGTGACTTCAACATGACTGACTTCAGTTTCGAAGACAGTTCGGGACAGGTTGCTCTGATCAACTTAAATGGTTGTCAGAAGCACGGGTCTGTGTCTATTAAGACAGTAGCAAAGGTACCTGCTGCTAAGTTGCTCAACGGCCTAGTCGCTTTGCCGGAGCGCCCTGGTACTGTTCTTAGCTCAGACTCCAAGACGGGAACGATCTATCGAGTGGACACTCTTACCAGTCACGTTGACGTCGTGTTCCAAGACGAACGCCTTACCCCCAATTCAGACCCGAAGCAGATACCGCTTGGCGTCAACGGTCTCAAGATTTACAAAAGCTACCTCTACATGACGAACTCGGCACGCCAGTTTTTCGCACGGGTCAAGATCAATAGTGCTGGCGATCGGGTCGGAGACCTGGAGATTATCCAACTGCTTTCCAACTCTCAGCTGGTCCCAGACGACCTTGCAATTTCCAAGGACGGAACTGCGTTTATTGCCGCGCACCCCGACGCTATCGCCATTGTGACACCGCAGGGGAAGTTGTCTACGCTTGTGGCTAGCGGAAAACCTGGACAAAGTAACGTGACGCTCATTACGCCTACTTCTGTAGCATTAGGCAGAGACGAGAACACTCTGTTCGTTGTGACGGGAGGAAGCGCAAAAGCAGGAGGCCTAGGTGGACAAGTGGTGGCAATTTCATTCTGAAAGTCGTGTACTGCAAATTTCATGTCATAACTAACTGTGCGCTAAGAGGTGTCATGGGCAGGAACGCACAATATTTTGGGCCTTACACTTCGGAATGGGTCTACATCAATTATTTTCCCGCCACTTTCATCACATTTTGAATCTAAGAAGCTAAATCTATTTATGGGATATGGGCTGAGAAATCTACGTGGAGTCCGCTGTATAGGAAGACCACCGTAATCCTTAATCTGCGACCTATGCGTTACGTACATATTGCCACAGACTGGGCCATACGGCATGTCCGTGCCGTGTGCTTCATCGTGACAATTACAGCTCATAAGTCACGTTAACTATGACCTACTCGTGCGACACCTAGTTACTCCAATATTGGAAATATCTATCACCTCCTACGGCCATGGAGTACTCCGTAGATATCCTCAATCGCGTCTTGCTTACGGCGTCTTACCTAATTAGGTTTCAACTAACCTACCTAAAACTTACGCAATATTCGTGAACCGAGCCAGGCTGTGTACGGTTCAGCCCCAACCCCGCCTCGTTCCTCGTTCCTCGTTCAGACTCCCTTCTGTGGAAACAATTTAGAGAAACGAGGCAGTTCTACAATTTACGATATACGGCATTCCAGGGACACATTGAACGCCCACCAGTCTACCCTAGTAGCTAAAAATATGTCCCTACGAAGGGGCCATGTGAAGGTTTACCATAGGAAATCCCGCAAAGGTTGCGAAAGATGCAGAGCGCGAAGAGTGAAGGTAAGGAGTTTGCCATCCCCGCTAAGCATCATCATGTAACTCTTCTTTGGAACTGAGGGTCATAGACACTGACAGGTATGATCCATGGTAGTGCAACGAGGCCAAGCCCATTTGCCGCGACTGTGAGCGGCAAGGTGTCGCCTGCGTCTACACCCGTGAAAGTATTGAATTCGAACGTGATTATGTGTCCAATAGTATTGCGACTACTGTCAACAACCCAATCAATGTCAATTCAGCCACTGATCCCCCGACGCTGACTGCTGACCAGTCTGGTGACCTTCTTAGCCAAGGCGAACACCAGGCCGGGGACAATGCTATAGAGCACGGAGAGTCGAGGATGCGTCGCATTCTAGAAGTGGAACTGATGCTCTTCTACGTTACTACGACCGGCCCGTCAATTCCCTTCGACAACAAAACCTCATACGACTTATTTGTCAAGGCAATTCCTCGCATGGCGCTCAAATCGGACGCCTTACTCTACACTGTCTATGCATTTGCTTCCCTCCACCGCACTAAGACCACAGGAGGGGACGACCCAGCTATCCCTTCGCCGACCACCGTCGCATTGGCGCGCGAGCATTATCAGCTCTATGTGCAACTCGCATTCCAGCGCCATCATCAGGAACTGTCGCAGTTGTCGCGCCAAAATGTGGACCTGGTGGTCATGACGGCAAACTTGATGCGATTGATTGCCTTTTTCATGCTATCGGAGCGTACACTGGAGCCCTACGCACCGCCTCTCGACTGGCTTCAAATTACAAAAAGCCACGCAAGAGTCTTCCGGACGGCTTGGGACCTCATCGGCGAAGACAGTTCCACTCAAACCGCCAAACTTATCCGTGCAACTCCAATAGTTTGGAACCATGAAGAGCGTGAGGGAACAGACAAGCGCCAGGATCTACAATATATCCTTCTATTCCGAATTGCAGGAGACCCTGAAGATGACCCAGTTTCTTGGGATGCTGGGACACGGCGAGCGTACGAATCGACACTCAGTTACATTGGCGGCATATGGCAATCCGTGCAGCGGAACGAGCCGCTAGGGCCCATTGGGCGGATGCTAGTATTATTCCCCATACTGGTTGACAAGCGCTTCATTGAGCTTGTTAGTGAAGCCCGTCCTCGCGCACTGGTGGTAATGGCGCACTATTTTGCACTCGTCACAATTCTGCGCTCTTTTTGGTTCGTTGGAAACACAGGCTTTCGTGAAGTTAAAGCTATTGCAAAGTATATCCCTGCGCCTTGGAAAGATCTGCTAGATTGGCCCCTGCATGTTGTTCAGCAAGGTCTGCCATACTGCCCAACACCTGGGCCGCCTCCGGAGAGTTAATGTCGTCGGGATACAGTCGATTTCTAGCGTCCCCTGTGACTGTGCTAATCCGCTATAGAACCAGCAACTATATCATTCCCCTATACTCTATACTACCCCACAGGGGTATTTGAGCTTGGGGCGGGCGGCATTAGGGCGGGCGCGCTGAGTGGACAGAAAAAAAGGGGCACGTGGGCCCAGGAGAAATATTCTTTGAACCCCAGGCTCCTTTACTGTCGTAGAAATCCAGGTCTGTCTAGTTTGAAAATTAAATATGTTATACAGCGGCAATTAATTTATTCGCAGTTTTTAATTTTATCTAAACTCGAATTAGAAGGGGTGGTTGTAGGGATGTCAAGTGATCAAGTTATTTTAATGTGGTGCCACTTTTAGGCAGCGCCCGACCAGCATCACCATCAACAGCGTCCACTTAGTTAACTTATCATCTTTAGAATTAGTCAGAAGCAGCGGAAGTATACGTCCCGGTAGGAGGGGGAAGGGAATCTAGGGGCTTAAATTTAACTTACGATTTCAATTTCCTTGCGATTGTAGTAGTTTAAGTTATCAACTACTATCAGAATACATCCCGCGATCAAGGATATATATATACCCCCACTTCCATGATGACGACCATTCCTCCCTCTTTGGCCGACAATCAATAAACCTTCCAATCCCGATGGCCACCCCGTGATGAAACCTGAGGCTGATCTCCATGCAGCATCCCGGCCCAGTCTGAGGATCCAAACCCCCAACCTGTCCACTTCGTCACATCACTCTTGGCCCCCGAGGAGTGCTCGATCGGCTTGATCAAACCGGGCCGGGCTCGTCTCCAAGTCCTCGAAAATGCTGCCTTACAGCTCCTGCGCAAGAAGCAAATCTGCTTGCACGCTCTCGCTGCCACGACCAGAATGGCCGCAGCTGATCTCGGGCCCCATGTCCCACGGGCTATAGCATCGACGCTGATCTTCGCTCAGCAGGAGGCCGGCACAGCCGTGTGTATCGACTCTCGCGGGTGGATCGTGACCTGTGCCCATTGTTTCGGGGAGTCTCCTCAGGAATGGCGTGCGCAACGGTACAAGTGGCTCCTCTATTACTCCGGACTCGCGGTCCAGGCTGAATGCCGCGCGTGGGATGCCCGGCGTGATCTCGCCCTGGCCAAAGTGATTCGCATGGAATCGCCAGAGGCACAAGGACACAGACTACCTCGGTTTACATTTACCTTCTTGGCAACGCGCAGTACCAACCGGGACCGGATTCTGTGTACTGGGCATCCCGGGGCAGACGACCTTGAATCGGCCTCGCCGCGCAAGGCCGATTACGACCTAGTGGAAATCTTCCAAGGTCGCCATCGCGGCATGGTTCCAGGTGCGGACCTGCACGATAACTCGGAAATAGGTGCGTTGAAGCATGATGCGTGGACGTACTGGGGCCACTCAGGTGCGCCGCTCTTGCGTTGGGCAGACGGCACACTGCTAGGTCTTCATTCTTCCTGGGATGATACCACGGCGGTGAGACACGGAGTCCCCCTGGTTGCCATCAGGGAGTTTCTGATGGCTTCACCTCCTTCCCCCCCGGGGCGAACGGATCGGACTCTCGCTGGCCCCGCAGGAGACGAGCACAACGGAACGAGAGGTACTTGTCGTTGACAGCTCAAATTGAAGTGTGGTATAAATACACTGGCTTGGCTACTGTATGGTACCGCAGATATTGTATGCTACAATGCAGATGAGAAATATCTATACATATTGCATCCCCACTCGGACCCAACAAAATCCCTTCACCCCCCGGCGCTCACGGCATTTCGCGTACTTCGTCGCGATTGAAGACAGGGGCTGTTGCACATGGATTGGCGCTCAGGGAACAAAATGCTTTTCTTCAGGGTCGGAGGGCGAAGGTTGCTTTGGGTCGGTTGCTTTGGGTCCAGCTACTTCCGGTCTCTCACGTTGTCAGTTTCGAGGGCAGGGGCAGTGATGGATTCTGGGCGTGGCGTGGCGTGGCGTGCGCGAACTGGTACTGATACGTGTTCGAAAGGGCGGTGGGCGCTAACGACTTTTCAGTTTATCGGGTAGTTCGGCCGGAGTTTCGGGCGTGGTGAAGGAGGAGGAGGAGTCGTAGTGGTCGACCGCGTCGGTGGGCGGGCCCCGGTAGTTGTGATAACCCCAGATGCCATACCAGACAGCCGCAATCAGGACGAAACCTGAAAATACAACGGACGCGTAGTTCATGCTCTGCAGGCTAACAGGGACCATTGATGGCATGCAAAACAAGGGAATGGCGAGGAGACTCCAGGCTATGCAATACAAACGAGGATTAGTACGGGGATCGACAAGGGCACCAACCAGAACTTACCGATGGCAACGACATTAGCGACTGCGCCGACGACACCAAAGTTGAAGCTGCCATGCTTAATATCCTCACGCCGGCGGAAGAACAGGGAGACGGCGATGGGACAGGCATAACTCGTGGTCAGGAAGATGACGCCCACACCCGAAAAGGCATTGTAAGCCGCGGTCGAACCAAAGTAGATCAAGCCCAGGGCGATCTCGATGGCCATGCCAAGCGCCAGCGCGTTGAGTGGAATATCAAACCGTTTGTTGACCGTGCGCCACCACTTGGACCCGGGGATGCCGCCGTCGCGCGCAAAGGCCCAGGTACAGCGGGACGTCGCCGTCACACAGCCGACGCCGCAAATGACCCCCAGCACGAGCAAGGGGATCAGCAGACAGAACGTGCCCGCCTCGTTGCCGATAGCTTGTTTAAATATCTCGGGGGTGGGCTGGGCGGACGCGAGGTTGACTAGGTACGGGAGATCGTGCATGACGAAACAGACGGGGACCAAAAAGAGCAGACCGGCGACGGTGTTGATGATGACGGTCCCGACCATGGCCTTGGGCACCATGATGGCAGGTTCCTGCACCTCCTCACAGAGCCTGTGATGGTTAGCCTTTATCCCGGATCAGGGGTTGAGACGTGCGACTCACGAAATGATCATTCCCGTGGCCGAGGTGGCATAGGCGGCATGGAGCAGACCGATGCAGAACGACCAGCCTGGTATCCATCCTGATCGTGGCTCAAAGTGGCCAAACACCCATGCGCCGGAGTTGCGGCCCTGCTTGGCCACGGCGAGCAGACAGACGACAATGGCGACGAGTCCCACCATGGTCCAGAAGATGGCAAAAGTCTAGGAAAGTTAGCGCACGACCTCCCATCCGGCACGGGTGGGGACTTACCTCCAGCCAGGGCAGCCATTTGTTGCCAAATGCGGAGATGGCGTGGGTGAGCAAAGTGAGGGCCAGGAAGATGAGGAAAGTTTGGTAAGGCTGGAAGTTTTCGGTGATGCCGGTGCCGGTCGAATCGGTGAAGACGTTGAGGCAGGAGACGAAGAAAAGGGTGGTTCCAAAGTTGACGGCGAGGGTAATGGTGATGTTGCCCGCGACGTAGGACCAGCCACAGATCCATGAGGCGACGCGGCGGCACCACACGGGCGACAGCACGAAGGTCTGATAGTAGACACCGCCGGAGGTTGGGAAGACAGAGGTGATCTCGGCCAGCGAGAGGGCGACGCAGAAGATCATGCACGAGACCACGACCCAGCCCCAGACGACATTGGCCGGCCCTCCGCCGGCCAGCGGGTAGAAGAGGGTGGTGGACAGGCCATACGGGACGGACGACAGGATGAAGCACATAAAGGTCACCTGCCAGATGGACCGGTTGCGCGCCAGCTCGGGCGTGTAGCCCATGTCTTCCAGCGTGCGGTCGGCCTGGGCCGTGGTAGTGCCAGCCTCCTCACGCGCCACCGAGACCCGCGAGGCGCGGCGAGACTCCTCCGGGGCAATCATGACGACCGGGAAGTAGAAGTAAGTAGGAGAGGGTGTATGGTTTGGTCTTCCAGCATGGAGGAGACGAGAAGAAGGGTGCAAAGAACTATTGCCGGCAACACAACAAACAGCAACACGGCAAAACCATCAGAAAAGAAACAGAGAGAAACCAAAACTCCCCGGCCGGTGGAGAAAACCAAGACCAGAACAACTATGAAAACCCCGAGCGGAAGTCACGTGACGCCAAGACACGGGAATTGGCCAATCGGCACGAGTCCGCCAGGGATGGTTGGATGGTTATTTCTTCTCATTCAGAGAGAGGATGGAGGCGGATGGTTGTTGGTCAGTCCCGGCTGTGGCGGCAGAGTAATGAGCTCATGCGGCCTTTTTCGTTGCCATCCGTCGGTCTTGGAGTTTGACTAACGAGTTACGTTATTGGAACTCGGCCTGGGGCGGATGATTATTCATACTAATAGACGGCGGACCGCTCTCGACACGATCCATGGGTTCACGCCATGTGGCGAATGCGTTGTGCCTCTATCCGGCGTTGTACAATAATAATGCCTGCATTAAGTCAATGGCCACCTTTACATAGCGCCGGGTGGGCCGATCCGCCTTGCAGGATCCCATACGCCGTGGCTTCCTGGCCACCGGGGAAGCCTTCCGGCCCAACCCCACTCATGATGCGGGAGCGACAACACCTACGATGCATCACCAGGTACCTGCCGTAGAAGCGCGCTTGCAAAAGGAAAAGTGAGGCAGTGCAATCGGGGGTTTCAGGTGAGCTTAAGTGTTTCTTGGTGACACCCCAGACGGAGTGTCGTAGTGTCGTAGAATCGTGTCTAGATGTTTTGCGTCGATCCAATCAGGGTATCGGCGCCACCATCTACGAGCGTTCATCTGAACCGCCCCAGATGGCTTAGTCGCGACAATCATAATTAAGCTTATTCCGATTGTGTTGTGCGCAAAACTAAATCAAGCGTGGACGCACACCAGCATCACGTCAATAACGACACACAGAGGATATATGGCTGAGATGAAGCAGGGTTTCGTCTCTGATCTTGCCAGCTGAGCCATCGGGAAAAGCCAAGCACGTCCACTGTACTCGGTACTCGAGCTTGTGGGTGTTGCGTGGCGCTGTCGCGGGGTACTACTACCCTGGCCCAAACCCTGAACACTTGAGCTTCACCAGGATAGAAAAACCAGAGAAGTGAGCTTTTTTCCTTGGATTTCTTAAGTCGGGCTACAATACGAAACCGATATACTCCTCGCAATGACAGCTAATGATAAATGGATGTTTTACATGGACGAACGACGTTGATCTCCCAGAACCACTGCATGGACCCTGTGGTACCTTTTTTTTTAACATGGGGATTGTTTCCTTTGCAAGCTGTTTTCCCTGTGATTATGAACGAGGCACCCCTCCCGATCGTATTGCTCCGTCTAGTCAGCAACAGATGAAACAGACAGGGTCTGTTTGAATTGAACAAAAGGTGGTCCGGAAATATTGGGTGTATTTTTTTTTTCTAATCTGGCAAGACAATCCCATGTATCTGTACTTTCCCTACGTACCCTTAGGCCCAGGCGATAGAAATACTACTCCTGCGACTTTATCCCTGCATTTTTATCTCCTATACTAAAATCGCTAGCTTTTATCCTTACTATTAAAAGCATAGTACTTATTACGAAGACAGATGGACACCAAAGGCATGAGCTAGTAATGAATGTATTTACGTGAAAGGAATTTTGTTTCTTTCTGATAACTCTCTGACGAAAGAGGCGGCCTGTGATAGCAAGCATTGCCGTTTTGGGTGCCGCCTCGTATCACCCTATCCTCAATTGGAATAGTGTCAAAGTATGTCAGCGTTACGATTGGGACTAATCTACATCCGGCCTAGACTATATTGCCTTCGCGCACTGTCATTGCTTCGTTTGCGCCCTGATAAGACCAAACGCTCCTTACTCCAGTCCGGCCCCTGGTCGTGGTCCTCCTAGTGGCTGTAAGTCAACTCTTGGATGATTTCTACCGGACCGGTAGCCGGACCGGTGCCTGAAGGGGTAGCCGACACAGGCTGGCTTAACGGTGCCTTCGGTATCGACGACCCAAGATGTCGTCCTCTGTGGCGGCCGACCGGTCTGTGCCGGTGTGGCTGCGGCTTTTGTTGCTGAAATTCGACTGATGTTGAGGTGCCTAGATTGAGGGAGGAATTCTCACTGCTGATGGAAAGATACGAAAGGCCTGGCCCTAGGCTATAGGAATATGGGTGTCTATCTGCACTGAACTGTGATGACTTTGGTCAACGAGTAGTAGAAATGCACTGCCTAGAAAGATACTCAATTTATAGAAAGATTCTTCGCTTAGTTCGAAAATGATCCATACGTCTTATCAGGCTCGTGGTCTTACCCCGGACTCGGCCCATTTAATATTAGCGTGCCGGGGCCTCCACCTGTCGTTCCCGCCCCTATCCATTCATCCGTCGCGAGTATGTCACCCCTCGATCTCGCGGGAGCACTCACATTAGTATAAAATGTCCGCACCCCTCCCCCCCAACCCGAGGATCTTCCCATCCCTTTTTCCTTCGATCGCTCACCACGGCGACAATGGAAGAACCCACGCCCGCCCATGTGGCCACGCAATCCCCGACGGAAAAAGGCCAAGCGGTGCGTGCGTTGGTCGAGGCCGATTATCTAGACGACCGCTATGAGACTACCAAGCGCGGTCTCAAGAATCGCCATGTGCAGCTGATCGCCCTAGGCGGCTCGATTGGAACCGGTGAGTGTCGGGAGATCCCGTGAACTATGGTCATGCTAACCTATGTTATTCGACAGGTCTTTTCGTGGGATCTGGCCAGTCGCTAGCCGTTGGCGGTCCGGCCTCCCTCCTGTTGGGCTATTTGTTCATCTCCAGTCTCGTATATTCTATAGTCACTGCGATCGCAGAGGTCGGCGCCTACCTGCCCGTCCACGGCGGCACAATGAGTTATCACGGGTTCCGATACGTGTCACGCAGTCTAGGTTTCGCGATGGGATATCTCTACTGGTACTCCTTGGGTATTCTCGTTCCCTATGAAATCACGGCGGCCGGCCTGGTCATTGGGTACTGGGATCCAAACAATGCCACGGTGCCCATCGCCGTCTGGATCACGATCATGATGGTTGTTATCATCGGCCTCAACTTTCTGCCCGTCAACATTTACGGCGAGTCTGAGTTTTGGTTCTCAGGTATCAAGATTATCACCCTGGTCGGGCTATTGATTTTGTCGTTCATCCTCTTCTGGGGTGGCGGGCCCGATAGAGTACTACTGGGATTCCATTATTGGAAACATCCGGGGTCATTCAATGAGTACCTATTGACAGGGGGTACGGGGCGCTTCGTGGGCCTGTTGAAATGTACCGTCTCTAGCGCCATTGCCTTCATCTTCGCGCCGGAGCTGATCATCATCAGCGCTGGCGAGATGAAGTCACCGCGACGCAACGTACCCCGGGCGGCTCGTTCATATATTTACCGGCTGATCTTCTTTTACATCTTCGCCGTGATAGCCATCGGTGTTATCTGTCCATCCAATAACAGTCGCCTGACACAAGGAGGTGATACGGCCAAGTCGTCCCCATTTGTGGTCGGCATTCAAAATGCCGGTATCCCCGTTCTGGACAGCATTGTCAACGCTGCTGTGCTGACCTCTGCTTGGTCCGCGGGCAATTCATTCTTATATATGTCTTCCCGCTCACTATACTCCCTGGCCATGTCCGGCAACGCTCCCAGCATCTTCAAAGCGTGCAACCGATGGGGTGTGCCCTACTACGCCGTGGGCGTGTCCGCGTGCTTTTCGGCGCTGGCTTATCTGTCAGTTGGCAACTCCAGCTCCGTCGTCTTCAACTGGCTCATCAACTTCACCAACACATCGGGGTTCATCTCTTGGATTTGCTGCTGCATCGTGTATTTCCGGTTCCGCAAGGCTATCCAGGCTCAAGGCATCGAGCAGCCGTACTACGCAGCCATACAGCCGTACGGCGCGTATTGGGGAATAGCGGTTGCGTCCCTCATGCTACTCATCAACGGCTTCACCGTCTTCTTTCCGTCTCAGTGGTCGGTCAGTAACTTCTTCACCGCTTACATCGGCATTCCTGCGTTTCTGGTCCTGTATTTTGGGCATCGCTTGTTATACTGGCGGGACCCTTGGGCCTGGCGTCCGGAGGAGGTGGACATGCAAACCGGTATTGCCGAGATCATCGCTGCGGAAGAGCCTGCCCCGCCGCGAGGGAAATGGTGGAAATTGTGGTAGGCAACTGGGAGACCCAATGGGGTAGGCGATGAGAACGGCGGTGTTGGTGGTTATCTTGTTATACTTCCTTTTTCTGTTCTTTGTCAAGTATAGTTTCCGAAATGATGTCTATAAGCCTCAAGGCCAATCGGCCCGGCCCCCTCGGTCTTATCGGGTCTATTTCCAATTATTGATGGTCTTCCGCAACCGAATTATGGCTTATCAGACCCACGCGTCCCGAAGATAAGCTCCAACAGAGCTTCGACCCCGGCAATTGGTTTTTGGGCTTTTGATTCTCTTCGGCATACGCCGTGAGCCGCAAAGATTGCTAATGCGAAGTAATCTGCTCAGATTTGCTGTCTGGCAGCATAAAAGCCAGTTTATACGATCTCTCTTGACCGGATCTGAGCTTCGCTCTCGTCCAGCCATGCCCGCGTACCGGATTTCTGTTCGACCGTTGCAGCCCCCTGCTGGGTCTGATATTGACTTTGGGGCAGAAATTGAGGGAGTTGATCTAGAACATTTAAATGGTAGGCATATGTCACCCTCCGCTGTTGGTGCACTCCTAATCGCCAACAGAACAGCAGTTTGCCACCGTCCGCGATGCCCTCTATCGCCACCATGTCATCATCTTCAGGAACCAGCACAAGCTTTCCCCCAAAGCTCAGTACGAACTCACTAGGCGTTTTGATCCGGCATCGCACAACTATGGGCATGGCCAAACCCTTGATGCCAAGCGCAGCATCTTGCACCCTGACCTGAAGACTATTCCCCACCAGCCGCAGGTCCAGGTCATCGGCAATGGTCTTGTTCCATCCTATGAGGGACTCGAGAACGTCCAGTTAAGACATCCGCACCACCGAACGTTTCATCGGGATCATATTCCCGACGATAAGGACTATGATTTCACTCGTTTCTACCGCTGGCACATCGATGCTGCTCTGTACGACCTCTATCCACCAAAAGTAACCACCCTCATGGCCGTGAAGGTACCAAAGGGCCGCCGGCAAACTCTACTGTATGATGATGGCTCGGACGAAACGCTCGATGTACCTTTGGGCACCACAGCATTTGTGAGTGGTGAGCGCATGTTTGATTTATTGTCGCCAGAGGATAAGGAGTTTGTACGGTGGAGCAAAGTCGAATACGCACCACACCCGTAAGACAGCCCCTTCTTGTATAGTCATTGTGGGAATCATTGCTGACCTCTCTGGGAAGATATATCTGGATGAGTCCCGCCCGGGCCTTATCTACTGGTTTGGGTCTACACTCCGAGGGCCGTGAACTCCCAGACTCAGAATTGCCGCCTATTGATGCCAACAAGATTATGATCTTTCCCATGGCCTGGAAGAATCCAGTGACTGGAAAGCTGGCTTTGCAGATCCACCCGTCGGCCGTCCGTCGGATCCATTGCGCAGATGGCAAGGTGATCGACGATCTCACTCGGGTTCGCGACATTGTCTATAAGCTACAACGACCGGCGATAAGTCCCCAATATGTGTATGCCCACGACTGGGAAGAAGGAGACGTTGTTCTGTTCAATAATCGTGGTGTTCTTCATTCCGTGGTAGGTGCCTTTAAGCCGGAGGAGGTGCGATTATTTCGGCAGTGCAACCTGGCTGCCTCTGAGCCTCCAGTAGGGCCTTGATTTTGGTTCAATTTCTATCAAAGTCAAGCTACATAAAAATCTGGTGTTGTTTATGTTGGTATATTCATCAGCCTGCAAGGTAATTTTGCCATTAAATTCCCTGTTCGTCTATTTGGCGCCAACAGCGTTCAGAAATATATAAGGTCCAGAAACCATATTAAATAAAACATAGAGGACATATTATAGATGGGAGGTATAGCTATTTATAATACATGAAAAGCAACATGAGGAACACGACATGGAGACAGGCTCATCGGACAATATAGAAACCACTTGTAGCAACGTGCTTCTCCCTTATTCCATCTGTCATCGACCGGACCCCGAGGCGATGCAACGGCACCTGCCCTACTAGCTTCTGGCCCTGTGCGCGCGCATTGCTATATCCCGCACGTGTACGGTCCTTCCATCCTGTCGCTGGCTGTGGAAGCTCACGCGAGCTTGGCCTGTCTGGTGCCCACGCCTGGTGAACTAGAGTATTCTCCACAATAGATGCATCGTATACATCCGCCAACATAGCAGCTTCCGCTGCCGCCTCCTGCGCTTCAGCCAGTTGCTGACTGGTGCTTCCAGTCGGAGGTGGGATGCCTGCACGAAGGAACCCCATCACTCGAACCTCCAGCTTAGTAGTCTGCAGGGGAACTTCGCCCAAGAGACGTAGCGCCACTACACGTTTGGCTATCTGAGCCACGTTGACTCGTGCGGCCTGTAGCGGATCCAGAGGTTGCACTGATAGAATCATGGGACACCACGGGCCAAACGAAACGTCTTTTCCAGAACTGACATCAAACCGAGCCCAGCCAAAAAAATACCCCCGGAGCTGCTCAAGCACCCAGTCAGGGACTTTTGAGAGAGCTAGTCGAGGAGTATCAAATGAGGCCACAGGAGAGGTCATCTGGCCAATCTGGGCGCGGGCCTTGAACTCCATGGGGAACGGATCCTGGGGGCCATTTTCAATAGCGATCAGGGCAGGCTCGGAGCTTTCCGCCGGATTGTTGTCCTCCTGGACCTGGACTCCTCGAGTGGCATCGGGGGATGGATTAAACGCTTCACCCACTCGATCCTGGATTCCAGTGGTAGAATAGGCAGTTTTGGCTGCCGCTTGTGTCACCCACGAGGGGCGATAAGGGTTGACTTTGGACTGGATGGCAGACTTGACAGGTGCCACTACGGTTTGAGCAGCAGTCTGTGCATATAATCCAGCGACCATCGCCCCGACCTCCAGCGGCAGGGTGCTCAGACTAGCACCACGTATTGAACTGGGACTAGCTGATGTTGAGAGCACACGGAAAACAGGACTATTTGCAAGAACCTTCTTTTTGAGTCCCTGACAGCATACAAGCTGGAAATACCCATCGCCTGCCTCAGCTGGGATACGCACAACAGCTGTCTCGCGCAATTGATGCGTGTCGCGTGGCCGCGAGGGTGCCTTTTTGCGGAATTTCTTGATATCTCGCTGCCACGCGCGTTCATCGTCGGGGTTGACTTGGCCGGCCATCAATGGCACGGACGGAGTGACATCCACCCAGCCATCGCGCAAATGAAGCAATGATTTGGCACGCATTCCGGTCTTTCCGGTCCACCCTTTGCTTTGCAGCCAATAGGTTCGGTCTGGAGGCAACGGGGCATCCGAGAAGATTGACACTGCGACGGACGTGCCAATGCCGCGATAGAAAACAATCCCCGAAGAGTGGCGGAGAATGGTAAAATGCTTGTTGGATTCGGCTGGGTGGTCAATCAGACCTCCCAGGAAGTGTCGTGCCTCGCCATATGCCTTTTGAATAGGGGTTGGAGAGGCAGGTGGAGGTGTAGAAGAGGGCGTTGGCCCTGCACTCCTTGGCCGAGGAAGTGGTCCAGGTGACTGTGGCTGTCCAGCATAGAGATCTGTATAGGATGGGGGCTGTGCTGGCACAAGATTTGGAGACGGTGAGGCATGAGGCGGCAAGGTTGATGACGGATGATCGACACCTGCCGCGGCCCGCAGATTCGGGTTGGACACCGGCTTCCGGCTGATGCGGAATGCGTCAGGCGGGCGATCGGGATGCAGATACTCGTCGGTGGCCATGGGGAATTAATTATGGAGTATGGATTATGAATGGAAATAACGATGCATCCAGCAAGGGATCGTCATCGACCAGGAGCTAGCTCTCGGCGGCTGCTCTTATTGGTTACAACGGGGCTGAGTCAGGTTGGTGCCTGAGGCAATAGGGTCGTATAGTTCATGGTCAACAACTACGACATGACTATGAGCTTTTGACCCGTGGCAAAGGGGCTAAGCAGAATTATTATATTTCCAGCGCATCTTTCAATCCGTTCATTCGGTTGAAACCAAGGACAAGGTCAATCTCGTACAACTCGATTAACTGAGCCGCGCTCCTCACATGGTTGAAATGGGCGAGCGACGTCGCCTGGCAGGGCTGCGTTACCCTTGACCCTGGTCGGCCAGGGTTCTAAACGTAACCCAGCGTTGAGTGATGCTCTCCCAGCCGACTTCGCTGTAATAAAATATTTGCTTAAGAAGGTGCCGAGATAGCGGTCCATGAGATTCGGAATTTCAATGAAAGCAATCTGTGGGTGGAACATTCGCTCTAATATTGCTACACTTGTCACCTTCGATCTTTAGAGACGCAGAGCGAATTCATAGAGACCGGTCGGCAAAACAATGTAGTTCGAAGTACGAGCACAGGTCGCCACAGCTGGCTCTCTGACAGGCTCTTGGAGCATAAATCAAGTTATAGCAGGCCTTTATCAAACGCCATTAGATCGAAGAACCATGGCTTATTGCACTGAAGGCGAGTGTCGAAACGCAAACAAAAGTCGTTCCGAGCAACAGGCTCATGTCCGGGCGAAATCGCATGCCATGAAAATTGTCCCTTTAATCGGCGTGTCGTAGTACGAACTGATCTCCACAAAGCCATACTTCCGATATAACTGTTGTGCCGCGGCCATCTCTGGCAGCGTGTCGAGTCGAATGCCACGATACCCCAACGCTTTTGCGCGGTCGAGGATGGCCTCTACCAGCCGTTCACCAAGTCTTGCGCCGCGTGCCTCCTGGAGGACGTACAGCCGTTTCATCTCGCACCAGTTGTCGGAGCTATCGCGAAGAGCAACGCATCCGACTGCGGTGGAGGGATGCGATCCCAGTGCATCTGATGAAGTTTGATCTGGTGGATTGCAACCTGGTTGTTTTTCCGCTCGTGCAATCAAGAGTGCACCTCGTTGAGATTCCGCATACTTCCCGGGCAGGGAGTCGAGCTCACCCTGAAACTGCTGGAAGGTGAGGTCGATGCCTAGAGATGCAGCATAGCCGGAAAACAGGGCGAGAATTGCACCAGCATCCTCGGGAAAGCGTGCCGCCTCAATGTGGATGGCCATCCGGGAAGGGTAAGTTCGCCAATCCATCCGGCGGAGACGAACAACAACTTTAGGCCACGCGATGACTCATCCAGTCGAACACCTTCCGTCGCTCCAACTGATTCAGCCACGTTACTATCTGCCATTCCTTCGCGTCAGTGGCGTGCATTCTTCGGCGCCACTGGTTCCGTCGTATCTTCCGTGGACACGTCCAAAGGGGGTCGATGTCAGTGCGATCTATGGGGTCCAGTACGAGGCCCTGCAGAGCATCAAGCATGGATATGACCCGCCCAATCTGGTCAGGCACGCCTTGGTGCAACCGTGAACAGAATGAAATTAAACATAGTATCAGAAGATGGAATCTAGCCAAATGCAATAACCCTGCGAAACTCCTTTGCACCGTCAAAGATCAAACCCCCATCTATCAAAGCTCGGACGGTCAGGTCCCGTCGCTATATGCTCGTCGCAAGAACCTTGCCATCGTCATTTGAGCGACGTTATGTACCGTGATCCATGATTTACTGATAGGTGACATCGAATTCGGTGTCGCTTTGGATGCTAACCTCGGCCAACACCTTGCCGTTTTGCTGAATTTCTAGGATCGCTGCATCGTTCACGCCGAAGGCTTCATTATGGCTGGACTTGGCCTGAGCACCGCTAAACGTGATCTGGTCAAAGTTGACCAAGGCCACCATGGATGAACCAGAGTTGAAATCCTCAACAATCCACTCAGCATTTTGACCAGCCAAGGTCGCGGCCGTGGAGGGCGCCGACAGCGTCGTGGTGACACTCTGACCGGAAGACTGATTCTCTAGGATGGCGACGCCCTTGCTCGGCGAGGAGGACTCGACCTTGGCGAAGATGACATCGCCTGCGGACACATCCAAGTCGAAGTTTTCTGCGTTGTTGGGATACCACTCGTACCAGGCATCAAACGTGACGGTGCCATTTTCAGTCCAGAAATCCACGCCGGTCTGCAAAATTGCATCGGCATACGTGTCACCGTCAATGCCGACCCACGCGGAAGCAGCCTGCATATTCCCGGAGTTGTCGGTAGCTGTCGGACTCGGGACAGTAAATGTCGCGGAGACCGCGGTATAGGTACCGCTGGGAGGCGGCTGTTCACGAACAACACCAGCCCAGTTCTTGCTGTATTGGATGCTGGACGCTCCAGAACCCTCCTTGAGGAGGATACCATTCTCCTCAGCAATGCTGTCGATCTTGTTAAGCGGTAGAGACTGGCGTGCCAGGGCACCGCGCTTCTCTAGACGCTCAGCCAGGCCGGTTCGGGGCGCAGCGAGGGAGCTACCAGCCAGCATGGCGGCAGTGAGAGCCGTAGTGGTGAGCTTCATGTTGACTGTAGCAGCAGTTTAGAGGGTCGAGGACCAGAAGAAGATGCCACAACAAGAAACAGAACTGTGGCGTGAGTAACCTGACCAAATCTGGGCCTGGTATCAACGCCGAGTCTTATATAGTTCGCTCCGATTCAAGTTGCATGCGGCACATCATCGCCTCAGGGACGCATGGGGAAATGGTTCGCGTGTTATGTAGCTTTTGATCTGTGTCTCCAGAACCCTCGTCTGAGACAATATCAGGGACCCGCAGGGAGAGTGGAGGGGCCGATCTGGCATTGACCAAGGCACCGGACCAGTTGAAAATGGGGAAATCCAGTCTATTGGCTGGGTTGGTGCTGTCTCCCTGTTGATCTTCGCCATTTTGTCCATTCTGTCCATCACAATGGCACATCAGCGGGCTTAGGGTGCACTTCCGTTATCGGCATGAGGCCAGAGGTGAGGATACAGCCTGACCCACCGATGGCGTGTCTGCGGGGCAGGAGCATTCCTCACGCACCGTAGCATCTGACAGTGAAGATCGAGATGTTGAGGTGCGACGGAAAAGTCAAGGATCGACGTTGTAAACGCCCGATCTCTGGAGCCACCAGATCTGTCAATCTTGGGTCGGCCACAATTTCCGATCGGACGACAATACCCATTGTTCGTCAATGCATCCTATAATGCAATTAAACTCCAAGCGATCGATCTTTTTATCCAGAATGTCAGCTCATTCCGCGCATCTCAAGTGTCGAGGGAGCGCAGGCCATATGACCATTTTCTATAGCAGAAACAACATCGTGTCCAAAAATGACTGCAGTAGCAAGGCAGCACCAAGCATGTGATTCACGGTAAAAGCCAAATACTGTAGAACAAAATGATTTCTGGCAAATGTCCGTCCAGCCGACGTCATCGCAGAAATGGGGTTAGCGTACATACCAGACACTGGAGCAGCATTCCCCAGTCGGGTCATTGTTGCTTCGATTGGCCCACGCCGCCTATGGATCGCCGGAAACACAGGACACTGTCGATATCTTCTTGACTCGATCTCGGATGCCCTCATGCGGCGTTGCTCCCAGTACGCGGCAGAAACATTCCATAGTAGCAGATGATCGTGGTTGATTGAAGCCAATTTTTCATCTGATCAGCACACCGGGTGAAGTGATCATCATTTTCGCATATTTATCTGCGAGTCAGTCGGCTCCAGTTCTGATGGTGGTCCCGCGATGGTGTGTCATGACCAACACCGTTGATGCTCATCCATGCTGGGAAGCTCCTGTTGCGATTGTGTACAAGCACGAAATTGCACAGAAACAGACATGCCCGCGGAGTCAACATGAAAAGCTGGAGCGGAAGGGTTCTATACATCAAAATTGAACGAGGAGTAAGATGCAAAGGACTCGATGCGACCATTTGAGTTTGATTATCCAAAAAGGTAGAATGTATTAAGTAACAAGAGAACAAAGATGTTTCGGGAGAAGGGCTGTTATACACCTTGTGTCACGCCATTTGACTCTGATCATAGGGCTATACTTCTGGCTGGTCGAAGAAAATATTCAGAGAAAGATAATTCTCTGGCTTGGTAGTTGACGAGTTTGCTCGTAGTTTTTAAAGGACAAGTACTCATCATCACATGGGAAGTCGGCGCATTTCGTCGAGGCTCCAGTACTTGCGCATATTTTCTGCGCCAAGTGTCTGGACCTCCTCATCCAAATGAGCCCACAAAACCTTACCAAAACCCTCCATCAGTCGCTTCACTTCTTCTCGACGCAGATCCTCTTCGCCTGACCGGCATTTCTCAAGGTAGGCTTCGAGTTTCTCGAGTCCAGCATGGATCTGCTTGTGCTGGCGAAGCAAATCGAGTTCTTTCCGGAACTCGGGCATCTTTTTCGCCAGGACGGGGAAAATGTGTTGTTCTTCAATGGAATGATGAAAATCCAGCTGTGAACAAAATTGTAGGCCCATAAGAATCATCTGGCGGGCCGATATCCCACCTGGGCGTTTCCCGGTGGCTGTGCAGGCGTCCCACAGCTGATTCCATGTTAAGCGGAAGTGGGAATGCTGTATTTGTTTTATAAGCACTTGAGAGGCCTCGGAATAGAAAATGGTTTCGAGCTTACGAATTGGTCCATGTGCTCCGACATGCGATTGTATGCCCGAAATTCACTCGCGGACAGCGGAGCTGAGGCCTTCTCGGTGCTTTCCGGACATGCCGAGCTGCTATTCTTTTGAAACGGCATTGGAATAGTTGAAAACGGTCTGGCAGCAACGGGGATGGTGAACAGATAAGCTGCAAGAGCTGGCTGGCCACGGGAAAGCGGCGGGGCTAGGATCGAGCGAAATCCGCGCATGGGAGGTCGGCAGTTGTGTTTGAGCCACAGCCGAAGGTAGCTGGTCTGCAGAATCACAATCGGCCAATCTCAAATCCCAGATAAGTCGCTGAGGCTATCATAAAGGAGCCGTCATGGGCATGGAAGAAAAGTTTAGGGGGATCCGACGGAGAGCGGATGATGAGAAACGGGCACTTCTGATTCGGCGGCGGGGTCTTCCAGGGTCATCGGCATTAAAGAGTCCAACTCACCGGGTTTCCGATGTGCGAGAACATGGGAAATCCGGATTTAAAAGGGGTTGATTAAAGGAGACAAACGAAAGCTGCAAACCTCCGGTCAAAATATAACTATTATGACAGTAATAACTTGACTCGGTATGGCCTGCCATGTAATAATCATAAGGAAATAATGGCACGAACTTAGCAACTGTACTCGCTTTTAAAAGAGTTGATTGTGATTATGCAGTTGTCGTTCTATTAATGAAAAACGGGACAAATCGATTGAGCACAGCCAAATAAAAACAAGTCTACGAAGATAGCATGTCCCAGATCTTCAATGGACGTGTGCCACCTCGGCAGGTGCCGTTGGACACAAATCTAGTACTCACTGGCTTGGGAGAATTCTCCGTTCAATATAAGCACTTCTTCGGCACAACCACAGCCATGGAAAGGCAGGATCGCAATTTGACATCCGTGCTAACGGGCAATGCTGAAAGAGAACGAAGACGGTCAGTAGAAGCGTCAAAACACAAGTGGTATATTATTATCAATACACATCGTGGAGCCGGTCACGCGAGAAGATGGTAAGAGAATAGTGAGACAAGAAGCCGCCGGCACGGGGAATCGAGAATTAGAAAGTAATAAATCATGACGCCATGGATGAAAGAAGGAGTTTCATTCAAAGTTCGGAGTGGACAGCCTCCGGTTCGGAGAACCGTATACCGCCCTTGAGCTCCTGCCAGGCTAGATCGAAGCGCGCACCCATCAGCCAGGCCACGAACATCTAGATCGAGTCAGTCACCCCCAGAATCACGTCGGATTTGCATGTACATACCATCGAAAAAGCAACGAAAAAGATGACGGCACCCATCAGGGCCATCATGAAATAGACGTCCTGCTTGGATTCTTCATTCTCCTGCTTCCTCTCCTGCTCTTCCTTGGTCAGTTCACCCTTCAACCGGCGCTTGACCTCATCCGCATTCTGGGATGGGAATATGCTCTCAATGAACTTCTCAATCTGCAGCATATACATTAGTACCCCTGTCAGCACCTTTAGATAGCTCAAACTCACCTTGCCGCACACAATGCTGATCTTCAGGAAATTGGGGTCCTTGGGGGTGTTCTTCTGGTGAATCTTGCGCGTGTAGATCCGGAAGGTGTCGCACAAAACTCGGAGGTTCTGCGTTGACTGGGTCATGAGGTTGCAAGCTTCCCCCTTGGTGATCTTGATATTTCGTTCGAAGAGGGCTGGGTTTCGGAAACACAGTTCCATAGTGGCAATAGCCATCGATTGCGGGATGGCGCAAAAGTTGAAGACGCTCTGCTCCCGCAGGCCAGCAAGGTAGAACAGACACTCCTCCGCATGTTCCAAGGCATTAAGAATCATCTCAGAGCTGCAGTTCAGGGCGGCCTCGCGGTTCTCCGGCTTGAACAGATCCTCAAATTGGTCGACGTGGTTAGACCAGATCTCCTTGGGCCAGAAGCGTCGGTTGTCGTCAAAGTCCTCGCGAATGTCACGGATGATATTAGTCTTCTGCAGGAAGAGACCCATTGATTTATGCAGCTGCGGGCGCTTCAGCAGAGCAGGGTTGCCGAACTCCGCCTCGACGAACAAGCGGGTCAGACCCTCGCCGACTAGGCCCGCCACGTAGTAGCAGTACAGGTCGTATTCCTCCACGGTCTTCACGCTAGCGTCATCTAGCGCGGCCTTGCGGCAGTAGTCGGCCATACCGTTCCCCATTTTATCGGTGATATCCTTGATGATAGCTTGGTAGGCCGGCTTCATATTCTTGAACTCGGTGATCACATTGTGAAACTGAACCAGCAGCTCACGATCCTTCTCCTCCGGCCGATTCCCATCAAAGGTCCAGCCATCTTTCGTCAGGATATCTTTAAAATTCCGGAGGAGAGGTTCCTTGGTCTCCAGAGGAATTGAGGTGTCATCTTCAATGGTATCCAGACCCCGAAGCACCAGGTAGAACACACACACCGGGAGCAGCAGTTCGGGATGTAGCTCCTTGATCACGGCGCTGAAACTCCGACTGGTTTGATCCAGGAACTTGAAACAGATCTTCTGCGTCTCGGTCTCATCGTTCACATTCCGCTCATGGGGCGGGTTGTGCCAGACTTTCCTGTGTCAAGAAAATGGTGAGCGGAAGGTCAGGAAACCAGTAGTCCAGAGGCAGCTTCATACGAACCATTGAAGAATCGCCCTCAACTCAAATGGGTGAAAGGTATAGTAGAGGACATTGCCGATGACGCCCATGGTGTGCGGGTGCGGAGACGCGCAGGTGCGGGAGCTGGGAGGATTGGAATTCAAGGCCCAACAGAGGCTCAATTACAAGAGCGTAGAAGGGTAATAATGAAAAAAGAGAGAAGAAATTGAGGACAGAGGCAAGGAAAGGTGAATTGGGGAGGAGGTGAAGAGGCAGAGAGGATGAAGGGAAAAGGAAAAGGGGGAAGTGAGAGAAGCGAGATGGAGAAGAAGCGAGAAAAATCGCTTACCGCCGACAGTCAGCAGCAGTGATCCCGTGACCTGAAGACTCCCCGCCGCATGACGATTGGAAGGACCATCAGGCAGAAAAAGAAACAACAATCAACTCTCTCTCTCCCTCTCTCTCTCTGAGTTCTTCCAGCTCATCCTCTCGGCCTGCATCAAGGGCCCTTACCTCCCACGATGGTCGCGGACACTGCATACTACGACGTTTTGGGCGTGCCACCCACTGCCTCTGAGCTCGAGATCAAGAAGGCGTACCGGAAGCTGGCCATTACCACTCACCCAGGTATGACACGCGGAGATCACCGTGGTTGAATTAAGCAGTACTGATGCACTCCACAGACAAGAACCCCGGCGATGAAACAGCACACGAAAGGTTCCAGGCGGTACGCGCGGGTTCTCTAAGTAGAAAGTGCAGCAAGCTAATATCATCGCATGATAGATCGGAGAGGCCTACCAAGTCCTCAGCAATGAGGATCTTCGAAAGCGCTATGATAAGTTTGGCAAGGAAGATGCCATGCCAGGTGGTGGCTTTGGTGAGCCCACAATTCTGGAGCTGGCGAGCATGGCCACGTTACTGACCTCTTTTTCTTCTCCCCGACAGAGGACCCGTCCGAGTTCTTCAGCATGATTTTTGGTGGTGACGCGTTTGTCGATCTTATTGGAGAGATCTCGCTCATGAAGGACCTGACTGCGACGATGGACATCACCGTGGAACAGATGGAGGAAGAAGAGCTAGCCGCGTCAGCCGAGCAAAAACTGAACATTCACGAGGAGGAAGTCAAGGCCGCCGGTGCAGACAGCGCACCTACCGCCGAATCCCACGCAACGACAGCGGGAGCGTCGGAGGCGCAGCCTCATATGCCCTCGGAGACGTCCGCCCAGAGCTCTGGTACTAGCACCCCTCGACGATACCTCGGCCAGCAGGCCATCATGGACAAGTCGGAAGAAGAGGCGCGCATGGAGGCAGCAGGCCTGTCACAGGAAGAGAAGGAATTGCGCAAGAAGGAGAAGAAGAAGGGTCTGTCCAAGGAGCAACAGGAGCGCCTGGCCGCCTTCGAGGAAGAACGGAGGAAAGCGCGGGAGGAGCGTGTCAATACCCTGGCAAACAAGCTCATCGACCGCGTCAGCGTGTGGACCGAGACCGATAAAGGCAAGGATGTGACGCACGCATTCGAAGAGAAGATTCGGCTGGAGGTTGAGAACCTGAAGATGGAGTCTTTTGGCCTCGAGATTTTGCACGCCGTCGGTGCCACCTACGTGCAGAAAGGTACATCGTTCCTCAAATCGCAGAAGTTCCTCGGCATTTCCGGCTTCTTCTCCCGGCTGAAGGATAAGGGCACGCTGGCAAAGGAGACATGGACGACCATCTCCACGGCGATTGAGGCGCAGATGACCATGGAGGAAATGGCCAAGCTGGAGGAACGGGGCGGCGAGGACTGGACAGATGAAAAGAAGGCCGAGTACGAGAAGAGAGTCACAGGCAAGATTCTGGCTGCGGCATGGCGCGGCAGCAAGTTTGAGATCCAGAGTGTCCTGCGCGATGTGTGTGACCAGATTCTGGGTGACAAGAAGGTCCGACTGGAAAAGCGCATCGAACGTGCTCATGCACTGGTGCTTGCTGGCAACATCTACGCAAAGGTATGATGGTGCTCTGGCAATTTCTGCATTCGATTGTACTAACTTATCGTCAGGCTGAACGCGACCCCGAGGAGGAAGGCGATTATATGGCCTTTGAACAGCTCATGGCCGAGGCTATGTCCAAGAAGGGCAAGGATGAGAAGAAAAAGAAGAAGTCGAAGCATGGCTTCGGGCACGGCCATGAGCAGTCCGAGGTGGAGGAAGCCCCCGCGGCTTAATCCTTCTTTCTGTCTGTCTTTTGTCTCTCCTTCCGCCGGTTTTTTTTTTTTTTACCTGGACATACATGCGCGGTCTGCTGTGTTTTTTTGGGGCTCGAATTGATGGTCCTCTTCTTAATTTCCCAGCGACCTTGCGGCCAACCCTCGGTTGAATGAGGCGCAAAGGTTGTTCGAGTGATAGAATGCTTTATATACCTTGGTATCCATACCGTTCGATTATCTACTTCGATAAAAAGATATGCACACCTGCCATTACATCTTCATTTTGTATATTCACTCAAGAGGTATCAACAAACTTAAAAATTACTCCACGGATTCAGTATGATTAATTAATTGCTCCTACGCAGCATTATTATCCTACTACCTGGCCCGATATCATTCATCCGAAATAAATGATAAGACGTGGTGTTGGTGACGGTGGGCAGCTGACACGGTTACTCGTCGCAATTCGCACGGTGTTCGACAACGGTGTTCAGGCAATGCGGGTGCTTTCGCCACTGAGCTCAGCGCTCTGGCCGGCCGAGGGTGAAGAGGCTTCATGCAACTGTGGCTGGTTATGGAGCGCCTCAGCTTCCTGTGTAGACGGATCTGACGCAACCACAGGGGCCCTACTCATCGGCACGTCTTGTGCCGGCGGACCTGCACCCGCCGGTACATCTGCAGCCTGAGACTTTCTCAAGGACTGATACCCTGGCCATTCCGAGGCCAGTACACCGCAGAGCGTCAAGATAATCAGGATGAATAGGGCGGTGAATAGCAACCTGAGAAGAGGCAATCCGGTATTAGTTGTTGCGGCCGTTAACAGGGAAATAACTCACCAGAGAAGCACTGCAAATGCAATTGCAGCGTTCACGGCGTCCGATGTGCTGGTGCCACCGCCGAGATAGGAGGCAATATCAGCGAAAGAGGCCAACCAGAACACCATGGTGAGGAAGTAGACGGCCGTGAAGACGATGCTGAGGGTCATGTTCAGCTTCGCGCTGCAGCCTTTGCGCGTGTAAAACCATGGCAGGAACAGCAACGCCCCGCTGGCCAGCATGGTCCAGACCGCGGTAAAGACGAGGAAGGAGACGATGGGCGGAGCGCTGATGTTGATATTTTCGTAGCCATAGCCATAATAATAGGAAACTTGGTTCGATGCGGTCCAAGCAGATATAGCAGAGGCGCCTAAGCCCAGCTCGATAATTGAAAAGACCAACGACGTGCCTAGTATGGCATAGAGGGCGATGTCGAGCACCAGCATGGTGAGCGGAGGGCGAGCAAGAACAAAAGAGAGGCAAAAGTAACCGCCTGCACCCCAGGCCAGGGCGGCTTACTCTTTATGTATCAACTATTGTTGATTTGTCCCCACCCGTGCAAACATACTTGGGGTGCTTTTTCCCGAGTCTCGTATTGCCCCCGTGGGCCTCATCCAGTGGTACATACTTCCGGCGCCCTCGTATCCTCAAGGATCAGCCTTATCTCGCATGAGGAATCAATCCCGTTCGTATTGAGTGCCACCAAACTCTGTTGCAGCGCCTGGTCTGGCCAGCCAGCATGGCTCTTGAGCGGCCAAGACAACATGGCGTCCGTACCCACCCAAATCGGTGCGGGTAAGCGAGGATCGTATGTCGGGCTGCCATGAATGCCAGGATGCCTCCATGCCGTGCTAGTGAGGCGGTGGGCGGTGGGCGGCCAGTATCGCGGCCACATCAGCTTCTGTTTTTGAAAATGCAGTAAAAATAGATTATCTGTGAGGTTCTGGGAGGCCTAGGAGGGCGAAGGTGGCCGGCATCGGGTCAGGGAAGGAGGGGTGGCCGGGCAACGTTTGGAAAAAGGGGGTACATAGTCTACCATACAGATTACTATGTGGTATGGCGTACTAAGGTTTTTTTCTGGTGTCGAGGGCGGACGTCAGCGGTAAATCCTTAACTATGGGATTAGTCGGTTTGGCCCTTTTGAGACGATTGACTACAGGGGGAGGGGGGTCTTATAATAATAACGGAGATCGTCTGCTGGACATTTGCATTATTATTGACTGATATGACTGACTGAGGCCGTAACTTCGGGTTTCGGTCGCGACTGGGCACACAGGAAAGATCTATTTTGAGAGCAACAACATGCCAAATACCCAACCACACATCGTAGCATTATTTAGGGCTTACAGCTAAGTCCCCGATAACAAAATGCATTTGCGCCAGGGCGGCCGTTTCTGGCGTCGCTGGAGGCCGAAAATAGGTACAGCCTAGTACACACACGTGCCTGCGCACTACGACCACGCGCACGCACCTACCCCCTATAACGAGCAGCGGCGTAAGGATTCCTAGACACAGAGGGGTTTAAGAAATTTCCCCATTTCAAGGTCTCACAAGCCCACTGTCTCCAACTGGCGCTTTCAAAAAGAAATGACTTGCCAAGAGCCTGTCTGGTCTTTGAAAGACATATTGCTCAACAGAAATGACAAAACAGCAGAAATCAATGTTGTGTGCAAAGGCAAGTGTTTTCGCATCCAATTATCCCCAAGCAACTTCACGGAATCTCCACATATCCTGCGGCCATACATTCAGATGATGGATTTAGTACTCGATGACGATGACGAGGTTGTCGAGACAGCAGAGCAAGATTTACAGGAATGGGCTATAGAGCCCTTCTTAGCGATCTTCGACAAAATAGAGTCTCCCTCAAGCCGCGAGCCAGTCACTCTTCAGGAATATCTGACTCCCGAAACATATCGTTATATCCTCTGCGGTTCCGATGGGCGCCTGGAACCATTCTTGGATTATAACGTCCCAGAAGAGTCAATGTCCGATGGTCTCAACCTTAACGAGGTTAAACTCTCCCCAAGTTTGCTATCCTTCTGCCCTAGGCAGATTGAAATTCAGTCTACCAACTGTGAGGAACCCCTTTCTCGATTTCCTAAAAGGTGTCAGCCGGTGGAAATATCTACTTCTTTAAACCAGTGGACTCGGGGAACAAAAGAAGTGTACTGCGGGAAATCAATATCTACAGAAGGATGGAAGAATCATTTGAATCTAGAGATATGATGAACATGTCTCGTTTATACGGTGTGGTTCAGGACAATTTAAATGGTACCCTCATTGGACTCCTACTTTCTTGGATTGACTGCGATAACACCACTTTGGAGTGTGCTTTGACTCCTGACACACCTTTGGATTTGCGGGGAAAATGGGAGATGCAAGTGACAACTGCATTGTCTCATCTGCACAAGGCTGGAATAATTTGGGGCGACGCCAAAGCTGCAAATGTTCTGATTGATACGAATTATGACGCCTGGATCATCGATTTTGGAGGTAGATACACCCAAGGATGGGTTGATGAACATCGAATGGAGACAATTGATGGTGATCAAGAGGATCTTTCTAAAATTAAAGAGCTCCTCTGGGGAGAAACCTTGCCAAGGAAACGAGCCATGGAGGACGAGAGTGAGGCACACGAGGCCAGAAAGAACAGCACAAGATTTGGATTGACCACATGGTTTCTTATTTCAAAAGGTTATAATCAATGAATGGGATACATAAAGACAAAACTGAATTGGTCCCAAAGCCGTTGCCGGTAAGTGAAACGCTTAAAACGACGCCAAAGGCAGCCGTATCTGGCATCCCACTCACCGTCTCATCATTATGGGGAGTAACCTTTGCAAATTCAATAATATCTGTCAATATTTTTACTTCGGCCCTAAAGCACTACACTACCACCTCTCCCCATTCATAGCACTCGACGTAAAGATTGCCGTCTCTAAAGCACAGGCGAATCTTTTTGCTGCAACTCCCGCCTTTGCATGTAACGACGCCACTGTGCTTCATTAACAAACAAGATCTATCCAGAAAAAGGTAAATAAATACTCACAACAGGATTGAAGAAGTATACCGGGATTCCCAGCAAAAAAACACCGGCATTGACCGCCGTTAAGATCCCCATTGCAGTTGGGTAGCTATACTTGGCCACCATCGGATTCAGCCCGTAGCTAATTCCAAATGCAATGATGTTCTTAGTCCCAACAACCGCCACCAAGGCCGGGCCAGGATTTTGCTCCCAAGCTTCGGCCGCGAAGGAGGTAGAGAGAATTAGCACCGACACAAAGGTCACCTGGAACAATGCCCAGCCCATAAACGGTCCCCCCCAAGTGGCACTGCCTGCTGCCGTGAAACCGTAGAGCAGCAAGGAAATCACAGCTAAGATGCCAGGGAAGATCAGCAGAATCAACCTGTGCTCGGGGGCATGGACACCTTTAGAGCGTTTGGCCAAGCGCAAAATAAACCAGTCGCCAAACACTCCAGCGTACAACATTCCCCCAAATCCGCCAAATACACCACCAAGATTGATCAAGCCGACATTTTTGGCTGACCAGTCATAGCTCAGAAGCACGGTATCGTAGGTCAAAGACATTCCGATGCTGGATCCAAGTACCACGGACGACAATAAGGTGGCGTACAGAATCCCCGGGGAACTAAATGCTTCAAGCATGTGAAACCAGGCCATCAATATCGTTTGAACTGGGTGTTTTCCTGGCTTCTGACAGGGACGAAGCATCTGCAGATAGCTTTTCTTTGGTCGTGCTTCGTCCCGGATGGTCGACTCGTCATCTGCGTCCTGTACTTGTTGTAAATATGCCTGCGCCAGGGTACCAGCCAGTACACGTGTGACGCCGAACTGGTCCGTCACCACCAGCTGGCCGTTGAGGATTTGAGCTCGTCGATGGTAGCTCGTCTCGAAGCATCCAAAGAGAACGACTAGCAGGCCGACACCGACCGCAATGGCGTAAACCCAGTAGAACCACCTCCAGCCTAAAGCCGCAGCCTCGTAGGAACTGGCGATATTTAGACAGCTGGTAACCACATTCTGCGTTGCCCAGTATATTCCAAAGATCATGCCACGTTGGTGCACGAATGTCACTTCAGACAGCATTAGGGGAAGCAACTACAAGGAATTTGTGAGCATTTAGTTGGCTGAAACAATGAATAGACGAACCGATTCCGTAGCACCCGTAGCTAGGCCCTGGAGAATACGCAGGCCAAGATGTTGTCCAAATGTCTGTGAGACAGCACATCCAACAGTTGCAACCAGAAGTATTATAATAGAGGCTATTGTTGCCGGTCGCCGGCCATATACCAGGCCCAGGGGGAGGATCAAGTAATTTCCTGCATGGTCAGTCAAAGCAATTCAAACTTATCACAGACTGACTTACCAACGCCGACGAATAGAGATGGAAAAGTACCCAACCAGACAACTTCACTTATACTGATTCCTTCTGGAGTATACATCTGAATGAAGACGTTCAGAATGGCCCCCAGACCCCCTACCACTGACAATGACATGATTGCTGTGTACCAGAAGTCAGCCTTGGAATATAGATCTGAGTAGACAAAATTGACAACAAAAACAGACTCACAAAACCAGCAACAGCTGATGATAACGCCCATTTTCTCCCATGTCGTGAAATTCAATGGGTCATTTGGATCACTGCAGGGAACCGGTAGATGTTGAACCTCACCAGCCGCATCGACCAGCAGCTTATCCGTTACCTTCATATCCTGCGGCTTCACATTCTCTATAGACTCAACTGTGACCTTTTGATCTGCAGTGGCCATTATGGGCAAGGTACTGAGGCAACAAGGTGCTAGGATTCAAAATGACAAGAAAATTAACAGCAGAGATGGCACGGCTGTCTTTTCTGAGCCTGGCCCTTTCTCCTCTACATTCCCATTGTGCGGGGGGGTGCTATTATGGCCTGTCGATGCTCATGCCATTGCTGGTCCAAAACGGGGGGTAGGGGTTGGCGTGCTCTTTCCCCCACAATCGCCGGCATTCCTTTGTGGAGAATCTCCCCCACTCGCCGAAGGACCCATGTGAGTTCAACAACAGCTAATCACAGCGATTCTGGCTGACTGCTCATTTCCATAGAAGAGGGGAAACTACGGAAGTAGACGAAAGCTTCGAGGTGCTATTCAACCTGTGTTGCGGCATAATAGTTCAATTTGTACACTGGATTAAAAGAACATGCACTCCATCACGGCAGGTTTCCTAGATCCTCCATGAGGTCGCAGAGGTTTTGGATAATTGGTGGTAGTATATCGTCCGGCAATGGACGAGGACAATTTCCCTCAAATACCTGCCGCGCCACCGCCATGACAGAGCGCGGCTTGCTCAATTCGCAAAAGACTTCGACCTCGCCTTCTTGCCCGTTGCGATACTGGTACATCGTCAAGCCCGGTCGACCATGGTCATGACCTAAGAATGCTCTTGTGGCCTGGTGTTCTGGTCCATCTAATGCCACTAAAGGCGCCCCATCAGTCTCGCTCATTGGTGTACTCATTTCCAATCGTCGTGTCTCGCCACATTTAAGTAAACCGTATACCCATAGGACCAAGGCCGAGTGGTAAATAGCAAGTGAGTCAAACCCGCGCAGCTGGTATGCGCTCACAGAGCGAGCGGCACGGAGAACTTGGCCGGCATGCCAAATGCTGGTTCGAGCTCCCTTGGTGCGACTCCAATCTCTCAGGCCAGGATATGCGCGACGTGCATCCAGCTCTCCCAACTTACCTACAAATCGTTGGATGGCATCTACGTCCACATGCAAGTACATCATGATGAACTCCTGTAGTAGGGTAGTGACAGCCGGTGGGTTGAGCGATTCTGCCTGGACAGTTTTGAGAGTAGTATAACTTCAATGCTAATCAATATCCAAGTTAATCTAGCTCGTTGGTATCTCACTTACAGGTCTTCTTGTCTACTTTGTAGCCAGAGCTGCGTTGTGGCACGGGGCCCGGATTGATGTCCCTGAGAGAGCATCATTTGCTGTCGGAATTCCCATACCTGACTAGCCAAGCCATCAAGTAGTGCAGATCTGCTAATTTCACAATCATGCTCAACGGTAACATGCGTGGTAAGCGATGGGTCTGACAATAGATCTCTCAGACTCAACTCGGTAGTTTTCACCGCATGATACCTTGCTGTCCAGATGTCCTTCCATGCAGCCGCCGTGGGTGCCAGCCACAAATCGCGGGCAGCTGGAAATGGAAGCGTGAGTTCAGCATACGAGATGATTGCCGGGCGCTGCATCGCCATGGCGACTTCAATATCGTGACCAAAGAGGTGATACACCAATCTATGTATATTGATGAATTTTGTATTTTATCCAGTGGAAGGTACACATACCTTTTCAGAGACTCTTGCCGCACCCATTCGTGCCACACTTTTTGCAGTGATTCCTCATCGTCGCCCACCAAGTACGGCGTGATAACAGAGTATGTGGATCGATCGAATATAGCAGCGCGTCGAAGCGTCTGTATATAATTAGCTACCTATATGCAATAATCTTCTACTGCCTGTACCGTGCATAGTGGCTGGAGATAGCTTTCTGCAATCTGCATCTTGCGTTTATAGCCACAGAATATACCAATGTCGAGCCACAACATCGAAGCTTGCATGTACTGTAGATCTCGGAGGACGCTATTGTCATCTTCCACCTAACACATACCTGCCGTTAGTTTGAAATATAAAATGAAGAATAGATGGTCTTGCCAGTTGTGCCAGGCCAACCCTCGTAATTTCCTGAAGAATGATACCAGTCTTGTTGATGGACGGCAATCCACAGCAAACACACCCCGCTGCCACCAGAGCCGTCAGCAGCTCGGGTCGGATCTGCTGATCGTAAAATGTATATGGATGAATCCATGCATCTGTTTCAGTGCGTTTGCCAATACCGATTTTGATCAGAGTGTCCAAGTACTCCGCGGACGGAAACGACGAGACTGATAGTTGCGATCCCGCTGTCCTGATTACAAGCTTGAAGATATCGTCGCGTGCGTGCACAGATAGTTTGCCGGGTATATTCAGTGCCTCGAGACGAGTTTGGTGGTCGGATGGAATACGATCGCTGTCCCTCAGTGGGATCCTTCCCTCTTCGCTGAACGCATTCTGGTTCTTTTCCGGCACCCAGAGCCTATTTCCATTTAGTTTCAATTTCGATTGCTTCAGAGCAAGGACTTGTACCAGATTGAACGCTGGAAAGCCTCCACACGTCGTCTGGCTGATTCATGGACATCCAACATGGTGTCTTGGGTATGTTCAATTGTAGAGAAGGGCATCCGAGTGTCAAGAATTCGATCGAGATCTGGGATGAAGTCCGTCCCAAACAAATCAGAGTCAGAAAATGTGAAGTCAGTGTCCTGCATGAAGTCAAACACACTGCGAGGCTGCTGTGTCCCTTGCGGTACGCCATCAAATTCCACACTTGGTAGCATGACTTGCTCAAAAAAGGCCGGAAAACTATTCAGGGCTGGATAGACCTGCAGCCCTTCCTGGGCTAAGAATGGATCCATGGCCAGCTCGTAATGTGCTAGCTTAGAGCCGTATAGCTCGTGGCTACTCCCCGAATATTGGGCTGATGCTCGTGGAGCGCTGGGTTCAGATGGGCCTGACTCCGGGGTGGTGGTTATCGTCGTGAGCTCGCCATGGTCATGGTCGAATGGTGAGCACGGCGGCCCAAGTAGCGACCGTGACAGATGGTTCGTATTATGCGTCCGGCTAGTCCTCGGGACACAGGTAATGTCCTTTGTCTGGCATCGCTGGAGGAGCTCGTTAGTATCTGAAGGCTATCCAGGTGAGTACTTCATTTTGCTACCTTGCACGGCCGATCGTTGTCACAGCTCAGCTTTGCAGTTGCACAGGCCTCACAGGCTTCGATCGCACGTTCTCTCGGGCGCTTGGCGGTTGACGTGCTTTCTGCGGCATCTCTCTCATGCACCACCTGGTGGCGCTGGAGCACATCCCTGTTCACCAGTTAGGTCGACTGGCAACAAGATCAGGGGCAAATTCACCTGCGGTTGAAACCACGTTGGCAAGTATGGCACTGGTAGGTACGCTCATTGCGATCTTCACCCTCGCAGACGTGGTCAGAGGAATGTTTTTCCTCACACTAGAGATACTTACGGGAATCGAGATGGCGGACCAGATGATCAGGGCGTTCATATGCCTTGTCACAATGGGGACAGTGGTGGCCTCCGGGTGTCTTGCTCCGTAGAGAGCGTCGCGGGGTCTGGGCGAGGCCACTCATAGCCGACATGGACTTTGAGATGGGCAAAGCCGTGGGATGGTCGAGTCAAACTTATTAATTATCTAGCCTCGGGATCGCCCGCTTTTGCGGGCCACTTATTTTCTTACGCTCCGATGAAGCTAAATCGAGCATACCAATTATATATTCATTGTTTGCCATTTATCTGTGTTTATTTCGCATCTACTCCATTAAGCAGATACGAGTTTCTGTCGCTGCCACTCCTTAGCTCCCCGATACATGCAGTTGAAATCCATGAATTCGTCGGGTTTCCTGACTCTCTATTAATTATCTGTGGTCCTGTTTGAGGGTTACAATGACGTACATAGTGATTGCTTTATCTCCCTTGGTTGTCCCAGGCTTGGCTGCCTGCCGGCTATAAGCTTGAATTAAGCTCACTCGGGAATAACGGGCGTGGAAAACATCCTGTGATAACCATCAGCACGATTCAATGAAACTCAGTCATATGAATTTGCTTGTCGCACCCCTAGAATCTTTTCAAGTACGTCTTGGGACGGCGGCTTGTCGATATCTTCAAAAAAGGCCCCCAATGCTTCAGCGTCCTCGATTGCCTGGCTAGCCCCTTGGCCCTGTGTGGGAAGCATTGCATGGGCTGCATCTCCAATGAGAATGACGCGGCCACGGTGCCACGTCTTGAGCGGATCCTATAGAATGTTATCGACTGTGATCAACGAGTGAGATGCGACTATTTACAAGATCACGCAGCTGCCACAGCCCAATGTCTGCCGAGTGTCTATTTATCTGGTCAGCTATATTCAGAAATGAACCATAGGAGCTCCGCACTTGAAGATGTCGGTCACCCAGACAGGGAACTCGGCAAAAGTCTCCAGCATTTTCATCAAGTCTCCCTCTGAGACCCAGGACTGCTTTGCTTGAGGATCCTCGCTCATATCATCTGGATCGGTTAACATTCATTCGCGTCGTCGGCATTGAGTCATACCGTCCGGCACCAAAGCAACAATCCCGAACACTTCACCTTGTCTACCGGGACCCATAATCAAGCGACAATTATGCGCAATCATCATTGATGTAAAAGGATCACGCGGGTTGATTTTCTCGCAGAAAGATGGTTCATGCTCTTCCAGGACGTGCGTTGGTATCTAGTTTGATTAGTTTTATTGTACATTAACAACATCCCCAAACTGACCATAAGGCGATAAGCTACCCAAAAGAATCAATAAAATGTTACTGTTGAGGGTAAATACTAGGCGCTTACCGGAATGACCAGTTGGCATGGGCAAAGAGTCTTCGTATAGAACGTGTTTGCGAAGTACACTATGTCTAGACGGCCAAAATGTCAGTAGTCTTTTTTTTTGCCTCCCGCGATACATGGTCATGTTTCTTACATCCCGTCTGCCCCAATGATGAGATCACCTCTGACAACATCTCCATCCTCTAGAGTCACTGTTCCATTTTCTGGGTTGCAGTTGACAACCCGTGATGCAGTCCGCACTACAACCGGATTCCCACTACTCTCTGGAGACATAGCAGCTTCCTTCAAGGTCTCATGAAGGTCCTTCCGATGGAATAGGAGACGGTCTGCCCCGTACTCCGTCTTTGTCAACAACGGCACGGTTTTCACAAGCTGCCCATCTGTGTCGTAAATGCGAAAACCTTGATCCACCATCTCTCGGGCACGGCGCAGTTCTTTTTTCAGGCCCCATTTTGATTCTATTATTCGTGAAGCATTTGGTTGCAGCGAAATCAAGGCACCGATCTCCTTGTTCAGGCTCGACTGCTCCAGCACTGTGATTTGTCTGTTGCTCCCACGCAAAGCAATAGCAGCCGTGAAGCCCGCGATGCCACCTCCGACAATGACGATGCGAAACAGTGGCATGATTTTGTTTTCCTTGATGGCCAGCAAGCGAACAAGTTGCGGGCTCGTGCTATTTGACAATTCTCAATTCATGTCGATTGGTCCGTAGTAAACCCCCACATCGGCATACTCATATCCTCTCCGCGTTATGTCTCCCCCACCCCCACTTGCCGAGCACTGGGGCAACACGGACTTCGACCAAAAGAAAGCCAATGGAAATGGTTGCCGAGCTTGTGGATTACCACCGGTTCGTCGTGGGCACTATCTATGTGGCAAGTGAAATTTGCTGGGGGGCATTTTGATGATATAAGTCCCAGCAACCTCTGATCAGACAAGGCGACTATCAACCTGTTGAACTTGAACAAACAATTACAGTACGGAAATCAATTTAAACCATGTCTTCTACGGCTACTGTCACAAAGACTGCTCAAGCCAACCCGAATCTGCACGGCTTTGGCCGGATGCGTGTCGACGGGACTGACAGGCCATTCGGAGACTTCCGTGATGAGCTCACACGCAACGGATTTGCAGTGGTCAGGGGCGCTATTCCAAAGGAACGAGCCCTGAAATATGCCGATGAGATGTATTCATGGCTGGAGGGTTTGTATGGCCTCCACCCCAGTGCCACTGTGTTCAAGATCAACTAACGCCAAAGAAAGCAAACTTGGATTTGACCGGAATGACCTTTCGACTGTACACAAAGACAAGCTGCCCCTGATCAATGAGAAAGGCATGTGTCTTCACTACGCTTTGCCCCATGAAAGCTTTGTCTGGAGTGTGCGAAACGAACCAGGGGTCATCGGCACATTCGAGAAGATATATGATGATGAAGATCTCATCGTATCGTTTGACGCTATCAACTTCCAGTTCCCAAAGTAAGCATAGCAAGCAGAATAGTAACGTGACCAAACACTGACTCTTTCACAGCCGTACCGACATTGCTCCCAACAAGCCCTGGCCTCATCAAGATCAGGACCCAGCCAAGCACGGCTTCCGTTGCATGCAGGGCTTGGTGAACCTTTTGCCTAACGGACCCGACGACGGGGGCCTCATCGTCTGCCGTGGCGGGCACCTCCTATCTGAACAGTTCCACCGTGAGATGGCTGACGAGGAGCGGATCCCCGCGTGGACACCGGAGTGGTACGGGTTCACCGAGCGTGGGATGCAGTGGCTTTCCGACCACGGCTGCGAATGGGAAAAGGTCTGCGCGGAGCCCGGTGACCTGCTACTATGGGATTCGCGAACGCCGCACTACAATCTTAGCCCCAAGAACAATCAGCCCCGGTTTGCCATTTACACGTGCTATATGCCCGTCGCGGATGCCTCGCAGGACGATCTAAAGCGAAAGAAGGACGCTTTTGATCGCCGTGTCGGCACGACGCACTGGCCGAATGCGAAGCATACAGGATCCAATATCGCCCAGCGGGATGGTAAGGAAGATCCGCATAACCGCCTGGCGCCGGTCACTGAGCCTGTTTTCAATGAGCGGACTTTCAAGTTAACCGGCATTCCCTATATTCGCGAAGAGTCAACCCAGGCCGGTGGCGAGGCAAGTGTGCAGATCAAGGAGACCGCTGTTGCTGCATGAGAACGTGTATTTGTTGACTTGCTGGATTAACTTGGATTAACCCCAACAAATTGACATTCGGAAAGGTCCCGGGATCAAGCAGATGTGTAGAGTCGGTCTTGCCAAATCCCGCAGCTTAGATCTCTATTCCCCATTTTGGCTTATTAACAGAGACCGTACACTGCCCGGATCGTAGTCTTGCCGTGGTGGCACAAATCATGCCATTTGCTCATGATTTCATGTGAAAAAAACCCTTTAAGGCCTTTAGACTAGGGTAGAATATATTTAGCCAACCACATGTGTCCTAAACTCAGCGCGTCGAAAATCCCCACCGGCTTCTTGTCATCCGCGTCGATCGCCCTGCCTTATCTGCCGGCGGGCGACATTCTGCCGAGCTTCGATCGGTCGAGTCAGTCGTACGATGTCGGTTTTGCCCTGTCCGACCGAACTGCCGAGTATGCTTGCTATTATGCTTCAGTTATGCCTACTCAGGAAGCTTATCTGGGTTGGCGTTCTTCTAGTCCGCTTAACGTAGTGGTTCGGCCAAGGATGTCAGACCTCAGCTATAGAGCTGGGCCTTGCATTGGTGTGTCGATTCCAGCTCATATTCCGCATCGAAATATGAGAGGTTCTAGCTGTATACATTGTACTTATATTTTATCTGGATGTGCTGACCGCTATCCATGAATTTCTCCAATATGGGAGTTATGCTGAGAAGTGGATTAGGGCTGCCCCGCGCCGGGACCGTATCCTCGGTCCGCTCGCTTTTTCAAATGGGGGCTGCGGCATATGAAGACATGCATAATGAACACCATATCTTTGTTATGGTGCAATTTGAGGGTCATTGTCATCAAATACGCTGCATGGTCGATAGGGCTTATATGTTTTTCTTTTTGAGCTAACGGTGGCAGTGTATATAAGGACACGAGGTACCAGTGTTTGAACCCACACAAGCTATTCAAGAACGCCGACTTCATACTATACTTCCATATCCTCCATCCATCATGGCATGGCCTTTCATGCCACATAGCCTGATAAACTGGCTGTCCAAAAACCTGACAAATGCCTCGCCGAAACAGCGCGTGCTTTATGGCCTGCTAGGGCTGAGCGCCTACATGTCACTGGCGTCATTTCTGCGGTTCCAGAGACAACGAAAGTTGCAAAAGGAATATCCTTATCCGACTCGAGAGTCGATGGGCAAGATGACAGATCATGATGCCTGGGCCATTCAGAAACAGATCATGCAGATGGAATTCCCATCCATGGTGGTCAAGTCCTTACAGTTTGCTCTCTTCCGCGTACGCATCTTCCTTCCCGCATACATATTAAACTAGACTAATCTTGCTACAGACATATGGAATCCCAACTATATCGACATTATTGCTGAAGACATCGCAATTCTCCGACTCAGCCACCTCATTCAAGCGCTACGCAGACACAGGTGCCTTGATCGGCGAATTCATGGCCTTTGAGCCAAGCTCAGAGCGAGCACAAACGGCAATTGCTCGAACCAAATTTCTGCACAAGGGCTATCGAGCAAGTGGCAAGATCTTAGAAGATGACATGCTGTACACATTAAGCCTATTCGCAACGGAGCCGATCCGTTTCGTGGAGCGGTACGAATGGCGAAAAATGACCGACCTGGAACAATGTGCCGTGGGTACGTACTGGAAGAGTCTTGGTGACGCCCTGGGAATCAGCTATGATGTCCTACCCTCTGGCAAGACCGGCTTTCATGATGGGATCCACTGGCTGGATGAAGTCAGTGCCTGGAGCTTGCAGTACGAGAAGCTGCATATGAAGCCGCATCCACGCAACAAGGAGATTGCCGACAAGACCATTGACGTGCTCGTGTATAATCTGCCAGGTTTCATGAAGCCGCTAGGAGTATACGTTGTTTCGTTTTTGATGGATGATCGCCTGCGCAAGGCGATGATGTAAGTACAAATCTCTTTTATCATTCGGAAGCAAGACTGACAACGGTTGATTAGGATCGATCCAGCGCCACCGGCTTTTAGCGCAATGCTGTCTTCCCTAATTAGTATGCGCCGGGGTTATCTGCGTTACTTGGCACTCCCTCGACCAAATTTCATGCGTTTGGACGTCTTCAGCGAGAAGCCGAACAAGGACGGCAAGAATTTCTTGCTGAGGTACGAAGGCGCCCCATTCTATGTGCAGCCGACCATCTGGAACCGCTGGGGCCCTATGGCGTGGTTCAAATGGGTGATCGGGCAGCCGTTGCCAGGTGATGAGGGAAACAAGTATTATCCACAGGGATACTTTACGCCGGATCTGGGGCCTAAGTACTTCGAAGGCAAGGGACGGAAGGAGCTGGAAGTGATCAAGGAGAATTTGCGAGCTCAGCGGACAGGACGGTGCCCATTCCCGTGAGAGTAGTGCGGGATTTCTATGAGATTGCGATATATAATTTAACGAATGTGAGCTGGTGCTTCTTTGTTCGACTAAATGTCCTGGCGTAGTTATCCGGTGTCAATTAGTCGGTAGCTGAGAGGAGACCAAGGGACTATCAAGCGAGGTGAAAACATCGATATCGATCGGGATCAAGATAAGAGAGAGAGGAGTCGGTTCGATTTCTGTACAAGACCTCATTGACAATCAAGCTTGGGAAAGCATGCAAATACCAAATCCACAATCATGGGAGCGAAAATAAAAATCGGGTATCTATCAGGGTAGCCGGAATCAACATATTCAAAACATCAAATGTCCCTCGTAGGTAAAAAGCAGATCTATCGCTCAGAATCCAACATAGGTGACAAAGTCGAAAAGAGAGAGGAATGTGAAGAACACAACAGGTTATGTCCTAAGACAAAAGAGGATTTAAAAAGAGAGGTAGGGATGAGGCCGCTGAAGCATATAGTGACGTAAAAAGATCAGAAAAGATAGGAAGAGGGTATTGTGCGAAGATGTACAAACGAAAGGATATCAAGGGTTATCCCGCCTGGGGACGGTGGTGAAGAGAATGGCTTCATGTTGTGCCAGTCGATTCAGTCTGTTCAGCCGGCTCACTCGACTGATCGGGGGCACCTGTGGCATCGGGTGAATCAAATGGAATTTCCGGAGAAGGGAAAACAGAGCTGAATTCAGTGGAGGGGCTGAGCAGTCCCTGGTTGCTCTCGCCGAGCTCACCGAGTTCATCTGGAGACAATACCCGGCCACCTAGCTCGACATCTTGGACATGCACGTTGTATTCGAGCGCCCTGCGGCCCTCTTTAATGAGCTCCTCCGTCCAGCCGAGGCAGCGTTTGAGGCTTTGGTTCATTTTCTGACTGTCTACCAAAAGTTCTTGATGTCGGGCCACATCAAGTAACAAGCGTTTCTCGTCTTGGGCTCGATGTTTTGCATCGTGTTCTGCAAGAGAGCCCGGACTCATGACCCCTTCATCCGGGACAGAGTCTTCATCGCTGAACTCGGACTCATCCTGAGAGCGGACGGAGGACAGCTCACTGGTGCACTCGTCCACCTCGCTGGTAACTGAGAGAGCTGTTCCAGAGACGGAACGCATGGATGGTGCCATGGATATGCGTCCAGAACGGCTTAATCGGCGGTAGCGGCGAAGCTCTGCATTTTGTTTTCGCATTTCCCGCTCGAGCGTGCGATTGATGGCGAGCAGAGACGAATTGCTGATCTCCAAGTCCAGAATCTTGCGCTCGGTACGCGCATTAAGCGCCATATCATTTGCCGGCGCACCGGGCCCTTCTGACTTGCTGGGGCTCTGAGGGACGGGTGAAAGGGGTTCGGTTGAAGCTGAGGAACCATTGCTGAAGATACGAGGACGAAGGGTGGGGATTTGGTCTGACATGACCGGTGTCATGCCATCCGCACAAAACGTACCGGGCGAAACAATTATCGGACTCGCTCGTAAACTGTCAGGCGGCCGAGTTGTAGTGTCCACGCTGTATGATTTGCTGTGTCGACGACCAGTAGGAGGCTGCGGTGTGTCGGCCGTTATGCTTGGAGGAGAATTATAAAGGTGCGCAGCATTTTCAAGGACGTGGTCCGGGGTGGAACTGAGGTAGGATCGCGCGTCGTCTGCCGGCGAGGTGGAGCCCGGTAGCCTGGGTGATTTTAACCACGGGGAGGGAGAGGGACCAGGCTTGTTGCTAGGAATGGTACGAGGCAGGCCTCCCGAGCGGCGCCGAGCGGCAGAGGTTGTGTAATGGGTCTCCTCGGTGGCCGACTGCCGTTCTTCGTCACCGTTCGCGTAAAAGAAGCTGGATGACGGGGACACCTTCCCGGCAGGTTGGGAGCGAGCGGCATCCACATCGGAGACGTTGGGTGACCGTGAAGCATCAGAGGCATGAAAGAACATGCGAGATGCCGAGGATATGTCAGAGAACGAGCTCGGGCGTGACGGCTGCTGCTCCTCCGCCGTCAATGTTTTCGCCCTCAGGCTCCGTGGTTGTTCCGGCTTCACAGGCGCGCGGGCAGGGCTGCGCTCGCTCCGATGAGTCCCCGTCGCGTAAATAGGCTGGGAGTATGTTGTCTGGGGTGATTTTGCCCGAGATGGGGTATTCGAGGGAGACGTGTTGGTGCCATCCCGCCGCGTGTTGCGGGAACCCGATCGTGGGGTGACGTTGGTGCTGAGCAAGGTCGGTGCGCTCGCGAGGTCATCTTTGGAAGGAGTGGAATAGGGATCATGATGTGCCAGTCGGCGAGCTGCAGGCAAGGTGGGATTGGGGCTTGCCAGCTTCGGGGTCAGGGGCGACTTGGTGGAGCGGTGGAAGGCGGCGCTGAGGGACGGGGTGAAGGGTTTGGCAACATTGTGTTTATCGGAGGTCATGGTGGCGGAGCGCGAAGAGCAAGTGGCATTGCGCTCCGCAAGCAGTGAGCATGATGCACCGGGCTAAGAAGGACAAAATAGTAAGTGAGTGAGAGAGTTGGTGAGTGAGTTCGAAGATCCAGATCAAGTGACGAAAACAATTGGTGCCCGATCGGGTTTAGGGCGGGCCAAGGAATGTTTAGGTTCTGAGGTTGTTACTATAACTACCCGAAGTATAGAGCAATGGAGATGTATGTACATGATCATAATAATACCGCTGGACTATTGGAAAAATAGTCGCTTTTGCCGTAGATCGCCCTCGGGTCCAGACTGAGACGCTGTCTTTCGTTTGCGCCCTGGGGCGGGTACCCCCTGCGTGGTATCCTGGACAACCTCCCGGATGGTCTGCCGCGAGAGACAAAAGTCCACATGGTCATTGAAGACCCGGTCGTCGGCAACCTGCGGTCTCGCACAGATTGGACAGTCCCAAGTAGTAGTGATTTGATTGGTTTCTTCGGGGAGATCGGGGGCCTCTTGGCTCAGCTTCTCCAATTCATTCATCTCATCCTGGACCTCTTGACGCGCCGCCTCCTCAAAGGCCTCCTCGGCCCCGATGTCATGTTCAGGATTAGCATGCACGGCAGAAGACACGTTCAACTTCGGTTGCGCCGCGGCACCGAAGAAGTTGATGCCCGCTTTCTTGGTGCTGACCAAATGCGTGCACCGGAGACCGAGAAGCCGCAGCTTCATGTCAGGAATGTCCTTTTCCAGCTTCGCCAACATGGGCAACGCAAAATCGTACAGATCTTTTGCCTGGAATACAGCCCGAGGTGGTGCTGTCTGTCGGGTTAAGACCTCGAACGTGTGGAGCTTTACTTTCAAGACCAAAGTGCGTCCCTTGAACTGGGTTCGGGCCATATCCTTCTCCAGTTCCTGTGCCGTCCACCAGAGCTTCGCCCGCAGTTCCTCTTTATCCCCAATTTCATGGAATGTTGTCTCCGTCCCCACACTTTTTCGCTCGTAGTTCTCGACAGGCTGGATCTTGGTGCGGCCGAGGCCGAGGTAACACTGTGCAAGGAATTGGAAGGCCTTCTCCCCGAACAGCTTGGTCAACAGGGCTCGTTGCGGGTAAATATCTCCACAATTTTTGATGCCAATCGACTCCAGTTCGCGTTCAAAGACGCGGCCAACCCCGTTCACTTTGCGGACCGGCAAATCCCGCATGAATTCCATGATTGCCTCTCGATCATTCGGGATCCGAAATTGACCATTGGGCTTGTTTTGATTTGATGCAATCTTCGCCAGCTTCGCATTGGCCGCGATCCCCGCCGAAACAGACACCTTGGTGTTCTCCAAGATCTCGGTGCGCATCCGCTGGACCGTTTCCTCCGGGTCTAACTCATTTTCAGAGCAATAAGAGGTGATGTTCAGATAGGCCTCGTCGATACTCGCACTCTCTCAAAAAGCGGGTCGTACTGGGCCATGATCGCGCGAATCTCCTTCGCCTTGGCTGTATATTTCTCGTAATTCTGCGGTAAAAGAACCAGCTGCGGGCACAGCTTCTTGGCAACAAAAGATGCCATGCCACTGCGGACTCCGAACTTCCTGGCGAGATAGTTACACGTCGTTAAGACGCCTTTGCCCACGGCCATCGGGACTGTCTTCAGTTCCGGCCGGTCCAGCTCCTCGACCGCGGCGAAAAACGCGTCGCAATCGACATGAATGACATGTTGAGAGAGATCTCGCGTCAACTCCAGTTCGGCCAGAAATTCATCCGCTCTGCGCAAGTCGTGGCTCAGGTCCAGCTGCTCCAAACGTGCCTTTTCTTTTCGGATCCGTTCGATCTTGACCGTGAGGTTCCGGTCGCGTTCCTGCTCGCGGTTGAAGAACTTGGATCCTTTAGAAGCATTATATATGATCTCTGAGACCTGGATATCCCGTTATTAGAGCCCATCGAAGAGAACTATACAGGCATGCAACACACATACCTTCTGCTGATCCACGGCGTCCTGGCCCGCTTTTGTTAACGAGGGTCCTAGCAGAGAGTATTTGAGGGTGTCATTCTCTGACTCGCCCTGGGTCTGCTCCCTTTGTATCCCGTCATCAGCAGGCCGTTCGCCCGGGGAGTCCATAATCCGGACATGTCATGGAATGGATGAGTTCATCATTGTCGGTTCGCATCTGATCCAGGTAACGCCTGGTCACGTGAATTCGCGTCTTGCTTGCCTGGGGCACGTGTTCTGGAGCCGCATCTCTGTTTCTCTTGTCTCACACACTCCCCAATGTGGATCCTGGATTCGACGGGGGATTTCCTGGACGGTATGTCTGGAGTGATGCGTCCCTGGCAGTGACTGACGATTGTCAAGGGAAGCGAGTGTGGCTGCGTCCGGGAAAGAAGTACCTCTTTGGGCGTATCAAGCAGGATGACGGTAAGCTCCCACCCAGCTTTGATGCGAAGGCGTTCTCACTGGTTTATCGTAACTAGTCCGTCATGCGATTTCTCACAACTCGATCTCACGAAAACACATGACTATCGAGGTGTCCCCTGTTAAACCCGGCGATGGCGTACGGCTTCTCATTCATCCTGGAGAGGTTGGTTGCTGACCCAGAAGCAGTCTCAGATTTACACAAGATCCGAAATCACCGTGGCTGATCTGGACTCGAAATGCGGGACCTTTGTGGATGGAGAAAAGCTCACAGGAACGAGCAAGGTGCTGCGCGGGGAGGAACACGAGATCAAGCTGGGCAGGTATCAGCATACTCTGCGGTGCGCCATCTCGCCTGGTCTGCCCGGGTTACTCGCTGACGAGAGCTTGCAGGATAAAATGGCAACCCGTCACTCTAAGCTTCTCATTCTCCTCGAAGGAGATGAGGGCAAAGGACCCTCTCGCCCACGTCCGTTCTCGACTGGAAGACCTCGATATCAAAACCATCATTCCTTACGTGGTCGAGCAGACCACACACGTGGTGCAGAGTAAACGGAACACGGCCAAGGGTCTCCAAGCGCTCATCAACGGCAAATACATTGTGCAGGACTCCTACATCGACGCACTCGTATACGCGGCCACGCCTGGCGACCTCGAAAATCTGGAATCATTATCTCCTCTCGAGGCCGATTTTGACGCGGCCTGGCCGGATGCTACGGAGTATCTCCCGCCAGCCGGTAAGGAACCGATCAACCGACCTGCTGCTTCCTTTGCTCCAGACCCGGCTCGGATCAGCATCTTCGAAGGATATACATTCGTCTTCGGAGATTCTACACAATTCGACAACCTGCAGGCGCCTATCAACAATGGACAAGGGAAGGCGCTCTTCTATCAAGTGGAGGACGGGGTGTCTACGGCAGCCGATATTGTGCAATTCATGAAAAATGCAGCTGGCCGCAAGGGAGCGGGCAGTGATCGAGACGGCCCAGGTGGTGTGGTCTTGGTTCGCTTCCGGTCCAAGGGTCAATATGAATCGTGGTCCATCGAGGTGGGCAATGAGGTCGCATTGATGACAGACCAGCGCGTGATTGAACAGAGGGAGTTTCTTGATGCCATCCTCGGGAGCGACGCCTCCCCTCTCTGTCGCCCGCTGCCTAGTGAAGAGCCGAGTCATGCGTCTGAGCGTGCCCCGTTGTCTCGGACTGAGCAGCGAGCTTCGAGGGCGGAGAAACGTGTGCAATCACCCTCCAAATCGCCGCCCCAGACCCAACCCAGTCAACCTGCTCCGGCTCGGCCCAAGGCGCCTCGCGTGCGCACCTTTGTCAGTAAAATGAAGGCCTTTGATGATGGCTTCGACATGGACTCGGTCCCAGTCTACACGCCGGAGGAAAACCTCACAACGTCTCAGCTGGATCTCGAACCTCTCGCAGCCCCGCAATCCAGTCAACATCCAAGTCCGGTAGAGGAAGAGGCTGAAGAGGATGTGGTGTCAGAATTACTTCCGGGTGCCCGGGCAATGAAACGTCGTCGTGCGGAAATGAGCCAGCACCCGGATACGCCTGCGACCACTGAGTCCGATCCCATCCGGAAGCCGAAGCGCCCCAAGCTCGACGTGTTGGAAGCTGCACGAAAACATCGCGAAGAAGAGGAGCAACAGCGACAAGCACAAGAAGACACCTATCCAGTGGCCTTGACGGACCTGGATGTTGATCAGCTCCGGAACCTGGCCATTGTGGAAGAGATGGAACTTCCTGCGCGGAATCCACCTGTTGCCGGCGACTCCCACTCAGACCGATGGGATGAGCGATGGAACGGCCGTAAGAACTTCAAGCGGTTTCGCCGAAAGGGAGAGCCTCGCCATGCCCGACATCGTGTGCAGACTGTGATTGTGCCCCTGGAAGAAGTGACGCGCAAGGACTTTGGTATTGGCGACCACTACTGGGTCAGCAGTCACAAATCCACCGATACCAGTCAAGCAGCAGACCGAAGATCTCATCAGAATCCGGCGCGCGAAGATCCGGCTGCATCTATTCCAGAATCGGCGCCAGGTTCGGCTTCTCCTCCGGCTACTGCCCCGGATCCTACCCCAACCCCAGCCCCAGCCCCAGCACGTCGGCCCTCCAAACGACCGCGAGAAACACGTGAATCGGACAGCGATGATGAGCTGCGGTTCCGCTTCCGGCGCAAGCGGTAGGCCCAAAGCTGTTTTGATTTTCTCGCATATGATTTTAACCTGCAGCTATTTGTAACTTGTATCGATACCCTGACATGAGTGAATCCTCTGATTGTTGCCGCGCGGCTAGTCGTTTTCGATGGGGCCACACGAGTAAGTATTACTAGATCGAGCCCGGTGCCTGGTGGTGGTGTTTTCTAGTCGGTCCAGGTTCAGGGGAAATACTAAGTAGAAATAAGTAATTATAGTGTCATACTAGACCTTTTGTCCCAGTGGATCAGTGGGTCCCGATCCGAGCCCTAATTAAGTGTCGACATTGATAACCAGATTCCCTCAGTTTGTGTCACTTACTCACCTTCTCCCCCTTCACCTTTTTTATTTGCTTCGTTTTCTTCTTCCGCCTCTTACTTCCATCCACCCCTCTCTCCTTCCTCTTCAACCCTACCTCTATTTCTTCCCTCCTTGTCTATTCGCTCCACTCTCTGTTTCGCTTCTCTCCCATCATCTATGTCTCCCTCCGCCCATTCCCTCATCTTCTCCCTGTCTCAACGCTGCCCAGACGCCTAACCGCCGACTTGCCCACTCTATCCCAAACTCACTCCTGCCATCTCCTCTCGATCTAGTTCTGTTGGTGGTATGGCCAGTTGCAAGAACTGCTGACGGCAACTGATCCTCCGATTTGCTCCCGGCCCAGCCGTGCAGTCTGGGCCGCTCCGTCCTAATCTGCAAGGAACTACGCCCTCACCCTTCGCTGTGAGCATGTGCCTCCTACTTTTTGATTCTTCGATGGACTGACCAGAACACTTCATGACAGCTCTCTGCCCTTCCTCTCCAGATCCCCCACACCTTTCACCACTCCACCGCTGGCCCCATCCTTATCGCGCCCCATGATATCCACCATCCCCCCACCCCGGCCCGTGTCGGTCAATTCCTTGGCCAGAGCCCCAGGCTCTGTACTGGCATCGCCAGTCCAGAAAACACTCCGCAGCACCAGCACGGGGATTACACTTCACGATAGCCTCTATTCTCCCAGCTCCTCTCACTCAACTCCCGTGTCCGCGTTATCTTACTCCTCGCTCGCCCCTCCCGACCTGTCCGCATTCTCTTGCCCACGAAACTCTCCGCGGGAAGAAACAGAGTTTGCAAACCTCCCGATTGAGATCCACGAGGCGATCATCGATCATTTGTTCGGTGAGCGGGCATCCGCGGCCAAGGCGAGCAAATCGACCGTGCAGAACTGGGAGAAAGCCCTTCGACACCCCCGGCGCAAGGCGCTTTCGAACCTTTCGCTGATCTCCAGAGTTTGGACACCACTCGTCCAAGGCCGCATTTATCGACACAGTGAGTTTGCTTGACTCATAACACGGCGTGTATGCTGACATCGTACTTCGCATAGTCAAGGTCAAAGGAACCATTGACGGACTAGCTGAGTGTGCAGAATGGTTTGCAGCACACCCGCACCTTGCCGGCTATGTCCGACATCTAGAAGTCTGGGTCCCTGTCTGGGGCAATCGAGCCATTCGGCTTCTACCACGCCCTCCGGGTCGACGTCCCAACGCCGCTATACCAGACCCACTCGAAGCCAATATGGTAGCAGCCTGGGGTCATGAAGACGTTCCTCATGGCAACGATATCCACTACTACTCTTCCACGCAAAATGCCACCTTGGACGAGATATTCCAACACATCCAGATCTTTTTCCCCGGTGCTCGGGTGCTCACGCTGGAAGGAGGGCATTGTAAAAATCCGCCTATGATTCGCCATTTTCGAAACGAACCCAGCCAATCCAGAGAGCTGCCCTCGCGCCAGAATCTGCCTTTGCTCCCCAACGTCCAGACGTTTGTGATGCGCGGTGCCTGGAACCTCATGCGCGGTTGGGGTCACTGGTACACTCTGTCACAAGCGCTGCCAGCACTTCGAGAGTGGCATTGCGCCTATGCCCAACCAAAGCCAGAGATCTATTTCACCATGTCGCAGGTCCTGGATCGACCGCCGCCGTTGATCCGCCATCTGAACATTAGCCTGGAAGGATTCTACAACAACAAAGATGCGGTTAACGCGGCGCTATTCGGCGCTCGCGTGCAGGTTCCGCCAATCTGTGGCTTGCTGGGTGCTATTGCGCCGAGCCTTGAGACATTGTCTTTTACTGGCAAGATATGCGTAGGCTTTTTTGAGTCGCTACGACGGCACGCTTCGTCGCAGTCGTCAGGCCTCAAGTCCCTGGATCTGGTGGTTAAAACATGCTGTCACGGCCCTGAACCATCCGATTCCATTCCTCCCACCGCCCTTCTTTCGGGTATCACCAATATCAATTTTATTTGTGCGTTCGAAGCCCTGGTGATCGGAGCCGTGCAGAGTCTTGAATGCCTCCCATCGCTTGACAACCTGCGCATTCGCTTCATTGACCTGGACTCGACATCTCCATTGCTGAACCCGTATTTTCAACTGACAGGCAACGAGTGTACGGGTCTATGGAGCTACCCAATCCTCGAAGCGCTGCAAGCCAGCCGTCCGTCAGCGCACTTCGTCGAACTCAACGACGGAATCCACTCGCATTTCGGAACCCACCAGCAGGCCTTGACGCTTTATCCGCGCTCTCGTCCGAAGAGCATTCACGTCAGCACGTACCGGGTGATTGCTGATGCATCCAAAATTTAGGCGGTTGTGAGACCTGTGACGGCGTTTCCTTGTTTTGTGTACTTTCAATTTAGCCGAATACCCCTTTTCACAGCTTTTGTGCTATTTATTTGTCGAGAAAGATCGGGTCTGGTTCTGTTAGGCATGTTTTGCTGCGGGTTTTAATATTGTGGGAGCACCTTAGGGGCGTGTACTAAGCGAAGCAAATGTAAGCCCGGCTGAACCTCAGTAATTTCCAGATTAACGGATTCTATTGAGAGGGCGAGTATTTCGCTAATTCGAGCCATCTGGTAATGGTTATTGCCCCATAGAGGAATAGCTCATATATTCTGGCTGTATATAATTAAGCGACGTTCGTGTATTGGGGAATTTCTGCATTTCTCTATTTCTATGCATAAGCTATGCAGCGCGTAGAACGGAGTAACAATCCAGTTCTTATCATTTCTGCTTGGACTGGACAGACTTTGTGTCATGCTCAATCTCGTCTCCAAATTCGCCCACATCCTGGACGATAATGCCCAGAATCCACACATTGACGGCGAAGAAAAAGAGTGACGCAAAAAAAAGACCGGGCACAAAAGACGAGCGGCCGAGGAATTCGAGATTGTATCCCTGATGGAGCCAAAGTGCCTGGGAAGAAGGTCAGAAAATAACACGAGAGTAAGTAGACCGATCAGGAACACACCTGTGCAATAACCCAGAAAAAGGCAGCTGAGAGGCCCAGGGTTGGCCTGCGCATCAAGGACGAAGAGGGGAGGTAGAAAGGTAGAAGGATCAAGTACCAGAGGAAATACTGTGCAAGTCAGCCGGCAATCCAGATATGAGTTGAGAGGTCAACCTACCTGGCTCGTACACACTTTGTTGAAAGTAACAAAAGCAAATGTTTGAGCAAGCATAGCGCCAGCAAGGCTCTTCTTTGAGAGAACAAGCGGCAAAGCAACGACAGCAAGGATTATCTGAGGCAAAAAAGCCAGAGCCTCAAAGTGCGAATCCGCCCCGCCTGCAGCGGAGAGGTACAGCAACGTGCTATATGGGGAAAAGTTGTGGCGGTGGTCGATGCGCGTGAGGTGGTGGAAGAAGGTGTGGTGCAGGAATGGCATGCCGTACAGGGTATACATGGCGATATTGAGGGCGACGAACGTCGCCAGCGCAGAGACGGTCAGCTTTATCCGGGACGGGGTGACAAAGGCCACAGCACGCTGAAGCAAAGTCGACTCCGCTGGTATCGAGGGGACACCATCGCGCTCGGAATCCCACCACCAGAGAATAGAGATGCCATAAATGAAAGGGTAGATCTTGAAGTGCACGGCAAGGCCCAAAATAAAACCAGCAAGCAGTGCCCTACGGGTCAGAGTTGCCCACAGTAGCGCCGCAACCAAAACCCCAAGCAGACCCTCCGCACTGCCACGGGTACTGATATTCGCAACCATAGGATTTAGCAACCACACCGCAGAGACATATCGCAGGGCGCGCTCAGCAGGAAAGCGATAACATTTAACAAGCAGTTGCACAGCTAGCCACCCGGCAAGAACATCCGACACCGCGAAAAGGATCTTGCCAAAGGCAAAAGCCAGCGCAGACCAGGGCGGAGAAACCTCCCATGCAGTTGGAAGAAGCATCCACGCCAGCAGGGGCGTGTAGCGATACGTGTCGCGCGCGTAGGGCGGTTGACCCTTGGACACGTAGCGCGCCGCGTCGGTGAAGACCATGTAGTCGATATCGGTATATTTGACGGCGGAGTGCGCGTCTTGCCAGCCACCGTAGACCAGGAGCACCAGGCGGAGGGCGGTGGCTAGGAAGAGGATACGCGGTGTCGAAGTGAAGAGAGACATGGTTGATGGGGTGTGTGGTCTCTTTTTTCACACCACTTGAAATTCAACGCCTGGCCTCTTCTGGCGGGCACGTTTTCGGAGTCTATACAGAATCGACGACATATACGTCACGCGACATCCAGAGGTGTAAACATGCAGTAATTGGCTTTTGCAATGGTTGTTGAATGTTCACTGGATTTGGTTGAAGTGGTGGAAAAGGGAGGCGCTGAGTCAGCGGGTCCACTCCAGCGAAGTATGAGATTTTATATTCAGATTCGGATCAAAAGTGGATTTCGCTTGTTTTACAATTCTTCTCACTATGACCAATCCACATCTATGACTGAGTCTCCAACCCTATTATTCCTTACAAACAAACGAGTCTGTTTCGTTTCTGCAGAGTCGATAATCTTGTACACCGTCACGCGGTCCTCCTGCCCGGGTATCCTCTGTTCCACGGGCAGATCTGACAGCTGGGCCTCTTCCAAGTTCATGATCGCCTCACCAATCCTAGCTTCCCGGCGCCAATTATACAGACAATCATGGCTTGGATTGGACGCTAGAAGTTGAAGAGCTTTCCGTCGGACTAGGGGCAGGCGGCACGAGGCGGAGGCCATTTGCAGAGCGGGGAGGGCGTGCAGCCGGAAAGTTGGCTCTGAGTCGGAGTCTAGTAGGATTAATTCCTCTGCCAAGGACACTATATTCATGTAGTGATCATTCCATCGATCGTGGTCGGTTTCTTTCCACGGAGGATTGCCAAATGTCCAAAGGACGGCGAGAATATAGTCGATGTGAAGCGAGACAACAAAGCGTCGGTCCGTCAGATAGCCTTGCGGTGTCTGTAAAAACCTCTCGAAATGATCAAGCCATGTCTGGTACGTCTGCTTCAGCATCGTTGACTGCGTAGCGTTATTCTTGTCCGAACTAACTTGCACGATGGGATCTGGCGAGGGGCTGAGTGTGACGCAGTAAGTCATCACAGAAGTTAGGCAGTGGCGAGCATCCGAGATATCTGTGAAGTCGGCAGATATCTGCAAAGTGCGCGGATCAGTGAAAGGCGAGAGCCCTTTTGCCTTCTGCGCAAAGTGGCCCATGTAGATATTCAAGCGGAAGAACATATCGCGCAGCTCCTTGTATATAGTCTGCGAGTCGCCCACAGACTGTGCCATCAGTATTGGGCCTGATCGGGCGAAAATATTCAAGCCTGCTTCTATATGTCGGAGTGACTCGTCGACGTTCCCTCTGAGCAGTTCCAGAAACACGAATAGACCGCAGGTAATCAGGGTGAGATCCAATTTTGTATTTCCCGGTACTGATGATTGCTGCACCAAGAGTCGAATCGACTTGTTGTATTGATTCAACATAAAAGCTTCCGTGTAGCCCAGGCGATCAACTCCTCGGTATCTCTGGTGCGCAGCGCCAACAGCAGCGACAGCATGTCGGACCACCGGCTCAGAGTGAGTCAGTTGCGGAAGGAGGTAATCCCAGAGATTCGCCATGAAATATCCGACGATGGCGCGCGAGGTCTGCGAGCAGAAGAATGAGATATACTCTCGCTCCCTGGGGTCACCCTGCGGGAGAATCAACCGGCCATCAGCGGTACAGGTGCTGCGCTGGTACGCATCGATGACATTCTGGCGCAGTTGTCGTTGCGAGAGGTTGATGGTGTAGCCATCGCATTTGCGGCCTGTGGTGGTGCATTGTCCGCACGCCGGTTTCTGCTGATCACAGCGGACATGACGGGCTCTGGAATTAGGCTGTTAGTTCACTAGCAGCTTGGCACCCAATCCTGGCTACAAATGCAGGAAAGCAGCCTGATCCGAGGGTGGATGAGGTGTGGTGGAGGGAGTTAATTGGTACTAACTTGCAAGTCATGCAGCCGTGGCCGCTACCCCTGCCGCGAGAGTTTTTGGGAGCCATTGTTTCTTCAGCATTACTTCGGGATGACTATCACCTTGGGTGTCAGTGCAGTGAAATATTATATCCACGACGCAGCAAATGACAAGGGACTCGACCCGGCAGGATCTCGCTAGTTAGGGTGTCAGGCAGTGCAGAGACTTACGCTGCGGCTGCAGGGCTGAAAGGCGGAAGCGAGGTGACGCCTGGCCCCCACGGGGCTATTCTACTACACTACACGGTTAAGGGCAAGAGTGTGGTTTCGGGGCTAGGAAAAAAAATCCGTATTCCCAAGGAGTTATGCGTGGACCGTTACGCGTCCACAGCAAAGTAAGATCCAATCCGGGTCGTCGCAATTTGTCAAAGTACCCTGTCAATAGATCGGGTGATGCACTACTTTTGTGCTATCTTGCCTGCATCCGTGGGATCCGAAAGATCGTCTGCTTTTATGCCTATTATGGTGACGGTGAAGGAGACTTTAATTTTGCTTGATTGCCAATAACCCATTGCTTCGCTGCATGATTCGTTTCCGCTAACAATACCCACAATATAACCGATGATGTCTGCTGAAAATGACAGATACGCCACACGAGGACCCCACCCCCTAACCCCCTAAAAATCACAACTGAAATCAAAGATAGGTGTTGGGTGTACTATTGACAAAATAGCCCGAGTCGGTCATTGGCCCAAAATACGGCTGGGGGGCGCCGTATTTGGGGCCTTTCTCGTGGTCCGGCGTGAACAAAGGCATACTGTCACCGCGGACGTCAGTTTCAGTAATTCCGGGCCAGAGACTGTTGTCACCCCAGCTGAGGTATTCAAACAAGTACTGGCCGCCATTGTCGTCACCAAACGGGGTAGCCAATGGCTCAATAAACCCATTCTCCCCGAAAGAGAACCCGCCACGAGCGGCATCCTGCATCGGAAACATCATAGACGTATCCCGGCCAGCGGGATAGTTTCCTGCAGGGAGAGAGGTCGCGACGGAGTCCGAGCCATGGAAGTCGTCGCCCCGCTTGCTAGCCTCGTAGATGCGCGACAGAGAGTCCAGCGACCGCTTCGCCGTATGGCCATAGGATTGCATACGTGCCAGAGTCATCATGGCGGTCTCGACCTGCGCCTGGCAGGACTCGATGGAGGCCCGCGGGTCATCGGCGGTGGGATCATTGAGGAAGAGACCAATCAATGGCACCAGGGAGGCCTGGAAAGTCCACCAGACGGCATTCCAGCCGCACAGTTGATTGAGCTGAGCCGTGGCGGCGATGTTCTGGATAGACAACTCGGCCACCTCGCGGCATTTTTGGATGGCGGTGCGCTCTTCTGCGCGGAGCGCGATGTAGGGTACACGTCGCATGGCATAGCTGAGCAACGTTGGTCGGTAGAGGAGCATGCGCTGATTGTAGTAGCGCCATCTCATGACGGTGCGGACGGTGTTGATTGACTCGGAGATTGGCTCGTGGTCTTTCAGCACGGAGGGGAGGTTCTCCCACCAGTCGAGGAGTTGGGCATCGGCATGGGCCATTTCTTGGGGTTTGACCAGCGGCGCTGCTGCGAGTGAGTCCTGGACTTGAGTCGCGATCTTGGCGAATCGGATGTTCTCGACCAGCGGGAGGATATCGAGGACGTTTTCCTGACCAATTATTAATACTTTTTTTTAAAAGTTTCAGACCAAAGCACAAACCTTGTCTCGACAGTGAGGTGGCCGGACAGTGATATTAGGACCAAAGCGGCCCATGGTGGGACGGCCCAGGGTCATGCCTGCCCATGTGTCCATGCAGAATAAAGACCACCAGACACGGCGCTTGAGGTCCATCGAAGCAATCCTGGCTGGGCTAGGCTGCTGGCGAGTATCAGTGAACTCTTTATGCATCCCCAGAGCGGACGCCATCCGCAAGGCGGCTCCCATCAGGGACCATGCCAAATGGGGTTGACTGATGTAGTGACAGTACCAGCCGCCGATGAGACCCAGTGCTTGGATGGTCTCCAAGTGCTGGTCGCCCAGAGAGCTTAGGCTCAAGTGGCTTTTGCAGCGAAGGAAATACGTCCGGTGTGTTCGGTCATCGTGGCCCGTTGCCGCGATGCTGCCCAGGGCGAGAACGATGTTAAGGAGCGCAAGCCAGTAGTCGTCCCTCCGGCGACCGGTCAGGTACGTCTCACGGAATGACTGCTCGTCAATCAACGGCGCAAATGCCTGGAAATAGAGGAAATAGGCATCGAGCATCTGCATTTCCGTGGGCGGGATGCGCGCCTGCGGCGGTGTCACCGGCTGATGCTGCCATCCGGACGGCTCGGTGGTTGCATACTCCTGACCGTTTGCCGGTGTGCGTGCAAAGTACGTAACGGCGCCGGGGTCCAGCCAGACAATGACTTTCAGGGCGGCCTGGATGGACGAAAGCCCCAAATAAGAAGAGGGCTGCCTGGCCGAGAGGGACAGGGCGTTCACGTCGTCCGACACACCCTCGACCAGCAAATCCCCGGAACTGGCATGGCGGCTGTCGGGCAGCTCCTCGGGCATGGTCTGCAGGGCCTCAAGGTTGTCATCTTCATTTGACAGCGGGGAGACATGCGCTTCCACCGACGGCGAAGTGGCAGGCGAGGCCGGGTGCGGCAGATTAAACCCTGAGACTTGGGAGTGCGTGGCCGATGTGAGCTCGAGCAATTTCTCCCGCGGCAGATTCACCAGCGACTCCGGCGCGAGATTGGGGAATAATCTGCTTAGCACGCTGCGGTACTCGTCCAGCGTGGTGGACAGTTTCTCGACATGTCTAGTGGCAGCGTGAGTTGGGTCTTCATTCATGCAAAAGGGGGGAACCCCCAGGCCAGCGCTTACCTGCGTGACGGACGCGGATCGGAGTAGTGACACTGATCAGATTTCTTGTACCAGCGACAGGCTTCACACGGTTTCTCGCCATCACACTTGATCTTGCGATGGCGACACGAGGTGCAGGCGCGCAGGGTGGTGACACGGCGGCCGACAGACTCGCGGCGCTCCGTGCTGGGCCGGCGGGCGGGCGTGGTGGCCCCGGGATTCTCAAAGCCCTCGAAGGTGTGGAACATTGTGTCGGGAAGGCATGTTCAATAGAGACCGAGATAGAGCATAATGACTACTATAAAACCAGAAAGGGGAATCACGCGATAATATGCTGACGATGCGTCTTCAGGGGAAGAAGAAGCACTCAACAAAACAGCCGATGATGTTGATTATTATGTGGAGCCCGGCTGATCCGCCTGAATCCCCGCAATTTTGCCTTCGCTTAAATCGATCATTAGAGATCGCCTTTTGGTGTCCGAGTTGGATCTGCAACGGTGGACTCTACCGATCGGTTGTTCCTATGATTCCCGTCTCTACACACCTAACTTCATTGACCCAGCAGCCTGCGGTCGAATGTCGGGGATGAAATGATGACGATTATTGCTGACACGCCTCCTTCACCGGGGTCAATATTTGGGGCCTATTTCGCTTCCACATGCTCTGCACGCGCCACCCTGGGCCCGTCCGGTAGATGGGCAGCACAGTCGCCCAAGAGGGGCAACCCCCCGGTCTAGTTGCAGGGCATTGCATTGTCGCCTTGGAGAACCCTGCACCCGTGGGAGACACGAACCTTGCCGAGCAGCGATCGTCTGGGGAAACGGCTAATGTAGGGGTGGCGGGCCTGCCCGTCCGAGAGTAGTGAGTCGTGCTCTTTGTTCCGGCCCGGCTGAGTGAAGTTAGGGCTAAGTCGCCCATTCACCCAACACTCCCAGCATCCCCGTAGAGTAGAGCCTCGTTGGCAAGACCACGGGGTGACTTGGGCCCCCGGGCGTCTCTAAGCCTTTACGCCATCCGCATGGTCATCATTCAATATGTGTGAAGGGGATGGAAATTGCCACGGAGAGGGGCGTCGGATGCCAAGACCCAGTTATACTCTCCCGAGCCAGGGTTGGTCGGGTAAACCAATTCATCCAGAGTTTGTTTGAACGAGTACGAGACGCGAGATGAGACACATCGATAATAATCTATCAGTGGATCTCTGGGGAGGACTCCACTTGTGGGATCGAGTCTGAACATTTTAACACGGACGATACCACGATGTAAGTCTGGGGAAGTCTGGGGAAGGGGGTCAGACGGACGAGGCGCCAAGTGGTGCCTGCCAGTCGTGGATAAATAGGACCGGATATTCCGGGATGGGGTGATTGGCTCGGGAGGAGGCCAACTGTGTCAAGTGAAACACTCATTCGGACAAGAGGAAGAGCAAGTGAAGCTGGACGGAATCCACGCCGTGTCAGGTGAGCCGCTAGTCCCGTTCGGTCCCGTGACCCCCTCCGTGCCCAAACAGGAAAACACGAGGGGCTTATCGATAACACTCTGGGGAAGCTCCATGGTGCGACATGGGCTATAAAGAAGCCATCTGCCCCGCCCAGGGAGAAGCTCAATCAACCATGCCGAACCTGGTGCAATTGCCCCTCACCGAGGGCTGGAGCTTCCGAGACCGCGATGACGCCGATGGATGGATGCCCGTGCCAACCGTGCCGTCTGCCGTGCAGCAGGACCTCATAGCCAACAAAAAGTATGTCGCAATGGCCCCAATGGTGGGCTATTACTAATAGAAAATCCCCAGACTCGAGGATCCCTTCATCGGATTCAACGAGCTCAAAGCCCGTTGGGTCAACGAAAAGTCATGGACCTATCGCAACAAGTTCCAGAAACCCGCGGCACCCGCCGGTGCGGCCATTGTCTTGGCCTTGGACGGCCTAGACACGTTTGCCACGGTCAAGCTGGATGACCAGGTCATCTTGAAAAGCGACAACATGTTTCTGGCGCACCGGGTGGACGTGACCGATGCGTTGAAGGAGGAGGGCGAGCACACTCTCGAAATTGAATTTGACTGTGCCTTCCTGAAAGCGCGCGAGCTGCGTGACCAACACCCGAACCATGTATGGGTTGGGTTCAATGGCGATACATCACGCCTGGCGGCTCGCAAGGCGCAGTACCATTGGGGCTGGGACTGGGGTCCATTCCTGATGACGGCGGGGATATGGCGCCCAGTGCGGTTGGAAGTGTACACCGCGCGTGTTTCGGATCTGTGGCCTCAAATCAAGCTGGCGGCAGATCATGAGACGGCTGAAGTGACAGCCACGGCCACGGTGGAAGCCGTCACGGGAGACAAATACACGGCTCGGTTCCGCTTGAGCCTGGAGGGACGCGAGATCGCCCTTCAGGATATCCCTGTCGGTGAAGATAAAACAGCAGAAGTCGCATTTCGCATCAACCAGCCATCTTTGTGGTGGCCCCACGGCTACGGCGAGCAAACTCGCTATGAGGTGTCGGTGTCATTGCTGTCGAGAGATGAGGAAGTAGATTGCACCGCTAAAAAGTTTGGAATTCGGACAGCAGAGGTAGTCCAGCAGACGGACAAGCATGGCAAATCGTTTTACTTCCGGATCAACGGAATGGACATTTTCTGCGGTGGCTCATGCTGGATTCCGGCCGATAGTCTACTGCCTAATATTACTGCGCAGCGGTACCGCGATTGGATTAAGTTGATGGTTGAGGGCCGGCAGGTCATGATCAGGTAAGTTTTCGTTGCTATCAATATTCAGAAAGAAACAAGTTAACTGGGAGTCAAGAGTCTGGGGCGGTGGCATCTACGAAGACGATACCTTCTACGAAGCATGCGACGAGCTTGGTGTAATGATCTGGCAAGACTTCATGTTTGGATGCGGGAATTATCCCACATGGCCGGGTCTTCTCGACTCAGTGCGCCAGGAGGCTATCTACAACGTGCAACGACTACGCCACCATCCATCCATCGTGATCTGGGCTGGCAACAACGAGGATTACCAGGTACAGGAGTCGTCGGGTCTGACGTACAACTACGACGACAAGGATCCGGAGAGTTGGCTGAAGACGGATTTCCCGGCTCGCTACATCTACGAGAAGCTACTGCCGGAGGTGGTATCCGAACACTCACCTAGCACATTTTATCACCCCGGAAGCCCATGGGGTGATGGGAAGATCTCGTCTGATCCCACGGTTGGGGACATGCATCAGTGGAATGGTCAGTTTACGTCCTGGGTGTTTATTTTATATTTCTCCTAACATGTCCACCAGTCTGGCACGGAACGCAAGAAAAGTACCAGATCTTCGACACGCTGGGCGGCCGGTTCAACAGCGAGTTCGGCATGGAAGCATTCCCTCAACGAAGCACGATCGACTACTTCATCGAGAACAAAGAGGACCTATTCCCGCAGTCGCATGTAATGGACTTTCACAACAAAGCCGACGGCCACGAACGACGGCTGGCAACGTACCTAGTCGAGAATCTGCGCAGTAGCACGGACCTCAATATCTACATCTACCACACGCAGGTAATTCAAGCCGAGACAATGATGTTCGGATACCGGGGCTGGCGACGGCAATGGGGGGACGAGCGACACTGCGGCGGCGCCCTTCTATGGCAGCTGAACGACTGCTGGCCGACAATCTCCTGGGCAATAGCGGACTACTTCCTAAACCCGAAACCAGCCTACTACGCCGTGAAGCGGGTTCTCAACCCCATTGCCGTGGGCGTGCGTCGCTCGCACCACGACTGGAGTGTCGCGCACGCCTCACCACCGAAAACCAGCCGGTACGAGCTTTGGATCGCTAGCAACAAGCCAGCACCTGTCCACGGCAACGTCGAGCTGCGCTTCATATCCACCAACACGGGGTGCGACATCCGGCCGCCGATAGTGCGGAATGACATCCTCATCGCAGCGAACGGCACGACGAACATCATAACCGACGGGGTGATAGACTACACCGCCGAACCAGAACCGCACGTCCTCTCCGCGCGCTTATGGGTCGACGGCCGCATCGTCGCGAGGGACGTGGACTGGCCGCAACCTTTCAAATACCTTGATTTCTCTGGCCGCGGCCTTCAAGTCGAAGTTAAGAAGGGTAAGAGTGGTGTTGATGAGAAGATATTGGCTATTCATACGCATAAGCCGGTTAAGTGCCTCGTTATTCAAGAGTGTGATGGTTTGAGACTGAGTGATAATGCGATGGATATTATGCCTGGCGATGAGCAGACGGTAGTTTTGACCGGAGTTGCGCCGGAGAGGGTTTATTATCGGTATTTGGGATTGGAGGGTTCTGAAGGGGAGAGCCTGTCTTTACTTTGAGACAGAAAGAAGAGATGGAATTGGATTTAGTGATCATCCTAGCTTAGGAGGCCTTGGCCCACGACGAGGTTATGATATCTGTCTACAAAGACCACTAAAAAGCAGTCGTCTCCACTACTTCAGATGCTCAATGACGACCTGTTCAATATCACCCACCTACCGGGGCCTGCTTCACTCCAAAGTCTCTCAAGCTGATAGTCGAGCAGTCTGAAATAAAATGGTCTCAAAAGCGTCCCTTCTCATCACTGCACCGAACCTAATATATCCGGTAAATGCCGCATCAGTATCAATATACTCTCACGAGCGTAGAATATACATACCCATGACATTTAATACCCTTCAAAAGTGACGCGCTCAACTCTCTAAGCTTGCTTATATCAAGCCTATCTGCCCACGATTGTTGGAGAATATAACACCATGCTTGGATAGGGCTAACTTCATCCTCAAGGACGAGCGTTTGAGACAACGATAGGAGTTTGGCAAATATGACGGAGGGATCCCGCGAGGGCGGAATTTGTTTCGACGGTGTAGATGGGGCACATTGGTGCTGATGTGGGTCGATGAGAGTGGCAGATACGAGGAGGCTATGGCCGTTGGGCTTCTCTTGGTGAGTCTCCAAGTGAGGAAGACAGGGACGTTCGAGTCTGGGCCTTTCTTAGGAAATAGACAGAGACACAGGGTAATTAGATGCCACTTACGACAAGACGAATTCCATTCCCATATCAGTCATTTCTCGATTAGATAACTGGTCGGCGTGTATCGGTTGTGAATGCCTTGATTGGCAAAGAGAAAGGTGAGTTGCTGGACAGGGAAATGGGGCCGGCTGTTGGCTAGTTGTTGACTCGATGATGTCGCCATGAGCTTGTGGAGAGTGGTCCGATGTCTGACCACTGTAAATGTTTTGACTGAGCAGATGAACGGACGGATTTTTCCTCTCAAAATCACCCCCCGCTTTGGATTCAGCAAATTTCAGTCCATTGTCGACATGTTCAAGGCAATGAGTCGAGTCCTTGGCCCCGATCAAGTCTGCATCACTGCCATCAGTTGCCTCTAGCTCACCATCAAGTGTGGCGAGCACTGATAGCTCATTTTTATCCAGAATACCCTGAAGTAAGCCGACATGATCGCGAAGATTCTGAACTTGCACGAGCAAATCCACTTCGCTTGCGCGTAGGCGCAAGACTTCCCTCTCGAGGCTCTTGAAGTACTGGTCCTTCCGCTGACGGTGCGAGCTTTTAAATATTAGCTAAAATTGTGGGTGTAAGTAGCAATACAAGACACATCGTACCGCTGAGCTCTTCGAAGTTGCTCTCGCCGCTTAGAGAGGGTTGAATGAGTGTCGCCTTTGGCTAAATGTCAGCCGGTTATTCTGAGAACGGAAGGCTCTCTACAGGAAACAGATTTGAGCTCTTTACCTGATGTAGTATCTTGCCCATTCGAGCGATGGCCTGGAAGGAAGGTAAATGCTTTCCTCATATTGATCTGAATGGTCGTGGCAGGTCGATCCCGGCTTCAGGGGTAAATGTGGAACCCAGAACAATGAGAAAAGTATTTCGAGTAGGTACAATTGGTATGAGTGCCTCCAGGGGAAGAAAATAAGTTGACAATCGTGGAGGGGAACTATCACTCCTCCCCTTTGATTCCATAATCAAGGGTTTCGGGCTTTCAGGCTAGCGACGAGCTTAGCTCCGGGTTAGGCGCCCCTTCCCCACAGCCAGGATTGTTGACTTAATCATTATCTCCTATTTAGGTTAGTGCGAATTTGACTTCGAGGTTGTTGATTCCGGAATTATGGATTGTTGACTTCATACCCAATTTGTGGATTGTTGACTTAATCATTATTTCTTGGACCTATCTGGTTCATAACCCATCGCAGCGGCTCCCAGGTTGTGGATTGTTGACTTAATCATTATTTCCTGAATCTATCTAACTCATACCATGTCACAGGGGGCTGCGGATCGGTGGTCGCCCAAGGACAGTATATAACAGAGCTCGCAAGAACGATGTCAAGTAACATTTACAGAATAAAAATTCATTTGCCTACCACTAATCCTTTTTGTGAGAGGCTGCCTCATTTCCTCAAAGATGATGTACTCTATTTTTTCTTTCCTCTTCCTGTGGATGACATTCCTCACGGGGTGTATACACGCCAGCCCCATGGGTGCATGCTCCAACAAGCCATGGCCTGTTGGCAAAGCGGTCTACCTTCAATCGAACGAGCATCAGAACTCCGTTATCTCTATTACTATAGGCCATGACGGTAAGCTCTGCGACGGCACTGTTACCCCTACGGGCGGCATGGGAGGTGACAGTATCGACGGTATGACCAACACACCTGCTGGTCCGGATGCACTCTCATCCCAAGGCTCGGTGGCAGTAATGGACAGTGTAAGCTTGTCGATACCGTCTGAGACTTACTTAGAGGGACTGTCCGGGCTCACAGATGTCACCAGTATCTTTTCGCTGTTAACGCCGGATCAAATTCTTTGAGCATGTTCAAAATCGACGACTTCAATGCAGCAAGATTGTTAATGGTCGGAGAACCTTCCGCCGTTCCCGGCGAATTTCCCGTCACTGTTGCAGCTTCAATGAAGCGAGGCTTAGTATGTGTGGGATATACCGGAGCAAAGGCCGGTGTCTCTTGTGCTCCCTTCACGCTCGAGGGACTGGGCCCGATGAAACAGGTGCTTGATTTTGATCTCAACCAGACCACGCCCCCTACAGGCCCCACGAATACCATCGCCCAGGTATTTTTCACTGAAAATGATACTCGTCTTATTACCACTGTCAAAGGGGATCCGACTACCAATAAGACCGGTTTCATCTCTGTTTTGCCATTCAAAGATTCCTACTCATCTACATTCGAAAGCCACGATGTACGGACCTCCCCACCCGGAACTGCTGTGCTTTTTGGCGGTGTTAGTATCCCCGACACTTCTGATCTATTCATAACGGATGCATCGTTCGGAGCCACACTTCTCAGCCTCCATCCGACTACAGACAGGGTGTCTCTCCTGCACAAAACCGTCATACCTGGTCAAAAAGCGACGTGCTGGGCCGCATATTCCAAGGCAAGGGAAAGTGTCTTTGTCACTGATGGGGCAGCCGACCGACTGGTCGAGATCAGTGAACATGACTCAAAAATCATGTCGACTCTTGACTTGAAAAACGGCGATCCTGGACTCCTTGATCTTAAAGTTTCTGGCCGCTTTGTGTATGCGCTTTCTCCCGGCAATGGCACTATGCCTGCCGCAATCACGGTGGTGGATTCCTTCCAGGGTCAGCAGATTCAGTATTTCCAGCTCGAAAAATGGGGTGCGGGCAAGCGCTCCCAGGGCATGGCTATTCTTCCATAGAAAACCATCGTGGAAGAGGATACGGTAGGATCTCTGGTCAGAGAACCCCCCACGTGTTTGGTTTGAAGGTAATTCGTTCTTTAGTCCTAGACAACGCATAGTTCATTTATGGAATCGAATTCTCAAGGGGCAGCAACCGCTCCCTCACTTTCCTCATTTGTATTTGTCTATATTACCCAATTCTGCCAAGTAATAACCAGCTGGCAAATTCTGCTAGAGATCTGCAGGTTCGTAAGAAGTCCAAATATCTCTGCCAATATTCACTGTTTGTTACCTTTGTTTTTCGTAGCTCTATTTTTCGGGTATAAAGTAGGGAAAGAATTCGGTTAGAGGGTGATGCTCGAGTTCATCCAGATGTGGTAAAATGAAATCAGAGTATGAATCGGAAAGGCCATTCGGGGAGGGAGCACTCCAAGGAAAAAGTGGGGATCTGAATTCGAAAAGACCCGGAAGCTGAGGAGCAACCATTCTCTCGAGTATGTATACGCTCCAGTAACACCTTGAACTCGCCCAAGACTTATAGCATGCAGTGTCTTGCTCGATGGACTAGTCCGGTTGAATCATTCTCCATCTCGGCCTCCAAGACCACATCACATTTATTCTACCTTGGACATGCCCGACTCCTCAATAGACTCATACCCAGGAACATACATCTCTATCTCAGCGAATTCGAGAGATACTGAGCGCGCTTGATAACCCCATAACAGAACGGCACATGTTGGATTCTCATGGTGTTCGAGTATATTCCAAAACTAAATATAGTAGAGCAAGAAGCAGGCACACTGGAGAAAATTGTTTCCTGTTCATCTGCTACCGTACAGGACTTTCACGCTCTCCCATCCAGCAATCTCCCTCTCTCTACACACATACACATAGCTCACTCACAGCGAAGGATCAGCCCCATCAGGTCTCATCTCATCTCATCTCACATCAGTCTCCGAGTCAAAGAAATATGATCGATTGATCAGGGGCAAAAGGAAAGGCAGGGGCAAGGAAAGGGATCCGTGAGGAGGGCAACTGTCATCCATCCCATCCCACATAGGTATGTGGTGTGGTGTGTTGATGTCACTCTCTCACTCTCCACTCTCAAGCGGATGTCCTAACGCGCGCCACGGTCTGTCTGGCTTCATCCGATCCGAAGTACCTCACAAAGAAAGCAACTTCTGGCCGATGGAGCGGGAGGGGAAAGTGTCCTGCTGCAGTCGAAGAAAAAGACCAAACTGTCCTGTCCATTCCGCCCCAGTCCGGTTACGTTCAGTATTCAAGGAGGGGTTTTGAACAAATCCGCTCGGTCTGCACTGTAGGTATATCAAACAACCAGACCGCTCGAGCTTTCCTCAAGGAACCCAGAGCTTGCCACCTCGTCCGCGACCGTTACCCCGCGATGCACCCCGAGACGGTCCCCCACGGCCGCGGCCGTTGGACGCACGACGTGGAGCGCCTGTGTTACCGCGAGCTGGGCCGTGCTGGGTGCTTAGATCCACTGGAGCCGAGGACTTAGCTGCTCCGCCCAGCGAGCGACTGAATGAATCCGGGTCGATCGGCTGCGTAGGCACTTCTATAGGACTCTCCCCAACGGTTGGCGCAGCAGTCTGCTTGGCAGCTTTTCGCGCAGCAGCACCACGGGAAGCGCCCCGCGAGCTACCTTTGCCACGGCCACGGGGGACGAAAACCAGTTCATCTTCGTCGCTCTCTTCTTCGTAAGATAGAAGGGTCTTGGGTTCCGTGGTTGTTTGGGTCTGCGTCTTCTCGACGTATTTGCAGCGGTTCTTGTACTCGCGCTCTTCGTATTGGATCGCCGTGCGCAGCTGCAGGATGTTCTTAACGCCAATGCCGAACTTCTGTGCCCACACCTGCGTCGCGCGGTCGTTTGTCACGAGAATACAGCTTTTGGCAGAGTTCTCGGCGTCTGGCCCGCTGTGCAGTCGCCAGAGCAATGCGCTGAGCAGCGGACGAAGCACGGGCGGTGCAGTCGGGATGGTGGATCCGGACGCGGTGCGTTGGTGTCCAGGGAAGGACTTCGATTTGCCATTTTTATTGCCGTTCATCTCATGCTGTGCGCATTCCGGACTGGTTCGCGAGCTGCGGGAGGAAGTACGCGAACCGGGCCCGCTCGGGCTGCCAGCAGAAGTGGTCGACGCGGCCTCGGTGTCTTTCTTAAAATTCAGTTTGCTCAGTAGCATCTGTGACAGATCATCCGACGCGGGGTCCTTGTCCTCGTGGGACTCAGGTGGCTCCAGGTCCCCATCAGTGGTGGCTGGATCGGGGCCGTCGGTGGCCTCAGGCTCCTCCTCGAATTCCGGCAGAAAGTACTTCTCCGCCTCCTCCCAGCGCTCGAACTGTTCGTTCGGGCCCTGCAGAGCGATGCGATCGGGGGCGATGTGATCCTTGCCGGAGGTGACTCGATCGAGGAAGCGGGTTGCCTCGCGGGCATTAATAGAGACTTGCGATCCGGCCCGTTTCAGCGCGTGCAGCCGTTCGAGGGCTGATGGTGGTTAGGAAGGGGAGTATGGCTCGATCACAGCAGCATAACTCACTATAGAGGGGAACGATGAGATCGATGGCCCCGTTGGTAGTCCACTTTTTGATCTCGCTGATGTTCGTGGTCAGGGCCGTCTCGTCCACGGCACAGTGAAAGACCTTGCGACCGGTCGACATGATGGTGCGGAAGCCGGTCTGATCTGAAGGACGGGTGGTCAGGATGGTATAGGGTCGTGTTGTCTGCCCTATACCAGGGAACTGGAGGTGTAGACAACCAGGACTGGATTCGGGCTGATCAGCATGGGGCGGGTTTGAGGCACAGGGTTGGGGTGGGCTGAGGGAATATGGAAGGATGACTGGATGTCAGGGTGAGTAGGAGTGAAAGCACTTACGTTCAAGGGCCAAGGGGCAAGGGAATTCCACCATCTTTGACGGCGCACACTGCGATAGTGAGACGAAAGTGAAGTGGGCGAAGATGCGATGGGGAGATGCCGAGCTGACTAATCTGGACTACAACGGAGAAACATGGAATGTATACAAAATGAAAGAGAAGAGTGGGTTGGGTTCTATGTTCATTCCCGAGGATATCAGTGGAATAGTTACATCTAGAAGCAAAAAGGATATCGGCTGGCCAAAGTCACCGGGGCCAGCAAGAATGGTCGCAGAAAAAACATCATGCCGCTTGGAGAGAAAAGAAAGAACAGATTATGCCTTGGTCTTCTTGATCAGGCCATCCGATTCCTTGACGCGCTGTGCCCATTCGCTGTTCTCGAGTCAGTCAGTCATATTTACAAGACAAAGGGGAAATCACTTACGTCCAGCTGCCATCGTACACCCGGCGCAGACTGGGCTCCCCGTATTCGGCCTCACCGAGAGCAGTCTCGATGACAGTAGCAGTAACTCCAGTGCCACAGGAGCTAATAATGGAGCGGGAGGGATTAATCTTGCGGTCCTCAAAGATCTTGCGAAGATCAGCAGCAGGCAGGTAGGTCTTAGTCTCCGGGTCAAGCAGTTCCTGGAAGGGCATGCTCTTAGAGCCAGGCATATGACCAGAGGACAGGCCAGGACGTGGCTCCGGGTCAGTTCCGGCCCAGCGGCCTTGCGAGCGAGCATCCAGGATCTCCACCTCTTCCGCACCTTCCTTGCCGTAGTCGAGAGCCAGCTCCTTCATCTCCCGGAACGAGATGACCAGCTTGGAGTCGTAGGTGGGGACAGTATACTTGGTCTTCTCCCGTGGGGTAGGCTCACCACTCTCAGTGGGAAATCCCTCACGAACCCAGAGGCGATAGTTGTTTAGAAGGCGCACATTAGGGTGGCCGAAGACACGCAGAGTCCAGCCCACGCGGGGCGCGGAGAAAATGCCCAGCTCGGCAGTGTCGTAGACCACGATCTCATCGTCGCGACGGATGCCCAACTCACTCATGGCCTCTGCAAAGGTCTCACACGTCGGCAACATGTGCGGGTAGGGGGAGTCATGGTCTTTGATTGCGTCGATGTCAAAGAATCGGGCTGAGGGGATGCGTGAGTTCCGGAACGAGTCGATTCCCTTGCGCCCCTCTGGATCATTGGGCATAAACCAGGCTGCACAAAGAGGGACCACCCGTGGAGAGGTTGAGATCTTGGTCGGCGGGTTCTTTTTGAGTGCATCGTTGAGCTGTTTCGGGGTGACGAGGTACGAGGAGGAGGAAATTGGGCGGGACTGCGCATGCAGGGCCGGAGTGGTGGCTGTGGCCATGGCCCGAAATAAGCGGGTAGAGGGAGCTGAAGCGGATCGAATGGCCACAAAAGCCATGGTTTACATAACGGGTAGAAACGGTATAGAGGAAAGGAAGAGAGAAAGAGAGGGAGCGAGAGTGCGGAGAAGATCACCTCATGTGATCCGCCGATAACGCCAAAGAGCGATAAGCCAAGGTTGTTGATCTTCGGTGTTTGTTTCTTCTTGTCACTCCCTCCCTCACACCCACCCACTATGAAGGTCGTCATCAAGGAGTGGAATGCTATTGCCACCTGGCACTGGGATATGCCCGAGGATGATGTCTGTGGCATCTGTCGCGTCCAGTTCGATAGTACCTGTCCCACCTGCAAATTCCCCGGCGATGACTGCTCCCTGTGTGAGTGCGAGACCAGCACGCGTGTCTCTTGGATTTACTAAACAATAAGAACAGTGCTAGGGAAATGTGGCCACTCGTTTCATATGGTGTGTCTTCTGTCTAGGGATCTTACCGGTTTGGTTCTCACGAAATTGTCTAGCACTGTCTGTTGACCTGGATCGACCAAGAGACATCCAAGGGGCTGTGTCCCATGTGCCGACAGAGTATGTACTCCTGTCATATTAACCATAGGATTTGACTGATATCTTTCAAGAATTTGAGTGGAAGCAAAGTGACGAGTGATGATCGGGCTCTGGATTGGGGCCATCTTGCATGTTGACGGCGTTCCCCTAGCGGTCTCTTTTCGTTTCTGAGCTATGGTGTTTACTTTTGGTGTTGAGAATCATTCTATGTTGTTATAGACTATGATGTCGGCTATTCTCAAGGGAGAGACTAGGGCAATTGTGGACCACCATGGGCATTTTATGTTGGGAGTTTGATGAAGTCAGTGTTTATCTTTTTATGGCTTGAGGTTAAAAGAATGCATGGAATGAACCAAATTAAAGAGAATAATGTTTTTTATCTTTGTCTCATGACCGTCACACTCTACGGTCCAAATATATATTTCAGTGCCTTCTATCGATAGCACCATCTATGCTGAATACCACTTCACATCAATCAGAACCATAATCTTCCAAACCCGAACAGTAACTACTGATAGAATATGGTTTTAAATACATCTATGGTGGTTGAGCTACTCTGAAAAAACGGTATTTTCCTTAGGCGATTTCATACAAAAACCAAAATGTTAATTACGCGTAATGTTAATCGTGTTGTGGACGGCCCGACTTCTAGGGGGCGGGTCCATTAACTTGTGTACGGACCTCTAAATCTCGAGTACTACCCCGAAGGACGATGGAAAGAAGGTCACCCTCAAGGCAAGAGAGGGCAGTAATTGGTATACCTGGTTCACGAAGGAATATCCTAACGGAAAGTTTAAATAACTCGGTCGTATCAGGGACATGCTACCACAAGGTAAATTGGAGAGAAGGGAGATGGGCTTATTGATGAGATGAACAAAAGAGGTGGGGACCAGGGGATCTTGAATAACAGCAGGGATTTTGTGTACTATTTGTACAAGCGAATCAAAAAATAAAGGGAAGGAAATTATTTCACATCATCACTATGTGTCGGAGTCAATACAAATCATTTCCAAATTTATCTATGCATGTTATTATTGTAGTTGTCTATAGATCAACCCTTTTGGGTTTTGGGCTTAGCTAGGATATGCCACGACAGAGAGAAAGAGATATCCAGCTAGTCGTCTGCCTTCCATGTTTCTATAGCTCTGAGTGCTCAGTGACCTCAGAGCCGATAGCTACCACCGCCACCATTATTACATATTCTAAAACCCCTGCTTTATCTAAATCCTCCCGCTCAACTGACGATCCTCCCTGCGCTATACCACAGCCACAGTACCTAAAGTATACGTGGGTCAGCTGACCCTATCGATAAGAGCTCAGGCACCGCATCCTTGTTGCGCTCATCATCTCACCTCACCATGTAGCCTGGGTCTACGGCGATGTCTCTACCCAGCAACAACCCCCATCCGGTCCTCTCCTCCTCATCCTCCCGCCAGTCCATGCACTCTCACTCCGACATCCCAACCCGACCCGCGCAGAAAGACCACCCTTCAGACGAACAACGCGCCAACCAGCTCACCTCCCCAACCCACGATAGCCCCGGCGGCGAAGAAACCAGTGGCGCACAAGATCAGCAGCCCACCAACCCACCATTCCAGCCCTTCTTCACCCTGATCGAAGACGCGCATACATCGGAATACCACCACCCAACAGTACACTATTTGTTCTCCGACGACGACACAGACATCATCACAGAAGCAGCGCTGCGCAGTCTCGAAGCGCAGCAGGAGTCACTCCCCGAATCGAAGAGAGAGCAGATAATAGAAGGGCCGCTCCCGAAGGAACAGGAGGTTAGCCCGCGGAAGTCGACTATATTAATACCACCCCCGGTCCCGGGGGTACGAGAGCATTACATCATCCTGGACGTCGCGCAAGACGGGACTCTGCAGAACCCAATAACGGCTGAACCTTCTGCTGCTCTTGCGGGGAAAGAAGGAGAAGGTGTCACGAAATCCCTATCCTCGTCACCCGCCAATCCACCCACCATACCACCACCCTCAGGATTGCCAACGACACAGTTCCGGGTCACATCAGCCAAGAGCCTCACGCCAACATGGCAAGTGCTCAAATCCGAGCTGGTGCCCGCTCCAACATTTGAAAACAGTAACCCAGGCAATACACCTGGGCACGGACTCATGCTCAAAATCCACGGCACGGCGGGCATACTTCCCTCCACGCCTCGAGACAAGGCTGGAGGTGGGTCGCAGCGGTTAGAGGAGATGATGGATCAGTTTGCAAAGCGGATGAGCGAGTTGCAGACTGTGATTGAGGCGGGTGAGACGGATGGTTCGGTGACTGTGGAGGAGGGTGAGCTGCAATCGGAAGCTCAACCTCAAACTCGGGCTGAGGAGGAGGATTCTACTGAAGTTGGGGTTCGGAAAGATGATGATGAGAGTGCAAGGCATGCCTCTGGGGATGTGGAGCACTCGTGATACCTTTTTTTATTTTCCTGGTTCTTTTTTCTTTGCTATGACAGCGGCTCTGGGGCATTTATCATGAGAAATGGGCGGCGTTGTAGGTTTGGTTACTTTGGTAGTTTCAGCGAATCTATGATTCTCCTCTCGGGCACTTTGTCCAATCAAAAATCCCTGGGGTTCAGGTGCTCCATTCAAACCAAATGAACGATAAGTAAAAACGCCATGAAACACCTGCAGGATTCAAGTTCTATATCCATACTTCACGACGAAGAGACCAAGCAAAGACAAGAAGACCAAAAACATTCCAATCCAGCAACACGTTTTTCTCGGTCCAAGAAACTCCGGTCCAGAGTGAAACACCAGAATATCAAAAACCACCCACTGCGACATTGGGTATCATTCAAAAAGAAACTGCAAACAAAACAAAGCAAACTAATCAGCGTTCGGTGCGGCTTCGGACGCGGCGGCCACCACCACCGGGAATCGCAGATGGAGGGACATTCTCACGACCCTCCATCATGCCAGCCATCCTTTTCGAGAGCATCTTCTGCGGGAGTTTGCTCTCGACGGTGTTGCTAGCCGAGCGGCGGCGTTTGCGCGGTGGTTGTTCGGGCTCATCTTTCTCCAGGGTGTCTTCGAGATCCAACGATCGTTTCTCTGCGGGGACAGCATCGCGCTTGCCGGGTTGCGTGATGTCCTCCTCAGCGTCAAACACGAGTGGTTTGGCGACGTTTAAATCGACTTCCCTAAGGCCAGTGTTGGATGAAATGGTCGCTGTTGATGATGGAGGAGGGATAGTCCCTACCTCTTCCGCGGCATCGCTGTATACGAAGCCCTTGGATGGCGAGGCCGAGGGAGAACTGGGCAGCATGGGCGATTGTTCTTCACCATCGAAGGGCAGCGCGTGAAACTGTTGGGAGGTGCGGTGTCGAGAACGAAGTCCCTCGTGTGATTCTGTCGTGGGGAGATCGGTAGGGTACTCGTATCGACGTTTTTGAGGCGTAAGGCCTGTGGGTTTATATTCCTTCATGGGGTGGTTCTGGATGTTTTCGCGGAGCTCGGACAGTGGCTTTCGAACTTGGCTGTCCAAGGGCTCAGTGGATTGCTCCAGGTTTCCAGTGTGCATTTCCAGATCTTCCTGGAGCTGATTGACATGATCGCTGAAGCCACCCAGCTGTTCATGCATTGCCGAGTGAGACTCCCGGACATTGGTTGCCATGGTGTCCAGACTACCGAGCTGTGCTTCGTGGAATCGACCATTCTGGGACCGTGCCTTTGCGACGAAATCGTCCAGGGCTTCCATCTGCTTGCTCATATCGTCCATCTGAGCATCCACGATCCGAACTGTCTCTTGGTGCACCGATTCCGTGGAACGCTTAATCGAAGCGTTGCGTTGATCAAAGGTCTGTTCCAATTAGCACGGCTCTTACCCAAGAACACAGGAAAACGTACCTCCCAGTCGTTCTGCATCCGCGTCTTAATCTCATCCTTGGATGCAGTAACGTCCTTTGTAAATTGTTCCTCCCTGAAGATCCATTCATCAATGTGCCGGTCGTGCTGCGCCGTGGCCTGCTCAAGAGAATCACCCGATGCAGAGATGTCGGCACGAAGAGCATCCATTTTCCCCTTGAGGCGAGTAGACTGTCGCTGATTAGATTCCTCGAGCAGTCCGCGGATTTGGGACATGAGGGTGTCCCGTTCAGCCTGCGCGCTCGCCTGTTCCTCCTCAATGACCTGGGCCAAGTTCGACGAGGCTTTCCGATTGGTGTCCACTGTTTGGCGGTTTGCCTTCTGCAGCTCGAGACGCAATCTGTTGATCTCGGATTTTTGCTCGTCCATATGCTTGGTCATATTCTCAAACATGGACTTGAAATCCTTGCCGAGTGCCGTGTAGGAGGAATGGAGGTGGCCGTGGAACTCGGTGAATTCACCAATGACCTCCTTCGAGATTCGCTCCGCGGCCGCGGACAGCCCGCTCAGGCCTTCCCCAACCTTGGTCTTGACATCCTCCCGAAGGACTTTTATCTCTTCAAGGACCTCATTCATCTCGTCATGCGCACTAGACGTTTGACTCTTCGCCTTTGCCTCGGCCTTGTCGAAAGAAGAGCCAAAGCCTTGTAGCTGGGAACGAGCCGATTCGACGGTGCTCAACTCTTCGTTCACAAATAGAGAGATCTTGCTGGACATATCGCCGAGCAATTTGGCATGCTGGGTTTGGAAACTTTCCATCCGAGCGTCGATCTGCTGGGTTACGTCTGAGACCTTTGTCGTGGATGCCTGCCATGTTTTCCGATTCTCGTTCTCCAGGTTGTCCTTGCGGCCGAGCTTCTCGTGCAGTCCATTGGCATCCTGGACGGTCTTATCCAAGGTGGACAGAAGACTAGCACCCATGTCACGAAGTTTCGCTTCGGTATCTTGATGGGCTTTTCGCACAATCCTCTCCTCCTCGAGATCTTGCGTCGTCTTGTTGAGTACGATGTCTGTCTGCTCCAAAACATCCCGGGTCTCATTGAGCTTCTGCTGAGTGTCTTCATTGTCTTGCTTCAACATGTTGAAGTTGCTTGTCACGGAGAACAGCTCCTGAACTTTGTGTCTCAAGCTCGATTCCATAGATTCGATCTTGGCCCTCTGTTCTTCATTGACAATCCGCCGGGATTCACTCTCCATTGTCATCTCTTCGTATGCGTCCGGTGTCATATACACACCATTGCGATGCCTTGTGGCGATGAGGTCGCTCTTGAGCTTCTCGATTTCCATGCCTATTTCCCGGAGTAGCTTATTCTTTGAGACGAGAGAGTTGATTTGAGGCTTATTGCGGATATTCTTAGCACGGAAAGCGTAGTCCAAGGTCGAGATGGTTTCCTCTAGGTTGCTTCGAGCGGGCGAAACGGTGGCAATAATGCATGTCTTGGTCCGTCCTCCAAGGGAGTCTTGCAACAGTCGTGTCAATTTGGACTCGCGGTAGGGGATGTGGGAGCCTTTGTCGACCAGCGCGTTAATCACTCTCCCCAGAGTGAGCAAACTCTTGTTGATAAGACCGGCTTCGGCTGCTCGCTTGTTCTCTGCACCGCTGCGCTGGATGTTTTCACTTCCAGCCAGATCAACCAAGTTGAGCTTGCCCGAGCTGATGTATTCCTCACCCGAGTCGGTCGTGCGCTTGGTGAGGACGGTGACAGTGAAGATCGTGTGGCTGCGGGAACTCAAGTCGTTGCATTTGGTAGCTGCAACCTGGCGCTTGTGGCTACCGAGTTGGAGCAGCTTGATTCCAGTCGATGCGGACTCAATATACGTCTCTTCCATCCCCTGAACCATAGTACTCCCGCTTGCACCCTTTTTCTCATTCTCAAAGATCTTGAGTTTCGTGTTGTCGTCGGCCGACAGCAGATCCCGCAGTTCCTCGTTGTAAAGTTCGATGAATGAACATTTGACGGTGCTTTCGGTATCCTCGAGTTTGTGGAACAAAGAGTAGAGAACGCGTGGAATGATTCCTGCGTCGTCTGATAAGATACCCAGGGTATCGGTCATATCTCCCGACATGGTATACGTCTTTCCTGTCCCTGTTTGGCCGTACGCGAAGATCGTGCAGTTGTAGCCTGCCAACATCTGTCGTTCAAATTAGCCTTGACCGGACCATCAACGGTTGCCCATATTACCTCATTGAGAATCGGAAGAACTGCATCTTCATAGACCACCGTCTGATCGGCCGCTTGCGAGAAGACCTTGTCGAAGGCATAGGTCTTGTTGGAGAGGGCATTCGGTCCCATCGACAGGGTCACCGCGGTTCCCTTGACCCCTTCTGTTGATACAACCACGCCACTGTTTTCCTTGGTTTCGCGCGCATTACGGCCGCGACAACGCACTACGACGTGGATGCTGGTGTCCTCATTGATCTCGCGCTCATAGTCTCGGTCCTTCCTTTTGGCACCAGATACCTCGGGACTCGGTTTTTGTGTGCGCAGCGAGCTGGCCGCTGGAGGCCTCAGAGAAGACACGGCGGGTGATGCCAGTCGTTCTGGCACCGCGGAACCGGCTCGTCGAGTCGGCTGGCGCAAACCCGGCCTCCTGGTTTGGAGGGCGGAGGCAGGCCGTGCCGGGCCAGCCATTGTCGAACCGAGGGATGTTTGTGTATTTTCGGATTCAAAAGTGATATGAAGTTAAAAGCGACCGACAGCACGTTGTTGTTGTGAAGTTCGTCCGTTGTTGTGGATCATCACTGGGACTTCAAAGGGCAAAAAGTAAACAAAGGCGGCACGTGCCCGGGGCCCAAGCTCCTTAGTCACGCTCCCCTCCTCACATGACTGGGTCCGCTGCCCGTACCGTCATCGGCTTCTTTAGTTCTTCTTCTCCTTCATCTTTCTCTTCCGTCTACATTTATTACTGACATTATACTGCTGTCATCTCGGCGCGTACCCATATGGACCCGTGTTTCCTAGACAGGCCATGAAACCGGGCCACATGTCAAGATGACTGCCAAACCATCGGCGCAAGTACAAATATCCCCCGGAAAGGGCCTGGGTTCCATCAGTACGCCTTCTTTGTTGGGTGTTTGCGGGCTAGAGGAGCCTGGCTAACTCTTGTGCAGCTCTGGGCGCTTCGCTACACAACGTCTTGACCCGGGTCAAGTCGCATCCCCAAATCTACCCCGCGCTTGACCTTGCTTACTCCTCCGCGGACCCTGTGCGCCAACCGGTGATCTTACAGCTCCCGTTGAATGGCCTGCGCCTTCGGTTCGATGGACCAGACCAGCGACTGCGCTTGATCGAAGTCCTGGACTTCTCTCGCACCGCCCTGGTATACAAAGCCCAGGACGTACTCAAAGGCGCCAAGCCAACTGAGCAGCCGGGATCGCAGCAGGGCCCGACCTTCCGGCATGTTTACAACCGTCTATTTGGCCCGTCCTATCCAGGTGAATACGTACCACCGACGGATAACTCGCCGTATGGCACCTACGTGTTGTCATACCCTGGCATCGCGTTCTCGTTTCCACTGCAGCACTCGGCCTGGTCCGACCAGTGCGACTTTGTTGCCCTCCTCTCATCATCGGCAGCACTGCCGGCTACATCCATGGCCATTTTTCAGGGACCATCCTGGCCAGAGATCAGAGCAAAGTTGTTCACGCAGCTGCCACAGTATCCACGCTCCTCGGCCTTGATTGGCAAGAATCGAGATACACTCGCCGACGAGATCGAGGAGTTCCGTATTTTAGGTGCCGGGAAGCTGGAGGTCGTGAGACGATCAAGTCCTCCGCTATCCATCAAGCTTGCCGAAACCACTCCGCAAGATCTGATTGCCGACTTCGGCCCGCCGGATGCCGTGTATCGTAAAAATGATCGCCGAATCTCGATCCACCGTGCGGGTGGACGTGGTGGGGCTGCTCTGCACATGAGCCCATCTCCTGGTAGAGGGATCGACCTTCCCGATACCGATCACTCCTCCAGTAACAGCGTGACTGATGATTCAGATGAGGAGATCTCCCCGAACAATCTCGGAGATCCGGGCTCGTTGCCAACGGAGTGTTTTTTTAATTACTTCCATCATGGATTCGATGCTTTCATATCTTATCCAACCGAACCAGGCCCGGCATTCCCCACATCGGGCTTGCCCGATCCAACGCCTCAGCCCCCATCGTCTCAGTTGGCAGTCACAAAGATCATTCTGCATGGCAATGTGCCGGGTTCCTATCCTTTTAACCGTCACCGGCGCAGCCGCTGGCGGATTCAGCTGGACGGCTCTGGTGACCATCTGTCTTCCGAGACCCCGTACGACGAGATCTCTGAGCGTCTGCGCGATCTCTGGAAAGAATCATTCTCCAACCCTGCTGAGGAGCGTGCGCTGCAACGTCCGATGGTATTGAACCGCGGTTGGGGTGACAGCCCCGAGAGTAGCGTGGAGTTCCTCGGAGGATGGGAAGAAAGCACAGCCAAAGGCGCCCGGACGGGCGATGGCGATGATTCCGGGTTGGGCAACACGGAGCTCTTTGGCTTCCCGGGGCTCTTATTTGAGGTACTGAAGAACGGCGCCGTGAGCTGCTTGACGATCTATTAATGCGACATGAATTATTTTGAATGATGGCGTTTGGTTCGACTCATAGCGTAGCCTTGGCCAGGCGAACCCGAAGGTAGGTAGATAGCTAGACCAACCAATCCCTTTCTGTCTCCCCGTTCTTGATCTATTAGATCCAGGCCTTCCGAGAAGATTCAAAGCTGAACTGGCCCAGTAATAATGCACATAGGGCTGACCTAGCTAGGGCCGGAAGAGCCCATTGACGTCATTGACTACAACCACATCTCGATTCACTTCTCTTTGGATTTGTCAGGGAAGAGTCGCGTGAGCAGTAATCATGTTCGACGAAAGTGCGAGAAAACCAACTGCACGTTGGTGTTTCGCTCATCTTTACCATCACTTTTCCTGATCGTCTGTCTACCTTGCTTTTTCTTCCGATATCACACGCGTCACGCCCCTGTCGATCATGGCCGCGGTAGCGCCGCCTATTGTAGGAATAGCGTCCGAGCGAAGTGAATTCATTAGCTCGGATGGTTGGCCAAAGGATGGCGTTGAGCGATTATCAGATGACAAAAACGAAGTGGTATTCTTCCAGGATGGGCTGAACACCGGCGCTCGCATTCTCGGTGGGTGATGTTCTGGCTATATTCACACACCATGCTCTAACCATGCTTTACTTCTTGTCACAGGTGACGGCCGCGTAGATATCAAGATCGATCAGCATAAACCGCACCTCGCAGGGCTGTTGAAACAAATCGAACACCGGGGTATGCCTTCTGTCGGGGAGCTGGAACGAACAGATGGCGCAGAACGGCTTATTCCGAAGGATGAGCTGAAGCATTTTCCACTGCAGCTAAACCTCGTCATTCAGGTGATTGGTTCTCGAGGCGACATCCAACCATTTGTTGCACTGGGGAAAGAACTGAAAGCACAGGGTCACCGGGTCAGATTGGCCTCCCATTTGACTTTTCGGGAGTTCATTCTTGATAATGGTCTAGAATTCTTCAATATTGGAGGGGACCCGGAGGAGCTGATGGCTTTCATGGTGAAAAATCCGGGCCTCTTGCCGGGCCTTAAAGCAATACGCAGCGGAGCCATCCAGAAGCGTCGACGTGAAATGAAGGAAATCTTCACTGGGTGTTGGAAATCCTGCTTCGAGATGGGTGACGGGACCTATCTTCATCAGATCAAAGAAGATCCATTCAGTGAGGCCTCGGATTATCGACGACGGCCCTTTGTGGCAGATGCCATTATAGCCAACCCTCCTAGCCTCGCCCATATTCATTGTGCACAACGACTGGGCATCCCTCTCCATATCATGTTTACGTGAGTCGACCCTCTCATATGCGAACTTCTAGCTGCCCTTAGCATAACAGAAGACTAAATAATTGGTAGAATGCCCTGGTCACCGACGCAGTCATTCCCCCACCCGTTGGCGATTATTCACCCCCGGAACTGTAAGCCGACTGTTGCAAATTTTGTTTCCTATGGTATTGTAGATACGATGGTGTGGGAAGGCTTGGGAGATCTTTTAAACACGCTTCGCAAGAACACCCTAGCACTCAACCCTCTGGATACATTGACTGCCCCGAGCATACTACACCGACTGCACGTGCCACATGCGTATCTATGGTGAGGAATTCATTCATTATCTTCCAAAAAATTCCAATATGGCTAACGATAGGCTCGACACAGGTCTCCTGCATTACTACCCAAGCCTCCCGATTGGTCTGATGACATCGACGTCTGCGGCTTTGGCTTCCTCCCCTCGGAGACCAGCTATACGCCACCAAAGGAAATAGATGCATTCCTCAAGGCGGGACCAAAGCCGATCTACGTCGGATTTGGTTCGATCGTAGTAGACGATCCAATCAGACTGACGAAAATTGTATTCGAAGCAGTTAAACAAACCGGACAGCGGGCTCTCATTTCAAAAGGCTGGGGAAATCTTGGGGCAGACGAAGTGGATGTGCCGGACAACATTCTCATTATTGGAAACTGCAGCCACGACTGGCTTTTTCGACAGGTTTCATGTGTGATCCACCATGGCGGTGCTGGTACCACCGCCGCAGGTCTCGCACTCGGTCGACCAACGATAATTATCCCTTTTTTTGGAGACCAGCAATTCTGGGGAAGTATCGTCGCGCGAGCCGGAGCTGGCCCATCCCCAATACCTCATAAACGGTTGACACTGCAGAACCTATCAGCCGCAATCGAGATGGCGCTAGAACCATCCACTCTAGAAAGGGCACAGACGATCGCCAGGAACATGCAGGAGGAGTCTGGCGTGTGCCATGGAGTGTATAGCTTTTACCGACATCTTGATCCAGAGTCACTCAGATGCTCTATATTCCCGGATCGGACGGCGGCTTGGCATCTCAAACATACCGAGATCAACTTGAGTGCCTTTGCAGCAACGGTTCTGGTGAAATCAGGCAAGCTGAGCCCAGATAACCTCGTGCTGTGAGTCTTCTCCAACATCATTGCCAAAACGGCGAGAGTTTCTTGCTAATTTCGGTTCCAGGCACCGTCCGATGGAATACGATACATTCCGTGATCCTGCCGACCCCCTTACTGCTGGCGCGCAGGTGCTATTCGGGGCCATTGCGAGCCTCGTGACTGGGCTTGCGGATGCCCCAAAAGGGATCGTGCTTGATCTTGTTTCTGCGGCTCGCGCAATCGGCCACCCACATGAACATTTTGATCATCGCGCAGCTTGTCAGGCAGCAATTCCTTCTCCGGACCACTCATCCCGAGAAGAAAGTGTCGAGAACGTGGAAGGGCAACTTGAAAATTATGAGGACGATACCGTTCCGGACGACACCGTTCCGGACGAGGAGAATACACAGGAAGATATTACTGATGAAGACGATGAAACCGATGTCAGCGGCAGCACCCCAACTTCGTGCATGGAACGCAAGCGAAGTCTCCAGCTCCAAACGGCCAAGCCAATGAGCAGCTCGCTGGCGCCCTCCAAAAAACGTAAAGCCAATGCTCTATACGAAGCAGCTTTTCACGGAAGTATAATCTCGAGGAAGTTCTTGAGGTTGATCATGTGGCTACCAACCGATGTGTCACTGAGCATGGCCAAAGGGTTCCACAACGCCCCTAAATTATATAACGACCCGATGGTAAAGGACGTCCCACAGGTGATCAGTGTTCGAGGCGGATTCAGGGCGGCCGGAAAGGTAGTACCAGCCATACCAGCACCAGCATGGGGCCAAGTATTCTGACATATGCACAGGAGCTCAGAGATGGATTCTACTACGGTATCACGGGCCTAGTAACGCAGCCGCATCATGGTCTCAAGCATAAAGGTGCAAAGGGGATGGTCAAGGGGGTGGGGAAAGGAGTGGGTGGAGTGCTTCTCAAGCCGACAGCGGGTACGTCGAACGTGCCGGCAATCTCTCTGTTTGTATACAAGCTAATTTTCACCAGGGCTATGGGGTCTAGCAGGGTATCCATTGAGCGGGATTCTCAGAGGACTCAACAACTCATTGAACAAATGCCAAAAATGCAAGATTGTGATGGGTCGCATTTCGCAAGGGCATGAAGAGCTGCGACAATCGACGGCCCAGGAAAGGGAAGAGGTATCCCGAAAGTGGACTGCGATTGAAGCGGATTTGAAAAGGTCTAAACGACATAGCAATTTGCGTCTTAATGGCCATGCTCTCTAAGGTGGTGAGCGAAGAAGAGTCTTGGGAATCTTCCAGCCGTCTTTTGTGTGTGTGGCCTTTTGTGGAAAATATCACTCCTGTCAATTAGTACGAGATTAAATCTGATTATGCCGATTATGCATACTACCAGTAGCGGGGTGCACACACTGACGAGAAGGTATTCTCCCGACTGTGTAATGGAGCGATAGATGCTGTAATTTATCTTGTTTTGGAATTACCAGTTGAGGCTTAATGAATTCGTCACCTGATGTAACAATACACATCCGAAACATTTCTTTCTTCTCATTACTTCGACATTCAACACGAGCAAGACGATGCCAGCGCGGTCCTGGTCGTCGACGCTCAAGCTCCCCAAGTCGACCTTCCCCCGCGGGTGTCGCCGGCCGACCAAGCCAAATACCTCAAGCGATGCACCGATGACCTCTACGCCTGGCAGCGCCGCGAACGACCCGCCCAACACCCTTTTGTGCTGCACGATGGCCCGCCATACGCGAATGGAGAATTGCACATTGGACACGCGCTGAATAAGGTCTTGAAGGACATAATTTGCAGAGTTCAATTGGGGCTGGGAAAGCGGGTGCGCTATGTACCGGGCTGGGACTGCCATGGACTCCCCATTGAGCTGAAGGCGCTACAAGGCCTGCGCGAGATGGGGATCAGCGATGGCTCAGTCAGCGCTGCCGTCATTCGTAAAGCTGCGCGGCAGCTGGCGGCGGACACGGTGACGGAGCAGATGAAGGGGTTCCGCGGGTTTGCGGTCATGGCGGACTGGGACAGACACTGGAAGACGATGGACAAACAATTCGAGATGCGACAGCTCGGCATTTTCCGGGAGATGGTCGATCGGGGGTTGATCTACCGGAAGTTCAAGCCGGTCTACTGGTCACCCTCCACTGGGACGGCATTGGCAGAGGCAGAGCTAGAGTATAAAGACGACCATGTTTCGACCGCAGCCCTGATCAAGTTTCCTCTCGTCACGGTCCCGACACACTTGACCAACGACCCTCTGATTCAAGTGAAAGATTTGAGTGCCGTGATCTGGACTACAACACCCTGGACCCTGCCGGCCAATGCTGCCATTGCGGTCAGCGAGTCCTTGGAGTACACCATAGTCCAGTCGGAGACCCACGGCCACCTTCTCGTGGCTCAGTCTCGATTCGAGTACCTCCAAACAATGCTGAAGGAAGACCTCTCGATCATCGTCCCATCCATTCTCGGGTCTGAGTTGGCAGAGAAGACCACTTATCGGCCACTCTTCAAGAGCCCGGAAGCCGAGCCACAGCCTATCATCGCGGCGGACTTTGTCACAGCTGACTCTGGGTCCGGTCTTGTTCATTGCGCTCCGGGTCACGGTATGGAAGACTACGAGGCGTGTCTTGCACGCGGCATTCCGGTGTTTGCTCCTGTCAACGACGAAGGACGATTTACGGAGAAAGCGATGCCCCATGACCCCACGAGATTGGCAGGCAAGGCTGTCTTGGGAGAAGGCAATGACGCAGTAGTGGAATATGCCGAGTCACGCGGTCAACTACTTGCCAAACACCGGTACGAGCACAAGTATCCGTACGACTGGCGTTCCAAACTCCCGATCATCATCCGGGCCACGGAGCAGTGGTTCGCAGACGTGGCCGACATCCGGGGTAATGCTCTCCGAGCGCTGGAGGATGTTCACTTTGTTCCCGAAGCTGGGAAGCATCGCCTGGAGAACTTTGTGAAGAATCGAAGTGAATGGTGCATCTCACGTCAACGCGCGTGGGGCGTCCCGATCCCAGCGATTTATCACCGGACCACGGGCGAGGCTGTCCTAACGAAAGACAGCGTGTCGCACATCATGGCCACCATTGAAGAGCGTGGGGTTGATGCCTGGTGGACGGATAGTGCTGACGATTCGGCCTGGATCCCGCCGTCCCTGCGCGATGAGTCGGGGGCGGGCTACCGTCGCGGAACGGACACTATGGACGTTTGGTTTGACAGCGGGACCAGTTGGACGAGGGAAGATACGACTGGACGAGATCATCCGGCAGATGTGTATTTGGAGGGAACTGACCAGCATCGGGGCTGGTTCCAATCTGGGCTCCTCACTTTCATTGCACACCAACTTGCCTCCGGTCAGACATCAACTCCTCGCGCGCCTTTCAAGCATCTCATTACGCACGGCTTTACACTCGACGAGGATGGTCGCAAGATGAGCAAGTCGATTGGGAACGTTATTGCTCCGCAATCCATCATGGACGGCACGCTCTTGCCGCCCCTCAAGCCACGGAAGGGGAAGAAGAAGACTGAGAAACAAGGGCCTGAGTACGATGCACTCGGTCCCGACGCGCTTCGCATGTGGGTGGCGAGCAGCGACTACACGCGCGACGTGGTTATTGGAAAGCAAGTGCTCCAAACCGTGAACACCAGTCTCCACAAGTTCCGCGTGACCTTCAAACTACTGCTGGGTGCGCTCGCTGATTTTCGGCAAGACTGCCGGGTGCCGTATGAGCAGCTGCAACAAGTAGACCGGATTGCCCTGATGCATCTTTCGCAAATGGTCTTGGCCTCACGAACGGCGTGTGAGAACTTCGAGTTCTACAAGGCCGTCAACGTGATGAACCGATGGGCCAACCTCGAGTTCTCGGCTTTCTACATGGAGGCCATCAAAGATCGGCTGTATACACATGGCGAAAACAGCACGAGCCGACGCGCGGCGCAGACGACCTTGTTCCACATCTACACCCATCTCCAGGAAGTCCTGGGCCCGATTACTCCGATGCTTGTGGAGGAGACATGGGAGCATGCACCGGAACCGATCCGTTCGCTCTGCGAGCACCCGCTGCGACGCCTGGTATCTGTCCCGGCGGCGGAATGGCAAGACCCCGCGCTGGAGACGAGCTACCAGGAGATTGTGGCAGTACACTCGGTCATCAAAAACCTGCAGGAGCAAGCACGCAGTAAGAAACAGCTAGGCTCGTCCCTACAATCGTTTGTGCACCTAGCCCTCCCGGCAAGCAAATCTATTTTCCACCAGGTTTTGACCGAACTGCCCGATCTGTTTGTTGTTTCGTCGGTTACTCTGGGCCAACATGGCGAGGAGGCCGTTCCCGACGAAATCGAACATGCCGAGTGGCAGTACAGGGAGGCCTTCGAGCTCCCCAACGGCCAGCAAGGCACGGTGCACGTCTACGCGCCGCAAGCCTCCAAATGCCCCCGGTGTTGGCGGTACGCTGTTCCGACAGAGGCAGAAGAGGAGACCGTCTGCGATCGCTGTGAGACGGTGGTTCGCGAGATGGAAATGTAATCTTGATTTCTGTACGATAGTGCGTGCGCCCTGTACCATAGTACCATAGATGAGCCAACCATGTTATCCAATAAATGCGGAACCCGACGCTGTGTCTCCCAATCTATTTGTCTCCGTATGACGACATGATCGAGTCAGCGCCCCCGGGTCTGGATTTGTTTGCGAATCCGGGTTCTGGGTTATTTATGACTGCTCCCCCGTTCCTCGCCAGGTGTTTTCATTGACAAGTTACCACCATGTTCGACCCGTCTACAACTCCGATTATGCCGCTGCCAACTCCCACCTCGTCGGTGGGTCCTATCCCCACAGTTATCCCCGGCGTCACCCCGGTCTTCCAGGAAGTTCATGATGTGGGCAAGCGAACGCTGTGGTATGTTCTCTAGCGACCTCTTATTCATTAATACTTACACCGGTGCAGGGTTGTCACAGTGCTAATGGGCCTATCGTCCTTGGTATTCTTTAGCCTCGGCGCCCGAGCTCCCTTGGTCAGTCTCCTACCCCCATCTATATACCCCGACATCCCATCTAACAAATCAAACCCAGCCCAAGCGAGTCTTCCACACAGTAACCTCCCTAATAACCACCATCTCCTTCATCACCTACCTCGCCCTAGCCACCGGCCAAGGTATCACCTGGATACACGCCGACATAACCCAGCGCCACAAACATGTCCCCGACACAACCCAGGAATATTTCCGCCAGGTGCTCTGGCTCCGCTACGTGAACTGGGCACTCACCACGCCCCTCTTCCTGGTGAATCTCTCCCTGCTCTCCGGCCTGCCAGGCGCGAATCTCGTCGCGGCCATCGCGGCCGATCTGGTCATGTTGGCCACGGGCCTGTTAGGCTCCTTGGCCGGACAAACCCGCCAGCGATGGGCGTGGCTTACCCTGAGCTGTATCTCGTATCTGACGGTCATCCACCACGCGGGATTCTACGCCGCGCACGCGGCGAGGAATAAGGATGCGCAGACGAGGAGGTTTTTCGGGTCGTATGCTGCGACGGGGTTGGTCGTGTATGCTCTGTATCCGATGTATGCTTTCCTCTCTACTTTTATGACTTGAGAGTTTTTAGTTGCCCATGCTAATATTGTACAGCTCACTTGCCTCTGGGGCTCTTGCACTCAAACTCAGCGTTGACACGGAGACTATCCTCTTTGCGATTATGGATGTCTTGATGCAGGGGATTTTGGGGTACTGGCTTGTGCTGGCGCATGATAGTGTGTCCGGAATGTAAGTGTTGATTGACCTTGACTGCTGGGGTGGTGGATGCTAATCTCCCGATAGAACGCTTTATGTGGACGGCTTTTGGGCGCAGGGGGTGGTCAATGAGGGCACTATTCGCATCGCGGATGAAGAAGAGGGGGCGTAGGAAGGATGAGAGGCTTGACAGATTGTGGATTCTTGGTCTTGGGTGTGTTGGGGTGAACGCTCACATGAATCGATACTTTATCCTTTTGTTTGTTTAATGCAGCAACGAAAAGTCGGGCTTGTTTCGATTGTCTCTCAGCCTGTTCTGTATCTTGAACTGTTGAATCAATTTCCTCTCCTTTTGACAAAGATATGCAACCCTCACTCGATCAGGTCTCCTTCCTCGAACCATCCAGAAGCTTGTTTATTCCACAGAACGCTGCCTCGTGCACCTTCTTTCCACCCCGCAGATCCACAACCTTCAGGTCCTTCTTCAATTCCAGCGGCACAATACCCACCGGGATAGGATCGAGATCAATGGTCTTTGTGGAACGCACAACCACCTTCCTCATCCCTCGAGACAACCAGAATCCAGAATCAACACAGTTTCCCTTGAAACAGATCTTGCGCAGCCTCTTGGGGTCGAACCAATGCAGGAAGGGGTCTGCATCCACTACAAATCCAGTCAAGGTGAGTGTTTTGATCTGCAGACACTTCGCGGTATGATCCATGGCCAAGGCGCGGACCTTGGCTGTTTCAATGCACTGCTTGTCGAGATACTCGCCGTGTCCAATATCCGGATGCAATGTCCCATTTCCTTGGCCACTGTAGAAATGGCCCTTAGTAAGTTATAGGGAAGAAAGGTCGAAAACTTACTAGTAAACAGGCGCTCCACTAAGCCCCTTGTCTATCTTCCACCCATCCCGGATGAGCGTCCACCGTCCAGCATGAGAAAGGCTAACCACCTCCGGCTCCATGGCCATGCCCAGTTCCAGCTCCTCGAGGTCCGTATTCAGCCAGGCCGTCATCCAGATAATGGTCTGGTACGACTGCAACATGCCCGTGAGTTTGAGCGATCGCAGGCGACGAAACAAACACAGCGGCTTCAGTTCGGTGATGTCGAAGAGCGGATCATCGTCTTTGACGGGGCGGAATAGATCCAACTCCAACGATTCCTTGTTCTCGGACAGACGCTCCCACGTCTCCACGCCTTTGAAGTTGGAGAGCGGGTCTGCTGCCGTGGCGATATCATCGCTTTCCGGGGCAGGTCCATGGAAAACCGACTCGGGTTTGGAAAGAGTGAAGGGTTTAACAGGTCGGTGTTTTGCACCCCCCGGCCCGACCGATCTAGTTGCAGATTTCTTCGAGGGCGAGTTTCTGAGACGGCTGAAGTCTCGAAGACGCGAAGAAGAAACGGCATTTGCGACGGAAGCACTGCGGCGCAGACTTCCCTTTCGAGTGAGTGTTAGGTCGCTCACACTCAGACCACGACGGTGTTTCTTCTTGGTTGTCTCATCGGCGGAGACGGCTGAGTGGAGGCCCTGTTCGGGGCCCAGGTTGAAGGGGAAGCGAGTGTGAAGGTCTGGGCAGCGAGCTGGTCAGCGCAGTCGGCGAGCAGACTCGGGTAGGTACTTTTCGCCTGCTCCTGCTCCTGCTTGTGATCTAGCTCTTCCTCGTAGACAGTGGCGCTTTTCCAAAAGTCCCATCCCATCAGGGTGTCTCTCCAGTGGGCGGAATAGTCATCCATCTTGGGATGTTCGCAGAGGTGGAAGAAAGTCATTGAAGGACGAAGGGGACAACATGGGGAAGTCGAGGGCGGTTGAAGAAGGAAAGGGCGAGGGGAGGCAATGGTCGAGGTAGAGAGGAAAACATGAAAACATCCCAAGACGAGGAATTGTTCTCGCGTGAGCCCGCTATGATTGTAATGTGGACCTGATATTCTACGATGAAAAGAATGGCTATAAATCGAAGACTTCGTGTTATAAAAGTCAGGAATGTCTACTAGGCCATTTGTTGTTAGTAACCAATAAGCCATTGATGGTTCATCATGTCTAGTGCAGAATATCAGAAGTATTCCCATCTACGGCAACACCGTTATCCTCATTTGGCGTAGTGGGCTGTCAGGAATGCGGGGAAGACCCCATCCTGTCTGGGAATTGCAACTTGCTCGAAATCCATGGCAAGGCATGAAAGTCAGAGGCCTGGTCCTCGTTTGAAGATCGCGAGATCGATCTGATAGATCACCGATGGATACTGTTACGGCACGTTCAAAAGCAAATGTGATTATTCGCGGGTCCTGTGCGGAAGTAATGCAGATCGGGCCGGTGTTAAGACTTGGCGTCAGGCCTGCTTAGGCCTCCAGCGGGGAACATAAATGATCGGCTATCGCGTAGGGCGTGGTGGTCTGATCCGAGGGAGAAACTTCAGTCACTACTGCTTCTCTAGAACGAATTTGCCGATTGCAACTTCTCGCTGACATCCCAAGGACTCCCGCACCATCTTAGCTATTCTGCCATTCGAAAACATGGCTGCCCAGATTAATACTACCGTCAGTATGAGTGAGTGAGTGAGCACACGGCTGATATTACAGTGCAGGAGTTTCCTGGAAACATCATCAATAACCAGTTCGTTCCCACATCCAAGACGCGTCGTTCCGTCAATCCTTCCACCGGCGAGCCACTGTACGAAGTCCCTTATGCCACCCAGGAGGACGTAGATGCTGCCGTAAAGCACGCCCGCACGGCATTTAAAAGCTGGTCCAAGGTTCCCTTTGAAGAGCGCTCGCGACTTCTTCTTGCTTATGCCGATGTCCTCGAAGCCCAGCGCTCGCCGCTGGAGAAGCTGCTCGTGCAGGAACAGGGCAAGCCATTGGAACTGGCCAAGGCGGAGTTCGGCATGAGTCTAGACTGGCTTCGGGGTTTTGCCGCGATGGAAGTCAAGGATGAAGTGCTCGACGACAACGAGGAGCGGACTGTTACCCAGACATTCCCGCCAATCGGTGTCTGCTGCGGCATTGTCCCCTGGAACTGGCCTATCCTGCTTGGCCTGGGCAAAGTTGGACCAGCGCTGATCACTGGCAACACGATCATTATCAAGCCATCGCCCTTTACGCCGTACTGCGACCTGAAGCTCGGCGAGATCGGCATGAGCATTTTCCCACCAGGTGTTTTCCAAGTCCTCAGCGGAGGCGATGACCTCGGCCCCATGCTCACCGAGCATCCTGACATCGATAAAATTGCCTTCACCGGTTCCAGCACAACCGGAAAACTGGTCATGCAGAGCTGTGCTAAGACCCTCAAGCGCGTCACACTCGAGCTTGGGGGTAATGACCCGGCAATCATTTGCGAGGATGTCGACATCGACGCCATCGTGCCAAAGATCACCACCCTCGCGTTCCTCAACTCTGGCCAGATCTGTATGCTGATCAAACGGGTGTACATTCACGAAAAGATTTACGACAAGTTCCGGGATGCCATGGTCACTTTTGCCAAATCCATCAAGACGGGAGACGGATTCGAGTCGGATGTGCTCGTTGGGCCAATCCAAAACAGCATGCAGTGAGTGACAGCAAAAAGCAAACCCGTGTGCATCTTTTCTCACAAAACACTTTAGATTCGAGAAAGTCAAGGATATGTATTCCGAAATTGGCAAACGCAGCTGGAAACAGGCTCTCGAGGGCCAAGTATTCAAAGACTCAAAGGGCTACTTCATCAGTCCCGCCATCATCGACAACCCACCCGAAGACTCCCGGATCGTTGTCGAGGAACCCTTTGGCCCAATCGTGCCTCTCCTCAAGTGGTCTGATGAGGAGGATGTCATTGAACGGGCAAACAACAGCAAGTCTGGTCTGGGCGCCTCTGTGTGGAGCAAGGATCTGGATCGGGCAGAGAGAATGGCCCGCTGCCTTTCCGCCGGGAGTGTCTGGATCAATTCTCACTTTGATGTTGCGCCCAATGTGCCATTCGGAGGACACAAGTGGAGTGGCATTGGGAGCGAATGGGGCATGACTGGTCTGAAGATGTACTGTAACTCCACGTCGCTCTGGAAGTGGAAGAAGGTCATGTAAGCAGATGGTTGTACATAACAAGCAGACCAATTGGGCATCTTTGGCGGTTTCTACTGCTGAAACTATTTGACACAAACACATCCGGCAACCGATAGCGACCTTCAAGCCAAGAAGTATATTCACAAATGAGGTCAGAATCCTTGAAGATGAGGATTTACAGCCAAGTGGAGGCCATAGCGGTCTTTAGTGCCTCCCAACACCAATCACACCAGCTCCTCTTACCGAGCTTCTTCGCTTCTTCTCTTACCGAAGCAACCATCGGAGGATCGCAGGCCCCTCGACTAGCCTTGAATAGGGACACATGTGATGCGCCTTGCGCCAGACGCTACCGGTAATGCACCCGAACTCGAAGGATTGGCACTATTTACACTACTTCATGCCCGGCCTGTCGCCATGTTGTCAACATCGACTGTCACCACTCCTTCGTGGTCCCCCTTGAAACGCCGTTCAGCATGAAACACTTCTCCCTCTCCCGAGGACTAGGGGCCTTTGTCGTCGCTGCATTCACTGTCAGCGCGATGGCCGAGTCAAGCGGAAACCCCTTGGCCACAGCAGACCAGCAGTCTCTCGACGCGCTCGCGATTGAGATCAGCAATGATGATCACTTCGTGGTGCTCAAGGCCGAAGCCAAAGCAGCCTACCAAACAGCCCACGGCCTGCCCATCAGCGACGAAGCGGCCTCGAGTCTCGATGAAGCCATCGACGAACTGGCATTCAGCTCTATCCAAAAGGCTGTCAACACTGACGCCTACCATCCCAAGATATACTGGGTGGATGCGGGACCGCGCAGTTGGTTTGGGCTGGATGTGCCTGGGGGTCGGTATTCCTACGACAATCCGGACGTCTTCTTCCGGACGATTCCTATCGATCATAGTCTGAGCTATGTCGTCAAGGGGTACCGGGACACGCCCGGACCGGCAGATGTGACCTTCTCGCTGATCAGCGATCCCAATTCGCAGAATACCGTCGCCGCACTGGCGGGCAGTGACCTCGTGATCGAGAGTGATGGCTCGTACACGGTCACGATCAACAGCTCGTCCGCCAATGGCCAGGCAAACCACATCCAATCCTCACTACTCGCGAAACAACTGTTGATCCGCAACAACCTCGGCGACTGGTTCGCAAAGCCAGACAACCTCACCGTCGAACTGATCGACGCCCCGGACCACAGCGCCAAAAGCAAAGCGGAAATCATCCTCGCCGCGGGATGGGACCTCCAAGAATCGATCGTGGACTACGGCGTCGGCGCACTCGGAATCAAAACCATGGTCAACAAGGTCAACACGCTCTCGGACCCCAGCCAGTCCAGCAGCCTGGGCACACTAACCACGCAAGCGAGTTCCTTCGGCCACTTCGATCTATCCGACACCGAAGCCCTAGTCGCAACGCTGACCAAGGGAGCCGCCGATTACTTCGTTTTTCCAGTATACAATCCATGGATGATAACCAAAGACCCCGGCACGCGACAGATCAGCCTGAACAGCGCGCAGGCGGAGCCCAACGCGAACGGGACGTACACGTTCGTGATTTCGCCCACGGATCCCGGTGTGTATAACTGGATCGACACGGCGGGGCTGCACGAGGTGACGACTATGGTGCGCTGGCAGGGTCTACCATCGTCGAGTTCGTCGACGAGTGATGCGCCGAGCGTGGTTGCGCAGGTTGTGCCGCTGGTGGATTTGCAGGCTGTTCTTCCTGACGGGACGCGGTTTGTCACCGCGGAGGAGAGGAAGGCGCAGCTTGCGAAGCGGATTGAGGCGTATGCGCTGAGGACGGTGGTTTAGACTGGGGTGTGTCGTCTCATGTTGTATATACTCGTGGATCAGTGGCTTAACGTATAAGCTGTCAATAATGCCCGGTATAGGGGAGTTGTATCTACTGCATCAATCAATCTACAAAACGTTGGAAGATCTGTCTGGCAAAAGGGCCGCGTGCTTTTGTGTTTCCATTCCCGTAAATACATCATCCATCCAACCCATCAGCGAAACCGACCACTTTTTACTCTGGCAGAATTGAAGAGAGAAAAAATTTGATTATCAATGCATCACAACCACACTACCCTAGTATTTCTTGCCCTGGCGCAGGACATCGCCAAACTCCTCCAGAGGGCTCCGGATGAGCTTGGTCTCCTTCCAGAGGTTGGGGGTGAGGAAGCCGTAGCTGTTGACGACGGCAACGAAGGTGGCCTTGAGGGTGTTCTCGAGGGTCTTGGTGGAGCCGGAGGACGAGGTGTAAGCGTCCTCGATACCGGCCAGCTGGAGGAGACGCTTGACGGCGGGAGAGGCGACGAGACCGGTACCGCGGGGGGCGGGAATGAGCTGCGAGTATTATTAGTGGCTGGATTTGCGACAAGGGGAAAAAGGGTGTACATACGCGAACCGAGACGGAACCGCACTTGCCGGACTGCTTGACGGGTAGCGAGTGAGGCTCACCGAGGTTGGTACCCCAGTAACCTCTCCGGACGGGAAGCACAGCCAGCTTGGCGATGGTGATGGCAGCACGGATAGCGGTCGCGACTTCCTTGGAGGTCTTGATACCAAGACCGATGTGGCCCTCGGAGTCACCGATGAGGACAATGGCCTTGAAACGGGTGCGCTGACCGGCACGGGTCTGCTTCTGGACGGGCTTGATCTTCATGACCTCGTCCTTGAGCTTGGGCAGGAAGAAGTCGACGATCTGGAACTCCTTGATGGGCAGCGAGTGCAGGTAGATCTGCTCCATGCTGGTGATCTTGCCGGCCTTGACGAGACGGCCGAGCTTGGTGACGGGCTGCCACTCCTTCTCCTCCTGGCGGGGACCGCGACGGCCACGGCGTCCACGGCCACGGCCACGGTCACCACCGCGGTCGCCGCGCGAACCGAATCCTCCACGTCCACGGGGGGCAGCGTCAGCCATTTTGGGTGTGTTGGAGGGGGGAATTGGGTGGTGGTGGGTTGTCGAGATGAGGTTGTCGAAGTTGATCGCGGGCCTTGAATCGTTAATCCGAAATCATCTCGCTTGACTTGTGCGGATGCCCTAGCCCTAATCCCCGATTGGGATGGACATGGTCTGTGCGTTTATTGACTATCCGGGCGGGATCAGCTGACTGGGTCAGGTGACTGCTCCAGGCCCTCGACGAGATAAAAAGTCCGACCGTCACGGACAAAGACAGAGAAGTCAGGATGACTGGAGATGGTGATGATGGTGTCGGTCTGTGACGACTACTACGACTGTAAATATAGAATCTCTTTCAGCTCAAACTGCTATTATGATTATGACGCCATAGAAAATCCCTGCAAACACAGCCGGAGTGGCAATAAGTGCCCTGGCGGGTACGTTTCCTATCCAGGAATGATCCTTGAGATGGCAACCTGACTCCGCATTTCATTATTATTATCTTTTAAACAGCTGTTGCCCCGGGGTGTGTGGTTTCTACATCCTCTCTATTCTTCATCATGTTGCGCTGGTACTTTCTATCCCCTTCAATCCCTTGCTATATCTCACTCCATCCAGGTACCAAACAAAGCTAGCCAAGAAGCCCATCCTCACTGCCAGCGTCACCAGCGCGGTACGACTCTCCTCCTCCCTCGCTCCCTCGTTCTCCTCATAATAGTAATAATTATAATGCAAAACAGGTACTATTCGGCAGCGGCGATGTCCTCGCCCAGCAAGCTGTCGACCGACGCGGTCTAGAGAAGCACGACTTTGGCCGCACGGGGCGCATGGCTCTCTACGGCGGAGCTATCTTCGGTCCTGCGGCCACGACCTGGTTCGGCATTCTCCAGCGTCACGTCGTGCTGAAGGGTACCACCTCTACAACCGTCGCCCGGGTCGCCGCCGACCAGATGCTGTTTGCGCCCGTCAATCTCACCTGCTTCCTCTCCTCGATGGCTATCATGGAGGGCAGCGATCCAGTCGAGAAATTGCGCAGTGCCTGGCTGCCCAGCTACCAGGCCAATCTGATGGTGTGGCCATTTGTGCAGGGGGCCAACTTTGCCTTTGTGCCCTTGGAACTCCGGGTGTTGGTGGTGAATGTGGTCAGCTTGGGTGAGTGAACTACCAAACGATCGGAGTGGCCCTGAAACTAACTGTGGACAGGCTGGAACTGTTTCTTGAGTCTAATTAACAGTGGTGAAGAGTAAAATGTGGATTTCTTTCTTGTTGGCGCATTATACAGGGTTTCGTTCATTGTTGTGCTTCATATTGTGCCATGATCGAGGCATTGGTCTGGTGGGAATAGCCAGTCGTACATGATTTGATAGAGAATAGATCTTTAATCATGCTTTCTATTTCCAATAAATTAATATATGTAGGCGACTGTATACGCGTCGATACCCAGAGTCAACCCAATACTATATCACCCACTTTGGCAAAGCGGATCCCAAACAGGCAAGACACTTTTTCTGCCGGCCTTCACCTTTCTCTCTTTCTCCCTCGACATTCATTGTCTCTCTCACGCCTCGCCTTCATCTCTGCCTGGCGCAGATTCGCTGATTTCCTTCCAGTCGCGTTCTCTCAGTGCGCTCTTTCTCGGCTGACCTACCCCTGCGCTCTTCCGCCCGAAAATCTTTCCCGCTTTCCTCACTTTCTCAACCTCACCTCCGACCACCAACCACCCAACCACCCACCATGGCTGCTGCGACGGAGAACGGCCACATCGCGGTGGCAGATGAGAATGCCACCCCTGCGCCGACCACGCAGGCGGCTGATGGCCTGGTCACTGTTTTCCACGACCCCGAGAATTTCACCGTCAAGCACCCGCTCATGCACGAGTGGACTCTGTGGTTCACCAAGCCCCCCAGTGGCAAGGTATGGACTTTTTTGGGCTCGAATCCAAATACAACGCTGACGGTCTACTAGGGAGACAACTGGAATGATCTGCTGAAGGAGGTGGTCACATTCAACTCCGTGGAGGAATTCTGGGGCATCTACGTACGTTTTCTTTTTTCTGGCCATCCAAATCCTCACTAACTTACTCTCGTGCAGAACAACATCACTCCGACCTCCGAACTCGGTCTCAAGGCGGACTACCACCTCTTCAAGAAAGGCGTACGACCGGAGTGGGAGGACCCGCAGAACAAGCACGGTGGCAAGTGGTCGTACCAGTTCAAGGACAAGCGGTCCGTCCCCATCGACGAGCTGTGGCTGCACGCCCAGCTGGCCGCCATCGGCGAGACGCTGGAGGCCGACGCCGACAACGAGGTCATGGGCGTGGTGGTGAATGTCCGCAAGGGATTCTACCGTGTCGGTCTGTGGACCCGCACTGTGGGCAAGGGAACGCCCGCCGACAAGAACGCCCGCACGCCCGCGCAGGGCAAGGAGGCGCTCGAAGCGATTGGCCGGCGGTTCAAGGAGGTGCTTCGGCTGAAGGATACCGATGTGGTGGAGTTCTCGGGACACACGGACAGTGCGCACAGTGGCAGCACGCGCGCCAAGGCGAAGTACGTGGTTTAGAGGGAGAGTGCGGTTTTCACGATAATGGATTAGATTCGAGCAGGACGGACGGATGGAAAAAAGTGACTCTCTGACTGATCGGTCCCTTCTGCAAGGCAAGGGACTCGATACCTTTCGACATGTATCTTACCTTTACTTTACCCTTCCCACACGCAATTCACGAAACATATGTCCTATCCCAATCCAAGACTCATCTGTACATTATGATAGTATAGGCAGCATATCTAGAATCTCCCGATCTTTCCCATGCTCCCGCTGCAGATACAAACAGATCGCACGACACTCCACGTTCGCGCGATGCCGAACCCACCAGATGATCTGAGCAGCCTTGTCATACCACATCGCCAACAACAGCAGCGCAACCGGATCCTTCTGTCTAAGCAACATCTTAAACACGGGCTCCATCTGACTCGAAAACGCCAACACCATACTCCGTGTAACTTTCCCCCTCCTTCCAAGAAGCGGAGCAAGTGTGCGCACCGCAGTGAAGTAGGGATTATTCTCCTTCGACGAAGTCTCCTTCAACAAACACACTCTCGCCAAGGAAGACGGCGTCGCACCAGCGGAAGAAGAAACAGGATCAAACATCGTTGAATACTCCCCTGCCATAGCCCGAAACAAACTGTCCACCCGTCTGGGTTCTGCAAGGCTCATAACCGCCATCTTCGTCTCAGCCATGCGCATCCACTCCAGATCGGAGGGATCAGCAGCGCGCAACGGCCATGCGTGCGAGGGGTGGCTCGTATCCAGCGAGGAGAAGGTGATAATTCCTAGAAATGTGACTGCCATCCAGAGCGGATCGCGGTCCTGGGGGCTGATGGGCTGTGAGAGTTTTTGATTGAGCAGCGAGGCGCATTGTGCGGAGTGGTAGACTTCGAAAGTGCTGGGGACTCCTGGACTTGGGGTGTGGAGGTATCGGTCGTGCATGGCGGACATGGCTAACACTGTGTGCATTAGGTAGGGATTCTATAGGTAGGATGTTAGTATAACAACATCCATACAATACATGGAGATATGTCGATCTATGGGGATTGGATAGCTATAGAGAGAGGGAGGGGGAAGTGCATACTACAAGAGCAAGACGCAACACGTCCTCCTGAAAAACATTAACAATCGTCAAAACCGTCTGTCGCTGCTGAAACCCTGCCAACCGGCGCACATCATGACGATCCAGCCGCAGATCTCGCACGCCATCCGAGCTCACAGGCGCCGGCGCTTCGAGCTCAAGAGCCAGCGAGGTAGACTGATTGGTCATGGCATAATTGCACCAGACGCCAAAGGAGTGGCATTTTTGGCATTGAGGACGTGTTTCATCGCACTGGATTGTATTGTTAGTGGGAGCTGGTCCAGCTGAGGATTGTCGGCGGTTGCTTACTTTCACGCGGCGCAGTTTGCAGTTCCCGCATCCTTGGCGGGATTTTGTGTGGAAGCGCCGTTTTCTGTGCTTTTGAATTGAGAATGAGATTGAGGGGTCTGGCATGTTGGTTCGGTTGGGGTTTGAAGAGAGTGGTGAGTTGGTTCGTGAGAGGAGAGGGTGATTGGTGGTGGTCATGTCGGGGGTTGAATAAGGTTATGCCCGATAGTTAACTCCATAACTCCTTAAAGTCCGTTGATGGCCACGAGCATGAGATGGGAGATGGAGATTGGTTTAAGAAGAGTTACTGTAAACAAAGTGAAGGATTTGGATAGGTTTTTTTTTTTCCCCAGTGATTGGGATTTTCAATTATTTGTTGATGTGTCGGATCTATATATTTGGCGGGTGGTGGCCCCGTGTAGAAATGATCCATGTTGATAGTCGAACTTCGAGCTCAATTTTGACAAAGACTACATATACTCAATATCAAATCATCACTTACACATGCCATACCTCTTTGGGGACCAGACCAAGCTGTTCACACACACTATGCGGCGTCTCCATCCCATTCTATCGGAGCACTTCTTCTCTCTTCGTATATATGGCGGAGAGCAGGGATCACGGTCCAATTCTATCTGTCCCTGTTACCATATCTAGATTTTCAGACATTGGTGATTAGAGGGCTACAGGTTACTTCGGGAGAATACTAAGGTTAGGTTCCGACAATCCTGAGAAATACAGCTGCTCGGATCGTCTCTATATAGTTGGTGTTGCTGCTGGCTTGGAGTTGGCCTTTGGTTGGACTACCAGATTCAAATTTCCGGTTCCATTTTGTTTAAACCCGGCTGACAACGCCAGTTAAATTCTCACTAGACTTACTCTCCCATACCCGAAAGACGTTCTAAGCGAGTGCGGAAACACCCGATGCCAACAAACCTGTCTCAACTTGATAAATGCCCATTCTAGCGTTGAGCGACGTCCCAACGTCGGTGAAATACGATACGATGGAATATTGGGATAAACTAATTCTTGCCCCAGACTTAGGACGGGCATTCGTATCAGGAATTACACGTGATCTGGGAGCATGGGGCGGGTTTCTAACTGATATCTGGGGTCATTTGCGGCTGACTGCTACAGTACATATTCCGCTACTATTAACTTGGCACATTTCCTTCTAATATCTTGTTCTGTCTGTTTAGCTATACTCCTTCGCATGTCATCAACTACCAAACCGACTATCGTTCTCGTGCACGGCGCATGGCATGGCTCGTGGTGCTGGAGGTTCCAAATCCCCGCCCTCGAGGCTCTCGGCTATGTTGTGGAGGCCGTGGACCTACCGTGCGTCAGCGGGGTGGTAGGTACGACGCAGTTCGACGACGCGGCCCTCGTACGGTCCGTTGTGGAAGCGCAGCTATCTATGGGTAAGCGCGTCGTCGTCCTAGCGCATTCCTACGGAGGACCAATTGCGAGTGCGGCCATCGAGGGGCTGGCCGACAAAGGCGTCCTAGGGATGGTCGCTCTATGTGCCTATATCTTCCCTGGAGGCATGGACCAAGGCGCGGTCATTCGCGACATGGGCGGCCTACCCTTCGTGACGTGGGACGTGCCGAGCGAAGGACTCTTCCTCCCCAAAGATCCGCGCAACTTGTTTTTCGCTCCGGATGTGCCTGCAGACCGAATCGACTGGGCACTCCCGCAGCTTCGCCCTCAGAGCATGGCCGCCAATATGGGCATTGTGCCGCCGCAAGCCTGGCAGGACGACTCCTATAGTGGGAGATTAGGCTATATTAGGTGCACGGCCGATGCTGGCATCCTCCCAATCGAACAGCAGGACGGCATGGTGGCGGGCGCAGGTGGCCAGGAAAAGTGGCTAATTCGCACACTCGAAGGATCCGGCCATAGCCCCTTCCTTTCGCGGCCGCAGGAGGTCGCGGCTGCAGTTCAGGAGATCGTCAATGATTTTGAAGCCAAGCTCCGCTAGGGAGAAGATTCTGGATCAGCCTGTAGAGACGAGGGCTTTCCGGATATTATGAGTCGTGACCTAGGTATGGAATGAATTCTAGAAGAAGATAAGAGTCTCATCTACAAAGAGTCGAATTTGTCAAGCAAGAGATCGCAGCGTTTTTAGCATCAATGAATATAATATGTCTATGGCCGATCTGATTCAAAGGGAGGAGAAGGAGATGGATGTCTCCGAACTTGTCGAGAGTTCCTGCGGAATCTTTGATTGTGCCTTTGTTGCATTAGCTGCGCTAGCCATTTGAGACGCAGCCAGTAAGTGTCTCTGTATCATATCTCGAATGAAGCGTAGCTCCCACGGTTGAGAATACAGGCTGGAGAATAGGCTCTGAATGCACGAAGGGAGTCTATTTTCGAATATTGCTATATATATGACCACAGTCACCTCTAACAATTATTCGCAACTCTCGCATCGGCAAAGAACACTCGTTCCTGGAGTATCGACTGCCGGACGGCCGCCGGTCCACCGTCCAGCCTATCGCGTCCTCATCATTCGTCCCCGAACGAGGTCCGACAGCAGAACGGGCTTATTCTCATTGGACCCCGACAGCCAGCGTGTGATCGTCTACCCCCCGAGATAGGATGGCGAATGCACTGGCCCGACGAGACCAACAGATCATCGGGCCAAGCACTACCGACCCTGCAGCTTAAAATGCTTGGCCTGCCCTTCTTTTTTCTTCTGTTCCCCCGATCCTCGTGTACGAGTTGACGCCGGTGTCGGATTGCCCAGAGTCAGACCCAGAATGACCCCATCGCCATGGCTTGCATCTCACGCCCTTCGAGCAGACTAGCGGGGGATACTTCGGCTAAACTCAGCGAAGTCGGAGCGACAATCAGTGGCCCTCACTACTTATTGGCGCTGGATCCCCAGACTGACGCCCGACTCTTCCTTCCTTCTGCTTTTCTTGACTTTTCTCTGTCACCTCTTGACACCTTCATTATGATTGATAATACCCCAGACAGCCAGAAACCCTTATCATGACTACTGGCTTGGCAAAGACCCGACTCCACCGCATCCCGTCGGCCTCTTACGAGAGAATAATTAGCACATCGTTACCCCAGGCGAATACCAATGCATCTTGGCATCCGCTCTCACTGGCTGGCCGCGGTCGCCTCAGCTCTCTGCACGGGACCAAAGGATCGGACTCCGGGGTAGCATCTGGACGACACCAATGAGACGATCCTGAAACCCCATCCACGATGATTCGACCTGGTCGAGTCTAGTCAGGTCCTCCCTCCTCCCCCCCTTCTTGCCGGGGACCCCGAGGTTGCACGCGTGTGGCGGCGGCACGCTCGGGGATTGGGCAGCAGGTGGCCAAGGCCGCCTGGCCTGGCCAGGGTGCATCCGTGACTACCTTCCTTTTCGCGACCAGACCGGAAGCGGCGTCAGGCAAACCAAAGAATGCGCGGTTCCGATATCCCATCGCTACGGAGTCCGGAGACGGGGGCTCCGGAATGCGACCGCGGTTATTGGCAGGGGCAAAAAGATAAAAAAATGGAAAAAACGTGGCTAGACTCGCCCATGTGCCACAAGCGAATTTTCAACTCACCGGGTTATCGACCAGCAAGATAAGGACCAAAGTCGGAACCAGGGTTCCGTTCCGACTCCTGGCAACGATTATTCGACCAGACCCTGAATCGCCTCTAGGCCATTCACCGTGCTCCCCCAGCCGGGCTGTTGTTTGATCGACTCTGTTGGGGTACATACAGAGGACGGCATCGGGTTCGTGCGCGAGCTGTTCTGGGGTTACATTCCGTTCGCCCCCCATCGTGGCACGCTCATTTGTCCGGCGGCAAAGAGCCAAGAAATCTCCGCCGATCCTTTCCGTGGTAGTGCTGCTGCGAACAATGGATTCATCTGCCATCTCGCACGCTAGCTCTGTTTTTTTCTCTTGGCCCCGTCGGCTCATGCGCCGATAAGGGAGACGCCGAAAAAAATCTCCACTGTTCGCCTCGGCCGTTGGGTAATGGAAACGGAATAAAAGGTAAATAGCTCGGGGTCCCCGTCTATTTCCTTTCCTTCCCCGAGTGTCCCTTTGCCGTGGTCCTTTTGGCAGGAAAAAAAGAGAGAGTCCTACCCGCAGCCATGTCGACTGCTGAGCGCGAGACTGAGCCTACTACGGTGTATGTTTTTGGTTTCGTGCTACTTGCGTACAACTCGAACTAACATTTTCCCCCGCTCAGGCAACAGAACGATGCCTCCCTCCCCGAGGTGGCTTTGAACGAAAAGTCCATGGACGCTGACGAGAAGGCCGTGGCCGACACCCCGGATGGCGAGGAGCCCACCGAGACCGAGAAGAAGGCTCTGCGCCACATCGCCGAGAACCTGCCCGTCTCCGCCTGGCTGGTGGCCATCGTCGAGTTGAGCGAGCGTTTCACCTACTACGGCATGCAAGGCCTGTTCCAGAACTACGTCCAGCGTCCCTTGGATGGCTCCGAAGGCCGGGGCGCACTGGGTATGGGCCACCAGGGCGCCACGGGATTGACCACGTTCTTCCAGTTTTGGTGCTATGTGACTCCCATCTTTGGTGCCATCATCGCCGATCAGTACCTCGGAAAGTACAAGACGATCGTGCTGTTCTGCGGCGTCTACATCACTGGTCTGCTCATCCTGGTCTGCACCTCCATCCCCAGCGCTCTGGCCCACGGAGCCGGTGTGGGCGGGTTCATCACGGCGATTTTGATCATTGGCCTGGGCACGGGCGGTATCAAGAGTAACGTGGCTCCTCTGATCGCCGACCAGTACAAGCGGAAGAAGATGGCGCTGTCGACCACCAAGAAGGGCGAGCGCGTCATCATCGACCCGGCCCTGACCATCCAGCGCATCTACATGATCTTTTACGGTTGTATCAACATTGGTTCATTGTCCCTGCTGGCCACCCCGTACATGGAATTGTACATCGGCTTTTGGTCCGCCTTCCTGCTGTGTCTGTGCATGTTCATCGTCGGAACCGCGGTGCTCCTGCTGGGTCGCAAGTACTACGTGGTGCGCCCGCCGCAGGGCTCGGTCGTCACGGACGCCTTCCGGTCCCTGTGGATCATGGTCAAGAACCGCAACATGGATGCCCCCAAGCCCAGCTGGCAGGCCGAGCACCGCGGCGAGTCGGCCACCGTTGTGCCGTGGGACGACCACTTCATTGACGAGGTGAAGCGTGCGCTGGTGGCCTGCCGGGTGTTTGCTTTCTACCCGATCTACTGGTTGGTGTACGGGCAGTTCTCGAGCAACTTCGTCACGCAGGCCGGCCAGATGAGAGGACATGGCATCCCGAACGACCTGATGCAGAACTTTGATCCCATCTCCATCATCGTCTTCATCCCGCTGCTGGAGACGATCGTGTATCCGCTGATGCGCCGCATGAAGATCCCCTTCCGCCCCATCACCCGGATCTCACTGGGTTTCGTGGTTGCGTCGTTGGCGATGGTCTACGCTGCCATTGTGCAGCACCTGATCTACTCGGCCGGCCCGTGTTACGAGCATCCACTGTCGTGCCCGGGCGCGATGGTGGACGGCGTGGCCCAGGGCAACAACGTGCATATCGCCATCCAGACTCCCGCATACGTGCTCATTGGTATCTCGGAGATTTTCGCCTCGGTGTCGGGTCTGGAGTACGCTTACACCAAGGCGCCGCCGTCGATGAAGTCGTTCGTCCAGTCGATGTACCTGCTCACCACCGCGTTCGGATCTGCCATTGCCGAGGCCCTGACTCCCGCCGCGTACGACCCGGCCATTCTCTGGATGTTTGTCGGTGTCGCCTGCGCCTCGTTCCTGGTCGGTGTCGTGTTCTTCGCCATCTTCCGCCACCTTAATGCCAAGGAAGATGATATGAATGCCCTCGACGCCGATGACTATATGCCGGACGCGCCGCGCGAGGAGGAGCGCCGCGAGTCGAAGAACTAAATGTCTAACCCTGCTGTGCAGGGGATGGACGGGGTGTACGCCGTGACATGCCCGTCTGGAGTCGTGTATATCAAAAGACAAAGCCCCTATCTACATATTTGTGAATGTAATTGAATGAATGATTCAGATGCAATGCCTCCGTCATAGCGTAGTACATACATAGTGCAGTACATACTAGGTCACTAGTCTGTAGGCATGCATGTTTTTCCCGCACACGCGAGACCGACGTCTGCAGGTAGGCAGCAAGGTATCGCAGAGTGTTTAATCATGACGTGCAGACTTGACGGGTACTGGTTACTTGATAGAGTGTGTGGGCCACACGGTGGAACAAGTACCCAGTACCTCACCCGTCCGATCGTCGCACCAGCCACTGCTGGCCCCACCAGGCAAGGAGGCCGACAGTCGCAGGTACAGAACAACACGTTTCATGATAAATAGCGAGTCGAGAGTAGTAGGGGCAACTAATAGTCATCAATGGGTTCAAAATCAAAACAATCATTGTTTATAGCCATTGAACTATACATCTCTTGCCAAAGTTAATAACAGGTGGGCTGTGTTTACCGCTTGCCTTTCTGCCTCCGCCACAGTCCAGCCCCGTCCCGTCTGCCTGTCTCACCCTGAGTCTCCCTTCCTCTTATTCTTCATCCTTCCCACCCCTTGTTCTCGCTCCCTTCCCACCCCCTCCCCCTCTCTACCAATTACATCCACCACGGATCCCTCGGAACAGCGATCATGAGTGTAAGCTCCTTTACTTTCTCCCCTTGGCGTTTTGCTCATCATATCGACAGTACCAGAATCTCGGCGACCAAGGCGGCTACGGCCAGTACAACCCGTATGGCGGCCAGCAGCCCCAGAACCCCTACGCCCAACAGCAGCAGCCCCCGCAGCAGCAGAGCTACGGATATGGTGGTGGTTATGGCCAGGCTGGAGCCATGGAGCAGGGAACCGGCGGCGGATATGGTGTGTCCTTCCTATCTCCCTAATATTTTTTTTTTCGTAGCGACCTACTAACTACGCGCCTCCCCCAAAACAGAAATGGCCAACATCAACCAGCCCTCCGCTGGCCCAACCGGAATCCTCAACAAATGCAAAGAAATCAACGACGGCGTGGCAGAGCTGAGCGCCAAGCGCCAGAACCAGCTCGGCGCCGCCCAGAACGCCCTCCTGGACTCGAGCACCGGCAAGGAAGACCAGGCCGCGCGCCAGACGCTTGACTACGTCGAGGACGAGATGAACACCGCCCTGCGCTACCTGCGCGACCAGTTCAAGCGCGTCAAGGAGACTCCCGGGTCCGGCGACCCACGCGTCCAGGGCCAGGTTGAGCTTGTTAGCCGGAACCTGCGCCGTGAAATCGAGCAGTACCAGCGCTCGCAGTCGGACTTTCAGAAGAGGCTGCGCGAGCAGGTCCGTCGGCGGTATGAGATTGCCAACCCAGACGCAACCCCCGAGGAGCTGCAACAGGGGGTGGAGAATGTGTTGATGGGTCAGGAGCAGAGCTTCGCTGTAAGTTTGGCTTCCTCTTCAGTGGCTTAGCTAGCGATTGTTGCTTATTGTCTGTGATAGATTACCGGAGCCCGCTCGCGCCAAGCGCAGGATGCCAAAGCAGCTACTCTGCAGCGCTCGGCCGCCATCCGTAAGATCGAGCAGGACATGATCGAGCTCAGCCGGCTGTACCAGGAGGTGGCTGAGCTGGTGCACCAGCAAGAACCGCAGGTCGAACAGATCAACCAGAGCGCGCAGGAGACACACGGCAACGTCGAGCAGGCCAATACCAAGCTCGACAGTGCCATCACAAGCGCCCGCAATGCCCGGCGGTGGAAGTGGTATGCCCTGGGTACTGTTATCCTCATCATTATCATCATTGTGGTGATTGTTGTTGTGGTGAAAGAGGTTAGTTAGGTTGGGCAGAGTATGCGTGCTGCTCTATAATTCTGGGCTAGATGGCTGACTATAACGTGTCTAGGTCGAGAAAAGCTAACTTTCTTTTTCTGTACGACTTTTGGGTGGTTATCCGACTCGACTCAATTCCTTTCCTATGTCTCCTTTCCTCCCTCTCCTTTCCTCTCCAGATACCACCACCACCACCACCACCCACCGTCGCATTTTGCCTTGCCTTGCCTTGTCTATGCGCGCTTGCTGCAAAAGCCGCTTTTATTGTCTTGTCTCTGTCATTATCCCTTCCCTCTCCCTCTCTTTATTGTTCTGTTTCTGCGTGTGTCTGTCTCGTGTACAGCTGCTCCGTGCTCATCATGATGAAAGTGTTGCCTTGGATGATTTCGCTGCTTCTACTATCTAGGGATATGAACGGGCCATCCATCCCCCGGGGTAGCCGTGATGCCGTGGCGCATTGCATGTATATACTAGAGTGTTTGTTTGTGTTCTGTCTGTCTTTACTTTCTGTCGCCGCCGCCGCAGCAGCGCCCGCCGACTCGATGATGTTTGGCGCTAGAATCTATGTAATCCGCCTAATAATCCATTCCCTTCTGCAAAATTTCTTTCTGCCCTGGACTTATCGGATAGATATGTGGCCAGATTTGGGTATTGCTTTGTTGGGTATATATCATCTTGAAAGACTATGATTTCTTCTCCTGATCCCTTTGCTCCTCCTCCGGCGTCCTTGTCTTAAGCTGCAGCGCGTGAAGTCCATTCTCGCGGCTCATCTCCTCCTTGAACAGCGCGTAGACCATACGATGCCGCGCAGGCTGCGGCTTTGAGCGGAAGGCCTCGGAGGTGACGGTGACGCTATGCAGTTAACCCAACAAGCGGTTAGTCTTTCAACCCAGATTTCAGATTTCAGATGACGAGAAGAGAAGAACGAACTGGAAGTGCGTCTCCTTAGACGTAGAGCCCTGCATTGGGGCATGGTGCGCGTGCAGGTGCGAGTCGTTGCGGATGATTAATGTTGAGGGCGTGAAGGCGTGCGCGAGCTAGACCAGGTACTTCTGTCAGCGATGAGGAGGTTAGTTGTGGAGCAGGTGAGGAGAGAGATACCTTGTCGCGCATGACATCCTCCATGGGTGTGGCGGAAGCCATTCTCGTAGAGATGGAGAATAGGCGCGAGAGGCCTGGGGCGCGTAGCATTGGCGTGGGAGAGAGAATGTGCGTGTGGTGAGGGAGGGAGGAAGAAAGTTTGATTTCCGCGGAGGTTTGTCCGTCCCTCATGACATCAACTTTCCGGTCAGTTTATTCTTCTCGACACTCGATCCTCGACACTCGACAGCAATCATTTAATTATGACCCTCTGATTCCCGCACCACCATGTCCAGCCGCAGTCTCTCCGCGCTGGCGCACTTTTCGACCTCGCGCATCCGCCCCAGCTCCATAGTTAGTGCACGACCTGTCCGAGTTCGACACCGACTCCTCTCAACGCTCCCCAATCTCCCCCTCTTCCGCGCCCTCCAGAGCCATGACCCGTCCAGTCTGGCTGTTATTCACAGCACGTCGGCCCGTTCCTTTACGTACGGCAGCCTGATCGCCGACGTGGTGCGCGCGCGGAACGAGCTGGAGCGGAAAGCTGGGAGCGAAGGTGGCCACGGTCAATTGACTGGCGAGCGGGTTGCTTTTCTCGCGGAGAATAGCTATGATTACGTGGGTACTGTGTCTCTTCCTTTGCAGCTGCTATGGACTTTTTTTCACGAGGGCCCTCGCTGATGGCTTGTTGCTTCTAGTGACGCTGCTGGCTATCCTTGCCAACGACGCCATTGCGCTTCCCTTGGCTCCCTCATTCCCCGCAGGGGAGCTGCAGTATATCCTCGACAACTCGCAGGCCAAAGTACTGCTTTCTACCGAGAAGTATGCCGACAAAGCGAGGGAGATTCTCCGTGCGGGTCTGGACCGGGAACCCGTGTTTGATATCAGGAGCAAGATCCAGAAGGGCGCCGCGGGCGAATCGGTTACGCTGGAAGATGCGAAGAAGCCCTCATCTAGCGGGATGATGCTTTATACTTCGGGCACTACGGCTCGGCCGGTATGTTTGCTGTTTGTCATTTTGGGGGTGGGACTACGCTGATACATGCACAGAAAGGCGTGTTGATTCCAGAATCTGCTCTAGCTGCACAGGCATCATCGCTTCTTGAGGCATGGAAGTATTCCCCTCAAGACAGACTGCTTCATCTCCTGCCACTGCATCATATCCACGGGACGATAAATGCGCTGGTGGCGCCCCTCGTGGCTGGTTCGTGCATCGAGTTTATGTACCCGTTCAACACAGATCAAGTGTGGTCGCGACTCGCTGCACCATTCCTACCATCTGGCAACTCCAGCGGAAAGCAGAAGCAGCCAATTACATTCCTAACAGCCGTACCGACAGTCTACAACCGGCTCATGAACGCATTCCCCAATCTAACACCAGACTTTCAACAAGCAGCGAAAAAAGGCATTGCCCCGGAAAACCTCCGACTCAACATCTCAGGCTCCGCTGCACTCCCCACACCCACCAAAACAGCCTGGAAAAATCTGAGCGATGGCAACGTCCTCCTCGAGCGATTTGGTATGACCGAAGTAGGAATGGCGCTCAGCTGCGGGCTCGACTTGGCAGACCGCGTCGACGGCAGCGTGGGCTGGCCACTTCCAGGCGTGGAAGTCCGTCTTGTCGACACGGAGACGGAGCAGGTCATCCAACCAGGCGAAGAAGTCGCCCCGGACGGCCGCACGCGCGAGGGAGAGATCCAGCTGCGCGGGGCTACGCTGTTCAGCAGGTACTGGGCGAATGAGAAAGCGACTCGCGAGGCCTTCGTTGCGAGCGACGATGGCGGAACGCCGTGGTTCAAAACTGGCGATGTGGCGACGAGGCATACCGTCGAGGGTGCCGGTACTGGTCGCAGCGGACCCTGGGCAAGGGGGCCTATGTATTTCATCCGCGGCCGGAAGAGCGTCGATATCATCAAGACGGGAGGTGAGAAAGTCAGCGCGTTGGAGGTGGAGCGGGAGTTGCTTTCTCTGTATGTTCTTCCCTTTCCTCCAGTCCACTCCTTCTGTCCCCCTCTCCATCTCTCTTGTCTCGGTTTATTAATGACAGTCCTAACAAAATGATTTACATCCAGTCCCCAAATCAGTGAAGCAGCGGTAGTAGGCCTCCCCTCCGAACAATGGGGTCAAAAAGTCGCCGCCGTCATCGTCCTGCATCCGTCCGCGCAGACAGCCGGCCGGAATGGAAAGCCCTGGGGCGCAATGGATATGCGGCGCGCCCTGCGTGATCGATTGGCGGCTTATAAGGTGCCGCAGGAGATGAAGCTTTTAGATTCTATTCCGAGGAATGCGATGGGGAAGGGTGAGTCTTTTATTCTCTCTTTGCCTTTCAGTTTGATTGCCCTCACGGTGGAGGGCTTGACTACCGTGGAAACATGCTAATACTCCAGTATTACAGTTAATAAGAAAGCGCTTGTGAAAGAGGTTTTTGGTGTTTGAGGGATGTTTCATTTGGGATACTATAAGGATAAACATAGAAGATTAGAATAATAGAGGGAGGGCGTTGGGTGGTATCGACCTAGAATCTCTGCTCTGGATCGAGTGTATGATATGTGCATCAAGTCAAGACCAAAATTCAAATTCCAACATCTACACAGGTGATTCGTACAGCAGGTCAAGTAAATATTTGAAGAGTCGATCCTTTCTTTGCTTTATACCGAGATATAATATAGTACAATATCTACTCCAGATACAGAGATAGATAACATCACGCCCACTCGCCCATCCTCTTAAACGCCTTTACAAACCTCGTCGCCTCCATATTAACCTCCAACGACGCCATATCAACAGAGGTAATCTTAGCATCAACAACAGAAAAGACACCCATGAGTTCACGACCAGGACAGTCCTCCGGAATGGTAATCGAGCACCGAAGACCCAGATTAGCAATCAGGCCTGCATACACGGTTCCCTCGCTCGGGGGTCTGCGGCGCGGAAGGCGTAGCTGGCACGTGAAGGACTCGGGGAGGGCGCATTCGCCGAAGTAGAATGCGCGGAAGAGGAGCATGCAAGCCCAGTGTTGGTCGGAGAATTTCATTATGTTTCTGAGGCGGGAGTTGATCAGTTGGGAGGCGGCGAGGTGGTTGGATAGGGAGGATTTGGAGAGGAGGTGAGCGGATGGGTCGTTGGTTTCTTCGTGTTCGTGTTTGGGGTCGGCAGCGTTGAACTGGCGGCCGTGGTCGTGTTCGAAGCGCAGTGCTCGCTCGATCTGGAAGTGCGCGAGAACGTCTGAGAACCGACGCAGCGGACTCGTGCTCTTGAGATAGGAGTTTAGACCCAGTGTGTGGTGCGGGAGTGGAGTGGTGGACGAGATGGCTTGCGGCATGGCGAAGCGATAGTAATTCTGGCCATTGAGCTCGGCGACGTTCTCACGCGTCAGCGGCAGGTACTCCGGGTCGTAGCGGGTGCCGTCGTAGATAGCGGGGATGTGGCGGGCGGCGCAGAAGGTGGCCGCGACGTGGCCGGCGAGATTCATGAGCAGTGAGATGAGGTCGTCCTTGGAACGGTCGGTGATTTCGAGGGGATCGACGTCGGGCCGGTACCGTAGACGGATGATCGGGTCGCCGAGCCAGTAGCGGCCTTGGTTGACTTGCATTTCGTAGGGCTGCATGGGGATGTTGCCCGCTTGCACGGAGACAGAGAAGTCCATACGTGGGAAGATTTCCATGGCGCCGGACTTCTCGCGGTGCTCGCGGAAGGCGAGCATGAGTTGGCGCAGGATGGTGAATGTTTCTTTGTCTTCGGGTGAGAGGGTCTCGGTGAGGACTTTTCCTGCTGCGGGCGGCGGGGTGACATACTCGCCGCCTACAGTGAGGTACTCGGGAGATTCCTTGGTATCAGGGTTGAGGAAGTTGCGCAGGGTGTCGTGCGTCAGAGAGATGATGTTTCGAACGGTACCATTCTTGATCTCCGTATCGAGGATTTCTCCCTGCAGATTCATCTTGGCGCTGATCGTCAGGGTTGGCCGACCAGCCGCCAAGCTGAAGTGATCTTGAGACAAGGATGGAGGAAGCATGGGATACGTGCGTTCCGGGACGTAGGTGCTGGTGAGTCGCTCGGCGGCGTACCGCATGATCGGATCGTTAGGATGCATGAACGCCGTGGGATTCGCGACGTGCACGCGCACCCAGAACGTATCGTCAGAGCCGGGGATTCGCTCCAGAGACACGCCATCGTCGATTTCCTTTGTTGCGGCGGCGTCTACACAGTAAACGGGCAGATCTCCCCAGTCTGTTCTCAGATCGTGCATGCGGTCTTTCAGAGGCATTCTGCTGGCCCTCTCGACCATCTCTTGCCATTTGGCCTCTGCTTTCTCCGACATCCCGTGTCCAGGGAGCAAGACGTTTTGATCCAAAATACTCAGATTCTCCCACGGAGAAACCACACCCAGCTCCTGCAAAAAAAGACGGGTCGAGTCCTCACTCAAGCCGAGCTGATTGTACATTCCTGTGGAGCGCATGATGTGCGAACCCGTCGATTTCAGAGTCCCGGAAGCCATCGAAGCCGTCGGGATGGCGTGTAGCTGCAGAAACTGGACGATGGTCTGGTCACTTTCGGTAAAACTTTCCGTGAGAACCTCGCGGTAGACTGCCGGCTTCCCATCTTGGCCAGGAAAGAATTTTTGAGATGAAGGGCCCACGCTGAACATGATTGTGGGGGATCGGACTTTGCGGCTGAGGCGGATCAAGCGTCGTGCCTTCTCGATGAACTGTTGCATAGGATGGCGTTTCATGCCGACGGGGCTTTTGCCCGTGATGAGCTCCGTGCAGTATTGCTGGTGCTCGTGGACCCAGGTAGTGACTTTTGTAATCATTTCGGCGATGCGCTTCGGTTGGACCAGGTAGATGGGATTGAACAAGGAAGCCGAATCTCTTTCGATGATAAACGGGTAACGTCGCACGGCCTGATGAATTGCAAATAACTTCACACTGTCCAGCTCTGATTTATCCAGACCAAGAACTTCACTGGCCAGTTCTTCGAGCGACAGGCGACGAAATTCTTCCTCATCAGCCAGGTAATCAGGCAGGTTATCCAAAACCTTGGAGTTATCCCGATAGAAATCAAGGACTTGACCCCCGAACTCCGTCATCATCTTCAAGAGAGGCGCTCCGAGAGGTCTCGGAACTCCGCCCTCTGGAACAGACTGGACCACCGGATTCGTCAGGGCTTCGCGGTCTGGGAAATAAGGCAGAAGGGGCCGAAGCAAGCCCGGGGGTGCGAATCCCTTGACCACAAAATCCAGTTCCCTAAAGGAAGAGAGGCGCCAATTACCGCGATCTGTGTAGAATTGGCTCTGCTTGTGGATCGACTGCACATAGATGGAAAAAGTGAACACACCGGTGGCACTTGACGGAGTTAGTAGAGGCGAGAATGACAGAAGGTCCAAAACTCACGAGAGGCGAACAGCCAGGTCACCCGGTTCTAAATAATAGCTGTCAGAGTACTCCGAGGGATCCAGATCATGGTTGTCGGTCAGGTTGTTCCCCCATGGTTCGTCGGATGCTCCTCGGCCATTGAGCATCGTGCCAACCCACGGATCTGTGGAGTGCGGATCTCTCACAGGGTCGAGTATATTCGGATTGATTTGCTGCCATTTTTGCAGGTAGCGTCGGATATCTCGGTTTTCTTCGAACTCGGCTTTCAGCCGAATGTCCTCGGCGGAGATACTAGAGAGTGACGGGTCCGGTACGGGAGACTGGCGCGGTCAGCTTAAACAAATACTGAACAATCAATTCCGCTTCACATACTTTGGCATGAACAGGTTCTTCCGATACCGGTTCGGGCTGGTCCGTAGCTGTTGACAACGAACGCAGACTCCCAGCAACTCTGGGGATGCGAGTGGCCCTAAAAGATGGTGCTGAAGCATGACTCTGTCTCAGAGCACAGCGAAGACATAGCTGGTTCACATCAGCTAGCTGTCGCAACGATGCTGCCCTGAGTAGCATCGTGACTGTGATGGCGAATGACTTGATGCCATCTCGCGTCGCCAGAAAATGCGCATTCTGCCTGGTTACGCCCTGACCGCCCTGGGCGGTAGGCTGGTCATGTGACACCGTGTTTAAAAAGTGTCCATAGAAACTGTAAACACGAAGTAGTCACATATATATATTTGTGAGAGCGAAGGCTCTGGCCCACTGAGTAGGTGTCAGTACGAGCGAAGACTCAGTGATCATGCTCAAGGCAGTCACGTGAGAGACAACGGATGCTTACTGGTTCTTCGGTCGGGCTCAGTGACCACGGGGAGCAATCATGACCCGGCCCCGTTCTTGACCGGCAGTCCCTGTAGCCCATCCTTAATGATGGAAAACCCTTTATGTCCTGCGTTGGCTTCCTCAGTATTGCGGTTAATTTCGACAGGGCTCCAATCTAGATGGGAAGACATACAAGGTTAGCTTGACTATTCACTACCATGAATATGATTATAATAAGAGGAGTGAATTTACTTACAGGTATGGTAGTGCTTCATGACCAACATCATCTTGAAGCTGAAATGCCTCATCCAAAGAGCGCCATAATGAGGTCCTAGAGGACATGGGTGCAGGACGATAAATCGCAGCAGACCAGTCGATTCGAGCTAGAAAGGGTCTCCGGCCTCAATTGTTTGATTCTCTGGGGTCATGGGTGCTCGATATGTCACTAAACGAGCTGGAATGAAAGAAGACGAGAACAAGAAGCCTGTGCTTTCTTCTATATGAACCACTGCCGAGCAAATCTCAGAACAATTCTACTAAATGACAGTGGATAAGTCTAGTGGGCGGCTCTAGAAGTTCATCTTCCCATCGACAAAGAATCTAGGGTATTTAGAATTTGTTTCTAGAGAGCACGCCAGATAAGAGCAGCATCGCCAGCTTTTAGGAACAACGGTTTTCACCTTCTTGTGGTTTTTAGTGTTAGTACTCATTATTTGATGAGGAAACCAAGAAGAACCCCCCTCGTGGTGGTGGTGGTGGTTGTTGTTGTTGTTGTGTGAACACGTTGTACAGTGGTTCCACGACGCATCCAAGTCCGATGGATGACAAGGAATAGTAAAGGTTCCTGTTTGCCTTATCTTGCAACGATTGTTGACCGCCACGACAGCTGACATCGTATTGTCATCTAGTAGAGGTCACAGCCTATGAGCGTGTGTGTTTGCTCTACTTAGGGAGAGCACTAAAACGGAAAGAGCAAGTCATGGGCCGCCAGAGATTATCTGGTCTATTTGTATGAAGTATATCCCGATATCCATTGCAATTTTTCTTTCAAGGGTTATTTCTTGTTTTCTTCGTTTCAATCATTACAATTGACGGGCACAATGTAGTTACTCCAACTATTTGACCAACCCCAGGTGCTCAGGGCAACCCCTGTCAGTGCCAAGGCCACACTATTGTCCCGGGACGAACCCATCCGAGCCGACCAGTTGCGCCCATCTGCGTCAGGGATCTGGAGGCAAGAGATGCTTG